TAACTAGTTGGGACTGAACCACTAGTGATGGTTGTAGTTGGAATGTCTGGAGTAGGAGTGATAGTAACGTACTCAGTGACAGGAACTGAACCAGTAGTAATAGTAGTCAAGTAACCAGTTGGGACTGAACCACTTGTGATAGTGGTAGTTGATAAAGGGGGAACTTCAACAACGACAGTGGCAGTAACATTACCAGATTCAGTAGGTGTCACGGTATAAGTGGTACCAAATGTTTCCGTCCATGTGGAAGTAGTAGTCGTGGTTCTAATGACACAGATGGTACCTGAGTTTGGCGAATAGGCTTGCAAATTGTCTGAGGTAACAACCGTTCCATCTGGTTGTGTTATGTTGAATTTAAGGGATGCTCTGGCAGCCCAGTTGACGTAGACTAATTTCATAGGATAATAACCTTCTTCAAGATCTAACAGGTAAACTTGAGTGGGATTTTCAACAGTATTACCGGATACTATAGTTGGGGTGTCACCAGTGATTTCGGAAATATCACCACAACATTGATTGTTACTACCAAAGTATAATCCCACCGCGTCATCATATAATGAAAAAGAGATGTTGTATTGACCGGCTTGGGCAGCATAAAAATAACCAGTTACTCTCAATCCAAAACTATTGACATCCACATATTTTCCATAAAAATTTTGATAGTTGGGAGCAGCACTGTTGACACCATTATACATGTTAAATGTAAGATTTTGAACATTATCCATAGTTATTGATGCAGCTTTCTTATTGATAGTTGAAAGGTATCCGGGACATTCAGAACCATCATCACTATCACCACCACAATCGTGGTAGGTATTATTGATGTACTCTGCGTGGAATCCACTGCTAAGATTTTCGAATTCACATGATGGAAGCGATGCAGCGCAGACATGGAGGCATAATAACAAGAAAGTTATTACCCTGGTGAACATAATAATAAGTTTGTTTTGTGGAATGGGAAATCGAACGATAATTTATATGGAAATAATTATATCGAATCTGTTATCAAATTTCACAAATGAGCCCCGAAAGCCGTCATGTCCATTACTATTTTTACATAATTTGAGTACAATAACAATATTAATTACTACTCTAGGTACAATCCTTCCCAATATAGTGAATAAGAAGGGAAAGGAAGGCTAGAACTTCTTGGAGTGTATGCAAGGTGGCAAATTCCTGAAATTCATGTAAATATTACCCAAGATGGAAGTTTGAGAATACGAAATTTCCTTTTTCGCTAAAAATACTTCAAAAGAGGTATTTATTCATTCGTGAGATTATGAACAAGGGAGGTTTTCCCAACAATAAAGCTTGATTAAATAAGCTGATAAACCTCGTAAGCTCACACATTAATGTTTTCGACCAAATGATCATGTTACAATGACAAAAATTTTATATTTTTTTGGATATTTTTTACTTTGCCGTAAAAATCCATTAACAAATTGCGGAAACGAAATAGGAAGCGGTCTTGTTTTGAAACTAACGGAAAACCAGCGGTTATTTTCAACTCCAATGCAAGCAGATATTTTAAGAGTTTGTAAATGAAGCTCAGACTAAATACATTTTAAAGAAACTTTAATTCAATACCGCCAAAATGTTTCAATGAGCCGTATAAAAGAAAAAGTGAGCAAGGTAAATTGCAATATGTATTAAGGGTTCTGTAGGAAGCTTAATTAACAAACATGTTTAAAAAATTCCGAAAATTAGTGTTTAGAGCAGGATGAAATTGTATTAATTTCTTTCCAACGATGACCTGTTGGGTATCCGTAAATGTGTGATGATTAAAATACCTTACGAGGACAACCAGGTCCAAAACACTCAGAGCGCAAAAAGGAGTTCTTTTGGAAGACCACGAATTCTTACTTGACGAATTGACATAGGTTAAATTCTTTATCTTTTACTACAAGGCACAAAGCGCGGTATTTTCAGATATTGGTGTTGAACAGAGAATTTCATTCCGTATTTTCGACTCCCAGAACTATTCCTATCTTCATAAGAGATACAAAAGTTCAAAGTATAACCTTTGCGGTAAACAGTAACAAATCTTGATCCTCGTCAATCTTGTGGTATGAGAGTTTATACAGGAAAGTTTCTGGTTTGGAATAAATATTTCGCTTTGTTTCGATGCTCAAATGATGATGCTCGTCACCTGAAAAATAATGTCTACGAAGCCCTGCGTCAATTCAAATTCAACCCAGTTGTTCAACTTGAGCCTGATTGTCTATTGCGAAAAAATATCAATCCTGAATATAGGCAGTTATTCGACCCTCCACAAACAAAACAATCGAATTTCTATTCGTTGTAATTATCAAAGGCGTAGAGAATCCATATATTCTAGCTTCCAATTTCATTACTACACTAGACTTAATTGGGTCAGGAAAGCGAATAAATGCGGAAATATTTCAAGTATGCGTAAGTCCTGCAGACATAAATTTTCTATGACCACATTCGTGAAACGGAATTCAACGTCCTGTATTTGAGGAAAGTGCTGAGGTCATATTTCCTGTATAATCCGATTAGGTATATATAAAAAGGGTGATTTATATAATGGGATCTTTTCTATGCAGTTCTATGGTAAATCTTTTATATTTTTTCCTGAATTGGAAACATACCAGCAAGAATTCATATCAAAGGATAACAATAAGATTGTCATTACGAGCTATGTCCTGATCCTGACGATATTCCTCGAATTTCTCGATTTTGAGAACCCGTGAGGCGAAGGGAGGAAAGGAAATGTAAGCGACATCGGAATTGTGTAAGAAATTGGTGCGTCGAGTTCGCATCATAATCGTCAGAGAGTGAAAATTTTTATCAAAACTTGCCTTCTTTTTATTGGTTTCATTACATACAATTTGAGAGGATAATTCTAATGACGGGACTCGGCTAATCTTGCACGATAATTACATCCCAATTTCCGAACAATTGCATTTCAGGTTGGGGAGAATTATTTTCTAGATTTCTGCCAATGCAATTTTATTAAGTCCATTGTTCCCTAGTTGGTGGGCGGAATGTTAACTCCGTTGCTTAACCAGCCAATTATTCAAAGCAAAATTGAATAGTCTGACATTAGCTGGGTCGCGTGAACATTTCTCGAAGTCCCACCCTTTTTCGTAGTTTCGTGATACCTCAAGATTCTACAAGAGCTCCGGTCCATTCAAGTCTGTTCGAAAGCTATATAGGTGAACTGGTCGATGATCATTTGATATTCTTCCATTTATTATAGACCCTTCACCTTGTTCTCGTTTGATAAGTCGTATGGAGAACCGAAGTTAACACAATTTGTGTTAATAGTTGCTATTCAAAGCTTTAGCCATATAGCTCACAATGATTTCTGGATTATCTGATAGTCATAATATGCGAGGTCCATTCATTCAAAGGAATTTCCTCAAGAAATCTCTATGAATTCAAAATTACTAATACTGATCACTCGCTGAAATTGATTCATATTATAATTTATTGAATAGAAATCATGGTAACGAACCCAACATTTTCTTACAAGAATGCCAACCGATTCTTAAATCTTTGAGCAATTCTTCTTAATATCATTCTTTTACCCTCATGCAACCAAAATTTCAGTTTACTTTAGAACACGATTTCCGTTAATTTTATTACAGCTTATAATCCAATGTTGTATATAGGGCGCTTATGTCTTTGGGAAATCTCTGAATCCTCAGTCCGATTGGGGCTCATATCTCTTTGTAAAACCAAGGGAGATCGTCCTGTTGTATGTGTTGGTCAAGACAAAAAAAAATAATAATATTTTTTTCAAACAATTGCGATTGTTCACTCCAACGTGTAAAAACCTATACCGTAAATGTTGGACGGCTTAAAAAAGCTACAATAGGGAAGTTTGCCTATTTTTTCCGGAAAACCTGTAATCTCCTGCGTTAATAACTGATAATTGCTGCCAGAAAAATTGGAGTTCCCGTGAAAATTGAATATTCCTCCAGCTCGTTGAGAATCTTTAGTATTTTTCCCTAGTATGTAGTATGGCTTTTTCGACTGATGCGGATGAGATTACTTGAGTCGCGCAGTCAGAATGATCAGGCTTGGTCTTCAAAAGTCATTCACTCACAAGAAGAATCTTTCGAAGGAGATTTTGGTGGATCAATCACAACAAATACAAAAGTGATACTTAATGATTTTATCTCCAAACATGCAACTCAGTCCTATTCCACAATCAGAATTCAAACCTCGACACCAGGTCATATAACGATTGAATTTTTACTCAAATACCTTGAACTATCCAAAAGTATCATTTATAGAAGAAAAACTTGCTTTTGGAGTATGGGGATAAGGTTTCTAGCTCAGGTAAGTTGGATCGCTTTTGTGGTTTTCGCCATAATTGCTTATCAGCAAACACTTAAAAAATGGCTGCGAAAAAAATCTTTAAAACTAAGGCTGCAAAAATATGAGAGAGCAGCAGCAGACATCGCACTCCTAACATTGGAGCTTGGTAACCTAAAACAAGGGACCTATTTTCGAACAGATAGATGGATTATTTGAAGTAGTGGGGGCACATATATTTCCTTCATCGCCGTATTCAATACATCCGAATCTGCAGAAATAACTTTCACGACTTAAATCATTAACCTTGGCAAATATGTTGCATATCTAATGAAACCAGATGATTCTGAACGTCCCCTGGTATTGTCTGCATTGGAACTACCACCCCTGTGAAGAACCCCTGAAATATCGCCATCAAGAATACAATAGCTTGTCAGAATAGATTAATGAGCAATTTTAAATATCTGTCCTGTCAATTGGAGTGCTTTGCCTATAGCTACCAGAATCTTTGCCATAATGAACATACTGAGACGGAAAGAGTGAGGAGGTTGTATTTATTAATGTCGTGTTGAATGTTCCATAAAAATTGAACCCATTCCATTACATAAGATTGCATACTAAAAGTCTCCTTGTCATTTAAAATCTTCAGTTGATTCAAGATTAGAAAGTCTTTTTCCACAAAATGTTAACATATTCTTTGGTTTGGACAAGTTTCGCCGTAATATCGCTGATGTCGTGACTATGAGGACATCAGATATGATCAGAAATCAGTTGCTGAACCATTACTACTAAGGAATTGTCCACTATGGAAAACACCGTAAAATTCAATGGCCTTTAAAAATTTTTTACAAGCCTCTTCACTAGACATAACACCTTCAAAATCTGGGTTGAACTTTTGGGCCATTTCTATAAAAGGTCCAAAAATAATTTCAACCTGTTCTTGAGGAAAATTTCTTGAATTAACCATACCTGGACAAACAGCTAAAACAGTAACACCTTTATGTTTCAATTGAGCACCATACTTTGCATCCAACAAGGAAAGTGCTGCCTTTGAAAAGGAATAAGGAATCTTTCCAGCAAATTTAGCTCTACGAGTGTAATCCAAAGAAGCTAGACCAGTTGAGACAAATATCAATTTCTTTTCATTGGAAGCTTCAATTAAAGGAATAACTTTATTGGCGAGGTAAATCTGACTCAACGCGTTGACTCCAAAAAATTGCATGGCATTATTTTTGAAATCATTCCAGGATTCTCTGGAGTCTGTTAATTCCATTGGTCCTTCAGAAACTCCCCCCATCAAAGCAGCACTTAAAATAGCTATATCAATTGATTTTGTGAGCTTGTTGATTTGTTCGAAACATTCATCAATGGAATCTTCGGACGAAATATCACATTTTACAATATGAAGTCTGTCAGATTCGATAGCTTTCAAATCGGCAACGTTATCAAGATTTCTCACTGTTGCAAAAACTTGATTAGTTTCAGTTTGTAAAATTTCTTTTACCAAACCGAGACCGATTCCTCTATTGGCGCCTGTGATTAAGTACGATTTTACCATTGCTATCTCTGTTTTTTTTTGCAAGGAGTAATTCGAGTTAGTGCTCCACCGAAAAACATGGGAGCGTGAAAAGATGAAAGTGTCGAATAAACGGATGCGGTAAAATAGATATCGGAAATAGACGAAAGCGGTAAATAAACGGAGGCGGATAAACTGAATCAGCGAACATAAATAGAAGCAGAAAAGGGGAGCTGCAACAGATCAATATCAAATGCCGTGGTTTATTGGCGAGTCTGCTTATCAGGAGGAAGGCACTATAAGTCTACTTAGTCTCCAAATCACATCGACTCGTTCAATATTTCCCGCATCCTTTTTTTAAAGCCTTAATTCCAACAAAATTTGCGCTGATTAAGAGTTTGAGGGTTGGTTATGCATACCAACAATCAGACCCATAGATCAATGGCTCTGTTACGATTTTCAATTTGGAATTGGATACGCAGAAGGTATGACGCTGGGTCTCAGCCTGGAGGACAGTGAGATTGCCACAAAAAGTTTTCCGCTCTACTCTGACCAAATTGTTTTATTAGAAGTAAATCTAACTGTAACTAGAAGAATAAAGTGTCGAACAATCTTTCAGTAAGTTGGTTGCGAGTCAATAGTCTCTGTATCGATACAATGGAAAATTTATCTACACAGTCGACACGGTGGTTGCGAAACTTTTTTTGAAATTGAGATTCTGCATACTTCTCTATATACTTACAATTTGGTCTATAGTATCAACACTGACTGTTCCAATTGAATTGAGCTTTCTGAGTAAGACATGGTTCTTTTATTTTCCCAAGGAGCACATCTGGTGTGAACGTCTTTTCCAGCAGGAGTACCGATAGGTACGCTGTCTCTCAAAGAAGGGAATTTTTCCCTGACAAGGTCTACACATGTTTGCATGGAGAAATAACCGTTTTTGGTAAGTAGCAAAAATTTCCAACATCAATTTCAAAGGCATGCAAGTGTAATTTAGCAACATCTCTTACATCCACAAAGCTACCATCGAAAACAGGTATTTCAGAGTCAAGTTTTGCGTTCAAATGACCATTCAACAATTCAATTTGAGAAGTTGAAAGATTCTTCAACACCACCAGAATGAGCTCGAGGACCAAGAACTAATCCTGGGGCAATAGTGCTCAAAGTAAATTTAACATCTTCAGTTTTTACAAATTCCCAAGCAGCTCTTTCAGCGTTTCGGTTACATGCAAAATAACCAAACATAAAGTTGAGTAAACCTTATTCATCAGTACTTTGATTCCATGATTCAGTTACAAGGGCTATTCAAATTCTTTGTTGCTTCATCTACACCATTGGAGCACTAATATTTCCAACTATTTCATAGCCAAAGTTTTCTCCAGCATCTTTTTTTAATTGATCACCTTTGGCGGCAGCTCTGACATTTCCAATGTCTTTGTGACTATTGAAGATTAGAAGCTTGAGGAATTTTTGTGCAATGAAACCACTGGCACCAGTTACTTAAGATCCTTCATATAGAATCTTACGATATGAAAATTGGTTAAGGACCAGTACGAAATGATATGTATTTAAAAACTATCACTACCACCACTTCCACAAGAGGATGAGTTTCCTGCACAAGAGGATAAGTTACCTCCACTGGACTGTTGGTCGCCCCAACTATCAGTGCTTTGATGATAGCTCGTATCTTCGGTGGATCTGTCATCAAACCCTGAAGAATATTGATTAGAATTGCCAGATTGATTGAGATTATTACGATTAGGCTTAAAATTTGGGTCAAAAAGTCTCAGTGGTTGACGAGGTTTGGCGGGTCCTGGCTCAAAATAAAAACCAAAATCTGGGCTCTTTTTTGCCCAACCGAAGGACAAATTTTTTATTTGGGCTTTGGAATTTTCTTTGGAAGCTTTAACTTCATCTAAGTATTCTTGATACATCTTGGAAGGATGTGTAGATGCTTCCTTAGACAGAACTGCATTGGAAATTTCTGAACACGCACTTGCAAAATCCACATTATCCAATTCTTTTCCATTGAGGTATAGATCCACATGATTCAGGTTGTACTGATTAGCTGGCTCTTCGGGATTTACTACATAATTATGAGACTTTAATGGAAAATTCTCGTCCACTACAGCATCTGTTACCGGACCAGTAATTACTCTCATTGCATTGTGCTGACTTATGTGTTGAGATGTGTCTGCCTTGAAGACCCTTTGCAGTAAGAATTTCCATGTCTTTTCAGGCTTTCCAGTGCAAGAATCACAACTACAAGTCGAATATGCTTTGCCATATTTTTCCTCATATAATTCAGAAGTTTTCTTGAAAGAAGTGTTCAACCTTCCTTTTTCTATCTTGTCATTATGATCAATAATTGTGCCAGTAACTTTCTTGGAATATGAAAAATAATGCCTGGGATTCAACTGATGAGTATGCCATACCAAATCTATATCAATAGTAGGAACTATAGGATGTGTAGAATCTTTCATCAAAGAAAAAAATTCTTCATAACGACTGATTGACATAGATTTTTGTGTTGGTGAAGCAAGATTGTTCTTGATCCAGTTGAAGGAGTTATTGATCCAATCAGTTTGTAACACTTTATCAATAAACTTGCCTTGTCTGATGACACAAGCGACCAAATCTTCTTGTATCTCTAATCCATTTTCAACAGTAAGATATATTGGGTTGGTTTCCACGTAATCTCTAAGCAAAAGAAGTTCTGGAATGCTAAACTTATGCTTGTATTTATGAACAAACTCTTCAATCAATATTTCCCTTAATTCCTTCTCATTAGTGAAGAGAAATCCTTTAATGTGCTCATTTGCTTTTAGAAGAAGAACGTCACTTTTGGTGATATTTGAACGAAAGTATTTGTAAGACCCCGGTAAAGGTGTAGGCTTTTTGCAGTCACTTATTAATTTGAAAGTTCTTAACACTTGATGGTTCAACCGGGAGGAACACTTACAGGATCCTATAGTTTCGAAGAATTGATCGGCAAATCCACCATTGAATCTCGTGAACAAATTTATTTCTCCATACAGAAGCTTACAATTGGGGCAAGAAACCGGATACGTTAAAGTCTCGAATGAATCGATTGGTTTTGTGTCAAAGTCATTAAAATATTTGGTCATGAATTGTTTGAAAGTTTCATTAACGTCATTGGTGATAGAATTGACTTTTGGTAAAGGAAATGGAATCTTGCAAAAGGTTTCAAAATCATTATATTTGAAATTGTCATAAAATGACTTCGGATTTAACATGAACGAATGCCACACCATTAATATATTCAAAGGAATGTCCAATTCATCTATGAACTTAACAATATCTTCCCCTTGATCATGAATTATCTTCAAACTACTCACAAACATGATATAGTTCCTTACAGCATTAGTGACGTATAGTTCCCATAATTTCTCACGAAAGGATTCTTGATATTGGGGATTTAAAACCACTGATTCTTTCAACCTTTTGATGGCTCTTAAGAGTGTCAAATGGAGCTCTATATCCTCATTTGTGGGTAATGACATGAAGTGAAATTGATATTTTAATTTCGAGCCTTTAAAGTTCGTATATTTGGTGTGCGATAATCATCTAGATATTGATTACGTCATCAGATAAGTTTACGAACTCTTTCACTCTCCTTAGAAGTTACATGAAATTCGTCATAGAAGCCTTATAAAGAAGTTCGATCAAAGTATTAATGGCGATCTTTTAAGGTCTACGTCGATCGCTGGTGTTCCCAAACCAAAAAAAGGAACAAAGTTTAATTGAGTTTGAGTTTCAAACCACTATTGATCAAATGGGCACTACGATGGTGGCAATTGTTGTCTGAAGATAAGATCTTTTAAAGAATACATTCATGGAGATTTAATTCCGTCTATAACAGTGCATTAACGAACGAAGGTGGTGATTACAACTAAAGACATATCTCTTTTTAGTGAGAAGCATAAGACAGTAAAGCTACCATTCTAAAACCTACCTAATATGATGAACCTACCTTTAGCAATTATCTGCTACTCAAACTATACAAGGCTGCTAAACATGGAAAACCATTTTTGTTTTCCCGTCTTGCGCAATCGCAGAGTTTTCTTCACGCACTTGAACTGATAAGCCATAATGGCAGAGAAGAAAAGATCTAAACTAGGGTGCTTCCAGTGTAAGCAGAAAAAGAAGAAGTGTGACGAAATCAAGCCAATATGTACGTCATGTTTGAAGTCAAATAAAATCTGCAGGTACAAACTGTTGGAAAACAGTGTTGTCAAATCACAAAGGAAAGTTGATTCGATCGTGTGCAAGGACATTGTTGGAGAAATCATAATGAAAAACTTGGAACATCAGCGTTTCGATGAAATCAACATAGATACAATATCATATGGTTACAATAATGACATGTTCAAACTCTTGAATGAATACATCAGTCCAGATCCTGAACTTAAGATCAAACTACCTGTAGATTTGTCAGAGTCAGAAATAGGATATTTTGAATATTATTGTAAGTCCATACTACCAGAGTTAAGCATCTTACCTCAAGAATACAATTTCTATTCCAAAATTTATATACCGCTAGCATTAAAAGAACCTGCTTTGTTGTATAGTTTGATTGGATGGGGTTGTAAAATGATGAAAAACGATGGTATAAATTATTTGATAGAAAATGAAGAAGCTGAAGGTTATTGTAAGAAGGTTATGGGAATTATAGACCAGAATAATTTATATTTGAACGAAGAAAAGTTCATGGTGAATTTCTGTTCATATATGTCTTTGGTTTATATGAATATTTCTGTGGGAGATATCAATGAATGGTCAACCCATTTCACCAGTTGTTTTAACATGATCAATAGAATGCCGGGAAATTTCAAATATTTAATGAATTTCTCCCATGAAGGGATCTTGTTAGCTGAAAACTTTGCTTACTTTGATATTTTAGCTTCCCAATCCAATGAAAATGGAACATTTTATCCTATAAGTGATTATGACGACGTTTTTTCTAATGTATCCAATGCTCATGATCCAGCTCAAGGATGTATAAGACCTTTAACATTAATAATAGGAGAAATAGTGACGTTATTGGTAGAATACAGTACATTACAAGTAAGTCTTGATTTGACAGATTGTAGTAAGTATGAGTTAATGGCCAATGTGATAGATAAAGCAGAAAAACTTGATAAGAAAATTCTTTTCACCAAGCCAGACTTGTCATGTTTGAAACATTTGAATACTCCAGAAGAATTGGAAGGACATTTGACCCTTTTTGATGTCTATCAGATATCGGCACAAATTTATTTGAGACAGGTCATCAAGAAATTACCTTCAGTTGTACCTGAAATAGAGATGTTGTTTTTCCATTTAAAAGAAGGAGTGGCATTCTTAGTTAAGACTAAATTCAGGAAAAGTTTGGGATTCCCTATGCTTGTTACAGCTTTAGCAGCCACCTCAAAGGAGGATAGACAAGATGTCAAGAGCTTGTTCGAAAATTTGATACAATGTTGTGGTTACCTTAGTGTATACCAGAAATTATGGACTGTTATACAGAAAGTCTGGGAGCTCAATCAAAATGGGAATTTGTATGTAGATTGGTATAAAATTACCAAGCAATTTGGATGGAGATTAAATTTGGGAAGGTAGTTTATACAGTAAACTTAATGAGAGGCAAGGATTTTTTTCGTCTAATTTTCTCTACAAACTGACTATTTTGAGTTCGAAATCGTCTTCAGCACCTCTTGTGCCTGTTGCATCCACCAAACCTGTTTCGGCAACATAAGTACTCCAGTGTTCTAACAATTCTTGAAGTTTGTCATTATTTGTGGAAGCAAGATCATTGATTTCACCCGGATCCTTCTTAAGATCAAAAAGTTGCCATTCTCCAGTACCTAGAGGCTGTGGAATATAAACAGCTTTGAAATGACCTTTTCTTATTGCTTGTTGACCGAACAATTCCCAACCAGTGACAGTATCATCAGAATGAACCTTCTCAGATTCACCAGTGATGTAGCTTTTCCAAGACTTACCTCTCACAGGAGCAATTTTCTTACCCCTGAAGGTTTCTCCAGGGTGTTCTACACCTGCAAGATCTAAAATGGTGGGTAAAACATCCATAACTGTAGCAAATTCATGCTTAACTGAACCTCTACTTTCTTCTTTTATGATATTCGGGTGATGAATGATTAGAGGACATCTTATACCTCCTTCAGTAGTCCACATCTTATACATATTAGACGGAGCAGTAGCAGCTTGTGCCCATTGATCAGAATACCAAACAAAAGAATTACCTCTTCCAATATTATCCAAGGAATTATCAAAGAATTCATCAATCAACGAATCAACTTTAGCATTGAAAAGAGGTAAGGACTCTAATAACATACCTTCAGCTCCGTTATCGGACATGAAAACTATGAAAGTATTATCCAACTCGTTCTTGTCTTCCAAGGCTTTAATGACTTTACCGATATTTTGGTCTAAAACATCAATCATAGCAGCATAGGTCTCCATGATTCTAGCTTCTGTATCTTGTTCATGTTGAGATAATTCATCCCACCTTTTTTTCCTAGCTGTTACCAAGGGATGTGCTGTGACACCTTCAGGAATAAGACCCAATTTAGCAGCAGATTCCAATCTTTTCAATCTTAATACTTCAGGACCAGCCTTATAGAATCCTTTGTATTTATCCACCACTTCTTTAGGAGCTTGATATGGCCAATGGGGAGCAGTGTAAGTTAGAAGACCTAAAAACGGACGGTCTTGTCTTGACTCATGATTCAAGTATTCTATAAATTTGTCAGTATAATAGTCGGTGGAATAGAAATCTTCAGGTAAATTATCAGGATCAAAGGATTTATCACCTTCAGCATATAATGGACTCATAAAATTTGGCAGATCACCAGCTTGTGGAAAATACTTGTAATGATTACCAGCTCCAGGTAATAAAGTGAAGGCTTTTTCAAATCCTCTTTTGCTAGGCCAATAATCAGGTAATAAACCTAAATGCCATTTCCCTGAGATGAAGTTATAATAACCTGCATCTTGAAGAATTTCCGATAAAGCACCAACTCTAAAATTCAAATAACCTTCATAGCCAGGCTTTCCTTCAAACACTTCAGGGTGATTTCTAGCATGTTCAGCCATTTGACCCAACCCTGCAATGTGGTTATCAGTACCACTTAGTAACATTGATCTAGTAGGGGAACATGCTGACGCAGTATGGAAATCAGTAAATCTTAAACCGTTATCTGCGAGTCTCTTAAGATTTGGTGTATCGATTTCACCACCAAAAGCACTTAAATCAGTGAAACCTAAGTCATCAGCGACTATAACAATGAAGTTAGGTTTCATTGTAATTGTATTTGAAGGAAAAAAAACGTTGAATATTTATAGTATTAGTGTCCACAATTATTGTCATAATTATTGGGGGTCACATGATCGAGAAGAAACTATGGATTTAGATGATTCGTAATAATTATCTACAAAATTCCTATAATCTATAACTTACCAAGCATCAATGGCACCTTGGACTCTGACATCAACACCAGTGGTGTAACTTGAAGCATCAGAAAGTAAGTAAACGTAAGTACCAGCTAATTCTCTTGGTTCAGCAAGTCTGTGCATACCACCCCAGATATCTAATTTAGTACTCCATAATGGATCAGTATCAGGGTAAGTAGTTAAAGCAGTTCTAATATAACCAGGACTGACACAGTTAACACGAATACCTTGACAAGCGAATTCACAACCTAAACCTCTAACAACACCTAAAATAGCAGATTTAGTGGCTTGGTATGGTAATGATGGAGCAGCTTTGTTGGTACCGTGAGCGACTAATGAAGCAGTAACAACAATTGAACCTTTTTTACCTAATTTTAAGAAGTTTTTAATGGCAACATTAGCGGTATTAACAACTCCTTTTAAGTTAACATTGATGATAAGATCCCATTCTTCTGGAGTATATTCTAAAGAACCTTTTCTGATGGTAATACCAGCATTGGCAACAACACCATCTAAAGTACCTTCAGCTTCTATAACTTTATCAAAAGCAGCAACAATGGTATCTAATTTAGTAACATCACCATTAAGATAATGAGCTTTACCTGGGTAAGCTTTTTGAAGGGCAGCGAATTCATTGTCTTCAAGAGGAGCTCTTAAATCAATGTTATAAACAGCTTTAGCACCAGCTTCTAAAGCACCTTTTGCAACAGCAGCACCAATACCAGTATTAGCACCAGTGATAACAATAACTCTGTCTGGAAGACCAGTAACAAGTGATTCATTTTCTGGTAAGGTTGATACCCATTTATAATCTTTCTTTTCTTCACCTAACATTGTTTAAAAATATTATATTACTTTTTCAAAGGAATCAACACTATTTAAACCGTTTGATTTGACGTGCGGAACTACCAAATATGGGGGAAGTATTTTTCCCCAAAATATGGGGTAACGCGACTCGAGAACCGTTGAGTATCCGAAGGCGGAAGTTTAACTCCCTCCAGTAACTTCATTTATTTAATCAAGGGCAAATATCACTTAGAAACTTTGTTAATTGGAATCATGAGTGATTGGAAGAAAGATAATACTACGTTGAAAATTTTAAGAGCAGCGGAAAAGGGGAAATATGGGGTTTTATCAACTATTGCCTATAATGTTGATCATGTTATCTCAATGATTAAAGCAGCTGAGAATAAGAGATCTCCACTTATCATTCAAATGTTCCCATGGGCCATTTTACATTCAAATGGTGATTTGGTTAGATGTGCATCAATGTTAGCTAAAAGAGCCTCAGTTCCAGTTGCTATTCATTTAGATCATTGTCAAGATCCTAAATTAGTAGAATTGGCTGCAAAAGAATTACCTTTTGATTCAATTATGGTTGATATGTCCCATTATGAAAAGGAAGAAAATCTTGCTAGAACTAAAGAATTAGTTAAATTATGTAATGAACATCATAAAGCTACTGAAGCTGAACCAGGTAGAATCGAAGGTGGTGAAGATGGTGTTTGTGATACTGCTGATTTAGAAGGTATTTTAACTACTCCTGAAGAAGCTAAATTATTTATTGAAACTGGAATTGATATTTTAGCTCCAGCTATTGGTAATTTCCATGGAGATTATCCTCCAAGTGGACCACAATTAAGATTTGATCTTTTAGAAAACCTTCAACCTTTAGTTAAATCTGAAGATATTAGAGTTTGTCTCCACGGTACCAATGATTTTACCCCAGAATTAGTACATAGAAATATCGAATACGGAATGTCCAAGATTAATGTTAATAAATTAGTCTTGGACACTCACTTGGAATTCTTCGAAGAAAGTGCCAGCAAATTACCATTAACTGATTTGTTAGATAAGTCCAATGAAATCTTGGTTTCAAGAATGGAATATTGGATGGATGTTTTCAGATCTTCAAACAAAGCTTAATATATAGAATAGATATTGTTTATAAATATATAAAAACCCCTGGGACCAAGACTTTTCTAAACGGTTTAACCTTTAGCCTATAAGCTTTGTAAACTATTCGATTACGATACGATTACAATAACTGTCAAAAAGATAGATGAAATTGGCTATGCCACTATAATAAAAAAGTGGGACAGTTCGTATTTAATTTTGGGAATCTGGGGAAGAGGACGATCATCCCCACATCTTATTATACAATTCCGCCAATTTCATGACATAATTTAATCATTCATGGGAATACCGTGTCATAAAACCCGGGGAATGGACCAGTCATCAGGCGAAAAAAAGTCCGCGGAATTACAGATCCGCAATTTTCATTATTTTATGGAAAGTATGGGGTACCGAATGGGTGGAATTTTACCTGTGATGCAGAAGGTCGCAAGAACAGTTCCACCCTCTAACAAATATACGTTCTCAAATAAATATATATAGAAGATGAGTTGGAACAATAAGTTATTAAACAATAAATTCAACTTTAATAATTTATATAGTTTAGGTGAAATGGAAAGAACAAGTAGTGAAAGTATGAAACCAAGAATATCACATTTAGAAGATTCAGATTCTAAAAATTTAGGAGGTATTGAATATGAAGGAAGTTCCAATATTATTGAATTAGATGAAGAGTTTACTTATACTGAACAAGAAGAAAGACAGTTAGTACGTAAACTTGATTATTTCTTATTGATTACCATCTTTTGGATGTATCTCTTATCATATATGGATCGTACCAATGTTGGTAATGCTTATAAAAGTGGTATGGATGTTGATTTAGATATTGACTCATCAAAATATTCTATCGTTTTGATTGTATTCTTTATCTTTTATGTTATTTTTGAAGTTCCTGCTAATTTAGTTATGGTTAAAGTTGGTGCTTCAAGATTCGTTCCAGCTATTATGTGTGCTTGGGGTGTTTCTACTGGTTTGACTGCCCTTGTTAATAGTTATGCTCAATTAATTGGTTTAAGAGTTGTTACTGCATTTTTTGAAGCTGGTTTTGCTCCTGCTATTCTTTTAATCTTATCCAGTTGGTACCGTAAAAATGAACAAAGTAAAAGATTTTCAGCTTATATTAGTGCTGCTATCTTATCAGGAGCTTTTGGTGGGTTAATTGCTGGTTTGATTACCCAACATTTACATAATTCTCATGGTATTGCTGGTTGGAGATGGTTATTCATTATTGAAGGTGCTGCCACTGTTGCTATTGGTATCATTGGGTTCTTCACTTTATTACCCCTTCCTCAACATATGAAACCAAGTAAAGGTTTTACTGAAAGACAAATTAAAATTGCCATGGTCCGTCTTAAGAGAGATAACGTTGATAACGATTCAGGTGACGGAATCAGTCCATTACAAGCTTTATTAGGTAATGTTAAAAGTGCTAGAGTTCTCATGTTAATTGTTGGTTACATGGTTATTGTTGGTTCAAGTACTCTTTCATACTTCTACCCAACTTTAGTTGCTGGTCTTGGATATTCTGGTTCAATGATTCAATACATGACCATTCCAATTTACGCTGCTGCATTTGTTTGTAATTTAGTTGTTGCTTTCTTCAGTGACAGAAACATGCATCTTAGAGGTTACATTTTATCAGGATTATTATGTTTTGCCGGTGTTTTCTCCGTTGTCGTTGTTACTTGTTACGGTTATACTGTAAGATATGCCATGTTATGTTTAATGGCATCTGCGCTCTGGGCTGCTAACGCTTTAGCATTATCTTATGCAGCTTCAACTTTAGCTGATAAAGACTCCAAAACAAGAGGGGTTGGTTTAGCTTTAATTAATGCCCTTGGTAACTTGGCCCAAATTTATGGTGCTTATTTGTTCCCACTGACCGATTCTCCAAAATATATTAAAGGTTTTGGTGTCATTACTGGAATGTGTTTCTTAGGTTGCGCAACCTATTTCCTTTCAGCAGTTTATACAAACAGAAGATTGAGAAAATTCGATCTTGAAAATATATAGTGTAATGTAAGTTTTTTGATGAAATCTATAATTCTAGACCAACAGAAACGGAATCTACATCATCATCATCTATTGAAGAGAAGAAAAATTTTTTTTTTTCTCCATCGGAAATCTTCCATAAATCAACCCCCGCAATTCTCCAGGTTTTGAGATCCATCGCACAATAAACCATGGTTAACAGAAGAACCAGTCTGAGTTGTATACATTGTCGACTCCGGAGACGTAAGTGTAGTGGTGGTAACCCTTGTACTTCATGTGTTGCTAAGGATAGAGTATGTGAATATACAAATGATGACAAGCGGAGAAAGAGACCCGCAGCTAGTTATATCGAAGCTTTAGAAGAAGCCAACACTAAGAACCAAAAGACGATTGAAACATTAAAGAATGAACATCAGGAGTTCCTAGATGCTTTAAGGATGAATATAGATGACCACAAAAAGCTTATGGATCTAATTAATGGGAATAAAACCCCGGCACTCGTTAAATCCATCGACAATGATTTTAATCATCTTGTGATGTCTGGCCAAACTGGTAGTACTCGAATGGTTTTGGGTCCCACCAGTGTTTATAATGATCATCTCATCATGGAGAACAAAGATCAATCTAAAAAATTAGGTAATATAAAACAAGGACCTACGATTCTTTATAATTTGACCGTGGATCAAATGAAAGATTTGAATGAATACAGGCAAAAATATGGATATCGTGATTATAGGTTATTCTACTTCAAAGAACAACCTTTAAAGGCTAACATAGCCATCTTCAGAGAATGTATTTCATTGTTTTTCAAATGGATGTACTCATCACTGTTTCTTTTCATTCATAGAGAGTCATTCCTTTACTTTTATTTGAGCAATGAAATTGATTGTGAGTTTGTTACTATGGAGTTAATTTATGCTATAAGTGCTTTGGGTGCTAGGATATCTAATGATGAGTTTATCAGATCTCAAGCTGATGATTATTATAAATTAGCCAAACAAAGACTTTTCGCCAATGGAGATGAGAAATTCTTTATTAGAGAATCATCAATTTGTAAACTTCAAACATTACTTTGTCTTGCATTTTATGACTTAGGAAGAGGTGAGTTGGCAAGTGGGTGGTTATTATCGGGATTAGCATTTAGAATGGGTCATGATCTTGGGTTTGAGTTAGATCCTCGTGATTGGAATGTTACTACTTCCATTCCTCATAGTGGCTCTTCCATGCATTCTACATCTGCTTCATATGCCAACTTAAAGCAATTATCCCAGAGTGATGTCAAACAAGATCTTTATAATAACTATCCGTTTGAGATCAATAACTTGAGAAGTAGAATATATTGGGGATCTTATGTATCAGAAAGATTGATTTGTTTGGTCATGGGAAGGTCACCAACATTGAAATTAACTGACGTAACAATCCCTGATTCTCAAGATATTGGGGATTTAACAGGTATTGAAGACTTCATCTTTCATGATAATTTATCTGAACGTCAATATGCATGTAGAGCTTTCTATTGTTTGAGAGCAGTGGTTGAACTTTTGATTCTCGCTGATGATATTTTAAATAAAGTATTTGGTTCAGATACCAATGGAATTAAAAGATCAGATATTTTATCCAGCTATAATTTAAAGCTTTTACAATGGAAAGAGAGTTTAGGAAAAGAATTATTCTGGAATAAAAGTATTCTTAAAAGGACAGCTCATAATGAACTTTATATGGGACCAAGGTATACATATTTCATCATCATGTTAAGTATTAATAGACCTTTTATTCTGATGGCAGCTTTAGGATCTAAAAATGTTAATATTGATATTGTGAAGATGCCAATTGAAATCTGTGATGATGTCATTGAGGATTTAGAAATCGTCATCAGAGCTTTGAAGCATCAAGAAGATGACCATCATGCATTCTATCCTCATATAACATCAGTATATGCGGTGATTTTAGCCATTAGTGTGTTATTATGGAGGTTTAAAATCTCCGAAGATATCAAAGCTAGGCAACTCATATCAGCCAAAATATCACTTTTCTTCGAATTCCTTCAAAGATGTAGTAAAATATGGACATTGGCTCATAAACCAGTACAAATCTTCAAGAAGAGAATAGATAATTTGTGGAATGAAGAGAAAGGTGCTGAAGGTCATAAAGTGGATACCGTAGACACTCTGGATTATTCCGAAGTCAATGACACTATCTATGATGCATTTACTAAGACAGATATGTTGAGTGGATTTGATATGGCAGACTTTAGTAATATTGACGATGTGTTCCAATCAGTTTTCGAACAACCAGCTAACCAACAAATTTTGACTAGATTGGACTTAGCAGATGTTCTTTGGGATGAAGCTCTTTATAAGAAGTAGCCTTCGAGAAGTGGGTTCTGAGAAGTGGCCCTTAGGAAGTAAACCCTTTCAAGTAAGAAGCCCAATTAGAAAACCATCAAAAACCAATAAGAAGTAAATAGACCATTTGATAAGAAGTAAATAGGAAATGAAACTAATTCTAGATCTTCGATGCGCCATCGCGTCACCGTCCCAGTGCTTCGACCGTTGACCTCATCGCCTGGCGATTGTCCTCCCCGCGAATATGGGGTAGTTTCACGCGACATCTATGAACTGATATTTAGGTGGAAAGTTTGTGTGATCAAGAGATATTTTCAACTTTATTGATTCTAAGAGAGTCCAGCAGTGTGGTAAAGAAGGTAGAATCTTTCATTAGTTAAAGAGAACATCATCAAGGGTTTAGAATACCGCTTGACATGGGTCTAGCATTTAAGGTCAAAAATGAGTCAATGAGTGATGCCATTATGGTGGAAGATATAGATCAGGAGGATAAAGGAGAATATAAAGAGTTTACTTACTCTCCTGAGGAAGAAAGTCAGTTGGTACGTAGACTTGATTGTTTTTTGTTGATAACGATATTCTGGATGTATTTATTGTCATATATGGATAGAACTAATGTAGGAAATGCTTATAAAAGTGGTATGGATGTTGATTTAGGTCTTAGTTCATCGGATTATCTGATAGTGTTGATTGTGTTTTTCATATTTTATGTGGTTTTTGAAGTGCCAGCTAATTTAGTCATGGTTAGAATAGGTGCTGCTAGATTTGTACCTAGTATCATGTGTGCTTGGGGAGTTTCAACTGGTTTGACTGCCCTTGTTAATAGTTATGCTCAATTAATTGGTTTAAGAGTTGTTACTGCATTTTTTGAAGCAGGTTTTGCCCCTTCTATCCTTTTAATTCTATCAAGTTGGTACCGGAAAAATGAACAGAGCAAAAGATTTTCAGCATATATCAGTGCAGCCATCTTATCGGGAGCTTTTGGGGGATTGATAGCTGGTTTGATAACACAACATCTTCATGGTGCTAGAGGAATTGCTGGTTGGAGATGGCTTTTCATAATAGAGGGATCAGCTACGGTTGTGATTGGTATTATTGGATTCTTCACCTTGCTTCCCCTTCCTCAACATATGAAACCTTCCAGGTTCTTTACCGAACGTCATATTCAAATAGCAATAGCCAGACTTAAGAAGGATAACGTGGAGAGTAATTTAGGTCACGACATCACCCCTTTGAATGCTTTACTTCGAAATATCAAAAACCCTCAGGTTGTCATGTTAATCATAGGATACATGGTTATAGTTGGATCAAGTACACTTTCATATTTTTACCCTACTTTGGTAGGCGGATTAGGGTATACAGGATTCATGATCCAGTACATGACTATCCCCATATACGCCTCAGCATTTTGCTGTAATTTGACTGTGGGGTATTTCAGTGATAGAAACATCAAATACAGGGGGTACACCTTATCAGTACTTCTATTGATAGCTTGTGTATTTGCCATAGTGGTGGTGACTTGTTATGGATTCAAACTTCGATATGCTATGTTATGTTTAATGGCATCTACCCTTTGGTCCAGTAACGCATTGGCATTATCCTACGCATCGTCTATTCTCTCCACTCGAGATTCTAAGACCAGAGGTGTAGGCTTAGCTCTCATTAATGCACTTGGAAATCTAGCACAGATTTATGGGGCTTATTTATTCCCCACAAAAGATTCCCCCAAATACATCAAAGGGTTTGGGGTCATTGCTGGGATGTGTGCTGTTGGCTGTGGAACCTATGGTATTCTTGCCACCTACAAAGCTCGTAAACTGTCCAAGTCCACTACCACTGATAGTCCCCACTCTGAAGCCTAAAATAGTCTTAATTAACGCATAAACGATAAGTCTCTAAGTGTGACATTTCTCAAAGCATCATCTTTTCTGGACCTTCTCGTATTTTCCCCACTGCGAACACAAATCATCAGATGCCTAGAATGGTAGGTGCAAAGAGAACCAGTCTTTCATGTACTACATGTAGAGTACGTAAGAGGAAATGTGATGGGCAACAACCTTGTTCAACATGTATTGCCAAAAACACGGAATGTGAATATACCGATGTCGATAGACGGAGACAACGTCCTACTACGAGTTATATAGAAGGATTGGAGAAAACTAATACAATGAATGAAAAGATGATTGAAACTTTGAAGGAAGAACATTCAAGGTTCTTAGACGTTTTAAAAACGAATATCAATGATTATCAACGATTAAAATCGATTATTATGGGGGATGTCAAAGAAGGATCAGTGAGCTCATCTGGGGAAAGTGATGCTTTTAATCATCTCGTGGTTTCAGGTAAATCGGGCACAGCTTCCATGGTTCTTGGACCTACGAGTATCTATAACGATGACTTGATTATTGACAGAAACCTCGCTACAGTCAATACCCCTGCTGTACCTGTAGTTCAGTATAATTTAACTATTGATCAAATGAATGAGTTGAATGACTATAGACGCAAATATGGTTACGAAGACTATAGGTTATTTTACTTTAAAGAACAGCCTTTGAAAGCCAATGTGGCCATTTTCAGGGAATGCATTTCGTTGTTCTTTAAATGGATGTACTCATCACTGTTTCTTTTCATTCATAGAGAATCGTTCCTTTATTTTTACTTGAGTAATGAGATTGATTGTGAGTTTGTCACCATAGAACTCATCTATGCTATCAGTGCCTTGGGAGCCAGAATATCAGGAGACCTGTTCATTAGATCTCAAGCCGACGAATACTATAAATTAGCCAAACAACGACTCTTCACTAATGGGGATGAGAAATACTTCATAAGAGAATCTTCTATTTGTAAGCTTCAAACGTTACTTTGTCTTGCATTTTATGATTTGGGAAGAGGTGAATTGGCAAGTGGTTGGTTGTTATCAGGGTTAGCTTTCCGTATGGGTCATGATATAGGATTTGAATTAGATCCTCAAGATTGGAATGTCTCACCTCCTTTACCTAAAAGGTCGAATTCCGACATTAATTCAGCCAATGCTACTTATACTAGTTCAGGGTTGATAGTCAAATCTACTAGAGAAGATGTGTACCGCAATTATCCGTTTGAAATTGGTAAATTAAGAAGTAGAATTTATTGGGGTTCTTTCGTGGCTGAAAGATTGATTTGTTTAGTTATGGGAAGGTCACCAACATTGAAATTGACTGACGTCACAATCCCTGATTCCCAGGATATCGGGGATTTAACAGGTATTGAAGATTTCATATTTTACGACAATGCCTCCGACCGCCAATATGCATGCAGGGCTTTCTATTGTTTAAGAGCCGTTGTGGCTTTACTCATTTTATCCGATGATATTTTGAATAAAGTGTTTGGATCAGCCACTAATGGAGTTAAGAGGTCAGAGATATTGACCAGTTATAACCTCAAACTTTTGAAATGGAAGGAAAGTTTGGGTAAAGAATTGTTTTGGAATAAAAGTATACTTAAGAAGACTGCTCACAATGAACTTTATATGGGACCAAGGTACACTTATTTCATCATCATGTTAAGTATCAACAGACCTTTCATTCTGATGGCTGCTTTAGGATCGAAGAACATCAATTTGGATGTGATTAAAATGCCTTTGGAAATCTGTGATGATGTTATAGATGATTTGGAAATCGTCATCAAAGCATTATTATACCAACAAGAGACTTATCAATCATTCTGTCCACACATTCTTTCAGTTTATGCTATTGTGTTATCTATAAGTGTATTATTGTGGAGGTTCAAAATATCGGAAGATATCAAATTCAAGACCAACATATCAACCAAGATCAATTTCTTCTTCAATTTCTTGGAGAAGTGTAGTGAAATTTGGACATTAGCCAATAAGCCGGTTGAAATATTCAGAATGAGAATCAATGATTTATGGGAAGAGCCTGAAACAGATACACCAAGTGTTTATGAACAAGATCTTCAATTAAGTCAAGAGTTCAATAATGAGAACATTTATGATGCTTTTAGTAGACAGGATTTACTTAAAGGATTTGATATGGCAGATTTCAGTAACATTGATGATGTTTTCCAATCAGTTTTTGAGAGACCTTCTAATCAACAAATGTTGACTAGATTAGATTTGGCTGATGCTCTTTGGGATAAATCACTTTATGATAAAAAGACAGTCAATCAGCTTTAAGAGAGTGTTTTATAGTAACGAATTTAACGATGCCCTTGTATTTCCTAACCTAACCTCTGTGAAACTCTAAGCTAAACTAAGAGTATCACTATTGAAATCCATCAACTCTTTCCAAGTCAATAATTTATCTTCATTTAATTCTCTGTATTTCCACACGCTTTCCACGTTACTCCTTGCCAACTTGATATTGGCTAAACCTCTTAAATTCTCCATCTCTGAAAACTTCTTCATGATGAACCATTTGATTTCCTCATCCAAATTGTTCCCCACTACTCCAATTAAGAATAAGGGCCAAGTGATAGACATGGTACAATAATCCAAGGACTTAAGTTTGTCAACAATTTCCACGATTAATCCATTAATCTGATTATAAATCTTATTGACATTGGTTTTATTCAACTTACAATAGAATAAATCAATTCTAGCCAATAAGTATAATCTTGTTGATAATTGCTTGATGTCTGCCACGGTTATAATACCATAAGTATTCTTATCAATCTTTCCCTTGAAATTTTGTTTCAATTTCTTCAAATCTTTTACCAACACATCTCGCTTGTCAAGGATAAGCTTTTCTAACATAACTCTATTTCTGGAAGTTTCAAACTCAAGAGATTCGTAATATTCTCCCAATTTCGTTATATCGTCTACAGTTTTGACCAAACTGATAGAACAACCTAACATGACGTCAATATTATCGTCGTGATCGTTTTTGAATAAATCATGATCAGAGTACTTGAAATTATCGTGATTTTGTACGATAGTATCTCTGAACACTTCATGCACTGTCAAATATCTTATACAGAATTTCTTGAAAGGATCTGTAGTTTTTGACATTTTGTTTAACATCTTCTTCCCACCATCTGAATGGATAACCCATTGCATATCACAATCTGAGGAGATATTGGAACTACAAAGTATCACAATCACCCCAAATACATCTTCCCAGTCTTCGATATCTATCAACTGTTTAAATCTGATGAGTTCTGGTAAATCTTTCAACACTTCATTCCTGTATTTGATGGAGATTTCTTTGAACTCATTGTTGATGGATGAGAATACCTGAGTACTATAATAGATCAAGGTCTTGAATAAGATGCTGGAATTGGTAGAAATTGGAACCAAATAGTTTAAGTAAGGATTTTCAACCGTTTTGAAATCTCCTCCATAACAAATACAATTAGGGAAGATCTTATTGATCATATAATCATAAGCTTGAAGTTCTTTTGAAAAGTTCTCCTTATCGAAATCAAAAGCCAACGGAATACTCGGTAAGGAATTAAATAATGGTGAAAGACTTTGACTGGGTAATTCCATGGCATTATCTACCAAGAAATCACTATTGATCTCAAGACCTTGAGTATCGAAATCATCATACACTTCGAAAAATCTAGGTTCTTTGGCAGTATCCAACTGACTATATATTTCCATCATACCTTTGAATTTCTCGGAAATATGAGTTTGTTTCCTTTCAGGGTTGAAATCCTTAATCAAGGTATTTATGAAGATTATCTCATCATTAACCTGAACCCACACTTCATTCTGTTGACTTAATTCAGACAAGGTCAACTCAAGTTTCTGGCTTGATTCTTTCTTGGATCGTTGGTCCTTAATAACTTGATACTTCTTAGATCTTCCAAATGATATACCTCTTTCCAAGGCATCTTCGTGCCAAAGTAATTGTTGGTTATACTCACAAGTTAAGGATAATCTAGTACAATTTGAACACAGAGGGTGAACTTCATCACATTTCACTCTACGTTTCTTACAAGTAGCACATCCACTTCTACTTCTTTGATCGAACTTTCTACGTCGAGTACCTTTAGCCTTAGATGCTGACATTATTAATTAAAGTTAAAAAAGATTCCTTATCGATTCCGCGATAGTAATCCCCATCATTGGTAAATCAACGACCTGAATCATGAACATTGAAAAAGTCACAAAATGGACCTAGATTTGATAATCACAGAGAGCCCTAGGTTCGCTTACATGATTGGCTAAAAGATTGGACCAAATCCCGAGAATTAGCTTAAAAAATATTTTTTTATTTTCCAGAGGGGGAAGTCATGTAATTTAAAAAGGGAAATTGACCTCCGCACACCAATCGTCTAAATTCCGTACATTTATTTATCTCTAATTAAAATAAAAAAACCTTACTTAGTATATAAGAAAGTTTTTTGTTCTTTATCTGTTACATCTAATAAAACATTAACATCTTCAGTTTTGTCTTTCAAAGCTTCAAATTCTCCTTTTAATTCTTCATCAGCATTTATAACTTTTAATTTTTGCTTGTTTTGGTAAGTACAAACCAACCAATAACATCCACTAAGAAGGATACAAGCAACGTAAGCACAAATCATGGCAATGAATCCACCAGTGAATCCAGAATTATAAACTTGACCTCCAGTTAATGCACCTACAGCATAACCAAGATAATTAATACCATAAACAACACTCTTTTTAGTATTACCTGAAGTATTAGCTTGACTAAGGGAAATAAGCACAACATAAGGAGCAAAGTAGAAGTACATCAAATATAATCCCAACAAACGGGCTCCAACACTGGTTTCAGGAACAACATATGAAATAATGGCACCAATCAATGGGATGGTTAAACCAAGAATAGCAAGAAGAATTCTCTTATTGGTGAATCTACCAGCAAAGTAATTAATAACAACAGTGGCAATGGTAGCAATAACACCAGTAGGAATAGTCATTAAAGATGATTCTCTGGCACTGAAATTAAGTGAAGCAATAATAATAGCTGAGAAAGCTGAAAGACCACCATTTGGAATATTAATACCGATGTTAAATAAAAAGATAATATAAGCTTTAACATCAAAGACAGCTTCTCTGAATTGAGACCAACTCCAAGTATTGGTTTGAACCCCAGTACGATTTTCAATGACTTTCTTAACAATAATAAATTTATGTTTTTCACTCAAGTAACGGGCATTCATTGGAGTATCAGGTAAGAACCATAAGGTGAATACAGAAAAGGAGAATGAAATTGAACCAATTAAAAGGTAAAGGTATTTCCATTTTGGTAACCCATCACCAAAATAATAAATCAACCATGAAAGGAAACCATTAATAACTGAAGAAGCAAAGGCAAAAACAAACCCTAATCTAACCCCTTGTTCACTCTTTCTGTAAAATCTAGTAACCATTAAAGTACAACCAGGAACAATAGCAGCTTCAACAACCCCAGTTAAAAATCTTAAAGCAAGAAATCCACCATATGAATTACAAGCAGGCATTAATAAAGTTAAACCTGACCAAATAGTTGAACAAATGGACATAACTTTACCTAATCTATACTTACTTTGAAGATACATAAGAGGGAAGACCCCAAACAAACTTCCAATAAATAAAATTGAAGATACCCAAGTATATTGGAAAGTTGTAAGATGATCTCTAATACCATATAAAGCAGCAGTACCAAGAGATACTTTATCAACAGCTCCCATAGTAGCAAGGAAGAAAAGAGTAGGTAAAAGAATGAAATCATTTCTTCTTAAAGCAGCTTTTTCATCAGCTTCAGTAATTTCAAATTTACCCTCTCTTTCTTGAACAAATAATGTTGCATCATCAACTGGTTCGGCAGTAGCAAAAGAGTCACTTTTATCTACCATCTCAGTAGCTACATTAACATTAGTTTTACTTTCGTCTTCTGAACTCATACTTACTTGAGTTCCATTGTGGAGATTCATCGTACTTATAAACAATTCTCCACAGTGGGAATCTTAGCTTATCTGCGGCAGATTACGTTTGATCGCAAAAAAATCATTTTGAGGAAGGACGAAACGACCAAACTTCAAATGAGGAATTTCCTATAATTTCACGAGTTTTACACCTTTTGATTTGAAAAAGGTAGGTTGTTACTGTTACCTTTAAACCAACTTTTGTCAGCTGGATCGTAATTTATAAATCCCCACCCCCTTTTTGAAATTATTTCTTGTTCCCATAATTTTTTGCAACTATGACGATAAAAAATAATAACCAAGCTACCATAAGTATTGATAGAGGTGGAACTTTCACTGATATTCTTTGGAAACATGGAGGTAAAGAAGGAACTTTCAAGTTATTATCAGTAGATCCTAAGAATTATAATGATGCTAATATTGAAGGTATAAGAAGAGTGATTGAAATAGTTACTGATAAGAAGGTTCCAAGACATGAACCTTTAGATACTTCTATGATATCTTCCATCAGACTTGGTACTACTGTTGCTACTAATGCCTTGTTAGAAAGACAAGGAGCTCCTTGTGCTTTGGTCACAACCAAAGGTTTTAAGGATTTATTACATATTGGTGATCAATCAAGACCTGATTTATTTGCTTTAGAGATTGTTAAACCTGGAGTTTTATATGAAAAAGTCATTGAAGCTGATGAAAGAGTCACTTTACCTGCATTTACTGTTGATCCAACCGGTTATAATGCTCAAGAATTATTGGATAATGAAAAGTACGTTCATGGAGAAACCAAAGAAGTGTTTGAAATCATCAAACCATTGGATAAAGAAAAGTTAACCAAGGATTTAATGGAATTAAAACAATCAGGAATCGATTCCATTGCTATAGTATTCATCCATGGGTATAATTACAAGACTCATGAGATTGAAGCTGGAGAAATTGCTAGAAAGATTGGATTTTCTAATATTTCATTATCTCATGAAATCTTACCTATCATCAAAACCATACCTAGAGGTCAATCAACTGTTGTAGATAGTTACTTGACACCAATCTTAAAAGAATATATCAATGGGTTTTTAAAAGGGTTAAAACCTGGTTTTGAAGAACATACTAGAATAGAATTCATGCAAAGTGACGGTGGTTTATGTTCGTGGGAAAACTTCACAGGATTAAAATCCTTATTATCTGGACCTGCTGGAGGTGTGGTTGGTTTAGCCAAAACTGCTTATGATGAAAATTACAAAATTCCTGTTATTGGTTTCGATATGGGTGGTACTTCTACTGATGTTTCAAGATATGCTGGATCTTATGAATTCTCTTTTGAGACTATCACCGCAGGTATCAAGATTGCTACTCCTCAATTGGACATAAACACTATAGCTGCCGGTGGTGGTTCAAGATTATTCTACGAAAATGGGATTTTTGTAGTTGGTCCTCAATCCGCTGGTAGTGATCCTGGTCCTGCTTGTTACCGTAAAGGGGGTCCTTTAACAGTTACTGATGCTAATCTATTTACTGGTAGATTAGTACCTGAATTCTTCCCTAAGATTTTTGGTCCAAATGAAGATGAAGCTTTAGATTTCGAAATCACCAAGAAGAAATTCGAAGAGTTGACTGATGTCATCAACAAAGAGAATCCTCAAAGTGTTAAAACTCCTTATGAAGTAGCTTTAGGGTTCTTAGAAGTTGCTAATTTCCAAATGGCCAAACCAATCAGAGAATTAACTGACGTTAAAGGTAATGATGTCACCAAACATTCTTTAGCTTCCTTCGGAGGTGCTGGTGGTCAACATGCCATTGCCATTGCTAAAATCTTAAAGATAAAGAAAGTTATCATCCACAAATATTCTGCCATTTTATCAGCTTACGGAATTTCATTATCAGATATCATCAATGAACAACAAGAACCATGTTCCAAGACATACAGTGAAACTTCCCGTGATGAATTATTACAAACCGTTAAAGGGTTACAACAAAGAGCTGTAGAGGCTTTGTTGAAACAAGGTATTGATGATTCAAGTATCAACATCACCACTTATTTCAATATGGGTTACAAAGGTTCCGACACAAGATTAATGATTGAACAACCTGAAGATAATGATTTCTTAAGTATATTCTATGCTATTCATCAAAAGGAATTTGCTTTCAATGATGAAGGAAGAGACGTGGTTATCACTGATATCAGAGTTAGAGCTACCGGTAATGTTTTGAGTGATTTAACTGAAAGATCTCCTTATGCTGATTACGATGCCATAACCAAAACTCCTGTTGATGGTAAAAAATCAATCTTAACAACTCCTATAGTATTCAAACAAGGTGTGTTAGACTCTAAGGTATTCTTATTAAAGGATCTTGCTAATGGAGATATTGTTAAAGGTCCAGCATTATTATTGGATTCTACTCAAACCCTTTTAATTGAACCTGGTTCAGATGCTACTGTTTTACCAAGACACGTTATGGTTGATTTAAGTACTGAAGAAGATTTCCATTTGAATTCTACTGTTGTGGATCCTATCCAATTAGCTATTTTCTCCAATAGATTCATGTCTATTGCTGAAGATATGTCTAGGACTTTACAAAAAATTTCTGTCAGTGCCAATATCAAGGAAAGATTGGATTATTCTTGTGCTTTGTTCGATAGTGAAGGTAACTTGTGTGCCAATGCTCCTAACGTTCCTGTTCATTTAGGATCTATGTCAGCTGCTATCAAATATCAATTAGAATATTGGGAAGGTGATTTAAAAGAAGGTGATATCTTATGTACCAATTCTCCAAGTGTTGGAGGTTCTCATCTTCCAGATATCACTATCATCTCCCCAGTGTTCATTGATGGAGTTATCCAATTCCTTGTAGCTGCTAGAGCTCATCATTCAGAAATCGGAGGTATAACTCCAGGTTCATCTTCAAGTTATGCTAGAGATATCAGAGAAGAAGGGGTTAACATTGAAGCATGGAAAGTTGTATCCCAAGGTCATTTTGATCATGATGGTTTACTCCATAGATTCATTGAAGAACCTAAATCTTGGGGTGTTTCTGGTACCCGTAATATTGATGATAACATTTCTGATTTGAAAGCTCAAATTTCTGCTAATCAAAGAGGTATTACTTTGATCAAGGAATTATTTGTGGAATATGACACAGAAACGGTTTTATTCTATATGAGAAATGTTAAGAAAACCGCTGAAATCGCCGCCAGAGATTTCGTTAAAGATTATTACAAACAAAATCATGAAAAATTACCTTTGAAAGCTGTAGATTATATGGATGATGGATGTGAAATTCATGTTTCCATTGATATGGACGGTAAAGATGGTTCCTTAACCATTGACTTCACTGGTACTTCATTGGAATCATACTCCAATTTGAATGCTCCTAAATCAGTCACTTATTCAGCAGTTCTTTATGTCTTGAGATGTTTGATTGATATGGAAATTCCTTTGAATCAAGGTCTTTTAGATGCTTGTAATATTATTGTTCCAGAAAACTCCCTCATTAATCCTTCAAAATATGCTGCTGTTTGTGCTGGTAATGGTATGACTTCTCAAAGATTAGTTGATACTTTATTCAAAGCCATTGGTATGACATCAGCATCAGGAGGTTGTATGAACGGTATTAACTTCGGAACCGGAGGTGAAAACGCTGAAGGAGAATTAATCAAAGGTTTCGGTTATACAGAAACTGTTGGTCAAGGTTCACCTGCTGGTATCAGTATCAAAGATGGTAAGAGATATGGTTATCATGGTTTTTCAGGTACTCAAACCAATATGACTAACACCAGAATCACTGATCCTGAAGTGTTGGAACAAAGATACCCTTGTCTTTTGCATGAGTTCACTGTTCGTAGAGGTAGTGGAGGAAAAGGGAAATTCAATGGTGGTGATGGATTAATCAGAGAAATCAAATTCTTAAGTCCAGTACATCTTTCTTTAGTCACCCAAAGAAGAGTTTACGCTCCATGGGGAGTTTATGGTGGTGAAGATGGAAAGAAAGGTGAAAACTATCTTGGTAGAAACCGTGGGGATGGTGTTATTCAATGGATTAAATTACCTTCATTAGCAGAAATCGAAATCAAAGCTGGTGATATAATCAGAATTTTAAGTCCAGGAGCTGGTGGTTTCGGTAAACCGGAAGATTCTGATGAATTCTGGGGTATTGGTCAAGCCCCAGAGAAGCACTCTAGTACTTTATTGGCCTCAGGATCCCTTTATAGAGAATCTATCAACACTTCGCAGTAATCATGCGGCAATTGATATTTTTGCAGCCTAAAATATATGTTATTCGAACTCTTTCCATGGTATGATTTTAAATTTCTAATGAACCCCATCTTTCTTGAATATCAGCTCATTATGGTTGTAATCAAGGTGGTGCCATTTCCTCGAAATTGAAGGAAGTCGTAATCGAGGAGAAAATTCTATTTAAATCAGGCACATTCCCATATTAAAATTCCTCATTCGATGTGCGACCAAAAGATTCAGATCATTGGCGGTGGGACTTTTGGTCTTTCCACAGCTTACCACTTAGCTAAGAATGGTTACACCGATATTACTGTTATTGATAGAGAAGAAGTTCCATCAAAATTTTCAGCAGGTTACGATTTGAATAAAATCATACGTCCTGAATATGAGGACCAATTTTACACTAATTTGGCCCTAGATGCTATTTCCATGTGGGAATCTGATGATTTCAAGCCATATTATCATAAAGTGGGATATGTTAATTGTAATTCCTCCAAAGCCCCTAAGAAAACTTTGGATGTTACTGATACTTTCTTCAATAGTTTGATCTCCAATGATAAATTCCCCAAAGGTGGAGTTGAAAAATTAACTACCGAAGAAGACTTTAAACGAGTTTTACCCCTTGACATAGATTTCAAAGGCTGGAGTGGATATTATAATCGTCATGCTGGTTACGCTCATGCTCTCAAAGCATTACAGTTTGTTGCTAAAGATTGTAAGAGAATGGGAGTCAAATTCGTAGTTGATAGAATCGAATGTATGGTATATTCCAGTACTAAGAAATGTCTTGGTGTGATGGGAGAATCAGGTGAAATTTATAGAGCTGATTTGACTATCATGGCCATGGGAGCTCATATTTCCAAAGTATTCCCTGATTTAGCTGTCACTCCAAAAGCGTGGAGTGTAGGACATTTACATTTATCCGAAGAAGAGGCTGCTCCCTTAAAAGACATGCCAGTATTTAACTGTAGAGATATTGGGTTCTGTTTTGAACCTGATGAAGATAATAATATCTTAAAGATGTGTAACAGTTCCGCTGGTTGGGTCAATTGCGAGAAAACTGATATCTCGGTACCCACTGAATCAAACGATGGGGTTTGTGAAGTTGACAAAGAAGCTTTAGATTATCAAGCTAAAATATTTTTCCCAAATGTTGACAAACCAGTAGTTGATCGTAAAATTTGTTGGTGTTGTGATAGAACCAACAGTGATTTTGTTATAGATTACCACCCTGATTACACCAATCTTCTTCTTGCCACTGCTGATTCCGGTCATGGATTTAAGATGTTGCCAATCTTTGGTAAATGGGTATTAGGAAGAATCCAAAACAATCTCTCGGAAGAACAAAGCTCCAGATGGAAATGGTTCGAAGATGAAAAAGAGATTGATGATGTTTCCTGGAGATTAGGGAAAGTAATGAATTTGTCTGGAGAGGAGAGATTTTAAATAGAATGTAGAATTACTTATGATTCTCTTTTGTTCTCTACTAGAAATCGCAAAAATGATATATCCGCATAATTAACATATGTTACAAAAAATTGATGAACTCCTCCCAGTTACTATTCATATCCAACGAGACATCGTGGTAAATTTGTTCCCATAATTGAGAATCATCTCCCAAATCATCTTTATATTTTTCTTGGGGAATACTGTACGTTTGGATACTGGAAGGACTGAACGATGAAACTGATTTGTTCTTATTGACAAAGGTTCGAGTTTCATTTAGGAATTCCACTAGCTTGCTATGATTCTCATTTGCATGAGGAGATCCAAAAGTTTTGATATGTTCCAATAAACTGATGGCATCTCCAAGGGTGTCTGAAGTGTCTGAGTTCATATTCAATACTGTCACCATACAAATAATGAGACTTGAAGTAGACAAATATTCTATATCGAAAACTCCGAAGTTGGCTATGGAATCTTTAGACATATGAGTAAAGATATTGATACTCAACAATGCAGATTTTTGACATATGGAAATAATCGACACCATTCGGGATGTTAAAGATGATATATCCACTCGATATCCTGAAAGTCTTTGGATGGTGAGATGCAATAGCACAGGGATAGTTGTGAGTTGAATGAGATGGGAGTGGTTCAAATTGAGTGAAGATAAGCTCCGTGACAATGCATCAGGCGAATACAAAGGGATAGTATCTTTCCATTTGATTAATCTCTGGATCATGTTCATAATCTTATCCACTATACTGGTTGAGCACGATTCCCTATTGAGGTAAAATTTGTTGATATCTTCAGCTATCATAGCCAAATCGTAAGTTTTGTCATTATATATCCGATGGTGTGGCAGTAATTCCTCATGTTTGGGGTAGGGACTGGTGATATGTTTCATACATAGATAGACCGGTACACCTGACCGTACTGAAAAAAATCGATTGATAGAATAAGCCGTCCACCATACTTTCTTCTTCCTTTCAAGCATATCATCATCGTCATCAGCTGCTAGTTTGTGTAAACCCATCATGGAAGCTATTTGTATGGACATTGAGGAAATCACCATCGAGGATTTTTGTTCGTTGATAGCTCTCAAGAACCAGCTATTTAGAGCCATCACTTCGACATTTTCCAAGGAGATATTCTCGTGGAATAGGGAAATCAAACTAGAACATCCATGGTAAAGCTTCATGGCCACCTCGAAATCTTCTGCATTCAAATCACTCTTGTACAAGAAACCCAAAGCCAAAACAATCAACACCAACGCTGTTATATCTTCACTTTTGATCTCCTTATCTGTACCAAACTTCAGTTCCATAGCTTCAACATCATAAGATATATATCCACATTTTAAGAATTTAGTAACATTAGATATCAACAAGCTCCGATCGAGTTTCTGTACAATGGCCACAATTTCTGGAGATACTGTTTTCACATTTGAAGGTATGGACAATGAGTTATCCTGCGGTTCGTTTAATGGGATCACAGTTTCAATCTCTTTAAATAGTTCTTCCGTTGAACCTGACGCAATGTTTATCTGGATATCCTCTTCGGCTTTGATTTTTTTCGTTGATTGACCATACAGACATTCTGCCTTGGCAAGAAAACACCTTCTACATGGATCACCACCAGTGCATCGTCTTTTCTTTGACCTACAAAGGTTGCAGGCTTTGCCAATTCTAGACATATCGACGACCCTCACGAGAAAAAGATAACGGATAATTAATGCGGTCACTATCGCCCAATAGTGGGGGCTGCAGTAGCGAGCGTAGCGAGGAGGGAAATGAAATAAGTTAATGGAAAGTAAGAAGTAGATGGCAGTTTAGTGTTTGGGTGAAGAAGAGTTGTTGTTTCCACAGAAAAAAAATTTTGAATTTATTCTTATTTATTTCTTCAACAGATAAAACGGATGAGAATTGTAAAATTCACCCGAAGGGAAGATAAATTGAATATCACAAAAAAAAGACTACTGCTTAACCATCACATTAACACTTGTACCACCAAAAGATCATGAATCTACGTTTTATTGTTGTCTTGAACCTTATTTGGGTTCGTTTTCCGCCTAATCAATTGGTCTCCTTTCCCAATCTTATCTCCACTAATCTCCCCTTATCTTTCGTGCGGGTAACCATCGGTCTTATCAGTATAAAATCACCATGTAAAAACCAACCGATTCCCACTTATTAACATTTCCAATGACTGCTCATGACTTCTTTGCCGATCTTCCATCGGTACAAACAGATGAGCTGAATGCTTTAAAGATGAAACTTCATGCCGACTCCCACCCTAATAAACTTGATATTTCTGCCGGAGTTTATAGGGCTGATACAGGTAAGGCATATGAGTTCCCTAGTATAAAGAAAGCAAAGGATGTTTTATTTGAAGAAAATCCTTCTCATGAATATAATCTTTCTGTGGGGATCAAAGAATTCAACGCCATTGCTGAAGAGATTTCATTTGGTAAGACTGATGATTCTATTGTCACCTGTCAAACTCTTTCCGGTACTGGTGCTTGTAGTCTTGGGATTAAATTTCTTATAAAGTGTTGTGGTATTACGAATTTTTATGTAGGAGTACCAACTTGGCCAAATTATATACCTATGGCTGAAAGTCTTGGTGGTATTGTCAAGAAGTATAACTATTACGATGATGAAACCAGGGATGTGAAATTTGATGAGATTGTCAGTACCTTAGAAGGTGCCTCGGGCAAGGATTCAGCTTTTATATTCCAAGCTGTGGCCCATAATCCTACGGGTATGGACTTGAGTGAAGATCAATGGAAGAAAATCACCGAGATTATGAAACGTAAGAAGCTTATTGCTGTTATAGATTCAGCTTATCAAGGATTACTGTCAGGACTGATAGAAAAGGATAGAAGAGCCATTGAGATCTTTCATGAATCAGGTCTTCAATTTATTGTATGTCAATCCTTCTCTAAGAAAATGGGTATTTATGGTGAGAGAGTTGGGGCAGTTCACGTTGTCACTTACGATCAACATAAACAAGTTCAAGATCAACTCAGAAGTCTTATTCGTAAAGAATATTCTAGTGCTCCAGCTTATGGAGCTAGAATTGCCACTACCGTGTATACCCAATTCAAAGACCAATGGTATGAAGAATTGCTTGCAATTAGTGAAGACTTGAAAGCCAAACGTCAGAAATTATACGACCAACTCAAGGAGAACAACGTTCCTGGAGACTTTGAACATTTATTGACATCCACAGGAATGTTTTGGTGGACTGGTATCAAACGTGAAACAGTCAGCCGTTTGACTGATGAGCACCATGTATACTTACCCAAAACAGGAAGAGTCAATATCGCTGGATTGAACGATAAGAACATTCCTTATTTTGTTAAAGCTTTGAAGGAGAGTCTTGAGGTCTGCTAGACAGAGATAGAGTATCGGCAGTGTCGTGTAGAATACCGAATCGTGTAGAGTAAGTATATACCGTCATGCATTAAACCTTCCTAAATTTGCTCTTCGTCCAATGCCTTTTCATCGAACTTCTGTTGGTTTCCTTCGATTTTTCTATTAGCCCATTCTCTCAAACTCTCTCCGTATTTAAAACAAAATATAGGGAAAGGGATACCCAAAGCCAAACCAATTAATCCACTCATAGTGTTTCCCCATCCATAACCTAATCTATCATACATTTGGTTAGCAAAAAGAGGGAAACTGAAACCAAAAAGTGACCTGAATACTGCCGCAGCAGCAATGGAACTGGCACTGAATCTAGGGTTCATATCGATTAAGTAATTTTGAATTGTCTGGAAAACAGCTATAAATGAGAATGCAAATATAGATGTACCAAGACTAGGAACTATCCAATGTAACTTCTTCTCCGCTGACCAACCAAATAAAATAAGACCCACTGGTAAACCAATACCTGAAAATACAAGACATGGTAATCTATATTCCGGTTTAGCCACACCTCCATTTCTAGCTGTCAACCCAAGATAGATCTTTTGAATGGTGAAAGTCCACACTATGATTCCCAAAATATATCCTACACCCATAGGAACATACATAAGACCAGTAATTCCAACTGAAAATCCATAAGAACCTTCATAAATTCTTGGAAATGTCACTAACATAAGGTACATGAAACCATAGGTAAAAGCCATGAATGAACCAAGACCAAGGATCATTGGATGGAGGAATAATAATCTTATAGGTCTTAAGATAGTATGTTTAAGTATCTCAAATTTAGACAAATTAGTACCGGTAATTTCGAAAATAGTATGAAGGTTCTCATTGCCAGTTTCCTTCCTTAAAAAGATAGCTTTTTGTCTAAGTAACTTAGGAGAGTAAGTTTCTTTCAAAAAGATGGTACCAAGAATAGCTACAGCCCCATTGAAAATCGAAAGAATATAAAAACACCATCTCCATTGTAAATTTTGCACTACGAAACCAGAAATCACTGGGGATATCACCGGACCCATGGTGGGACAAATAGAATATAAAGCCATGGCAAAGTTACGAGATTCATCATCGTATAAATCTGCAATAGTACCAGCACCAACATTCAAAGCTGCACAACCTCCCAAACCACCTAAAAACCTCAATACACATAATTGAGCAGTGGACTTAGTGAACCCACAACCAATATTAAAAACCATCAAAATCCAAATTGAAGCATTTAAAATGACTCTTCTACCGATTTTATCACTCTCACTCAACGGAGCTATAATCAAAGGACCCAAGGCGAAGGCTAATAACATAATCGACACTGTTAATGCTTGAATAGTAGGATTAGTGATTCCGAAATCTTTCGATATAGCTGTGGTTGCCGGAGAAGAAATAGAAGATGACATAGGAGATATCAATGTGTACAAAGATACCAAAATGGTCATAAATAACTTTTGTTTAGGATCCCAATTCCGAGGAAAGTTAGGATCATCATCTTCCCAGGTAATTATTTCAGGATCAATATCCAAGAATTCTTTCCCATAATCTTTGGTAGGTACAGAAATATCAGGAACATCCTTATAGGTGTCAACTTTATCTAAACGTTCACTTAAAGTTCTTAACACGGACTTCTTGGACATGGTTCTTATCAAACCGATTTTATTTTCATCTAATTCACCATAAATGTCTTTCACGGAATATGAAGATATTTTACGGGAAATCTTATTGGAATCAAACGATTGTGGAGTTATGGATCTGATCAACGATTGTCTTCTTGTACGAGGACGGGACAAATCTTCTTGTAAGGCAATAGGCTGTCTTTGATTATTTTCACTATAATTTGAAGATAACGAATCATTACTTTGTATACTAAGATTATCAGATTCTTTAGGAACCTGAAAATCCTTTTGTGAAGGTCTCATACTATCCGAGTCCTCTATAACGTTCGAACTTAGACTACTAACACTTGACATGATAAGATGAGGTTTTGTTTCTTTTTCCGCGATACCATTCAGAACGAGACTGGCGGTAGATATGGCGAGAATTTATGGCGGCTGTTGGCGGAAAGTCATGGAAGTTGACCGAGATAACGTTGTTATTTTTAGCGTGTATTATGTTGACTTTTGACAGGGTTTAACGATTCTAGAAATTGATGGAAACATCGAATTTCTACAGGCTATGTGATACGACAATTCTATACTACGACAATAGTTTAACTCATAGAATATTATAGAACCTTTATCGGGTAACGTTTGTATCAGTGCGATGTGTCAAGTTCCAAAGGGATCATTCCCAATTGGGAAAGAATCATCGCATCTCAAAACAATGCTGCTGCTGCAAAAAAAAAGAGCAACAAAAGCAAGTTGGTTTGAACATGAAGCAATTGGTTCACTACAAGCCTAAGAATCCGGACTTTTATATGATAAAAATAATCACCAACACACCCTTGCCCGGAGTAAGAAAGGTAAATCCCAGGTATCATCATTTTTCTTATTGGACATTATCCAATTGGACATTATGAAGATCGTCCCTTACGATAATCTAGTCAAAAGGTTAATCAAAGGGGTTGAGAAATTTCGGAATAACTCCATAGTAATTCGCCTGTATCAGCCTCGGGGTGTATCCCGGGTTTAATGCCCAGAAGTTAGCTCGTGTTACCTAATCAAAAAAAGGTCACCGCATTTCTCGGAGAGAAAATCGATTTAATCCAGTGTCGCAAGGTGGGTCAGTTTCAGAGTTCCAATATATTCACTATCTATTAGTCCAACGGTTGAAATCTTCATCTACATAACTATTGTTATTCACCGGATTATCCCAACCATGTGTCATAATTACATCATGAACCGACTTATGATGTAATAAACCATAGGCAAATGCCCCGGTAGAAATGTCGTATGACATCTTTTAAGCTATTGTATGTCGCACTTTCCTTTTTCTCTCGATATAAATAAACCTCCCTACCCCAGAACCATCAGCATAAAATTAAAATGGATTATAGCTTTGATAACGTAGTACCATCATTTCGTCTTGATGGTAGATTAGTATTAATCACTGGAGGTTCTGGAGGTTTAGCCAGTGTTATTTCCAGAGCTTTGTTAGCTCAAGGAGCCGACATTGCCTTAATCGATATGAATCTCGAAAGAACCAAAATTTCAGCTAAAGAAGTTGTAGCTTGGGGTGAAGAAACCATGAAATCTAATCCTATTTCTTATCCTACCGGTAAATTAGGTATGGTATCAGCATGGTCATGTAACATTGGTGATGCTTCTTCAGTTGATGAAACTTTTGAAGCTATTAACCAACATCATGGTAAAATTGCTGATGTTTTAATTAACACTGCCGGGTATGCTGAAAATTTCCCAGCTGAAGAATATCCAGCTCAAAATGCTGAAGCTATCATGAAAGTCAATGGGTTAGGATCTTTCTATGTATCACAAAGTTTTGCTAAACCTTTAATCAAAAATAACTTGAAGGGATCAATTATCTTGATTGGTTCAATGTCAGGTACTATTGTTAATGATCCTCAACCTCAATGTATGTATAACATGTCCAAAGCTGGAGTTATTCATTTAGTTAGATCATTAGCTTGTGAATGGGCTAAATACAATATTAGAGTCAATACTTTATCACCAGGATATATCAAAACTCCATTAACTGTTAGAGTAGCAGCTCATGATCCTGAATTAAAGGATAACTGGGAATCCAAAATCCCAATGAAGAGAATGGCTGAACCTAAAGAATTTGTAGGTTCTATTTTATACTTGGCCAGTGAGAGTGCAAGTAGTTATACTACAGGTCATAATTTAGTTGTTGATGGAGGTTACGAATGTTGGTAATGGTAGATAGGTAATAAACATACATTAGGAATTGATTTATGTAGTCCTCTAGCGAGGTGGAAAGACAAGGGGTGGTAAGGGTTTAGTAGACAGGAACATAGTGATATGATATTGAGTGAGTTGAAACTGGGTGAGAAACTGAGTGAGATGAGAAGTTGAGATTAAGTGGAATGAAATTGGTATGTCCATGTCACCACACTCCCACCTAATCACTGATCCTGCTACTCTCCCACATCTTCTTCAACCCATTCTTAAACAAATTCACATTATAATCTATCAACGTCACATTATTACTGAACTCCAGCTTATTCTCATTATTTATAATCCCAACCAATGCTAACCCTCTTATCATTTGTTTCAAATAAAGTATCGACCCATTATTCAAGTAACTTATTGACTTGATCTCTTTGGAACTCGTTTCCTCATTAACATACAAGTTATCTAGATCAATGGTGATATCAATGAACTCCGAACAAACTTCATATGTCTGAATATCCACTGGTGAGGAATCTGTAGCTACGTAGATCTTGGAATTAATATCGAAAAGGAAGATTTTATCAATGGATGAGTTTTCAATAAGATTATCTAACATGGATTCCAAATAAGGTAATTCTACAATAAGTTTCTGAACAATTCTGGAGAAAGCTTCATAGATTGAGTGATCAAAGATTGAGGTAAGGTAAAAAGATACTTGGATTCCTTCCAAACCAAGATCCAAAAGTTCATCACCAGTTCTTTGCATGATATCACGTTGACAATCCAATCTATAATCTTCACTTAAACCATCGATTTTGTGGATTAAAACTTCAATGTTGATTTTAGGGTTGACTTTGACGGCATATTCTATGATCATACTGAGGTTAGTAATAGCATTAAGGTATTCATCTTGGGAATCTATGACATAAACCAATGCTCCGATGTTTTGAAATAATCTCTCAGAATCATAATTTGGCTCAAAGTAATTCAATTGACCAGGTAATTCCATGACACTAAGATCGATAAGGGATTGAAATTGTTCAGTGGTAGGTTTGGAGGTACTTTCAAGGTATAAAGTATCAAGAGGTTGCATATTATGAAACACAACCTTACAGATAGATGATTTACCTCCTCTTCTGAGACCCATTAATAGAATGGTAGCATTAGAGCTACCATTCGGTACAAGCATTGCTTCCATTAGAAGTTGGTGATAACTGGTGCGCGCAGGAAAGAATACTTTATGTATAGGGCCAGCTCTGACGCAGCTTACCTGGTGCGACTACACGACAAATTGACGAGAGAATTTAAGATAAGGACAACAAAGATAAGGACAACAAAGTTAAGGGATAACAAAGATATAAAATTATGTTTCTATGGAGTTAATCTTTTAGGATCTCTTGGGAATAAGCTGGCTCTTCTAATATTCTTTAAATCTAAGAAGAACATTAATACTCTTTCTAAACCAATACCTCCACCAGCATGTGGGGCACATCCATAGGTAAAAGCATCGATATATTCTCTCATACCTGGGATGTTAGGGTTAACTTCATGTTCTTTGATTCTTTGTTCTAATAAAACAGGATCATGAATACGTTGAGCTCCACTTAAAATTTCTTCACCTCTCATGAAGAAATCGTAAGAATTGGAGTATTTAGGATTTTCAGCATCTGGCATAGTGTAGAAAGGTCTGATTTCTAATGGGAATTTATCTAAGATATAGAAATCAGTATGGTACTTTTCTCTAACCAATTTACCTAAGAATTTTTCATCTTCAGTAGATAAATCATCGAAATCTCCAACATCTTTACCAGCAGCTCTTAACATTTCAATACCATCTTTAAAGTGTAATCTGACCATCTTACCATCTTCTGGTAATAAGAATTCTTCAACAGGATATTGTTTTCTAACAGTAGCAATTTCATTACCATATCTGGTCTTTAAGTTAGTGAAGATGTAAATGAATAATTCTTCTAAATGATCTAAAACTTCATGATAATGTTCTTCAAAAGTCATTTCTAAATCTAATCCAGTAAACTCAGTCATGTGACGGTGAGTATTTGAATTTTCAGCACGGAAAACAGGAGCTATTTCATAAACTTTTTCAAAATCTGATGCAATCAATTGTTGCTTATAGAATTGAGGACTTTGAGCTAAATAAGCTTTACCTTTGAAATAACTAACTTCAAACACATTACCACCACCTTCACTTGGAGCAGCAATCATTTTAGGAGTATGGATTTCAGTAAATCCTTTAGAATCTAAGAATTCTCTGAAAAGTTTACAGATACCTGCTTGGATTTTAAAGATAGCTTGATTAGTTGGAGTTCTCAAATCAATAACTCTACCATCTAATCTGGTATCTAAATTAACAACAGGTAAACCAGCTTCTTCAGCTTCCTTATCACTTCTAGAAGCATCTTCAATCAATAAAGGTAATTGTTCTGGAGTTTCAGCGATAGTATAAATCTTTTCTACCATGATTTCTAAATCTTGAACAGTTGCGGATTTGATGAGTTCATCAACTTTCTTGATCTTACCATAAACAACTACGATGGATTCCAAATTGATAGATCCACTCCATTTGACCATTTGTTTACTGATAGTTTCTTCAGCATTGGATTTGATTAAACCTTGAATCAATTGATCTTGTTGTCTTAAAGTTACAAATACCATGGTAGCTCCTTGTTGTCTTGATTTATGTAATCTGGCTCTGAAGATAACATCTTCACCATCTTGGTCAGCTTTTAAGTCTTTGAATAAAACTCTGGTTTCTCCCTTTCTTGATGAACTATTGATTAAAGGTAATTTTCCATAGTTAGCTTTAGCAGGATCATTAGCTAATTTGGCTTCTCTTTCAGCTTTTTCTTTGGCTAATTGTTCTTCTCTTTCAGCTTTCTTACGGGCTTTTTCTTGTTCCTTTTCTAATTTCTTTAAGGCTTTCTTACTCAAAGGTTTACCATCTTCCCCTAAGATAGGTTGTGATTCTTGGGTAGGTTCTTTAGTTGGTTCAGTCATTGAAAAATTTTTTGTCGCACAACGTCAGAAGAGAACCGTAGAGTCGCGACACGGTATCACCGACATAGCTAGTGGTAGATATCGCTAGAGTTAGTGAGAGATGCGACATCAAGCCAATCTGACTCATATTAGTCCATAATTTGTAGACAGAGACACTTGACCTCGACTTCATTGACCTATCAAATACTCTTATATTACTCCTGTGACTTCTTAAGTGCTTGTTTAGCTAATCCTTCCCTTATCTTTCTCTCTCTTCTTTCTTCTTTGGTTTCCACGACTTTTTTCTCTACTACCCCCATGACTTTAATGGCATCATAAAGTTGATCAAGTTTCCTGAAGTTTTCAGTAAACCTATCTTTAGCCAATTTGGTGACGAAATCAAGATATGTCTCATCTACGTTGAACACAACCTCTTCGTCATAGTATCCTATAGGTATATCTAATTTGATGGAGATTCTTATGGCAACAATATTATTGGTTCCAATACCTGATTCTCTGAATCCACATGACATGGCTACTTTATACAATTCATTTGCCAGGTCAAGATCTCTACATTTCACATGTAGAATCAATGGTTCAAATTTATATAAAATGTATCTTGTGAGTTCATTAGTAGGTGTTGATTGGGTATTTATTTTATAATCGATGGTTTTGTACCAATTTTCAATATCTGGATGATGATTCACATAAATCCAATGTCCTTGGTTACCTTTAGATCCAATTTTTTCTCTATCTTTAATACCTTCAATGAATACACTAACTCTTCCTGAACATGATGAGGTAGTCACCATATTAGGATGAGCATTTATAAGATTTATGATCGGTATACAAGGTTCATCTATGCTTCCTTTAGGTGAAAGGTCTTTGGTGACGGAAGTATCATCACCTATTTCTTTGAGAATGAGTTGTTTCTTCTGATCAAATGGATCTAACATGATGAGATGAGGGTGAGAACTTGAGATGCATCACCAGAGAGTTCAGAGATCTATCGTCCCACTGCGAACACTTTTACACATAGGTTAATTTATTTTAATGCTATTAACATCTTCCTTTCTTCATCTTTAGTCAATTCAAACAACGTTTTCAACACAGGCAACAATCTATCTCTTTGGTCCTTGTGTTCAAAGAATCCAATCAATACATTCTTTAAGTAATCGATATTTGGACCTTTGGTTGCTTCTTCCTTGACTTCCACAACGGGCTTCTTGGATTCCAACATTCGATATTGTTGAGTCAAAAGTTTATAGTTCTTACTCAATTTCTCAAACTTCAAGTTACTCTCATCATTGAGTCTCTTGAGAACATTGTTCAACTCCTTGAACTCATCAAGTTTGGCACTAGACTCTTCCAAAGAGTTTCGTAGGGTGGATACCAATTCATCGTTAGATTCTACTGGAGGAGGACGGTTGGTTTTGAGGTCGTGGTTATTCTTCTCAAGGTCAGTGATCTTAAGGAGATAGTTTTGAGTGATTGATTTGAGTTCATCTATTTCCCGTTGTTTTTTCTTAAGAGAAACATTGAACTCCGATTCCAACGTGACTTTTTCTTGGTTAACTCTGGCCAAAGCTTCATCAAATTCATGTTTTTGGTCTTTGAATTGTTGCTGAGTATCTACCAAGATCTTCTTTATGGAGGTGGTTTCTTTAGTTCTATCATTCAATAATTTCTGATGCTCTGTCAATTCGTCGACCAAGTTATCGATTCTACTACCACTTTCACGGCTCTTCATCATCAACTCTTCGTATTGTTGCTTCACAATCTGGAATTCGTTGAAAATCTCATTCTTCGACTTATTAACACTATCATATTTTGCTTTCAATGTTTCAAAATCATTAGAAATTTTCAAATTCGAAGACTTTAATTTTGTCACTTCCTCCCTCAAGGCTTTAGTTTCCTTGAATGAATATTCTTGTTTGTTGAAAAGATCATTCTTCTCTTTATTTATGGCTTTGTATTGTTCAGTCAATTTCTCGAGGTTCAGTTCTTTTACCTCAAGATCCTTAACTTTTTGTGTGAGTGTTTCGATGGTTTTGTCTTTGTGTTCGATAGAAGATTTCACTGATGATAATTCCAACTTCAAAGAAGTTTCGGTTTTGTTGTTTTTGGCTTGTTCGAGATTTTTCTGGAGTTCAGCCTTTTCTTGAGTCAAATCAGTCTTCTCCTTGCTCAAGGTTTCTATTTGAGAGTTCAACTCATTGATTTCTTCTTGAAGTTTGGTAATTTCGGCTTGTGAAGCTTTGGCTTTATCTCTTGCTTCGGTCAAATCATTACCAATGTCTTTCAACAGATCTCTCAAATTCTCTACATCTTCGGTTTTGGCTTCATGCTGCTTCTTCAAGGTTTGATGGGTGGCGGTTAATGTTTTGAGTTCTTGTGTCAACTTATCGAACTGGGCTTTTGGAACGGTTTTCTTCTTCTTATTACCTTTTCCATTAGATTCTTTAACCTCTTCAGTAGTATTTGCGACATCTGGACCATTGGATTTATCTTGCAATTCTGATTCGGCTTGTTCCAATTGAGTCTTTGTCGATTCCAACTCCATTTGAGCTTCTTTCAACTTACTATGCGTTTGTTCAGCCTCTGTTTGGGCTTCTTTTAACTTTATTTGGGTTTCTTTCAATTCTGTTTGTAATCCTTCAACCTTTAAAGAAATATTTTTCGATTCTGATTCAAGTTTAAGGTCTTTTTCTGTGATAAGACTCTCCAAATTCGATTTTTCTTCTCCTAACTTGGAATTTTCAGCTTTCAAACTATCGTTTTCAGTCTTCAAACTGTCATTCTCTGTCTTCAAGCTATCGTTTTCAGTTTGTAGCTTCTCAATCAAACCTTTGACTTTCTGGAGCTCTTCAGGTTCTTTTTCCAGATCATCTGCTCCCTTTGAGCTTTCAACCTCAGCCTTTAATTTCTTATTTTCTTCTTCCAAGTCTCTTCGAACTCTTTTCAATCCGGAATTGACATTTATTTGTTTCTTCAACTCATCATTAACCAACTGGTTCTTCTCGTTTAATCCTTTGATGAAATCTACCAACATCCCAGCATCACTGATAGACAGGATAGGTGTATGTTCTTTCAAGACATTTTCGAACATTTTCACCAATTCACCTTTCTTTTTCTCCACTTTAAAGGCATCCAATAAAATAGGATATTTCTCTTCATATTTGTAGAACTTCTTCATTTTTGACCTTAAGATTGGAGACAATTGATCGAGATCTATACCATCAGGGTTCGCATTAGAACTGGGGGAAGCTGTATTGCCTCGAGTAGGGGAATCTACAGGTTTACCTGGAATTGGTGTACTTCTGGCAGTTGTTATTTCACTAGGGATATCTCCAGTTGTACTGGGGTCAGTCTCAGTGGAAATGTCTCGAGGATTGGTGGGTTGATCTGAATCAACTGGTTCATCAGTAGGTTGAACCAAATCAGATTCACTTGGAGTTGAAGTGGCTAGGATCTTGGAATTTTGTTTGAGTTGATTTATGGGATTGTTCTTCGGCACATCATTCATGTCATTGAATGTTTTGGCCACATCTTCTGAGAAGTTCTTTAACCTATTAAACATGGAAAATGCGTTGTGAGAAATCACCCAAAGTAGAAATTGCGAACCACCAAAAGGTTTATTATGGGTCACAAAAACTAAATGTGGTACAAATAGAATTAACCGCCAGAGATTTAACCGCTAGAGATATAAAAATCATTATTCATTAATTCTTCGAAAAAGGGAAAGTCTTCTTAGAACTGTCGTTCTCTCTAGGTTCTAAGTTCAATGATAATTGATATTGTTCATCGATAGTTGGACACTTATCGAACCATCCTTCCAAATATTTTTGAATCTCTGGTACTAATAGTAAATTATAACCGGTATTTTTGAATCTATCTAAACCGATCAAAATATCAGCGGTTTTAGCTCTCTTGGAGAAATTCAACATTCTAGAACGATTCAATAAAGTATCCGGGTTACCATGATAAATGAAAGTCAAATCACTTAAATAAACTCCGAAAAATGGTACACAAGGTTCTGAACCTATGAATTTCAACACATCTCTATATTCGTTGAAATTTCTAGAACTGTTCATTAATTTGTTCATATTTTGAAGATGGGTGGACGTATCAGTTGACACAAAGTTCCAGGTTTTCTTCAATCTATGAATTGGTGATGAATACAACGCACTGATGATAGCTGTCATGGACGAAAAGTTATTATACTGACGACATTTTTCTGCCACTTGAACAAAATAACGAATAATTTGTACTCTCTTCTTGATATCGTCCTTCCTCAAGATCATATATGACACGAAGTTAGTTAATTGATTAGAAGATTTAATGAAGTCAGTGATATTATCGAAATTCTCATTCAATCCTGATTTTTTCCCCCAAACTTTGGCCAAACACTGATATTTAGTGATCTTAGAATATAATTTGAATTCTCTGATAGTCAATTGACGAGCCAATTCCACATAGTCGATATCTAACAATTTCAATTTTTTCACCAATGAAGGTCTCACTAAAGGAGCAGGTGTACGTGTCTTGGGGATAGCTGGTTCTCTTTCAATCATAACCACTTCACCTTTCTTCAACTTCTGAAGATGATTGATCAAGGTTTTGGATATTGAAAATGTCAGAACATTACTATTTTGTAAGAATGATAACCAACGGTCCATCAATGTTTCACTATAATAAGATTTAGACCAATACTTTTCTAATAAAAGCTTCATAATATTTAACACTCTGATCCTCATTGGGTTTTGTTTCTTTGAAATCCAAAGATTATACTCTTCGTAACTCAACCCCTCAGGGGCACCGATATTAAATCTAAGGATAAGGAAATTGATAAGTTCATTGACCGACATCATACTACCAAAGGTTAGGAGGAAGGAGGTGTTAAAAGTACTATCGAATAAGTCATGATGTGTCAAATGACAAATCAATGCTTCTTTACTACCTCCTTTGACATTACCTTTCATATCCAAAAGAAGATCGAATTCATCATCTCCTTCCAAATACCATGGAGTATCCTTACTTGATTTCTTACCTGTCATGAACCCTCCATCATCCTTAGAATCATGAGATCCCATAGTGTTATTCCTCTCAATAACCAACAATTGACCATTGAAATCATCATGCATAACTCTAGTGGCATAATTGATGATGGTTTCTCTTTCATCAATTAAACTCTTGATGATTGGGAGAAGGTCTTGGAAATACTTTTCACCTCGTTTCAAATAAGATACCATCAAAGTATCTGGGTTAAGAGAAATGGAATCTCCTTTGTTATTAGTCAATTGTTTAATAAGAAGATTCTTCAACAACATGGTAGCCTTTTGACTAGGGGTTCTCATGAGTTCACGATTGTAAAACAATGGATTGTCTTCTTCTTTCATTCCTTTGAATACATCGGGGTCCTCTAAAGTCAATGATTGAGTGGACATAATAATGTTGGAAATGAGGTAATGGAATTGTTGTTTGAAATGGAAAAATTCTAACACCACAGGATAATCAAAAGTTAAGTTGGATTGGAAATGGTCATCTTTAGGTGCTTCTGACATCACCACATCATCATCATGGATCTCTTGTTGTTTTTTGAAACGATTCATCACTGCTTGAGATTCATCTTCATCTTGAGAATTATACCTTTTAATCAAGCAGAACACCGTGAAGTCAAAACTTTCAAGTATATCTACCAATGAACTAGCATGGAAAAGATATTTGTAAATAAGTCTTAACAATTGAATGTTCCGTTCTTCTTTCAATGCTTTATTATAGTACAAATGCTGATTCTCTGACAGTAACAATTGAAGGGTATCTTGACTCAACACCTTCAACTCATCTATAACCGTCTTCACAGTATTATAGGAGCCTCGGTTGATGAGAATCTTTTGATGATATTTATTTTTAAGGTCATCACCACTAACATTGAAAATGGAGTTACTTGATTCAAAAAATGGATTACACCAATTTCCTCCATTAAACTCATTAAAGATCAATCGAGGATAATTCTGAGGAAGGATATTAAACCTTGATTTATCCATATATGTACTTTGACGAGGTTGAGGCATATCTTCGGTATCATCAAAAGTTTCACTCTCGGAACTATCCGATCCATCATAATCCCTAACATTGAACTTCTTATCCTTAGTAACCCTAAGAAAGATCTTAACAAGTCCACTAAGATTTAACTTGATATAATTGATTTCTAACTCTATAACTTGAAGATTAGATAACTCTTGATCTTCTTCATCTTCTCTCATGGTGGTAATAGGTAATTGTTTGAGGGTGGAAATAGACGATGCATTGGTGGAAACGGAATTGTTGAACATTGAAATTGAAGTGGACTTATTAAGCTTAGATAAGTCGTAACTGAATAATTGGGCATCAGAACTGGAATTCTCATAATGTAAGTAACTCAAATGAATGATGGAATTTATATAGATTTGACTATAACTGGAATAAATCCGCTTGAATTTCCGTTTGATACTGTTTTCATACTTCCCGTCTTGGAAATCATGATGGGATAATCGTACTGATGATGCTAATAATGATATGAGTTTATTAAGACGACCAAAGTTCTTATAGAATAATTGTTTGTTGGCATCTTTGATGGATTTGAAACTGAGGTCTAACAAATAGAAGAATTGGTCCTTTAATTCCGTCCAATACTTAATGTCTGTGGGGTTGTAGTAGAATAAATCATCCATGGAATATAAAGGATGAATGAAATGATGATAACTATTGAAAGAATTAGATGAATTGGTTGAACTTATAGAAACGTTGGAATCACGTTTCAAGAAATTGTTGAGTTTTGTGTCATTTTTCAAATCATTATAGTTCAAGTCATCTTCAGTAAGGTTAAGATTATGGCCCTGAATGATTAAATTCGTATCGTTCAAGATATCATAACTAGGAACTTCGAAATTTATATTGGCAAGATCTTTCAAACCAATGGAGAACAATGGAGTTTCCGTACAATAAATTTCCAACTGCTTGGAATAATAAATCAAATTCCCATCAATGGTTGGTTTACTCACCCAAGTAGGTGTAGATCCATGAGTCTTTCTATACTCAATAACTAATTTTTCTGCCTCGTCAGTAGGGGTTATCTGGAATTGGTCATGGGAGAAATCATCATCAACATCAAGGGAATTCTCTGAAGTATCCATTAATGCCGTACCAATGGTACTGACTGAGTTGAAATGGTCATGATCATAATCTTTCTCTTTTTCCTCTTTCTCTTTACGGTCAGTTTCACCATCATCTGAACTGGCAAAACTCACAATGGAGTTCTTTCTGGAGTTACCTGTACTTGAACGTTCCTCTGTTAAATTCTTTTGGAGGTAACTGGTGAAACTGGGGATTAAGACGTTAGCAGCAGTGTTGGCAGCAGTTATACTATCCAATTCCTTATTAGATTTCAATTTATTCAAAATTGGTTGGACGTAGTTCACTGAACGGACGTAATTGTTAGGAAACCAACCTCTTGTGATCTCTCCAGATGTGCTAACGGTGATACCATCCCACCAACCATTTTCGTTCTTGGATAAGACATAAATAGTATCACCCAAAGTTAAAGGTAAATGGTTGGGTTGAGTTCCAGGAAAGTCATATAATGCAATGACATTATCGAGGTATTTCAATGGTTGAGCCATATCATTCTGATTGTCAGGGGTGATGACATCAGGGGCTATTTCATCCAGATAACTCATGGTGATAATGGGTTTTGGGTTTGGGAGATATTTGTGCGGGAGTTACCCGCATCGCTTCTAACTTCCCACAGACCGAAGGGTGTTTTAGAGGTGTAATATTGGGGATTTGGGGGTTTGAGGATGAGAGTGGGAGGCGTGAAGGGAGGCAATAGTAGGATTTCGATAGAGTGGTTGAAATAGTTTGGGATATGATAATGTGCGGCATTGATAGGGGGTTTGTGAGGATAGTGATTGGAGGGTAAAGTGGTTATTACGGTGTTAATGGAGATCAGTAGGGAGCTAATCTAGGAACTGACCAGTAAGTGCCATTGATCTCAGTCCTGAGGTCTTAGTTACAGTGGTCTTATGGCCCCAAAGTCTCATGGCCCCAAAGTCTCATGGTCTCATGGTCTCATAGTCTTAGTAAGGGGCTGGATCTCATCTGCGAACAAAAACCCAATGAAAACAGTCAATTGATCCAAAACTCAACAATCTACCTTGAACAATCCACTTTACACGAACAAACCTCTCTTCCCGTTCAAACCTCCCCTTCAACTCTCAAACACTCCCATGAACTCCCTTAACTCTTAACCCTAATCCGCGACATTGTCCATCCCTCATTGCGAAAACATTTCACCGACATCCAGATAACAACAACATGGCAGATTTAACCAGTTTAATGAATCCTACTTCGGATGATGAATATTTACCTGAAGACCAGAAGATAGACGAGTTGGAGCAAGAAATCGAACAAGAGTTAAAAGAAGACACAGAATTAGATGATGATTTAACTAAGAACTTTGATAAAATAAAGACTCATTTCCCTGCTGCTAGAATTAAAAAGATCATGCAAAGTGATGAAGATATCGGTAAAGTGGCTCAAGCTACACCCATAATAGTGGGAAGAGCCTTAGAATGTTTCATGATCAATTTGTTAGGCATGTCAATTAAAGAGGCTAAGAAGAATGGAGTAAAGAGAATTAATGCTACTCATATCAAGTCAGCAGTGGAGAACACAGAGAATTTCGATTTCTTGATTGATGCTGTAGATAAATATCAGAAGTAATGAATGATGGTTTGTTATGTTGAGATAGTGAAGGGATGGGTAGGAGTGGAAGTGGTGATGAAGGGAATAAGGGATCGTGGTAAGACGATATACGTAGAAAGACAATACAGATTCCGTAGAAAGACACCACAGAAACAGTACAGAAACAGTACAGAGACAGTACAGAGCACAAAGACGGGTTGAAATCAGCAAAGAGACACCCAGGTCCTTGTACAGCTGTACACTGTGCAAAGGATCCAGATGAAAAGGTAAGAATGTATCCCAGACTCTTAAAATCTACTGCACTAGTTTTTTCATGGTACCAACTAGTCCTTTGACACTACGGCCCCCTCCCTATCCCACTCACAAGATCTCATCTATTTATCTCCCACTATCTCCCCAAATCTCTAAATCTATTTTTAACTTTATCTCTATCTTCCTACCAGATGCCCTCTAGATCTCACAATTAAGTCACACAACGTTACAAATCGAACCCCTGAAAAAAACATCTTACCAGGTCATATCCTCACCTAAACCTCCCGCCCCTCCTCCTTCACAATACCTTCACTATCTATCTCAAACCTCCCCACCCTTACCCGAACAAATTCCCATAAATCCTTCCCAATGTCGCGATTACCTCATGTCGCGCCGGCTCCCCCACCAAATCGCAACTATATATCAATTGCTCCATCACCATTTAACTCACGACAACTTTCAAGAAACTTTTCAACTATGGCACCATTGCATTCAAAATCACATACTAGTTTAGGTTCTAGAAAATCTTCCATTTTCAATTTCATCCAACAACCTCCTCAACCGGATGTTTATTACGTTGGGGTAGATGTAGGTACTGGAAGTGCTAGAGCTTGTATAATTGATACCAATGGTATTATTTTGGGATTAAGTGAAAGACCAATTACAAGACATGAATTGAAAGCTAATTTCATTACACAAAACTCTACAGAAATTTGGAATGCTATCTGTTATTGTGTTAAAAATTGTATTAGAGAGAGTGGAGTTGATCCTGAAGATGTATTTGGGATTGGGTTTGATGCTACTTGTTCATTAGTTGCCATCAATGAAAAGACTGATGAACCAATGGCTGTTGGACCTGATTTTACTGATCATAAAGAGAACATTATCTTATGGATGGATCATAGATCAGTTGATGAGACCATTGAGATCAATTCTTCTGGTGATAAGAGTCTTAAATATGTCGGAGGTCAAATGTCCATTGAAATGGAATTACCAAAGATGAAATGGTTGAAACATAATATGCCAGGAGGTATTAACAGTTGTAAATTCTATGATTTGGCTGATTTCTTAACTCATAAAGCTACTGGATCAGAAGCTAGATCTTATTGTTCAACTGTATGTAAACAAGGATTGGTTCCTCCAGGAGTTGATGGTTCAACTACCGGTTGGTCAAAGGAATTCTTATTATCATTAGATTTAGAAGAATTGGTGGAAGATGATTTCAGAAGACTTGGTGGGATCCCTGATAAAAATGGTACTTTCTTATCAGCTGGTGATATTGTAGGTAAATTGACTGCTAAATCAGCTGAAGAATTAGGTTTATCAACCGAATGTATTGTTGGTTCAGGGGTTATTGATGCTTATGCTGGTTGGATCGGTACTGTTGCCGGTAAAGTAGATAATCCAACAGTCTCTAATAAACTAGATTCTAAAAATAATGGAACTATTCTTACCAGTTGTGGTAGATTAGCAGCTGTTGCAGGAACTTCTACTTGTCATATTGCTATGACCAAAGAACCATGTTTTGTTCAAGGGGTTTGGGGTCCTTATAAAGATGTTATGGCTAAAGATTATTGGTTAGCTGAAGGAGGACAAAGTTGTACTGGTGCGTTATTAGCTCATGTTTTAGCTATTCATCCTGCTTCAAACGAATTGAGTCATTTGGCTGAAGCTTCTAACTTATCTAAATTCGATTATCTTAACTTGATCTTAGAGAATTTAGTAGTTGATAATAAATCCCGTTCTGTGGTTTCATTAGCTAAGCATATGTTCTTTTATGGAGATTTCCATGGTAACAGATCACCAATTGCTGATCCTAAGATGAGAGCTTCTATCATTGGTCAAAGTATGGATTCATCAGTTAATGATTTAGCTATTCAATATTTCGGAGCTTGTGAATTCATTGCTCAACAAACCAGACAAATCGTTGAAGAAATGGAAAAGGGAGGTCATGAAATTGATTGTATCTTTATGTCTGGAGGTCAATGTAGAAATGGTTTATTGATGAGATTATTAGCCGATTGTACTGGATTACCTATTGTAATCCCTCGTTATATCGATGCGGCTGTGGTTTTCGGTTCAGCCATTTTAGGAGCTGTAGCTGCTGAAGAAGCTGTTCAAGAACATATCCATAAGAAAGGTAAATCTAGAAGATCATCTATCTTAGAAACTCAAAGATCTCAAACTTCTTTGAATAAAGTTGGTAGTGGAGTTCAATTAGGTGATGGTCAACATTCTCCTTATACTGCTCCAACAGCTACTGCCTCAACCACAAACATGGCTACTTTAGCTTATGCTTCAACCCAAACTGGATCACACCATCAATTCCCAACTATGACACCTATGACTGAAGAAACTGATTATTTCAATCAACCACCTCAAAAGAAACCTTTCAGTGATGAAGATGATTCTGAAGATGAACAAACATTATCTTTCGGATCTAAATCCAACGTACAAAAAGGGTTATCACAAAAATTAGGTAACTTATCATTAAAACCTTTGACTAAAACTACTGATACTTCACCAGGAGCTAAGTTATGGAAAGTTATGGAAAAAATGACTGGTCCAGGTAAAGTCATCTTACCTTCAGATGAAAACCATCCTGATAGAAAATTGTTGAATGCTAAGTATAAGATCTTCTTAGAACAATGTTATAAACAACAAGAATATAGAGATTTAGTTGATGGTGTTGAAGCTGAAAATATCAAAGGATAATCTTTCCTAATTGGGTAATGTGTCTCAAATCTGGGGTTTGTCATTATCAGTACAAATCACGTCAATATACTTTTTCATATGTTATGAAATTCTCGCTTATGTACGTAGATCTATTAATCTTCACCTATCAACGGTGTTCTCTTGCCTTACGTCAAGTGGGGGTGGATCAGCCTTACCATATAAAGATCCATAATTTTTTTGCAGTCATACCTGTATATGGTCGATTGCGAATTTTCATGATTGCAAGCTGTCACGTGATGTATAGGAATATCAGAAGTATAGATATATATGATGGATGATATGAAGGTAAAGGTAGTTATTTGAAAGATAAAATGGGTATAAAGTGAAATAAATGATACCTGAAATCAGCCTGGATCGTTTTTCCGGTGTCCAGACCCTAAATTTCCACCGGTCTTATTGTTGCATCTCGTCTCTAACTATGGCTTCACTGTGGTGCTTATTAATCTACCACCTAAATCCACACCTATAAACTAGTTGACAAAGAAAAAATTCTTATTTAAACTACTTTCTTTCTTCATCTTATTCAACTAATCATGCATGAATTAACTACGGTAGCTTCTCATATCACCCAAACTGAAGAAGATCATATCTATGAGGTGACAGAAGACCATCATTTGGATTCAAATGTCGTAGTACTGGAATATAATGAACCTATAGTGACAGTGGTTGATTGGGGGAAGTCAGTATTTTCCAACCCTACATCAAAGGCCAAACATTATATAAGTTCAGTATTTCCTATTGCCCATTGGATCTTACATTATAACCCAAAATGGGCTTATGGTGATGTAGTAGCTGGGATTACTGTAGGTATAGTATTAGTACCTCAAAGTATGTCTTATGCCCAGTTAGCTGGATTACCAGCTGAATATGGTTTATATTCATCATTTGTAGGGGTTTTCATTTATTCATTTTTTGCTACATCTAAAGATGTAAGTATTGGTCCAGTTGCGGTGATGTCAATGCAAGTTGGTAAAGTTATTGCCAATGTTCAAGCTAAAGAGGGTGATAAATATTCAGCTCCTGAAATCGCCACCTTTTTAGCTTTGATCTGTGGTGGTATAGCTGCTGGTATAGGGATCTTAAGATTAGGATTTATTCTTGAATTCATTTCAACTCCAGCTGTCATGGGTTTCATGACCGGTTCAGCTTTCAGTATTATGTCAGGTCAGGTACCAGGATTGATGGGTTATAATTCATTAGTAAACACTAGACAAGCTACTTATCAAGTTGTTATTGATACTTTGAAACATTTACCTGATTCTACTATTGATGCTGCTTTTGGTGTTGTTGGATTATTCCTTTTATATGTATGGAAGTTCTCCACTGAATATGGACAAAAGAGATGGCCAAAATACAAATTATGGTTCTTCTACGTTCAACATTTAAGAAATGCTATCATCATTATTTTCTCCACCTTAATTGCTTGGTCCGTTGTTCATCCTGAATTGAAAAGATATGATGGTCCAGCTTCTGGTTTCAAACCTTCTATCAAAGTCTTGGGTACTGTTCCAAGTGGTTTAAGACATGTTGGAGTTATGAAAATTCCTCAAGGTATCATTGGTTCTATGGCTTCAGAAATCCCTGTTTCTACCATCATCTTATTATTAGAACATATTGCTATTGCTAAATCTTTCGGTAGAGTTAATGATTATAAGATTGTTCCTGACCAAGAACTTATTGCTATTGGTATCAATAATCTTATTGGTACTTTCTTTTCAGCTTACCCATCAACTGGTTCATTCTCCAGATCTGCCTTAAAGAATAAATGTGGTGTTAGAACTCCATTAGCAGGTATTTATACCGGTGCTGTAGTTTTAATTGCTTTATATGCATTAACTTCTACTTTCTACTACATTCCAAAAGCCACTTTATCGGCGGTCATTATCCATGCAGTTTCTGATTTGATGGCTAATTACAAAACTTCATGGAGTTTCTGGCAAATCAGTCCTGTGGATTTCGGTATCTTCTTGATCAATGTTTTAATCACTGTGTTTTCATCTATAGAAAATGGTATTTATTTTGCTATTGCTGCTTCAGCTGCTGTGCTTTTATTCAGAATTGCCATTCCAAAAGGTCAATTCTTGGGTAGAGTTAAAGTAGCTGAAATTATTAATCCTACCATTGAAAATGTTTATGATACTTCCAGTATTAAACCTGAAGGAAACTTGGAAAATTCTTCCAGTTCAAATTCTTCCAATGATGTTGAAATTTATCAAGTTTTATCTAACAATTCCAATTATGACTCCACAAAGCTCAAAAAGAACCAACTTAGTAAGGTTTCTACAAGTGCGAGATCATTATTGAGAAAGAATCCAAATATCAGATTTCATACCAAATGGGTTCCTTTAGATAATGCTAATATCCACAAGGGCCTTCAAGTCGAATTACCACCTCCAGGTGTAGTGGTTTTCAAACCTGTGGAAACTTTCACTTATCCAAATTGTTCAATTCAAGCCGATAGAATCATTGATGAAGTCAAGAGATTAACCAAACGTGGTAAACCTTATAATTATACTGATACTGGTTCAAGACCATGGAATGATCCTGGTCCATTAAATTGGAATGTTCCTTTCTTAAAGAAATTTAACAAGCCTGAAGATCAATTAGAAGATACAAGACCAGTATTAAGAATCTTACATTTAGATTTCAGTTCAGTTGCTTCCATTGATGTTACTAGTGTTCAAGCTTTAGTGGATTTAAGAAAATCCCTTAACAATTATGCTGATAGAGAAGTTGAATTCCATTTTTCAGGTATTTTATCTCCTTGGATCAGAAGAGGATTAGTTAAAGCAGGTTTTGGGAAATATAGTGATGAAAGTTTAAGAAGTAATACTAATTATGTTAACATTTTAACTGAAAATGATTTGGAATTAGGGGATTTAGATAAGAATTATTTACCAGCTGTAAGTACTGATACCCCATTCTTCCATTTGGAAATTCCAGATTACCAATAGACGATTTACGAATATATATATAATGTGATTTTTTTCATCTCTTTTTCAGCTATTTGTGGATTTGTCTTTTGTGGATTCCTCTTCTATTCTCTTTGTGGATTCTCAATTTTCCTCTTATAAAATTTGTTTCTGTGGATCGTTCTATTTTCACTCTTCGTTTTTTTTTGCAACCGCGAAACGCGTCAACTAATGTCAATTCAAAACGTTATATCACCTATGCCTACACCGTCGAAAGAGTGTATAACAATCCAAGATATCATGGAAGAGTCTCCTTCCAAGAGAATCAAGTTGAGTACTCCGGATATGAGTATTCATGAAGACAATGATTCATCTTCAATCGAAGTAATTGATTTACTTGATACCGAAGAACAACAACCTTCCCAAGATCAACCAAAACTGGAAAGACAAAAGTTAGCCCAAGCAAAGAAAGAGGAAGAAAGGAAACTCCGGGAATTGAAGAAAGAAGAAGAGAGAAAGGCTAAAGAAATAGCTAAGGAAGAAGAAAGAAAAGCCAGAGAAGAAGCTAAAGAAGCTGAAAGGAAAGCTAAAGAAGCAGCTAAAGAAGCTGAAAAGAGAGCCAGAGAGGAAGCAAAAGCGGCAGAAAAGAAACGTAAGGAAGAAGCACGTGAATTGGAAAAGAAACAACGTGAAGAAGCCAAAGAAACCGAAAGAAAGAAACGTGAGGAATTGAAGGAAATGGAGAGAAAGAAAAAAGAAGCTGCTAAAGAAGCTGAAAGGAAACGTAAAGAAGAACTCAAGGAAGCCGAACGTAAGGCTAAAGAGGAAGCTAAAGAAGCTGAACGTAAAGCTAAAGAAGCTAAAGAAGCAGAGAAACAAGCTGTAGAACTCAAAAAGAAGAAACTTGCTGATAAACAAAAGATAGGAAATTTCTTCTCTAGAGCCAAGTCTGATACTTCCAAGGATTCCAATTCAGCTCAAACACTTTTCGATAAGCTTGTCTTACCATTTCATGTAAAATCGAATTGTACCATGGCTGCTTCCGGACAATTACCAAAAGACAAGTTAGCCCAAGCCAAAGCATCATTTGAAAACTTATTAACTCAGCCAGCTATTAATGATAAAAGTTTCTTCAAATCAAGGACAATGAATATCACATCCACCACGGTAGTAAGTCCAGAAGATATAGTACAAGCTATGGAAAATAACACTTCTTCCAGTACCATATTCTCCATGCTTCGAAATTTAGGTACTATAAAATACCTCCAATTCTACGAAAATGAAAAACCTCCTTATATTGGGACCTGGTGTTCCAAAGATCATATCAGTTTGAACTTCCCCATCACAGAACCTTTCAACCAAGAATTAACTGGCTATGATTATACTTATGATTCCGACTTGGATTGGAGAGAAGAAGAAGGGGACGACATTGACATAGATGAAGATGACGAAGAAGAAGAAGATGAAGATAATGACATGGAAGACTTCGTTGAAGCTGAAATGGAACGAGAAACAAGATTTGTGGGTAAATTAAAACCCACATTCATGTTAAATGATGGTACAAACAAAGAGGTCTTTAATAACTTGAAGTTCGAAAGATTACACATAACGGTAGATTTCCCTATAGATCCTAAGATCAATTACTGGAAAGCGGAAAACGATGATACATCACTTTTGTCTACACCACTTCCTGCCACGACATCGACTCCTGTCAATGTTCTCACCCCCACCAAACCAACCATTAAGGATGAAAAAATCATCACCAGTCTCATAACTTTCATAGAAGCTAATAATGATTTCAGTATTGGTACTTTAGTAGAATTATCACAGAAACAGTTCAAAGACTTTACCAAAGTGCTCCTCAAAAACACCATTCAAGAAATTGCCCATTATAATAAGAAAACTGCTCATTGGGAAATAAAACCTCAATTCAAACAACCAATATGATCTGTTTATAGCCACCTTAATGTATTCGTTCCACAAGGTATTGGACCCCCTTCTTGATCTAACACTCTCACGCGCGCTTGAAATCTACAAATGGCATCAACATCGAAGAAGAGACATAGTATTGGAACCATTGAAAGTTGTGTGACAAGACTCTTGGTACTGACGAAACATCTTTTAGAGAGTTTGACACAATGGGCACGTCATGAAGTTGACGATAAGTTTGTTAGTGATGCATATGTTAAATTGGGGAATGATTTCAGGTCAGCATCTAGAGCATTTACTAATGCTGGAGTAGATATTTCTGATATTGGTGATGTTCCTCAAGCTCTTAGAGTGATATTAGAGAGTGCTTTGAGTGAACCCGCTAGTCAAGAGAATTTAGACCGATTTTTACCCAATATTCGTAATATCATTGTAACATTACTTCAGAACTTAAAGGCTAAACAGAATAGAGCTAGAAATATAGGTGATTCTAGTTCCAACCAAAGAGAATTCAAACATAGCCATACCAATAGTCTGCCCAATATTCAATCCCCACCACCTAAATCAAAGTCTCCATCACCTCCAGTGAAATCTCCATCACCTCCACAAGTGTCTCATAGTCATTCTAGATCTCAACCCATGATTAATCATTCTCCAGATCAAATAGAGGTTCCTAAACAACGACAAAAATCATTGGATGCTCCAGTGACACTCCAACCACCGAGTCATTCAAGAACTCAATCCAGAGATAAAGATGAAGCTTTACAACAACTTCAAAGTGAAAATGTATTACTGAGAAGAGCTTCTAAAAGGTTCAGTGCTTATCAGTACGCAAAACTTGCCAATATTAATCCTTCAAATGCCCTTCCTTCCATGTCAGATCAAAGAAGTCCTCTGGCCCAAACCATCAGACAAACCATTAGAAATCCTAGTACTAAATTCACACCTTCATCCCCAAAAGATCAACCTCAAGATACCCATATTTTCTTAAGTATAGGCAAACAAACCAAGAAAGTGTTTGTTAAGACCCCTATAACATTTGCATCATTAAGACTTCTTTTTGTGGAGAAATTCGCTTACAGTCCTGGATCATCGGATTTCCCTTCCATTAACATAGTAGACCCCAAAACAGGAGTATCATATGAACTCGAGGATCAATATTTATCCGATATCACCACCGGAACCTTATTAAGCTTAAATGAAGAGCCTATTGATGATACCCAAAATTTCAAACAACTTGAAGATACTGTTAATGCATTGAAAGAGAAGTTCGACACTCTAAGTTCAGATATCACCAACTCAATCAATGATGCTATCAAACACATAGACATACCTTTACCTGTACAGCAACCAACACCAGTATCGGCCGAACTGGACAAAAAACTTCCATCGATTGATGTCACGAAAGAGGTAGGAGCTATTGAAAATGAATTACGTGTAGTCAAACAACTTCAATCCGCCAACAAAAAGTCCATCCAAGCATTTGTCGCCGATTTGACCAACAAAGTTAAACTCATTCAAGAAACCGGAGTGGATGCTTCAAAGTCTTCGAATCGTATTTATATGGAAAAGTGTCATACCAGATTATCCGAAGAATCTGATAACTTATTAACCAAAGTAGACGATTTACAAGATCTCATGGAAGGTTTAAGAAAAGATGTGGTTCAAAGAGGGGTTAGAATCAGTGACCAGCAATTGAAAGCTACTTTAAAAGAAATCGACCTTGCTTCTACATCCTTACAATCAATGACAGGTTACATTGGTCTGGAGAAATCCACTTGGAAAAAGATTTGGGAAAGTGAATTGGATAGAGTTTGTGAAGAACAACAATTCTTTAACCTTCAAGATGACTTAACCAAGGATTTGGAAGAAGATATTAGTAAGATCAAAGAAACTTTTGATTTGATTGAACAGTGTTCTGTGGAACAAGTGAAATCAGGGGGTTTCAGAAGAAATAAAGTTGTTGCAAACTTACATATCCCAGAACCAGGAGAGAATCTCCATAGTTTGAAAGATGCTGTTCTCAATGAAGTTGCGTCTTTAAGACCAGATCATGAAAGTAGAGTAGAAGCTATCAATAGAGCTGAAAGATTAAGAGAACGAGAAAGAATGTTGTTGAACAAGGACGAGTTCCAAGAAGAGTTGGGCAATTTTGTTGATGATGCCAAATTGAAAAAGTCTGGAGGTATTGATGAAATTGAACGTCAAAGACAATTGAAAGATGCAGAGAATCTCAAAGGCATAGGGGGTTTATAGATGTATTATAATGCAAATATTAAATAGTCATACCAAATCTAGTACGCTACATGCTCTTAAGGCTTTGTCGTCTATGTTGCCTTGTATTCGAAGGTATCGTTTTAGAATGGTGAGGATCTGATTACTCCAGGTTTGGTCGTTATATTGATTCCATTTTTGTAGTGTGATCTCACATATGTGTAGTAAGAACTCGCTGTGTGCTTCTACAGGTACTAACAATCCTTGCAGGGTAAATTGGTTCATTATAGAAATCATCACAGTGGTTAACATTTTCCAAATCTTCTCTAAGTTACTTACTTGGTTAATGAAAGTATCATACTCAGTACTGACAACGTGAGCTTTAAGTTGGTTTTTGTACCACCATAGCATAAATGTGTATAGTTCTTTAGGGGTATGGCACTTCTCTAAGGCTAGGTACCGAGGATTATAGATGGTTTTGGTTTTAATAGATAAATCGGAAGAATCAATATCAAGACCACAAAACTTGATCATAGATCCACTAGTATACCATTGAGTCTTTTCTTCATTGATGAAAGCCCCATGACTTTTGAAATCATCTCCATTCACCACACCATACATTTCTTCACATAATTCCTTACTGGTGGATATGAATAAGAAATCATCAGCCAATCGGAGTAACGTAGAAGGTGCAGACCTATCAAAGGTGAACAGTAAGAATTTATCCACCAACTGATTGTAGAATATATTACATAATGTCGCCAGTAATGGGAATCCTTGGAAAATTCCAACTTTCCGTTTATATAATATCAAATCCGATTTCAAGAATATTCCTGAATTGCTTATATAATCCACCATTGCTTTTTTCACCATCTCTTTAGTAAATGAGTAGGTGACAGCCCTGTCGTTGAAAGTCTTGGGATTCGACCGATAAGCCACTTCAAAGTCCCAAAACTCAGGGTTGATGGTTTCAATCGATGTCGTGTCTAGGAGAAAAAACTTACTTAAAGGTTTCCTATCTGAATACATAGGACCTTCTCTAATCTGACGGAGGTAGTACACCTCATCTTCGGGATCCCTGGCAAATAGATTGTCTATACTTTCGAGTAACTTTTGGTGGTTAATGTTATCATAGCACCTTTTCATATCGAATTTAAGAAAATGTAATGGCTGGTGTTTGGATACTTGTTTGAAGTCATGGACATGTTGAGCAATGTCTGAATTAGAGAATGAACGAGGATGGTGAGTCTTATCTCTAACTAACTCTCTATCTTTGGTATTGATGAGGTATTGTAAAGGTCTAATGAATTTCTTTATATGTAGAATATATCTGATGGTTTCTTCCTTTTCATCCATGACTGATAAAGGTCTTGTTTTCATTGGAATACAAATCATCCTAAATCCTTTAGTCTTAGGTACGAGTCGTATAGAACCCACAAAATTGTTCTGGATGTTGGTGGTATTGGTGAATTCCTGATCAACAGGATAAAGATACTGATCACTATATTTCTTCAACCATTCAAACGAACTACTTTTCCAGTGTTTAATATGATAATATTCAAGTCTATCCTTCCCATTCACGTTTACCTTGACGGTCTTCCAATAAACATGAACTATGCTACGAATGACCATTCTTAAATACCACTGGAAAAACTTGACCATTGACTCTTTGTGTGATCTAGAATGATCTTGTTTCATTTTTGTACGAGTAGTTGTATAATACGCCAGTTTAAAACAAAATCCACGAAGAAATGTGGAATCTATCAGTTTCTCTCCGAGTTTCAAGTAATTCACCACAATTTTGGTGATCACCTTGTGGTTCTTACCCATTACCAGTCTGGGAAGAAGCTTTCCATGAATGGTCAATCCAAACTTGATAACTTGGTGTAATTCCACAGGAGTCAAATCCTTCAAAGGCCCGGGATGAGTGATAACATTACTATAGATCTTATCGTGGTGTAAATATCCATAATTCAACTGAACGACGCTACACAAATGTCTTAACGATTCATACTTACCTGAAGTATGATCCTGTTTCTTATCGTCAATAATCTCTCTGACCAACTCATCATGAGGGAGATCGACTGATATCACTGTATAATTAGAAGGAGGGTCATTATTATACGTGGCCACCATCTCCCGCCCACATAACTGATAATAAATCCCATTTGTGGTCTTATAATATACTTTAGTGGACAAAACCAACTGGAGAAATAAATCCTTGCCTATGATCAGATAAAGACTACCCCAGACAGGTAATTTGAGTATGGTGGATTTGAAACTTGTGGTGGGATTGAAGTTGGAATTTGTCCATCCAGCACTCAATGAGTTATCTACATACCCATCTACCAAACAATTGGGTATCTTCTCCCCTAAAATATACCCTATAATGCTATCTATGAATTCAGGGTAGGTATGCTTAAAGGGAATTTTCTTTATGTGTCGCGATACATCTCCCCCTTGTGGTACGACAATGGTGGTATCAACAAGATGATACACATCACAATAAGTATGCAGATTCTCCTTCAAAGTGAGAATCATCTGGTTTCTATCATGGCCGTGGTGTACAATGAAATCAAGAAGATTATGGTACATCGCGCATCGCGATTCCATCTCACACTATGAGTAAGTCTGGTGATACCAGTCACATTGATTTCGAGAATGGTGTTCTTTATGGCAAGTTGAAGCAGATACGGCAGCAAGACAAGCAGATATCAAAGACCAAGCCGGACTTGATGAGTGTATGGTGTTATCGAATCAAGCCTCAAGATAGTAAGAAAGTGTTAGCAGTAGTTAACAGTCATTTCAGTCCCATAGACGGTGAACAGTTGTTACATGTCAAAAGATTCCAGAAGATCACTGATGGTGAAGTTAAACTTGACATGTTACTTTGCCTATACAAGTCATTCGGTCGTGATGACATCGTGAGTATTTTCCATGAACATGGGTCAATGACTATTGAAGATGGTGATTTGAGAGTCGTCGATGTCCCATCAGATAGTCCCAGTACCAGGGAAGTAGCATTGGCATGGGGGGCAGAATTTTGGCCTATTGCTTGGAAAGGTAATCCTAATCATCAATTTTTAAAGAAAGTAGATATTGACATTGAAGAAGTACAACAGAACATCAATCAACTTCTTGCTAATCTAGAAGGTAAAGCCTTACCATTTGTCACATTATTCGATGGATCCCATAGAGTCATAAGTCATGACTGTAGAACAGACCATCCACTTCATCATAGTGTGATGCGAGGTATACAGATGGTAGCCGACCAAGAGAAAGAGATAAGAACTACGGCCACCGATGGGAACTATCTCTTAAACAAATACACCATTTATACTACATACGAGCCATGTGTCATGTGTTGTATGGCATTAGTACATTCACGTATTGATAGAGTCATTTATCTCCAACCGTTACCTACTGGAGGATTCGAAAGTAATTACCAACTAGGAGCTAGAGACGGGTTAAACTGGAAATTCGAAGTATGGAGATGGTTGAGTGATCCTCAACTTCCTCCATTGGATAATAAATTAAATGCATAAGATTATATAATCATAAAGTCGTTAAATTCATGGGTAGATTTAGTGAGTATTTACTGGATGAATTATTTCATCCAATAACTCCACTGCCTTCACCGCATCTTCTATGGAGGTCAGGTCTCCCTCTATTTGCTTGAGTTGCTCGTTCAACAACTCTATGTCTTTAGTTACACTGTCTATCTGTACATCTAGACTGTCACATTGAGATCTCATTGTCCCTTCCACTCCTTGTAACTTCCGTAATAGCAGATTGACAGTATGAGTGTCTTGTATAGCTTCATCAAACTCTTCTATCTCTCCTATAATATCCTTGATAGGTACGGAGAATTCATGACGAATATTATTCTTAATGGTATCCATAATCACCAGTCTATCTCGTTGTAAGCATTGTAACACTTTATTAACACTATTCTGGTCGGTATCTTTTGGGAATAACTTCTTTCCGACCTTTAAGTTAAGTATATCATCAACATTAGCCTTGGATTCGAAATACTTCTCCAAAATGGTAACAGCATCCATAATGTTTTGATTCAAAACTTCAGTACGACATTCGCGATCCACCTCAAAAAAAAATTCCTTTCAACGACAGGTTACCTCCAATGACAGCTTTATCGTTTGATTCTAAAACCTATTCACCTCAAGCTTTTGCTACGGGATTACAGTCAAGAATCGATAAAGATCCAGATAATGCGTTGATTCTGAATGCTATTCCTATCGGGAGAAGTTCCAAAAGACACACTACTCAGATAAACTATGCTGAGTTTGATAATTATAATGATGATTTTGATGAAGATACTCCAACAGTCAAGCAAACCCCAGCTTCTGCCAACAACCAGAATAATATGAACACTCAAAAAATCACCCTTTTACAATCAGTACGTCCAGAATATCCTTCTACCTTGGAAGATAAAGACCTTATTAAGAAAATGACATCAGAGAAGGAAGTCTTAGTACCAATAAAATTGAATATCGAATACGGAGGAGGTAATTATAAGTTGAGTGATTTCTTTATGTGGAATTTAAATGATACCACCATACTGGCAGTAGAATTTGCTAAGATCATGGGAGCTGATTTAAAGCTTGGTAATGGAGTTATTAATGAAATATCTGCTTCTATTGAAAGACAATTAGAAGAATATATTTACGCAGCTAACTTGGAGTTACCCGCTGATAAGGAATACCATTTAATCATTGATTTGACTGTAAGTTTAAATAAACAATTATATGAAGATAGAATTGAATGGGATTTGAAACAAACTGATGTTACACCTGAAGATTTTGCTGAAATTCTCGTAGCTGATTTAGGTTTACCTTTAGAATTCAAACCAGCTATTGCTCATTCCTTACATGAATCAGTTTTGAGTTTGAAGAAAGAAATTGTCGAAGGGGAATATAATGAACGTCTTAAAATTCAACAAACAAGTGGTTTATGCTTTGAAAGAGGTCTTAGAATCTCAACTGAAATCAGTCAACATAATGGTAATGATCATTGGGAACCTATAGTTGAAGTATTAACACAAGAAGAAATCGAAAGAAGAGAAGGTGAAAAGGAAAGAAATATCAGAAGATTGAAGAGAGAAAATTTAAGAAGAGATTTTGATGATTTTGGATCAAAGAGAAGAAATTTAGGTAGAAGAAGACTCGATGATTTAGAAATTGGCTATAGATAAAAATGTATATTAGATGATTGAGTATACCTCGATGTAGATAATTGAGTTTATCTCTTAAATGTAGATGATCTCCCCAGTTTCATGTTTCTGCCCCCTCTTACAGGTTTTGGAGCATCACTGTTAGAATAAGGATCAAATTTCTTTCTTCTTTTAGGTTCGTTAACGATTTTGGTGTTCATAATATTATCAGCAGCTGAATAATCAAAGGTCTCTTCATCAGCTGACCTCTTTTTATTAACTCTTTGTTTCTTGGATTTACGGAGGGTAATGATTTCGTCTTTATCCTCTTTTGGTTGTGGTTGAGGTTCAGGTTCAGGTTGTTTGATTTCCTTTTTAGGGATGTCGGGAACCACTTCCTCTTTGGGAATATTGACTTCGACTGTGACTTTATATTTTTCAAATTCCTGGTAGACACGGTCATATCTTGAAGACAATTCATCCACTGTGGACTCGTTAATGTTATTATTATCAAAACTAACACCAATCAACTCTTTCTCTTGAGAGAAAAGCATTGAAGGTTTTGATTGGAATTCATTAGATAAAAGATTATTCTCTTTAACTAATTGATTGAATATGCTATTTTGAGATTCGATGGTATTGTTGGATACTGGGATATCTTCAGGTACGGAAGATTCAACCTTATCGAATAATTTCCAGTCGTTGGCTTCACTTAACTCTAAAGTATCATTAATTAAGGTGGCTAATTCTTGAGCATTATTCCTGATATACTCATTTGGAGCTACTGTCAACACCTTTTTGTTATCTACCGGTCTTGATAAGGTAGCTAAAGAAGCTAAGGTTTGATTAGGCATGACGAACCTAACAGATTCGTCCAATTGTCTGGCTAATTTATCTCTCCAATTATATAATACCTCAACCACAGGTTTCAAATGAGAGTTGATACCAAACGATGATAATAAAGAACCCCAAGGCTCTCTAGGATTAGAAGCCATCACTGGACATGATACCAAATGGGAATTCTTAGGTCTGAAACTGGTGTATTCAAATCTTCTTTTAGCTACTTGTCGCGAGTCGTATAACACCTGCGACATTTTATCATTATCTATAAGTTTATTCCTTAATTGATCAAAAATATTAAGGAGGAAATGAGTATCGGAACGGGCATAAGCTAACATTGATGGAGATAAAGGTCTGATTCTCCAATCAGCAAGTTGATATTTCTTTGAAGTTTTGAAATTGGCAAAAGTTTCAAGTAAATAAGCTAATGAGAACTTAGGGAATCCTAACTTCTTTGAGGCATGATAAGTATCGAATAATGATACTATATATAACCCCAAATCTCTTTGTAACCATATAATATCCATGAAAGCTCCATGGAATATTTTAATGATCATGGGATCAGTGAATACTTTATTTAATACATGAAGTTCATCTCTTAAAGCAAGAGTGTCGATGATCCAATCTTTTTCACGATTGGAAATTTGCATAAGACAGACCAAACCATAGTATGTACGATAATCGTGATGTTCTAAATCGATAGCAAGTTCTTTCAGTTTGGCTAATTCTTTTACCAAACCAGGTAATTGTTCTGGTTTATCGATCCAAATAGCTGAAGTTGATTCCCATGGTTGAGATGGGATCACATCGGATTTCGATAGTATTTCCTCAGGATATGGTTGATTATCAATTTCATGTTCATAAGGATGTGGATAAAATGGTGGATCATCGTCTTCATTATCAGGAGTAACGATAATTGGTTCTTGCCACGACTTTAAACTATTAGGTTTTTCAGGTAACTTTGGTTTGAAAGGTTGAAGTTCGGAATTATCAACAGCCACTTGAAAGTTCAATTGTGGTTTATCCATTTTTCTTCCAATGTTCTTACTTTCATCTTTAACTACATTATTGGATTCTTCTAAGAAAGTGAATTGTTTATCTTGTTTAGATCCCTTTCTAACTTCATCGAAGAGGAAATCAGCTTTTTCAAACAACGTATCTAAAACGTTTGATACTTTCTTCATATTAGAACCTTTAAAATCTTCATCATTATCATCAATTTTTTCATTATCATCACCAACAGCTTCTATGACTTCATTAGCAAGATCCATTAATCTACCACTAACAACCACAGACTCATCATTAAATTGTTGATCCAAACTTCTCATGAACTTAACATCATTCAATGCTAATGAACTAGAAGTCTTGATAACATTTCGTACGGCCAATGTAGCATTCTTCACTAACTGATCGTTTGACATTTTGTTACTAAAAAATTCTCATCGCGCATCTCATCTCACATAAATGGCTTTCACTTGTAATTCATGTGGGTTAGCATTCCCTGATGCTGCTAATCAGAGAGAACATATGAAGTCTGATTGGCATAGATATAACTTAAAGAGAAGAGTTGCTCAACTTCCACCTATTGACGAAGATTCTTTTGTAAGTAAAGTAGCATCATTAAAGATTGAAGGTGATGAGAAGACTTCTAAGAAAGATGAAAAAAGAAGGCAAAAGGAAGCTATTTTAGAACAAAAGAGAAAGATTTTGGAAACTGCCCGTAAAGCTATGCAACAAAGAAAAGATGATGAAATCATGAAAGGTACATTAGATGAAACTATTGATTCTGGTGATTTGGAATTTCAAAAAGAAGTTGAAAAAGCTCAACAAGCTGAACAAGTTAATGAACCTCCACAATTAACTCCTGAACAACAACAAGAACTTTTAATTCAAGAAAAATTAAAGAATAAAGTTGATTTGCCTGAAACTACTTGTTTATTCTGTTCTCATAAGGAAAATGCTGATTTCCCAACTGTTGATGATAATATTCTCCATATGTTCTCCAAACATGGTTTATATGTTCCAGAACAAAAGTATTTGGTTAATAAAACCGGATTGGTGAAATATTTAGGAGAAAAGATTGGTTTTGGTAACGTTTGTCTTTGTTGTAATTATCAAGGAAAGAATATTGAAGCTGTTAGAGAGCATATGAAGATTAAAAGACATATGAGAATACCTTATGAATCAGAAGATGAAAAATTAGAAATCTCTGAATTTTATGATTTCACCACCAGTTATGACGCTAATGAAGATGATGAAGAAGGAGAATGGGAAGATATTGAAGGTGAAGATGGTGAAGTTGATGAAGATGAAGATGATATACCCTCAGATGGTGCCATTATTCAAAACGGTCATGAACTTATCTTACCAAGTGGTAGAGTATTGGGTCATAGAAGCTTACAAAGATATTATAGACAAAACTTACCACCTGAAAGAGAATTAACTGAAGCTCAAGGTACAGTTATTGCTGCTGAAAATAGAAACTTATTAACTGTTAGAGATAAGAAGGCTCATGAACAACAAAAGAGAGATTGGAAATCAGAGATTAGAAGAGCTAAATATTATGATAAGAAATTCTCTAAGAACATGAATAATCAAGAACATTATAGGGATCAATTATTGCAATAGTGAATATATATTTTTGGGTTTAATTCTGGTGGGTTTTGGGTGGTACTTAAGTGGCAGCCCTTCTTGCAGCAGCTAAGCAGCCATTTGGTGGCGGTCCTTAAGCATCCCTTTGGTGGTCTCTGTTCTCTACTGTTGGTATCACAAAACTATCAATACCCCTGAAACAACCAAATCCACCAATACGTTCATCAATATAAACCATACACCAAAATACAACAATTTCGGTGAAAACACTGTCCAGATGAAGAGATGGAATCTGAGATTATAACACGACATTACCAATTGGAGGTTACTGATACTGAAGAAGACTAAGTTTACCAATGCTCGAAGGTTCAAAATTTTGAAACCAAGCTTCTTCACATGTACAACGTCTTCATTAGTCTTAGCTAAATTGAAATCACTTACATGGGCTTCTAGTAATACCATCAAGAAGGATAAACTCCAGTAAATAGGACCAGCAAAATTGGAAATAAAGGTTAATAAACTTACAATCTCTATATGGTACGATCCTACCCCGTTATAACTGTTGGACAAGTCCACGGTAGCTAAAGAATTGGTACCGCCCATTGAAAAGAATGTCAAGTTCGATATCACCGTAGTGAACACTGTCATGTATATCGCCAATTGGTCAATTTGTGTGATCTTACTCTTGATAAGTATACGATTGATGTTGAATCTGATGAGGTAAAAGACAAGATATAAAGGTATAAGTTCTGTCTTGGTATGGTTCATAAGGAAGAATGTCATTAAGTTGACAATGTCGGATAAATTACCTGTTTGGAAACCTCTTACGTACTTGAACACCAATCTTAACCCCATCAAGATCAACACTCCGAAGGTAGCAAAATTACTGATTTGGATCAATAATGATAGAATCTTCTTCTTATCTTCGAAATCATTGACATTCCAGGAGAGGAAATTCCATGAGATGAAGTTCATGAGGGTTTCAGGGATTGGGTATCCATCAACATAGGACTGAATCAACTTGAAGGTGAACGATAAAGCCGCAAGCACTGAAAGGATTACAAACGCAAACACATTATTGAAGTCATTTTTGAAGTAAGCAGGATTATAGTTGGAGGAACTGATATCAAGGTTGAATCCATGTCTGATAGATCCTTGGAAGTAAGTAAGTCCTGCTACCAAGGCATAGGCTAAGGTGATCAACCACCAAAGTAATGCTGGATTATCTACAAGATATGATGATGTGGTATAGTACAGGTACTTTTGACCTGTATTACACCAACTTTTGATTACTCTGAGGCCCACCAAAATGATGAAAAAATTCATTGATGTTCCTGATTTACGGGTTTGGGAGTAAAGGTACATGATGAATGCAAGTGACAAGACCCACCAAAGATGATGTTCTTCTTCAATCAATGAAGAGCCATGGAAATGGATAGAATAAACAATGAATCCAATTTGAAGTCCTAAAATCTCTTTATACTGGTGATAATTTTGGTACATACACCAATTGAAATATGCCACCACTAGCACGAGACACAAAACACTCAAAATCATTGCCGTGTGAAGGTTGGAGTAGTTATAGTTAGAAGCAGAATCAATCAAATCTTCTTGGATCTCTTTCAAAAACGAATAATCCTCCTCGACGTCCCTCAATTCATTGATTACGGTATCATATTTGTGTTCACTGGGGTTGTTAATCTTCAACAAATCATAAAATTGTCTACAATTATTCAAAAGGATGGAATGGTGGACTTTTGTTGAGAACAAAGGCAAGAATTCTTTGATTATCATCCCGAGATTATTCTTGGGGATAGGTAAATCGAACAACAACGATAAAGTAGGAATCAAATCTATCTGACTAATGGCCTGGTAATATTTGAACTCTTTGTTAGCAGGTAAAGGAGCCTGAAGGTTATTCTTTAATGACCTGAACTTAGGAGAGATGAAAACCATTCCTGGAGATGTTTCCCCGGCAGATGAACCACCATGATTTCCAATATCGTTCATCCCATGATCACCTAAAACAACAAAAAGTGTATCCTTATGTTTCTTGGATGACTCTAAGAACCCATATATTCTCTTAATAATCCCATCCATCTCTTGTTGTTTAAGAGCCATGAAATGAGATTGAGGACCAGTCTTATGACCAATATGATCCAATCCAAGGTAATGCAAAAAAAGTCCGTCCCATTGAGCTTCTGGGAGTAACTCCTGGTCAAGATGACGGGTTACGTTATTGTCAACGTCATAGAAATCACTAACAAAGAAAGAATTAGTTCCATCGGTGGAATCGAAGAATTTGGGAAATAATTTCAACCATGTATCGTCCCCGTAAAAGTTCATCACCTTGGCCAGGGATCCCTTATTCTTGAACTGGTAAAGCCAATTGTCTTGGTTTAATAACCCTTGACTGTCATCCTTATCATCAGCAATGTTCAAAATGGCATCTAGGAAATTAGGCGTAGTACCTAATGTGATACCCTTCAATCGAGGTAAAGTCACCGTTGGTGGGTTGGAGAATGCTGTGAATGGCATAGCATCACCACTATTGATCAATTGATGAAGATAATGAAACCCGCTGTCTTCACTGAACATGAAATCAGATCTTAAAGCATCTACTACCATGAACACCACCTTATCGAATTTAGCTGTCTCTGAAACTTTCAGAAGAATCGACGTATCATTGAACCCAGATAGAATCTTCTTGGACGGGAAGAACCCTTTGAGGAACAATAAGAACGACGTGATGTTGATTAACAACAAACATATCGTTGGAAGCCATGAAACCTTCATTGTGGATGGATGCGAAAAACACCGTGGACGTGTATGATATGGAGGGAGACGTGGAGACGGATCTTTGGGCCAGAGGTACTAGAGCCATGATGTTGATACTACAAGTTTGAATGTTAAAGAACTAGAGACGGTATAGGTCGACAAAGTGTCAAAAAGGGCCTGGCCACCATACCCATATAATAACCTCTTCAGTTGATGCGCATCGCATTCATGTCTAGGAACGTAGAGAAAGCCCAGTCAGGGTTGAATAGATACCATCAGGATAAACTACGAGAGTCGGGAGTGTTGGAAACGAACCCTTCTTTACGTCCCAAGGTGGTACAGAAGGTCACATCGTTGCCACAAGCAGAGAAATGGAGAAGTATAGTATTATCAGAAATCTCAGTAAGGTTAACCAGAGTACAAGATTTAAGTAAGACAGAGAGTGATATCAGACAAATAAACGATGAGTTGAATAAGCTATTCAAAGAGAAGAGAGCCTGGGAACATCATATCAAGGCACTCGGAGGTCCGGATTACCTCAAATATGGAGCTAACATGGAAAACACTGGAGAGAATGATCCTTTTAACAATGGATATAGATACTATGGACGAGCCAAGGAATTATCTGATGTTAAACAACTACTATCGGCTAAAAGACGGAAGTTGGAGACTAAACCTTTGGAAACAAAACAAGATAAGGGTGTCGAAAAGACCCTCGATCCTAATTATTACTCCAAGTTCGGTGATAGTAATAACTCTTCGGGTGGGAGATTACAACAGATCAGTGAAATGATGAAAAAAGATACTAAGATTACAGTGAAACCAAATCCACAAATAGACATACCTTCCAACGAAGAGATTTCAAAATGGGTAATACAGAAGAGGAAGCAGGAACTTTTAGATAGATTATAATACACGTTAACACATTAAAATAGTTCAATCCAATTGGAGCTAGAACTTATACTCATCAACAGACTGAAGGACTTTTACTCCCTTCTCAGTGTAAGAGAGATCAGTCTTGTCGTCATTTTCGGGAACTACACTCTTACACAAGGACTTCACCACATAAGAGTTGAATCCAGCATTCTTACAATCGATGGCAGAATGCATTACACAGAAATCATAAGCAATTCCCACGAAAACTACATCTGTGACTCCCAATTTGGTCAATTCATCTTCAATTTCGGTTTTGTGTAACTTCCAGATATCTTTGAAGCATGAATAATATTCTCTGTCTTTCAAATAACCTTTTCTGATAATGGATTTGGGGATCTGGTCATCCAATTGATTGAATTTGGCAATGAACAGAGCATCAATAGATGAACCAAAGGTATTCTGTACACAATGATCCGGCCACACAGGTGTGGTAAATGTAATAGTTTCACCATCTTGTTTATGACCCAAGGGATGTTTGAACTCGATCTCTGTAAATGGTGGTACTCCATGTTGTGAAGCAAATGAGATATGATCATGAGGGTGCCAATCTTGAGTGGCTATAATTGTTGACCAATTGTATTTTGAAAGATCCAACAAATCACAAATAGGTGATATTATATCCCTACCTTCCTTCACAGCCAAAGAACCATCGGAAGGAAGAAAGTCCTCTTGTAAATCAACCACTACTAAAGCAGATTTCATTATAATGAAATGACTCTAAAATACCGCGATCAATGGCGGTAAGAACTCCTGCCTATCTTGGTAGTAATTTCTCCGTCTACGCGGAGCACAGAAGGATTTTTCATCCCGGCAACCTTCGGAACTGTCACGTGCACGTTATCCTCAATTTAAAAAATCTCATTGGACATAAAAAATTTTCAGATTTCAACGATCAACTATTCAAATTAACAATGTCATTACCTGATTACACTGTTTCAGATTATGCTAAATTCGCCTTAGCTGGTGCCATGGGATGTGGTGTCACTCACGGTGCTATGACTCCAATTGATGTCATCAAAACCAGAATTCAATTAGAACCTACCGTTTACAACACTGGTATGGTTGGTTCATTCAAAAAAATCGTTGGTGCTGAAGGTGTTGGTGCTTTATTAACTGGTTTAGGTCCAACTATCTTAGGTTACTCATTACAAGGTGCTTTCAAATTCGGTGGTTACGAATTATTCAAAAAGACCTTCATTGAATACTTAGGTTTAGATACTGCTAGACAATACAAAGATGCCATTTACATTGGTTCATCTGCTTTAGCTGAATTCTTTGCTGATATTGCTTTATGTCCATTAGAAGCTACCAGAATCAGATTAGTTTCTCAACCAACTTTTGCTAACGGTTTAGTTGGTGGTTTCTCAAGAATCTTCAAAGAAGAAGGTGTTGGTTCATTCTACAATGGTTTCACCCCAATCTTATTCAAACAAATTCCTTATAATATTGCTAAATTCTTAGTCTTCGAAAGAGCTGCTGAAGCTATTTACGGTTCAATGGCCACTCCAAAATCAGAATTATCTTCAGGTGCTAAAACCGGTGTTGATTTAGGTGCTGGTATCATTGCCGGTTGTACTGCTGCTTTCGTTTCTCAACCTGCTGATACTTTATTGTCTAAAGTTAACAAAACTAAAAAAGCTCCAGGTCAATCTACTTTAGGTTTATTAGCTCAATTAGCTGGTCAATTAGGTATTAAAGGTTCATTCGCCGGTTTACCAACCAGATTAATTATGGTCGGTACTTTAACCTCTTTACAATTTACCATCTATGGTCAAATTAAAACCGCTTTAAACTGTCCTCCAGCTGTTGCTTTATAGATAAATACTAACGGTTAATCTTTCTCCCGTTTATCTTCCGTCTCTTATCAGATCATGCCGGGTAACCTTTGCCGCATTTATCCTTTTTCATGCACCTCATTGCGGTTCACCTGCATTAGAGCTTAAATAAAAAAATCAAACGTATACATTATTTTCTATTTTTCAAGTAAATGACTAATCTGCCGATTAAGGTCTTGGAGAATATTCTATAAGCTAATCCATGTTCTTTAGGTGCTGAGGGTGCACTTGTTTCATCAGAGTAAGTGGTGGCAACCTCATTGGTCTTGTCAGTCAAATTTTCAGCATCACCCTTTGGTACAGCATCGACTTCGTGAGTCCATCTCTTAAGCCAATAGATAGACAAAAGTGAAAATGCTGTGATGAATTCCATTGCAAGTGCGAGGGTATACTCATAGATTGTTAATTTAGCACTTGAAGTCTCATCGAAGTAATTTTGAATTTTGAAGTAACTCATTTCGTCATAGAAAATTGAAAGAATTCCGTAGATACCTCTTACAGTTATGAAAGGAATGATGAACATAAGTACAATCATAGTCTTAGTACGGAGCCTCTTCACAAAATAATTATAAAGTGTTAAACCTGCTACAGACAAAGAATTGAGCAAGAAAATTATCAGACCCACAGATCTTAATGCTTTAGATGTAACCAACTGATGATTATATTCCTTCTCTCCAGGTGTTAAACCTGTCAACATACAACCACCTGCGATAATCATGGCATTGGCGGGGATCAAAGAATAATGGAATAATACCCTATATGACATTTTCCAAACCAAAGGTTTCATCAAGGGAGATTTCCCGAACACAATCATTTGTTCTTTCACGAGAAAATACAAAGTTGATAAGACCAATGTGAAGTACCCTTCAGCACTCATGATCAAATATGCAATTAACCATTTCCATTCATAATACCCTGCAGCCGCATATCCTACACCTGAAATTTGACCTCCGACCCTAATGAGACCATAAATCAATAAAAAGGTGTAGACGGATTTCCATCCTTTTTTGATGAATATGTAAATACTAGATACGTTATAAAGAACGTAAAGTGCAAGAAAAATACTGGCAGCTATGCCCAAATCGAGAATCTTAAAGCTCATGACAATTGCTCAATCTCAAGATTTTCCTTCGTACTTATATTTTTGACATCTACACGCGGCTCTAATAAATACGAACTACGAGGACCAATCAATAACGTCATGTCAAATTTAAGGTTTGGAGACCTTCACTTGTGAAAATTGTGACTGATCGTGACAGCGAACCGCATATTCGACAGCTGAACCCCGAAACCTCGAACATTTTTTGCATTAAAGAACTTCTCTTTTGGATTGATGGTCTATGGATTCCATAGGAATGGATTCTACGTCTGCAGTAACTCTTAAATCACTTAAATGGGGTTCATTGAACCTTTTCTTCACCCAATATATGTTCAAAAGTAGTGAGGCTGTAAGATATTCCATAGTAGTGGATAACACATATTCGTAAATTGTCATTCTCTCTCCCAAACTCGGATCGATATAATTGTCAACGTTGAAATAATTCATGTCGTCGATTTTACAAGCTAAAATCCCATAAACTCCTCTGACTGATAATATAGGAATGATACAAATCAAAACAACCATTGTCTTGGTTTTGATACCTTTGAAGTAACTTCTTAATGTGAAAAACCCTACCAATAACGACGATGCAAGAAACATCGTTTGACCTATGATTCTAAGTAAATTGGATAATTTAGCTTGGGGGTCTGTTTTTAGTTCATCTCCACTCAATCCTTGAAGTAAAGTGTTTGACACAACGATGAATGTATTTGCAGGAAGTAAAGAAAAATGAAATAATGATCTAAAAGTTGGACGATTCCAAATGCTGAACTTGAACAATGGTTTCTTCAACGGTGATTCTCCCCAAGCAATGAACTGTTCATCGATCAAGAAATACAAGTTCCCTAACACAAGAAGAAAATATCCTTCGGCACTCATAATCAAGTAAGCAATAAGCCAGTTGTACTGGGTGTACCCTGCTATGGAAAATCCAACACCACTTATTTGACCTCCCATTCTTACCATACCATAGAAAAGAAGTAAAGAGTATGATGATTTCCAAGATTTGTGGTAGATGATGACCAAACAATTGATGTTGTAAATGACATAAAGTCCTAAGAATACCGATGCTGCAATACCAAAGTCTTCGATAATGAAACCCATTTTTGTCTAGCTTTCAAAGAACTTTGCCCAGCTTCTTATGTGTTCTCAAATGGGAAGGTCGTAGTTCAGTTGAAGAGCTAAGGCTCTTTATCGATCGGTTTACGACCTAATGGGGCGAAGAGTCGGGATAACGCTCAAGTGCCAATTTTTCGATATTTAGGTTATTGCTTTTAAAGAAGGTGTTAAACTTCATATAACAGGATGGTAAGTGGTTCATGGGTAGTTTAGCGAGTACTACAATCCTCTTCCAGAATGAGCCAATACAACCACATCAAAGAATTTGAGTCAAATGAGGCTCAGACTGGAGATACCCAAAACTTGAATAAGCACCTGTTACTTGCATTGGTAAACTGGCACAAACGAATACTTCGTGAAATTGGGTATTTAAGCACTGCCACTTCTATTGTGACATTCTCTCGAACTAGGGTATTTAACTGTTCATGGCTAATTCCAGGCAATGTTGAGCATCTTATTGAAGCGGGGGTAGCAATAACTCCGACAGGTGACCGTCAAAATGGCCGCTTTCCGCATATTGTGTACACTAAATGGGGGTGAAGAGGCTGAGGGGATTATTCATAACACTCTGATAGGTCGGCGAAATTGCTACTTTCGTACAATTTCAGCGGAGGAAGTTTGTAATTACGATGGGAAGAGGCTTGGACCTTGATCCGCTCAAAAATCGCCCTGTAGGTATATGGTAAAGGTTGAGAGGGGCAGTGTTTTTACAGTAGCCTTATGATAGCAGCCTTTTTGCCACGGAGAGTTGTCGAACAAAGGTTTTTATAAATTTGTTATGTCCAAAAGGCTATGTTATGTGGGTGGAAATACTATCAAGTGAAAGAGTACCGAATAGAAGGATTTTAGGTTGAAGCCTTATCAATGACAAGAGATTCAGGAAAAAACCTTCTCCGTATTACACTGTCAGATATGACCGTAAACACATCAAGTAGAAGAAACAATTCGACCCAGATATTGGTCTTGAATCAATTAGAGACCAAATCTCGACTGCTTTCGCTTTCAAGCCTCTCTTCTCTAATTAGGAACGAAAAATCTATTGTGTACTCAATTCACTTATTCACGCTTAAATAACCCTCTTGTTGCCACTCCGGTGATGCTTCCTCCTATGGTACCTCTCTCAAAATGGTGATACCTCATCTGCCAAAAGTTCGCAGTGAAAAACTCATCTCAAGATGTTAAGTGAAAAATATGTCAATGAGTCCAGCGATGAAGAAATAGAAACTTACGAACCTCCAAAGCATTACAAACCAGTAAAAAGTAATGATTTCACCATTGGTGATAACAAACAAGTGTGGTTAATCAAATATCCTAAAAACATCAACTTGAAAAATCTCGATGATTTACCTATAAATTTCAAAAATGAAATAAGTGAGTTCGAAATGGATAAGAGACATTATCAAGTCAAAGAAAACATGGAATTCAATGAAGATAATAACAGTTATCAAATCTTTCACAGTTCAAAGAATGCTTTCAAGGTGAACAACTTGAAGATTAATAGATTCTACAATATCAGCGAAAAAGTCAACATACCAAAGATCGATTTAGCCAAGGTTAGAAAACCTAGAAAGGATGTTCCAAAAGTAAGAGGTTTAAGAATGAGACATTTCCCAACAGGTTATGATGCTAATGATTACGATTTGAACCAAGATGATGAAATAGAAGATTTCGAACCTGTGATTGAAGATAAAAAGGAAAAGAAGGAAGAAAAGAAAGAAAAAAAGCATAAGGATAAGAAAGATAAGAAAGATAAGAAAGATAAGAAGGAAAAGAAGGAAAAGAAAGAGAAAAAGGAGAAAAAGGAAAAAAATTAATATATTAGTCATTATTTTGAATTCTTAGTGAAGAGTTTGGAGATTATACTAATCATCTTGTGTGATTTCCATGACTCTTAGTTCGATATCTCTCTCTTAGGACATTTTGTTTCAACAATTCCCAGCTTAAGTATGAAGTCTCACAGTTCAATCTCATCGCGCATGGGTAGTAAAGTATCAACTGCAAGAACATTGGGTAAATTACCCATTAAAACGACTTTAGAGAGATCTACTGTCAACCAGCTACCACCAAAGCAATTGAAAGAACGATTCAATGGTCAACAAAACACAAACCCCGTAGAAAATCAAACTCAACCTGATGATAACGTAATGGACAATAACCACAATCTCATTGGTAAAGATGGACATGACCCAGATTTCATCAATGTTTTAAATCATCTTGGAAGATCTATGAAAGCTGTTGATTCAAATGAGATAAATAATTCAGAAGCCGTCAACCAATTAAAGAACAGAGAGAAGATATATCAAGCAAATAAGGAAAGAGAGGATTTGATAGATCCTAAGAAACTTTCAACTATCTTGAGTGATTTGAAACGATATGATGAACAAACCATCTTAAGGGAAAACAACATAACCTGGGGTAACGTATTAAGACATTTCAAAGTTGCTGATACTTATAAAGAGTTTAAAGAAACTAAAAAAGGAGAAGTTGGTCATGAAGGTGTTAGGAATTCCAGAACATTACAAGATTCTGATTTCAAACAAGGACGACAATCAGATATGATTAATCAAAGTGAAGATGGGGGTATTAGGGATGACATAAATGAAGAACTCCATAAAGACGGTAAGAATCTAAAAAATAGGATCTCCATTGAGTGATGAGGATACGACAAAGACCGAGTGATAAGGATCATGACGAGAATTGAATTGACTTTCCTGAACCGCATGCCATTAACAATTTGACATCAGATATCATATAGTCTATAATGTAAATAGTAGGGTAAACACCTCTAACTTAATATGTGCGACTCGGTTGATCGGAAACTCCAGGTATTTAAAAACCCCAGCAATCGCTTGACAATCTCCATGTTTCGGAAACTAGCTAACTACAGTATTTGTGATATATCTGACGGAATGGTCAAATATGGTGAGAAAGATGGAGGATTCATTCCCAATTTGATTCAACAATCGACCACTGATACCGTTATAGGTAAAGCTTATACTGTTTTATATGCCCCAGTTAATGATCCTCGACCTGAAATCAAGGAAGGATATATAGATACCGTTCCTAAAGACTCAATGTTGATCATTGGATTACCTAAGGAGTATCAGATGGTCAATTATCCATTTGTGAAGATCAATAATGCTTTATATGGTGGTTTAATGAGTACCAGAGCTCAGTATTTAGATTGTAAAGGATCAATTATATTGGGGAGAATTAGAGATCCACAAGAACATAAAGATCTCAAATATCCAGTTTGGTCTTATGGAATTGGATCCACATCACCTCTGATTCTAAAAGTAGTGGGGATTAATGTTCCTTTGGAGGTAAAGATTACTGATGTGGAAGGTGATCGAATTATTACCATCAATCCTGAAGATATCATCATGGGAGATCCCAGTGGTATTGTGAAGGTGAATCCTGATATGGTGGAGAAGTTATTGGACTATGTTCCCAAACGAGTAGACGCTGATGGTAAAGTTGCTGAAGATATAAAGAATGGTAGACCTGCAAAGGAAGCCCAAAAATTTTGGAGATCTAGAATTCAGACAATATACCAATGACTCTTTTTCTACTTATCTCTCTACTCTATGATGGCCCGAATGATCTTTCATGGCCAGAATACTCATGGTGGATAAACGGTGTTATCGTTATCATCAACTATTCTGTCATTTGCGATCTCGCGGTAAGTCACAAATGGATGTTAAACATTTAAGACTTTCAATCATTGGTAACAAGGATGTTAAATACAAACTTCACAATGAAGAGTCATTGAATGGATTGATTCCTTCCATTGATGATGTTGAGTTGTTTGATAAGTTGAACATCTTGAAATTTCTTTTGAAATTCGAGTCAGTTTCCAGTGACTTGAATGATAAGATATTGACATTGATAGTGGAGATTGTTGATAAATGGATGGCAGAATATCTTGGTGCTGGCACCGAAGACTTCAAATTCACTACTTATGAAGGTAATGGAGATTATCGGAAACTTATTTCACTTTCAATTGAAATTCTAGAACTTTTAAAGACTAGATCTAGTTCGACCTTGAATGATCTCCTTGTGTTGTTATTACTCGAGGAAGATGAACTATTATTGAAACTTCTTGAAGCCAACATTGAAATCTCTGATATCACCGTCAAACTTATGATCAAGAGATTGAAATTTGAAATCCAAAGACAGAACTATAAATTAATATATCGACTCATAGTGAAATTGAACGATAACATCAATGAAGATATGATAACCCGATTAGGCATAACCTTTGAACAACCATATATCATAGCCTTGAATAGTATCATTGAAAATAATGCTAATGAAGGTAACAATATCTTCAATTTGAATATTTTGAACTTTTATCAGATCTTCAATATCCAAATCAACTTGAATAAATTGATAGAATTGATCAATTTCAATTCCAAATCCATCAATTCATTCAAAATTATCAGTTCTAAGATCTTGAATGATGAATCAATCATCACTGATTTGAAAAAAATCAAGATAGATGTATTTATATTGAAGTACTTGAGTACCTTCAATAGTGAATTCAATTTGAATCATTTCTTGACTATCAATTTCAAGGATTTCTTATTGTTGGTATCGTTATTGACTTCTAATGATGAAGAATTCAGGTTGATTTTTATCAATCAGAAAGGTTTCAATTTCAAGAAATTAGTACTGTTCTTCTTGAATACTTATAAATCAATATTAAAAGGATTTGTCAAGATGTTATGCCAATCACCTAAAGATGTTCAGAAAGTTATTGGACTTATTGGTGATGAAATTTTTACCAATTGTTTCTATCTTATAAGATCTTTATCGAGATCTATTGAATTACTTCGTACTTTCTTCATTGAATGTGATCTTATCGATAACCTCATTGAAATACTTCAATTGCTAGAACTCATTAAGTTCAAAGATACTAATAAAATCATTATCATGAATATAATTGCTAATTTGATTCTTGATTTCAGCTCTTTCAGATACAATTTGATCAATAACGAGTTATTCTTCAAAGTTATCATGAAAATATTCAATCAAAATCATAATAATGAAATAAAACTATCAATTTTAATCATTATAAAGAATCTTTTATACAATGAAAATGAAGATAATAAGATAAATTTGATCAATGAATACTTCCATATGGACTTATTCCTCCCATTCTTGAATTACAACACCATTGAAGATGATCATCAGATAAAATTGAAACAGAAGTCCATTTGTTTCGATATATTAAGAAACTTATCATCGAATTCTAATCATTTCAATAATTACTTACCCAAAATAGTATCTAAAGAATTGAACATGTCATGGGATAACTTCTTAATAAGTAACATAGAGAACGTAGAATTGTTCGGAGAATCCAGTTTTGGAGATAAAGAGAAGTTAATTCTGAATGATGATTATGTGAATCTCGTATTATCGATCAATTATATTGAGAATCATTTATTCTTATCCAATGGGAATAATCATTTGAATGTCAAAATTTTGAAGATTTGGCTTGAATTCCTCAAAGTGAAATCTACTTCTGTTAACAATTATTCCATCAAATTATCCATAATCTGGATCTTAATCAATCTCACCTGGAAGAATTCATTCCTGATAAAATTATTCGATACCATTGAAAATCTAGATAACATGAATTTTATACCCCCTGCTAATACTGAAGGTCATGTCAATGATGATAATTACAATCAAGTCAAGATAGTTATGTTATTAAAAGAGTTAGGGTTCATTGATGTATTGAAACAATTGGTCAATAATGAAGTAGATGATTTGGTAGAAAAGATTAAGACGATTTTATTCCATTTCGAAAACATTTTGAATCATCATGAATCAGATAAAGGAGAAACTGAACCTCAACCCATTCAACCTGCTAGTGATAGTGATTATAATACCTCGGATGATGATTATTGGGTAAGATAATTATCAGATCTTTGATAAATCCGCTCCTTGCAAGGTTTAAAGTATAATTCCCAAAAAAAAACCCATATATATGAAATTCTCACAAACATTTTATTGGATGACTAACTTCTGGTAACTCTTATGTAACCGTAGTACTTCCTATATCCCTTCTTATTATCTATCAATGATGCAAGTACTTAGTTTCTTCTCATCACTCGCGAAAATTTTTAATCATGTCGGAAACTAAACTCAGTAAACATATAGATAAAGATACTAAAACTAAAGGCAAATATACATTAAATGACTTTCAAATCCTAAGAACATTGGGAACAGGATCTTTTGGAAGAGTTCATTTAGCAAGGCTGATTCATAATGGTAGATTTTATGCCATGAAAACTTTAAAGAAAGAGCGAGTAGTCAATATGAAGCAAGTGGAACATACGAACGATGAAAGAAGAATGTTAAAACTAGCTCAGCATCCATTCATTATACGAATGTGGGGAACATTTCAAGACTGTCATAACTTGTTCATGATAATGGATTATATCGAAGGGGGTGAATTATTCTCCTTATTAAGAAAATCTCAAAGGTTCCCCATACCGGTAGCAAAGTTTTATGCTGCTGAAGTATTTTTAGCAATTGAATATTTACATAATTTGGACATCATATATCGAGATTTAAAACCAGAAAACATTCTTTTGGATAAAAATGGACACATAAAGTTAACCGATTTTGGTTTCGCAAAAGAAGTTATCGACGTAACTTATACTTTATGTGGTACACCAGATTATATTGCACCAGAGGTAGTGGCAACCAAACCTTATAATAAATCAGTCGATTGGTGGTCATTTGGAATACTTATCTTTGAAATGTTAACAGGTTACACTCCATTTTACGATCCAACTCCAATGAAAACATATGAAAATATCTTAAATGGTACTATCACATATCCTGATTATTTACCTCCAGATATCTTGGATTTGTTACAAAAGTTAATTGTTAAAGATTTAACATCAAGATTGGGTAATTTACAAAATGGTTCAGATGATGTTAAGAATCATCAATGGTTTAAAGAAGTGATTTGGGAAAGACTTTTAAGTAGGGATATTGAAACTCCTTATGAACCTCCTATAACTAGTGGTATTGGAGATACCAGTCAATTCGATAGATATCCTGAAGATAAAGATTTAGATTATGGGATTTCGGGGGTTAATGATCCTTATGGAAGTTTATTCACAGATTTTTAAGTGTTCGGAACGCTTCCCCAATAAAATGGTCAATGATAATGATGAAATGTATAAATGATTAGTATTTAAACTCTTTTCACTCTTATTGGACTTTTGTCGTGGTCGAGGTGATGCGACACCCGACATGGAGCGCGTTTGACGAAGGGGTTTTAGACGAGTTATCAACTTTTTGAGATCACTAACCATTCATTGCATTTATAGGTGATTAGGACTGTTTTTTGTATCTTTGCATTGTTTCCATCTGCTTTATCATAAGACTACTACAATCCTACGGAAGTTTAAATGTCTGCCATATATACTTCAGATATCAAACATCATAGGAAAGCCCCTGCCCCACCCACACCTACGAGTAATTTTACCACCGCCAAAAGACGAAGTGGGTGGGTTAACTTGAAAGATGACGGGATTTTATCATTCAGATGGACTAAAAGGTTCATGATCATTAATGATAGAACCATAAACTTTTATAAATCTGAAAATACTAGTGAATCACCCGAAATACTGTTCCCATTAAATTTGATCCAATCAATAAATTTAAAAGATCTTAAAGGTTATGGGATTGAAATAGTCCCCAAAAATAAAGAGAAACCAATTTTGATCAGTATCAAATCTAATAATGAATATTTGGATTGGTTGGATTCGTTTATCACTAAATGTCCAAATATCACCATAAATAATAATCCAAACACAACTACCACAGAAGTTTCAAATCCTATAGATTTCACTCATAAGGTTCATGTTGGTTTTGATCCGAGCAGTGGGAATTTCACTGGGTTACCTGATACTTGGAAGAATCTTTTACAAAATTCGAAAATTACTAATGAAGATTGGAAGAAAGATCCAGTGGCTGTAATGGAAGTTTTAGACTTCTATATGGGTACACCCAAAAACAATACCAATGGTTTCCAGAATTTGGTTCAACCTCCAAAGAATTATAAACCTACAAGAAGTGCTCCAAAACCACCAATTCCTTATCATTTATCTAAACAAAATGATTCGAGTTCCAGCGTAAATTCAAAGTCTAGTGACACTCCTCCTGCTACTTCTAATATTAATGGTGGTCAGAGTGGTATTTCACCATTGAACAATTTACAATCTAAAGAGTTAAAACCTATCAGAAAGGCACCAGCACCTCCTAATGTTCCTAAACAACAACCTCCTAACTTACCAGGTATGAAACAGTTCAACCTTAAGAAACCTACACAACCTCCACATCAACCACCTCCACCTGCCCAATCACATTCCAATCAAGTATCACATCAACAAGTTCAAAAGCTTCCACCTCAACAACAGCAGCAACATCAACAAATACCTAAACCAATTCATACCAACCCTATAACTACCAACCAACCTCCAAAGACCTTAAAACCTCAACAAGTTGGTATCATACCTAAACCAACAGACCAAAGACCTATGAATGATGAGATTTCTCCATTGACTGTTAAGAAAACTCCTAAGCAAATCAAAAGGGAAAAGGAAAAACTTAAAGAACAACAAGTTATTAGTAAATTAAAAACCGTTGTTAATAATGAAGATCCAACCCCATTATTTAAGATCATTGAAAAGGCAGGTCAAGGTGCTTCAGGGTCAGTTTACTTGGCTAAAAATTTGAATAATGAAAAAGTTGCAATCAAACAAATGGACTTACTGGTTCAACCTCATAAAGATTTATTAATTAATGAAATTTTGATCATGAAAGATTCCCAACATAAAAATATCGTCAATTTCTTGGATAGTTATCTTCGAAATGATAATGATTTATGGGTTATTATGGAATATATGGAAGGAGGATCATTATATGAAGTTATTGAGAATAATGAATTTAAATTATCCGAAGCTCAAATCTCAGTAATTTGTAGGGGAACATTGCAAGGATTACAACATTTACATGAAAAGAACATTATTCACAGAGATATTAAAAGTGACAATGTTTTATTAGATTCCAAAGGTAATGTTAAAATTACTGATTTCGGATTCTGTGCTAAATTGACCGAACAAAGAGCCAAAAGAGCTACCATGGTGGGTACTCCTTATTGGATGGCTCCTGAAGTTGTTAAGCAGAAGGAATATGATGCTAAAGTTGATATTTGGTCATTAGGTATTATGACCATTGAAATGATTGAAGGCGAACCTCCTTATTTGAATGAAGAACCATTAAAAGCCTTATACCTCATTGCAACCAACGGGACACCGAAATTGAAAAATCCGGAATTATTGAGTAATAATATTAAAAAGTTTTTGTCTATTTGTTTATGTGTTGATGTAAGATATAGAGCAACAACTGATGAATTAATGAAACATTCATTTATAACAACAAGTGGAGATGTTGATGTTTTGTTCCCGTTATTTAATTGGAAAAAGGAGGAACATAATAATTGACCCACTAGGTTGACAAATTTAGGATAAATATAAATAAAACGTTCATAACTATAAAAACCTAAATGCCAATTTCGGTAGAAACTTTAAATTGTCTTTTGCATATGAGGCAAAATACCTTTTGAACCCTTACCAAGTTCTGACACCAAACACGCAAAATGTGAAACTTTATTGTGTTATCGCAGCTTATCTAGGAGGTTGTGGGAAAAACTTCATGCGAGTTCAGGAATATGGTACTATAACATACAGGATCTCTGACCACTTTTACACTCTCGTCAATTCAAAGTAAAAATCACATGGATTTACGAGGTGCGCATATTATCCTGGTAAGAGAGATATGACGTCTAGAAAAGATATGACGCGGGACTAAGTTAGTGATTAACCGATCGTAATTTGAATTATTACGGTGAGACCCAAGAACTTTTTGTCTAAGGGTTAATTGTTGCTGCGACAATAAGCTTAGCCCTACAGGGTCCAAATTCTAGATTTAAGGTTTTATCATTATTCATTATTCTATACATCTATCCTATCAAAGGTAGTTTAACTCACATCTGAACAACCTCTAACCCTGTCATTATATAAAGAAAGTCCTTTCTAATTTCCTACTGTTTTGTAAAAAAGGTTGCGAAATAAATAAATGTTGCTGACACATTTCCGATGAGTTTTTTTTTTTTGGCATTGCCCGAAATTTTTTCAAATGGGAACCCAGACCCTTGATACTAAACCCCCCTATTTGATCACCTCAACTATTATAATTGGTGATAAAATTGTGACCTTCATCTATATGTAAATCATCTTTGAATCTCTTATTGTTGTCATAATGGTAATAATATGGCATGTAGTAATGATCATGGTAAAGACTATTTAGATTATTGGAAATGTTGAAATCTTCTTCATTTTTGTACTCATAATTAGAAGGGATTGGTAACATGTAGTTCTTATTGTAAAACAAAGGTGGTGGTATGGATTGTGGAGTTCCTTTGCTATTATTAGACATGGAGTTGATTGATGGGATTGATTGTTGGTGCATTTGTTGGGGGATTTGTTGCTGTTGTTGTTGATGTTGTAATTGTTGAATTTGTGGTGAAACCTGTTGCATCTGCGGTACCTGTACTTGAGAAGGAACTTGTGGTATTGAAGGCATTTGCTGATGGGGAATTTGGGGGATCTGATGAGAATAGGAAGGTTGACTTAATTTTGACATATTTTGTAATTGGTAATTATTGTCTAAGAAATAGTAAGCTTCATCTTCAATAGGAACTTTACCTCCCAAATTACTTTCTTTGATTGCATCCCACAAATGTTTGTCGATTTGTAAATTTTTCAAATCAGATTCACTTGGTCTGCATAATTTTCCATTAATAACATCGTTAGCATTATAATATGAAATCAAGTGAATAGTTTGTTTATCAACATTATTGAACTCTTTCAAGTTAGTGGTGATAGATAAAGTCTTTTTGATCAACCCTTGGTCTTTAAAACCATGTTGAATATTATTGATTTCAAATTCATCATAGCTTCTTTTCTTTTTACGTTTCTTGTCCATGTCCATTGCTGATTGGTACATATTATTATTTTCAAGTTCTTTATCTAATTCTCTGTATACCAAGAATCTACCTAAAATTCTTGATGGAGACCAACTGATACCGTCGGTCCATCTTTTGATCCCACTATGTTCTTCAATGAAAATGAACACATTCCCTGATTTGATCAAATCTAATCTTTCTCTTTCATGAGGTCTTCTTGGGATCAAGTTTAGTTGTTTGTTTAAGATACTTTGAATAATAAGCAATGCATCTTTTGTGGATCCAACATATCCGTAATAGGATGGTGAAAGTTTGGTTGACATTTTTGATGGAAGTTCTTGTTGATTTGGGATAAGTTTTGTTATCTAGATTTCAGATCGATAAGTATATGAAATCTAGGTAATTATTGACAGATGTTTTTTTATATTTTAAAATAAATTCGAGAAAAATTCAGGGATAATTGATATTTATATAATTAATGCGCTTTGCAGTTCGTTGCGCTTCATGTGAAAGACCACCTTTCTTTGAGGATTTTTTGAGTGTCCGGATAAGAGAACAGTTTATTTTTGGATTCGCCAGCTCATTCCACAAAAAAAGTTTTTTTTTATTAATTTTTTTTTTGTTTGTTACAACTTTCAATTGACATTGACTCTATAGTAAGATCAGGTTCGGATGAATAATTTGCAGCTTTCTTTGTAGCTCAAGCCATAATATAACTCTAAATATAACCCATAATACAAATATAAACCCTAAAAGCATACGTCAAAAAGGGTATGGTTTACGAGATACCTCATGGTTACATTGGAAAATGAGGTGGCTCCAAATCATGCATAAATGTGCCATGGTTCTAGACTCAATTGTTTCATCCAATTACAATACAAATTATTAATAGTTATAGAGGTTTCTAATCACCTTCGGTTATCATTGTAAGATGAGGGTCGCTTAACTTAACCCAGGTTCAGAATGTTCAATTTCAACCTTCAAGTTTGTCGGTTAATTTTAGTGCTTACAAATTTAACTTTCTTATTATTTTGCAGGTTACAAGACGATGAAATTTACAAATCTATTCACGTGAGTTAAGGTTTAATTTAGTTTAACCCAACAGATTCAAATCTACCACACTAATACGCAGTTTCAAAATATATTTCGGCTAATGAAGGCAATCCGATTTGCTCTTAACTTCAAAACTGGCACTATCAAGGTGCCCCTACCCGTCAAACCTTATTATTGTTATTAAATGAAACATTATAATTGATATTGTTGGCTAAAATTCGAATTATGTCGGTCCATGTAGATCCGTTAAAGGTTTGAAATGTTTGATGCAATTAATGGATTTAAAGTACCAGTTATGGAAACTGAAGGCTAAAAGCCTGTGTATCAATAAATTCCAACTTTATTTTTAGTTGATCCGTTAACGTCGGTGTAACATTTCTAATTATAGGGAGTTAAAGCATTAATGTTTATACGTGGCAGATTATCGTGCGCAATAACATGGATTTACCTTCATCAGGGAAAAACCCAAATCTCTGCAAATCCAGCAATTGTATTACTAGGCTTAGTAGAACTAGGCTTTCTCTGTCTTACCCCAGAGAAAAATTTTTTTTGCACAGAGAAATCGATTTAGCCCTGTGCGGGTGTGGTGCCAGATATGGTGCGAGTAAGGTGGTATTGACAATAGTGGGGCGGCTATTGTGAGATAAGCCAAGAATCGCAAGATAGAAACCCCTATTTGGAAGAGACGTGATTCATTTGTAGTCATTGATTAATCTATTGATTCTGTTTTTTTGTTGGGAATAAGTTTCATTAGCCTTGATACCTGAAAGTTTAAACCACTCAATTGTCTGGATCTGAATAAAATCTTATTATTCTGTACATATCTGTGGCATTATCAAAATGATAACATCAGATTATCATCAGCATCTACCTCCGTATAGATCATTACTAAATCCAAATGCTAAGTATGATTATCAATTACATTCATTGATCCCTGTCAATGCTAATGATTATAATTATACAAAACAAACCATTAAACCTTTTAAGATGAAATATAAGAGTTTACTTAATGATGTAAACAGAAAGATTTCTATCAAATCAATGAAGTTTTTTATTAAAATAGATTTCAGAAACCTCCCTATCGAAATTCAGTATTACGTGTTCAGTCTTCTTGATATGGAATCATTGAAAAATTGCCTTTTAGTGAATAAAGATTTTTACAAGTTAAGTAAGAAATTCCTATACAGAGATTTGAAGTTTGATTCTAGTTTCAGACTTGGTCAGTTTATTACCATTTTGAGAATCAATTCCAAACTAGGAAAATTAGTCAAGACAATTGATTTGTCGGACTTAAAGCCTTGTAATTATGATGAAGAGAATGAAGAAAGTATTGAAATCAAAGCTGGTTGGAGAGATTGGAAGTTTTTGAAGAATCCTTTATATACTAATAATCTTACAAGAATTCAAAGTCATTCTCCAAGTCATTCTCCGAGTCAAGTTAGTGGTGAAGGTCATAATGGTACCACCAATAAGAAGAGAAAATTCTCTTTCTTGAAAAAAAGGAAAAAAGTTATTCCACCTGTTGTTGTTAATTATCACCCCACTATTAACAAATTCTTGGTAAACTTCTCCAATACCAAGGATATTCCTATTGGGTATTTACTCCATTTGATTAACTTATGTCCTAATTTGACAGAAATTAATTTGTCTAATGTCAACTTATCGACTGATTATGAAATTAATAGGAATTTCCATTTCAAATTTCTGACTTTTGATTGTATTAACAATTATCCCGTTGAAAGTTTGAATGTTCTTGGGGAAATTGACGATTCCTCTTCCATTTATAATGTCAAGTTATCTGAAATTAGTGATAATTATTCCATCTATTCAAATAATGAACCTATTTGGAAATATCATTCTTTACTTGAACCAATCCCTGTAAAGTACAATAATGATGGAAAATTATACTTGAGTGATATCAACTTGAAATCCATCAATAACAAGTTCTTAACAAGATTGAAAGAAGCTGATATCTTAAAATTGATTATTAAGTATCATTATAATAATGGATTCTTCAAGTATTTAGATTTATCTTCAATGGTTTGGTTGAATAAGGATTTAGTTAAGAAGTTCTTGTCAAATTTCTTACATTTTCCATTATCTTCAAGGAATACTGTCATCAATTTGAAGAACTCGGGGATGATCAAAGATTTGGCTTGGGCTCAATTAATTGATTTATCAACTAGTGAAGGTAGAAAATTAGCCATTGATATCATTAATGGTGAGGTAATCAGCTTCGAAGAAAGGTTGGTTTTGGAAGATAGAGAGAGAAGAGGAAGAATGGCTGAAAATTATCTTTAATTGTCAAAAAATCATGATTTAATGCTAATGTTATGCGGTTATGTTTACCTTTTGTAATACGTCCCCTATTGGGGGACCCTATTTGTTTTTTTTTTATGTGTTCAATTCTCATATCTAATAGATTTATAGAAGGTCTTCAAAAACTGAAGACCTAGATTGCTTTCTTCACCTGAGGTGAAGTAAAATCTTGCTACTTTTAAGTAACTAGGTTTTTTTTTATATGAATAATGTACCAGTTATCAGGTCATCACTATTTCATGAGTCAGCCCGAAGGCGACCTCTAACAGCGATGGTTTTAAAACTGTCTTGTTGTTCTTCATTAACCCAATCATTTGAATCTCTAATAAAGAAATCAATTCAAAGGATTGAACCAACGTAAGGAAAAAAATTTTCATTGAGAAGACCGCGCATTAAATACCCTTGATTTTCTGTTCCACCACTCACCAATCATGTCTGATTTATCATCACAGTTATCAGCATTCAAAAATAAGATCAAGACGGGACCATCCGTCTCTATGCCTCGTAGGCCTATCAGTTCTCCTTTGAAAAGAAATTATGAAGAATTCAAAAAGAGTGATACTCCTAAAGAGAAGATAACTGTTAATGATGCTATCAAGATTCATAAAGAGAATTTATCAAAACTTCCTGGATCCCATTTAGCAACCCAGTTACATTTGGCTGTAGAATTCATCAAGAATCAAGCTAAACCCGTTTCTATCAGTGATTTGTCAACTTATTTATCATCTTCTGAGATTACAAATACTTTGATCCCCTTATTACAAGAAATCGACAGAATCAAATATTCACCTGATAAGAAGACCTTTGAATATGCCTCCTTGCATGATATCAAGTCTAATGAATCATTGATCAGTTTCTTAAAAAATCAAAAAACTTTCAAAGGTATTAGTGTCAAAGAATTAAAAGACGGTTGGCCCCAATACTTAAAAGCTATAAACGAATTAGAACAGGAAAATAAAATCTTGGTATTAAGAACCAAAAAGGAAAATACCCCAAGATTATTGTGGTTCAATTTTGGTGGTAACTTGAATTTAATAGATGACGAATTTTCGTCAATGTGGTCCACAATAAAAATTCCAAACCAAGAAGATTTATATAAGTCATTAATCGACCAAGGTTTAAAACCAACAGGTGCTGATCCAAACATCATTAAAAGAAGACCAAAAGGTGAGGAGAAAAAACAGAAGAAAACCAGAAGAGGTAAGATTACAAACACACATATGAAGGGTATTTTGAAAGATTACTCTTCAATGATTTAATGATGAAAGATTTCAAATAGGAACCTATGAAACATTCCCGATAGTATAACGTAGCTGATATTCTCATCATGCATCTGGTATGTAACAATTGCATATACTATCTAATCTACCTTTAAATGCATATAGTGGTAAATGCCACAAGTTCTTTATTAACACATATTCTTATGTCACTAAAATATTTTAATATACCGGTTAACCAACAAGAACGCCGATCACAACCATACTGCTGCTTCGCAATCCAGTAATCTCGTACGAAGCCTATTTCACATTCTCACCCTTCTTATCCATAAAAGCTTATGTCAGTGGTTATGTAATCTGTTGTTGTTCGAAAATTAAGGCTTTAATTGGAAAACGTTATCAAGGATCGACCTTTGATGGAACATATCAGTCCCTTTATAATTTCACATCCGCCTGTATGATATCTCCAGGTGTTCGTGATGGTAATCTATTGAAAATCACCAATTGTGTACAGTCAAGAAATTAGAGTCATCCAAAAGCAACACCAGGCTTATGACAACGTGGTTCCAAACTGCTGTTCAGGAGAATGCATCCAATTGTCAGATAACCTACCCCAGCTTCATGAATGTTTAGTCGAAATCAATATCTCCTTTGATTCCCTTCGTCAACTCTAGTCCACTTTAATGGGATCGTCTTCGCGAATAAAATTTTCATCACAATGTCAGGTATGTGAGGGAGTTCTAGGTTAACAAGTCAAAATTCTGTGATTAATCATTGATTTTCAATCACCGTTTGACTTGAATCAAGTCGTTTTTTGTCATTAAATACTAACAACATAGTCGATTTCAACAGTGTCGCCACAGAATTTACTCATTTCTATTACCAAACTTTCGATAATGATAGAAATCAATTAGGTAATTTATACAGAGAGCAATCTATGTTAACTTTCGAAACTTCACAGCTTCAAGGTACCAAAGATATTGTTGAAAAATTAGCTTCTTTACCTTTCCAAAAAGTTGCTCATAGAATTTCAACCTTAGATGCTCAACCTGCTTCTCCAAATGGTGATATCTTAGTCATGGTTACTGGAGAGTTATTGATTGATGATGAAAAAAATCCCCAAAGATACTCCCAAGTTTTCCACTTAATCCCTGAAGGATCAAGTTATTTCGTTTTTAATGATATTTTCAGATTGAACTACTCATAAGTCACAACTTATCCAAGAAATTTCTAGTGTCACCCAATTTTCATGAATATAACATGCCGAAAGTACAATCCCTGATAACTTTCACTATTGTTACGGTCTTGAAATAGAGTAGTTGGTCAAAATATATAATATATCATTGATGGCATTATCCCGTCGCAGTTTCAAAATCACTTAGTGCTGAACGTGTCAGCCATAAATGGCCCGGAATCTCAACTCTACGTTGCAAAAACACCTCTCACTATGAGTATATCTATGACCATAGATTGTTTTGTGTACTCTCCTGTAATTGATGAAATTTTGAAGAGATGAAATTAAAGTTACATGTATTCGCTATTTAACCGTGTAATAAAGGAGCTAATCTGGCATTATATCTAGCACCTTGTACAGTGTTGCTGTCGATAATTTCTTGAACCTCTAACAACTCTTGGGCAGTTAATTCGACACTGTCGTAAAGTTGATCAATGTTAGCAATTTTAGCAGATCCAGGTAATGGAACAAGCTTGGTGACTTTTGCGATACCTTTGAAGTTTTCTTTTCCTGTCATACTGGAAAGATATCCTAAAGCAAGTTGTTCTAAGGTACAATTCTTCTTTTCATGAGCATAATCATGTAATTCCTTGAGGTATTTATGATTGGCTTCATAATTTTCAGGCTTAAATCTTTCAAGTCCACCAATAATTCTTCCATCAGTAGGAGCTAATGACTCTAAAAATCCAGGTGAAACACCTTTTTCGGTTAATAAACCTCTTCCTATTGGAGAGTAACAAATGATAGGAATTTCGTTTTCACTAGCAATTTTCAAAGTTCCCATTTCAAGGATATCTTGAGTTAACATGGAAAATTCTAATTCTAATAAAGAAACTTTACCATTAGCGATAGCTTTTTTCAAAGTTTCAGGGCCGACCTCACTAAGTCCCCATCCTACAACATAATCATCTTTAGCAACTTTAGCATCAAGATATTTAGCAACATCTTCAATTGGGGTAGATTTGTCGATTCTGGCAATGTTGAAGATGATCTTTGGTTTCTTATCTGTTCCTTCGAAAGCTTCTCCGATCGCTTTGAACTCACTATCTAAAAACTCAGGAGAACTGGAAGGACGATAAGTTGCTGGATCAACACCTCCTTTGTAACTCAAGATACAGTCACTAGAATCAAAAGATTTGAAGAATTCTGCTAACAATTTAAGATTGTTGAAAGCTGGGTCAACTTGGTAAATCATACCCCCATTGAAATGTCTAACACCGTGTTTCTCATAAAGGTACTTTAAAATCTTCAAAGATTCTTCTCTTGGAGGTGGTGTCTTGGTCCATGTTAAGGACAAAGTACCGTAAGCTTTATCTGGAATTTGAATTGACATATTTATAAATTTGATATTAAAATAATTGGTTTCTGAAAGGCTTAAATACTATTGGCAGCGGGTCCCGCTTTTTTTCGGATTTTTACAAATCCGTCAAATCACGGAAAAATCAAAAAGTGAGGTGGAGCCGACGCTTTCTGGTTACAACTTTTGTGAGGTCAGATAAAGAAAAGCGGTGAGATATTTTTTGCTGTAGTCTAAGTAGGATGGCCAGATAAGCTGTAATCATGGTGACAATAGTCAGGACTCCAACTCCATTGGAATTGCATAATTTTGAATTGAACAAGTATGGAACTACGGCTTGGATCGGGTGGTGTAAGAACCAACAATAGCCATTTTGGGAATAGAACAATATTCAAGGCTCCACTCGATTTCAATAAGGCTTCGCCATCTTTTTGAAATGACCCGACCTTCAAAGTGTACTTGTACTATTTCATAACCTATATTTATCGACGTTTATTCAAGCTAGAGTTTTCTGTGGTAGGGTTAAAGTGAATATTTTGATGCAAAAATCTTAGCTTAGTTTCCCCTGCTTGAAATGCAGATATCGTCTGCAAAGATAATGAAAGGCGTTCATTAACCATTATGTGGCTATTTGTTTGAAATTCCCGCCTGCGAAATATTCGCTTGGGGACGAACTTCATTGGTGTGTTTACTCACGCATTATAAAAAGACGCAACGCAAAAAGATAAGAAATTGCAAATGGGACAACTTTGAGTCTAAGCGCCGCAAAGCTTCGCCTATACTCATAATTGACGTTCCAAGATTTAAAAAATTAGGTTTCTGTGAATCAAGGTTTTCTATTCCTTAATAAACTGAAGCCAGTCTCCTCTGTTTACTCTAGATAACCACGACTTTCGCATTTTACTGAAATCATGGAACCTATAATCCCTAAGAGACCAGTTAAAAATACAACTCCATCTCCAACTGAGGTGAATACATCCGAAAATCAGGAAGCTAAATTGGAACTGTCGACTGATGGATCACCTCCAATAATTCCTTCAAGACCAAAATCGAAAAAAGCCATCAAATCAGACTCAGAAACTAACCGAGTCGATTTGGAATCAAATGATACCAGTTCTAAAGACGCAACAGTTGACCTCCAAACTACGGATCCAGTAGCTGATACCAACATTAGCATTGATACCGGTTCGATCGTTTCCGATGAGCCATTGAAAGACGGTGAGAAGACCCCAGGTAACTCAAATTCCAAAACATCTTTCAAAGACGTCGATGATGAAACAAGCTTTGATGATGATGAGACCATCAAAACTGGGCCAACAAACACAAGTGAAGTGAATGAATTCCTAGAAAACGAATTGCAGGATAATGATGTCCTTCAGGATATTGCTCAAACAGAAGACAAAGATAGTCAAAATGATAAAGATTCCAGTTTAAAGTGCATGTCAGAGATTCCAGCAAACAATGCAAAAGTCACCTCGATCGAAGAGAGTCCTTCGTCTGATGAGATTGGAGTCAAAGAGGAGTCAGAACTCAATGAGAAAGGTGATGAAGATATTGTACAAGCTTCAATACTGAGTCAGGATGAACAATCTCAACAAACAGAAGTTGTTGAGGAACTGGTTGTTCTGTCTGATAGTTTCCAGCAAGACAAGTCTCCTATCAATGATGAAAATCTCGAGGAAGAAACGGAGTCCAAGCATTCAATGCCGATTATTCCAATGAGACCAAAGAAGGCCAAGCAACTTTCAACAGGCGATTTGACCAAGAATTCCTCTTCGGATTCGGTACCATCCATCCCTTCAAGGCCAAACAAAATGCCTCCACCCAAACCGAAAAAGTTATCTTCAAAAATTGCTGCATTTCAACAATTCTTGAATAATGAACCTGAGCCTGCTAAACCTTCCCCCAAGCCCAAAACAGATACTAGAGGGAAACTCTCATCCTCGCATATGAAATTCGCTCAAAACTTACAAGGTATCATGGGCAAAGGAATCCCCTTACCAGGTATGATGGACCCTCGAATGAGGTCTAATGAATCGCTTGTTGAGGGGAAAGGAGTAGAAGAGGACGATAAATATCCTGACAAGACTGGAGATACTGGTGAAGCAACCGAAGACAAAGAAGAGAACAAACCCATCAGAAGGGCTAAGGGCCCCAAAGGTAAAAGATTACCAAAGAATTTATCAACTCCAGTCAATATCGAAAGTTCCAACAAATTCAAAATTGCCACTGGAGATCTCTGGACAGTTGAGGTTAGACCGAAGGAACAAGTTGAGGTCAAGCTGGAAGATATGCCTGGCATTGAAGGTGGTGAAAGTTCAGAAACTGGTAACTCTGAACGGATGGCTGTCGATGACGAAAAGCACGTGGAGGATTCTAAGCCAGATTCTCATGATGATATAGTAGATGAAGTCGCAGCTAATAATGATAATCCCGTAGAAGCGGATAATCAGGAATCACTCAGCAAAGAAGGAGGAAGCTTTGAAGAAGAGAACATTACAGAATCAAGAAAAGTGGAGAATCTTGATGAAGAATTTGACTTCGGGACCCCATCCCAAACAGAACCATCAGAAGACTCGACAAATTACCAGTCCAAAGATCAAGAGAGTCTCTCTGCTTGCAAGAAGGAGGACGTCCCCGAATATGAGGCTAACGGACTCGAAACTGATATTCCACCTCATGGGGAGGAATCTGATAAAATTGAACCTTCAATGAACTCATCTCACGAAATCATTCAAAACTCCCCAGATGAAATCGAATTGAAAGAAGATGTAGAGATTTCGAGCTGATCATATTTTCAATATATAAAATGTCAATAGTTGTAAAATTCACTAAACACCGCGCGCTGAGTAAATCCGCAACATGATTAAAAGAAGGAAGAGAACGAATAAATGTGTTAGTTGTAGAAGGTTGAAGATTTCATGTAATGAAGACAAACCCAGTTGTGACTATTGTGTTTCCACCAACAGGGAATGTGTTTATGAACCACTAGTCAGCGTTCCCACTCCCAAGCCAGTGGTGAAAAGGAAATCTACTCGGAAGTTGAAATATTCATTAGACAATGGGCCAACGACAAATCCTTCCAATAGCATAAGTGAAAGCGTCGGAGATTCATTGGTTGTTAGTGAGACTTCAAGAGGAGCAATAGGCAGGGAAGAAGATTTCCTTCTCGATAATTTACATCCCCAAAACAATGACATCATCAATACACAATTGGCTTTGGCGACATCAGACTTCAATTCCATGACATATCAACTAGGAATGACCAGATTCGAGTTACGTTTGACTAAATTTTTCAGTAGCTACTTTCTTGACAAAAGAATTGAAATTCATCAACTAGATGAAGGTTTGAGAAGTAGAATCATATCCAAATGGAACTCAAATAAAACTTTACAGAATATAATTTATGGCATATCGACAATGTTATTATACAAGGAATGTGATGTCAGTAAGATATTGACAGAAGATAAGGAAGTTGATTCAAAAATGAATGCTGACTTTAGAATAATAACCAACAATAACAGATTGGACTTGTATCTCAAATCTTTGAACTACTTCCAAGAAATGATCAAACTAATGCAACAGAAAATCGACGAGTTGATACATTCGGACAACAATTTCGGATCATTAGAGGATGGTATAGAACATGTAATCATTTCGATCTTGATGTTTCTTTTCATTTTGATGGAACCTTTCAAGTTAGTCCCTTTGATTTCGTTTGATAATGAACCTGATGTCTTGGTATTCTGTGCTGGTATATCTCATTCCATTTTCCCTATATCTGAAAAATTGATGTTCTTAACCCACGACAGGAAAAATTTAGCAAAATACAAAGATATAATGCTTATTTTCCAAGATGATCTCTCCCACAAGGAAGTCAACTACCCATTGACACGTCAATTACTCGGAGATTTTCATCTGTGTCGAATTGCTGATGGTTTCAAGATATTTCCTGGAGAGGAAAGCGAATTGTCAATGAATGATATTCACCATGCTTATCTTTTGCCCATTTACAGGTTAGATGTTTGCATAGATAAGGTCATGAAATTGAATAATTCAACTTATTTATTCCGCTGGATTTTTCTCATGACAAAGGTGTCATATAATAGAATGAAAGAAAAAGACTTCTTTGGCTTGAAACTACTATTTATTTATTGTTGTGTCTGTCTTTGGTGTGGTATCGATTATTATAACAAGAATGACTCGAATCCATTGGTTGATTATGTATTGTTCTACAAAAAGCATAACTTTGATACTTACGGTGAGTGGAAACAGCCAAGTGACAAGTTCTATTACGAACTTACCATAGACCAACAGTTTGTTTTCCCTAATTATTCTTTCGATATTTTGAACCATTTCACGCCCGAGTCGTACCTGGTATGAAAGGCTGGATCCTTTCATTGCATTTCATTAATCATTATACATACAGATTCCATCAAAATTCATTTTTTACCTTCTCTGATCTTTCTTTCACCTAATGGGATGTATCTGTAAACGTCGGTCCCTGTAACTTCTACCTGTGCAGAGGATTTTATTCCGTCATCACTTTCTGGTTTTTCCCTGATTTGTCCCTTATCTTCGTGTTGCTTCTCTGGTTGTTCTCCTTTTGTCTCATCTTCATGCAATTGTTCCTTCAAGTCTCTACGTAAGAGCTCCACTCTATTCTCGATTTCTTCATCTCCTACATCCGCTTCTTCTAATTCCACTCGTAATTCCATGCACTGGAGCTCTATCTGTCTCATGGATTTATGGTCTAGTAATATTTTCTTGTTCTCTTTTTCAAACTCACCCTTTACTTCATCTTTCCCTGCCATTTCAACCTTACGCTTCTTTGCCATAATGAACTCTTCATACTTCACTTCATCAGATATTGAAGCTAAATTATTCTGTACATGACCTGAAGTACCCGAGCCTCTGGCTGTCCTCAAACCTATCCCATTGTAAGACATTTTCTTGTTAACATCTGGTACCAGGAAACGCGAACTATTTTTTTTTTTTTCAAAATTATTAACCATGAGACTTAGGATAAGACTATTGATATTGGTATCAATCTTCAGTGTTATCGCATATATTGGCTATATAAGCTCTTCTAATTCAGAAGATTTAGATTATTTGGCAAGAATAAAGCCTTATATTTATAAGGATAGTGAACCAGATTACAAACCAATTGTTGGACAAGTTGAAAATGATCCTAGACACCAATTCTGGGATAAGATTTTTGATATTTTTGATGCTGGAGACTTCAACTTGGAGGGAGTTAACGTCAAAGATGCCATAGAGTACGTTGCACGTGAAGATCAAATTGAAGGTCCCGATACAAAGAATGTTCTTTTGTCTAAAGCCAAAATAAAACCTGGTGTTTTCGATGAATTGAAAAACAAACACAACTTGGTGAAGAGCCAGTTACCGAAGAAGTTGGCTCCATCCACTTACAAGCTGGGTTCCAGTGGAATTGTGTTGATTGGAGGTATCAAATTTTCATGGTTGTCGTACTTATCTTTGGTTGCATTAAGAAAGGCGGGATCTAAATTACCTGTAGAGATTATCATGCCTCAGCATGATGACTTCGTTAAAGAGCAAGAATTTTGTACCACTGTGTTACCTAGATTAAATGCTGCCTGTGTTGTTTTACCAGATGTTTTAGGGGCCTCTGTCATGGTAAAATGGTCCAGCAAAATGGCAACTTATCAATTGAAGTCATTGGCTTTGATGGTCTCCAGCTTCCAAAACGTTTTGTTGTTAGATTCTGACAACATTGTAGTACAGAATCCCGATAAATTATTTGAAAGCAAACTATTCAAGACTCACGGGATGATAACCTGGCCCGACTATTGGAAGAGATCCATTTCTCCCTTATTTTACGATATTGCTGGTATTAGCGTCAACGAAAGGAAAAGAGTTAGGTATGGGAGATTCCCATTAGCCGTTGACACCACCGTTAAAACGAATGTCGAAGAAAAAGAGGATGAAAAGGAAAATGTCCCTTATCATGATTTGCAAGGAACCATTCCCGACTTATCCACAGAGTCAGGTCAATTCCTTATCAACAAAGATAATCACGCTTGTACTTTATTATTGTCAATGTACTATAATATGATGGGCCCCAATTTGTATTACAAGCTATTCTCTTTGGGTGCTCAAGGTGAAGGTGATAAGGACACTTTTCCTGCTGCTGCAGTTGTTTGTAAGGATAATTTCTATCAAGTCAAATCTTTCATCAAAACATTCGGGTACTTCGACGACAAGGAACAATTCCAAGGTGTAGCCATGGGCCAAAAAGACCCTCTTGTTGATTTTAACAAAGTTGACACCCATGTGATCAAACCGTCGTACACTAAAGAGTTGAAATCCAAGCCTATCGAAGAACAAATTGAAAGGATCAAGACAATTGAAAGTGAGCACTTTGATCAAGATTCATTACCTTTATTTACTGTGCATTGCAACTATCCAAAATTGGATCCGATAAATTTGATGGATAGAAAGGACATGTTTGATGAAGAAAATTACAGATTGAAATATAGACTTTACAGCGATTTGAAATATAACGATCCAAATATAAAAAACAAACTATTAGATTTTGAATTGGAACAATGGAAAAATATTGATCGCTCGTTATGTGAGGAATCCATAAGTTTTGTCCACTTCAAAAATCACAATATTGAAGAAATCTGTAAGTTTGCAAAAGCTCAAGTAAAATGGTTAAATGGTAACTAATGCTCTTAATTTATAATTTCGGTATATCATACTTAATAAACATCATTAATACAAACTTAATTCTCAGGACTGGTGTTCCCCAGTATCAAATCGAAGAGTTCACGGCTAACAGATGAAAATATGTTGGAAGATTGGTCATATAGAACATTGAATCCTTGCAATTTCGATTATTCACAACACAGCTCACCACAAGTCTCTCATGCGAATTTACTCATGATCTGTTGCAGCGCATTAGAAGATGAGCCCCCGAAATAATGTCAAGCATTGTCTTTCACATTAAACACAAAACCGAGAGATAGCTATGATATTTTCACGATGAAAGTTACTTCTGTGGTGCTTTCACGATACGTGGTTTCATACCATTGATGACCGATTCAAAATCTTTCATCTCGAAATAGATACCACTAAGGAGAATTAATTTTTTTGCAAGTTTCGCAATATTTTCTTATTCATTAATTACTATGAAATACGATTAAAATTCAATGCCACTTTCTCCAATTCAGGTAATCGATGATCAGCAAAATTTATGGTATGATAACGTGTTTCCCTAAGGTTCCCTAAGGTTCCCTAAGGTTCCCTAACAATAGCCATTAGAACTCATCTTGAATTTTGGATAGCTTTGAATGCTCATAACCAAGGACCCTCTGACGAGTTAGAACTTTGGAGCGGGTACAATGCAAAAGAAAGCTTGATAACAAAACCGTCTGACAATCTGCAAAGATTGATATGAATCAAGAAAGATGATACAGTAATTCTCTTAAGTCATTCCTGTTTTAAGTTCTGGCTACAAATGCAAATTTGGTTCTTTTTAAAAAGGAAGCAATCTATCTATTAAATGCACCAAGCTCTCATGGCTTGACACTGTAACTTTATATGACATTTGAGTACTTCAAACATATGTCCTCTATTGAAAAGAGATATCTCTATAATCAAATCACGTGATATTGGTCGAAAGCAAAAAACAGGTCTCACATATATGAACAGTATTGCATTTATTGAACCAAAGACTCTCTTCGCCTTGACGAACAACAAATATTAAAAGAGGAACTAGAAACTTTTTTTTGACAAATTAATGAACGAATCTTGAGGTCTCTGGTATAATGAACGGAGCATTCAGAGTCCTCAAAAAACAAAACCAACAGAACATTGTAGAGCTTCGGCAGGATAATCCACATTTTATACGAAACTCACCCTCTTTTTAACAATGAACGTGCAAATTTGAGTTCTTCAACACGAACACTATATAATACGCAATTTTAAATAGCTGGAAAACGAATAATTATCAATATCGAACTATCATAAAGCTAAATGATTATATTACAAAACAAAATGTAATATTACCGACAAAAACCTAGAAACGTTAGTAGAACTTACTATTAGCAGTCACTCTCACAATAATATTCATGTAAAAACATGTAGGGAGCTTCTGAAAGAACATTGAACTTCAACAACTCATTCCTACAGTATAGCCGGGTAAACAAGAACGAATTAGGAACTGGAGAATTCCAAGCATATACTATATTTCCCTTCATTTGATTATGAACAACATATAATTTTCCCGACTATGTAACAGTTCAAATGGTGACAAGGCAAACAAAAAAGAATATTACCTAAGAGCGTCAAGATAACTAACCATCATAACCACTCATTCCATTACATTTATATTTTTACAATCATAATAGCAGAACTTATCATCACTTATACTTTCATCATAGCGAGAAACTACAGAATATAACTTGTATTTAGCATTGGTAAATATCTATAGACTTTAAGTACCTAGAATGGATCAATAACGTAACATCTTCACCACATAGTAATAAGGTACTTCTCGGTATAAGTGTTTTGAGAAACCTTCTATGAACTGTCAGCTATTATAGTCTAATATGACATGAACAGTTTCAATTTCAAAAAGTACCTAATGAGCTGGATTGCAATCAAATAAAATGCAATTCATCAGTAATCTACAAGGTTTTTGTCTTGAATCGTTTGTTGTTTGTACCACAAATCAAGCGTTCTCGAAACATCGGTTAACCTACGATGTTGTAACACTCAAATCAGATTATCATTCGATCTGCTCAAACCCAAAACAAATTATGTTTATCCCCTCAATGAAGCAAGATATGCTTCTAGCTGACAAGTTTATTTCGAATTCTCCAAATAAATCATCATACCCATGTTTGTGACCTTAATATATAGGGCTCTATAAGGTAGACATATCATCGAACTCATTTTTCAGTCGTTCTCCGTCTCGTAGCTCAAATGTAATAATAAATGGTGAAGTAACTGATTAATCTATGGTCCCTTCATATATAATTTATCTCTCCACGTACATCTATCAACCATCTTACTAACATATTGGTTTCACAACTACAATTCCAAAGAAAAATACTATTAAAACTACTTTTAAGACTACAGTGTCTATCTAATCTTTGTAAGAGATCATTTCACATTGGTACAAGAAAGTAACTAGGTATTACATGCCCGATGTAAGCTGAGGGTCCAAAAGCTAATTTCTTGAATGATACTACACAAGCAACAGAACATATTTCAATCGTGAGAGGTTGAATCAGAAAGTCTTGGGTACGAAGACAACCAAAAACAAAGAGAATGATTCAAATGAAAACAAAGAAGCTCGAGTGATGTTTAGTGACATAAAGCAAAGTCAGCATTAATGATTTTGACCCTTCAATTGTGCAATGAAAATTCAATACAAAGGGTGAATATCGGAAGAGAGTTAACATCAAGTTGGTTTGTTTCTATTCCCAAAAGTAGCATGCTTCTCTTGTGAATTCATTGTTTTACTAAAGAACAGAAAGTCATCCAATACTTTAAACCCAAACCAAAGTAGAAAAGATATCACACTTACGATTCGAATTAATTCATTGAACACACAGTAATGAACACAGGGTAACCATTGCTCATATTCTAGTTTTCATCTGGTTCTACATATTGTTCAATCGGCAAGGTCAATTTTTTTGTGGAACAGTTCAGTACCATGTTGTCATCTACTTCGGATTGAACCATCTAGGAACATTGAGAAATGATTTCTCGAGGTTGTTATCTGATGGAATATAAGAAAAGTTCTGTTTTTCAATTCATTGAATAGGTAGTACATTATTCTTACCGCGTATGTGGGAGTCGTTTATAGGGTGTGAATATTCATCATGTCAATTCGCTTAGATAATTGATTAAAGTACGCTCTTTATTTATGCAAGCAGAATGAACATATCTTATAAATTTAAATGGTAAATATATAAGCTATTCTTTGTTCTTCAAATCCCTTATTGCTAGATTCATTAAACTAAAAGACGTACATATTTGCCATTAAAAACGACAGAAGAAAATTAGAAGTGAATAATATTAGTTCAACTAATGCTTTAATCATGTCAAGTTGGGAGCAAGCAAGAAACTGACATATCCTGGTCCAAGATAGAGAGGCCAGAACTTCCAATTGCTGGCTGTTTCTCCGTTTCAATTCATGCTTAATCTTTTTAATTCAAACCTAATCTTTGCTCGAAAGTGTTTAATTGCGTGAGAGGAAATAACTCCGTTATCTATTTAATGGTATGCACGATATCATTAAGATGTTAGGATTCGAGATAATAATATATTCTATATCCGCATCCGCATAGGAGGACAAGTCTTGACATAGATGTGAATTTCTGTAAAAATATTGGAATTGCTGTAGATGGCTACTAAGATCTTATTCCCAACGGTTTCTGATTCTCTCTTTTGAAAGATAATATTGTTGCCAAATGTACCTTTCATGGAAGTATGAGTGTACCCTGAACGAATTTTTAGTTTAGTCGTCTGAGATATAGAGTACGGTCGGTTCTCTAGTATGTAATGATTTTATATTTGTACTTCAGATTTTATAGTTTTCTGCTTGTTTTTTAACTCAACTTTTTTCTGACAGTTTTATTTTCATTATGTTAAGTTCATTTAAACAATGTAGGGCATTTTTCTCTTCTTTTTTTGAATGTATCTTCTTTTGGAACACTTGCTTTTTAATTTCTCATATTGTGACAACAATTTTTTTAGGAACTAATTGGTTTACTTCCCAAAATTTCACCCATTGGAGAGACTGGTGATTACACCCACGATTTGTTCGAGTCAGATTCGTAAGAGTCTTGGGGGAAAAGATGGACCTAAGAGATTAAAGACTTTTAAGCTTATCATCTTTTGAGCTTCTGTTTTTGTTCACCCTCTAATTGAAACTCTGAGGTTGAATGCATTTCGAAATAAGTCAAGGTTCTTTTCTGCGATACAGTGGTTCGAATATTAAAACTTTGCTCATCTTTCTAATGAATGTTTTCTTCCGGTGTACTTGGAAGTATTCTTTTCTCTCGATATTCTGTGTGTGACAATATCTATTTTGATAGATTTTTGATATAGGTATGTATATGTCCAGAAGGCAGAGCGGAAGTTAGACAAATTCCATCTCGGTAGATCTTTGCTTTAAAACATACTTATTTAAATACAAGGTTGTAAATATTCTCGTTGAATTTAGTGTTCGACCTTTTCCTCACATGTTGTGAAAATTGCAAAAAATAAAGAGAATTTTTTTTAACTTATAGAGATACGTAAAAATATTCTAAAAACGATGTAAGTATTTCATTGAAAGATTGTCAAATATACCTGACCTCTAACTGCTGGTATTATAGCTTCTTTCTTAATTATCAATCTGAAAGCACTTCAGTTTCTTACCATACCAATTGCGAATTTAACAAAAGATTTTTTCAGACTTCTCAGAATAAGTTGTGAATTCTCACTTCACTTGCTAATTACATGTAAATCTACTATTTCATTAAAGTAGATATTTTTCTTTTTTCAGAAACAACTGGATCAAAAGGCAGTAGCCGTTGAGAGAGAGAGAGAGAGTGTGAGTAGTATACGTTTATACTAACATTTTTCGTATCATTCATTTCTAACTAGTAAAGTATTTGTGGAGTTACTATAATCTTAAGGTGAAGTTTTCACCCAGAATGAACAAAGCTCCAACAAAGACCCCGTGATAGTATTACTTCAGGACGATTCGAGTGAGATTATGTAAAATATTTATTAAACATTCCATAAAAAAATGAGGAAAAAGACCAACCACCCAATATCACCACTCTAAAATACACTTTACTATATACATAACTTCAATTACTTACTTTCGTTGTTGAACAAATTCAAAGTTTTAAATAAAGGTTTGTCATTATAATTCTTATTGAACTTGTTACCATTATTTTCAACTTCGAGGTTATATTTTGACCAATTAATAATTGGAGACTTCAAAATTTTATTCTGTTTTGGCAAATTTAATTCATTTTTGACTAATTTGACAAAAAAATCAATTACCTCTCCATCATTTTGGATATTGTCAAAATTGGAGTACAATTTTGACAACTGTAATATCTCTGTTTCAATCTTTGACTTATTGTTATTCAATAATCTTAAGGAAGATGTGAGTGCAATATAATCAGGATTTGAAATTAGTTCGTCAGTGGTTGAATTTTGGGGATCACATACATCATTAGTCTCTCTGGATTGAAGTTCATCACTTGTTTGACCAAGATGGTCATTTGTAAGATCTTTCTTATTAACATTATCATCACTATCATTAAACATATCATTGTCATCATCATCGTTATTTTGGACTGCATCAAATGGGTTAACACTATCATCTAAGTCACAGTCACCAACAGAGCTAGGTATGTCCATATTGATCTCGACTATATCTGGCTCGTCTTGATAGTCCTCCTCTTTTGGTGTCAATAATGGACTGTTCTCGAAAGTGACTGATTTTCCATAATCTTTTTTATACTTCTTTGGAGATTTGAGCTCACCTTCAAAAGGCGATGGTGACCTTTGTTGTAGTTTTTTCTTGAAATTCATTTGTTTCATTTTCTTATTATAATTTGTATTTGTATTGGTAATATCTTCTAATTCCACCTTTCTCTTCATGTTCCGTTCAGAAACAGCCATTTTCGTAAACTAGTTTATTCTAAACTTTTATGACCTAATCCTTGATATGGTATACAATCCTATGAGATCTATAAAGGGTCAAAAATTCAATAAATGGAACTTTTGACTTGAAAAAAACCAGTGGCGGGTAATAAAAATCGGAGTTTGCTAAATTTGAATGACTCAAAAATTCAAGTGAAATTTGAGTAAAAAAATATAAGAAAGGGGGTTTCAATTCTTTATCTATCAATAGTTAAACTAGTAATATCAATATCTTGGAATTCTTGGAGTTTCGAATAATTCCACCTAAGGATTATTCACAGGGATTTCTAACGTTGAAAAATTTGTCAAGTTCGCGAAATTCCAAGAATAGGGGATTGAAAGCTGGAAGGTAGATACACGACTAGGCGGTGTCGTGGTTCGAAACCAAGCCCAGACTTCAAGGAGGAGACATTTGACTGACAGCTGTTAACAAGATAGATAAGTATTGATAAGACTAGCCACCCTTGGTCATTCTATTTCTGTATAACCAAATTCTCTAGAATATTAGAAGAGGAAAGATGAAATGTGATGTCGACCGTACTCTAGACGTACGAGTAAGTGGCTCTGCTTTTCGAATTCGCCTGTAAACAGGTGTTCAATGTTGGCATACGACAGTAACACTCTAAGGATATTTCTCTCTACTGCACGCATACAGTGACTTTATCCACAATTTGTAGCATTGCCACTACAACCATTCTAATCGTGTAAATTTTAAAAAGAATACCGTAGTAAAGAGAATTGACGACAATTTGAATTGATGATTTTTCTATTTACAAGTAATTCTAATTATCCCTTTTGGTGATTTGGTTACCGGTCAATTTCTTGATATCATTGGAAACTTCTTTGGCCATTAATTTGAAATTCCAAAATCTTCCATGCTCTTTTCTTAACTTCTCCTTTTTCTTCTTCAATTCCTTGTTTAAAATACCAACTTGTTCATCGTAAGGAATACCCGCTTCACTTTCTGCCAAAGTTTCCTTACCAAAAAGGAAATCAAACACTCTTCCATCACTCCAAAAGAATCCCCTACGATCTACAACCCAATTTTTCACTGTTTTACCTGATTCATTTATTTCTTTCAAAGTGAAGAAAAATAAGGATGAATCACTGGTACCATAAAAACCTTTACCTGTCCATACTCTTGCTTGATGTTTACGCTCCAAATGTTTCAATGGAATGGTGATAACTGGTGTTGGTCTACCTGGTAATAACGGATAGGATGTGAATTTCACGTGTTCCACAGGTCCAGGCAAATAATACATCCTTCTGACTAATCTCTGTGGGAAAGTAAAGAATGCATAAGAGGCTCCAAGCATGATTCCACAGAAAATCGAATTCTTCAATACATTCAAAAACCACTCTCTTTTCTTCAATACTTCATTTTTCTCTTCTTTGTTTTCTTCATAATCTTTGTTCGCTTGGAAGACCGCCCATTCTCCTAAAACAATAGCATACACCAACAATGTTAAACCGAAACAGAAACACGCTAAAAAGTATAATCTATGAGGTTCACTTTCGTAAATCAACTCTTCTTGTCTCTTGTTTCTCAAAATCGTGATAACTTGACGGAAAGTATGATCCTTCCCGACTCTAGGGACACCAGGTCGAGGCAATAAAGTGGGAACATTCTCCTTTCCCAATGGAAATTTAGGAACTCTATCTTTTAATTCATTTGTTTGAGTCTTTTCTCCAGGAATGTAACCTTCGATGACTTTCCAGTCTCTTGGAGTAAGATTAGTTGGCTGATTGACCGAGCTAGGCGTGGAATTGTTTCCATCAGGCTTGACAGGCTTACCAGAATTCGGGGTAGAAGGTAACGACTTGAACCTTTTTAACACTAAAGTCCTAGGTCTAATCATTCTCAAAAAATTTTCTCACTGTTCTGACCTGATATAGTTTAGAAGAATTGATGCTGTACCATTGATTTAGTAATATAAGACAATAGAGGGTCAAATGCGTACACCAAGTCATCATTAACTTTCATTAGACTTCAATTTTCGTTTTTCGAAGCTTCAGCTCCCCATCAATTAACGAACTTGAAAGACTGCGGTGTAAACGGAGCAGTAGGCTTATATACCAGAGCTGTCTGTACTTCCAAGAGGACAAGGCATTAAGATGCAGTGTTCTATATGGATAGTTCTTATAATCTCACCTATCAGGTGTTTTTCTCGATAATGATCTCGATAATGAGTTCGATAATGATCTAAATTGATCTCTTCTCATCTTCGCAAAAAATTTCATGTTCATATTATCTATATTATCGGATCTTATACGAATTCCACCACATACATTCAATGTGCCGATTCAAGAAGCATTGAAGAACGAAATCCATCAGAAATATTCCAATAAGGTGCTAGCAAATGTAGGTTTAGTATTATCTTTGTGGGATATCATGGATATAAAAGAAGGTTTATTGAGACCTGGTGATGGGGCTTCATACGTGGAGATAAAATTTAGGATGGTAGTTTGGAAACCTTTCATCGGGGAGATTGTTGAAGGAACTGTCAATGATTGTACATTAGAAGGAATAAAGGTAAAGTTGGAATTCTTCGATGATATCTTCATCCCTCAAAAAATGTTATTTGAAAACTGTGAATTCAAAGGAGTGGAAAAAGCCTGGGTTTGGAAGCCTGACGAAGATACTGAGCTTTTCATAGATATCGGAGAGAAGATTAGATTCAGAGTAGAAGAGGAAGCGTTTTTCAATGTAAAGCCCAAGACGAATATAAATAATGAGGTTGAAAAAAGTTCAACACCTCCATACGCAATAGTCGCTTCTTGTCAAACCGATGGAATGGGTTGTGTTTCTTGGTGGGACTAGAGGAATTCAAGAAAATTCAACGAACTGATGACATGATTTAAAGAGCAAAAATATATAGAGCATTAATAAAAAGTTTACGTTTATTTATTTCATTATCATAACCTTAGTTATCATTAATTATATTGCATGTATTGACTTGTGGAACTGAATTTCAAGTTACCTTTAATAACCTTTTCTACCGCTTTCAAGAAATCTTTCTCATTTGCTACTTTTCTTCTTGCTCTAATTGCAAACATACCAGCTTCGGTACAGACAGATCTTAATTCAGCACCAGTTGCATTAGGACATAATCTTGAAATCAATTCCCATCTTATTCCTTTTTCACAACTCATTGTTTTCGAATGAATTCTGAAAATATTTGCTCTACCTTCTAAATCAGGTAAAGAAAATTCAACTTTTCTATCAATTCTACCAGGTCTTAATAAAGCAGGATCTAATGTATTAGGTCTATTAGTTGCGAACATGACTTTAATATTACCTCTTGGATCGAAACCATCTAATTGAGTAATTAATTCCAACATAGTTCTTTGAACTTCATTGTCACCACCAGCACCATCATCAAATCTGGCACCACCGATAGCATCAACTTCATCGAAGAAAATGATACAAGCTTTTTTAGTTCTAGCCATTTCGAATAATTCTCTGACCATTCTAGCACCTTCACCAACGTATTTTTGAACCAATTCTGAACCAATTACTCTGATGAAAGTAGCATCAGTTCTATTGGCGACAGCTCTCGCACATAAAGTTTTACCTGTACCTGGAGGACCATATAATAATATACCTTTTGGAGGGTCGATACCTAATTTAACAAATCTTTCAGGAGATAACAAAGGTAACTCTACCACTTCTCTTAATTTTTCAATTTGTTCTTTACATCCACCAATATCACTATAAGTAACATCAGGTTTTTCTTCAACAGTCATCATGGTGACGGAAGGATCAATTCTTGGAGGCAAAGGTAATTGAATTTCATATTTTTGTCTATCCACTCCAACTCTCATACCTTCTTCAATATCAGTAGGAGAGACTCTTTCACCCAAACCAACAACGAATTTGGCTATTTGTTTAATATTTATGACATATTTTGATTTTGAATCAGCATTAGGTAATAAACCTGGTTGAGGATTAGCATTTGAAGCTTCGATAATTTTAGTACATCTTGCAACTTGTAAAGGTTGTTCTTCAGACATTCTTTGTTTATCACCCATCAAATCCCACAAATGGGGTATAGCCAAACCAGTGTCACTTTCCTTAACCCCAATGTTCTCTTTGATTCTTTCTTCGATCTTCTTTAAATCCTTTTCTATTTGTTTCAAAGTTTCACCATAAGGGGCAGCTCCATAAGTTTTCAAAACTTGGATATCTCCCTCACTCAATGGGACGATTTTATCTTGACTGTTTTCATCATCCTCATCAGGAGCGACGTATTTATCCCAATCAGCTTTTGGTGGCATGTTATTCTTGTACCTTTACTTTCACTGATTTGAATCTTTGTGAATGCGATCGCCACCAAATTTTTGTGAGAGTAATTTATGTGTCATACACTACTTTTACTTTTTATATTATACATATCCTAAAATGTCTCTAGAGTTACAATAAATTAATTCTTCTATATCACAAACTGGAAGATAGAAACCTTCACTAAAGTGCAAGAATTTTGGTCATTTGGAGGGATAGTCTTGATCTTTTTGTTGTTTTTTAAGGTGTCTTGTTTAGGATTTTATTTGAGTGATTACTCAAGAAGTTCCAATATTTCGTCTACTTCATTTAATAATTTTTCATCATAAGACGAAATACTGGATAATTTTTCGAATCTTGCCATCATTTGGTCGTCTATAATTGGGTATTTAACCCTCAAAATTCGAAACAAATTCGTTATTACAGGAATATTCATTTTGAAATTTGAAAATAATGATTGGATCTTGAGATTAATCAAATTGTACTTTACTACATTCATCAATTTGTAGATATATATCAAATTATTGATAGCCAAGCCAGTTTGTTTGTTTGTATCGATTTGGGAAGTTAATTGATAATAAATGGATAAGAATTGTAAAGAAAATTCTGAATTTTTTGTGGAAGACAATTGATCCGATTCAATGAGGAGATAGAAAAAATGAAGGTTGACCATGAAGCTATAAAACTTAGCATCTTCATGATGATCTTCGAATAATTTACTGACACAACCAGTTGAATTAACTCTCCAAACTTCAACAGCTTTAGAAATTTCTTTCAATTCAGCCATCTCTTGATTATCGCCAGCTACTTTAGTGACAACTTTGAGATCAATTATTCTTTTTTGAAGTAAATTGAATTCAATTATACGGTTAGAATATACTACATCGTCTTCGTTATTTGAAGGTGTAGCTGTTAAAAGTTGTAATTTGGAATTTTTATAATACAACAACTTCCAAAGATCTAATGACACAGCTACAGGATTATCGGTGATAAGGTTGAATTCAAAATCCAAGTTAATGACTGTCCAAAAAATACAGTTCTTGATCATTTTGAACTTATCACCTGAATTTAACTTGAAGAATTCAAACTTGAGAATGATTCTACTCAAAATTGTTATCATATTCGAAACAACCAAATCATCATTCCTATTCATATAATGAACAGTGAATAAGATCATAGTCTTTATATCATTTAATTCACTTTCAGTATTACAACTTTTTGGATTAAAATTGGTAATATCAATAACTGAATCAATCAATGACTCACTGAAACATTTATTGTAATGTTTTGTCATATGGATGGAATCATAGATCAAACAACCAATACTCAAGATCAAATAGGTATGACAATTAACGACATTTTCTTTTTCAAAGTCCATCTGTTTGAGTTTCAGCACTATTTGATCTTCAGAAAAGATTGGATATATGTGGGAATAATTACAGAAATAATTTGCAGCAAAAGCTAAAGCCAACTTCTTTTCACCAATAGGTTTCAAATTAACGAATTCTTCATCAAAATGTCTATTCAACTTAAGTGCTTTGGAAATTAATTTACAACTTACTCGTTCATTAGTAACCCCAGGGGTCACATCGGATAACAAGGATGATATTGACAAGGTTTTAGTTCTTAAAATTTTGTGTGGAGGGATTTCGTTAACACCATTTGCATTGTGCATATTTTGATGCATATTCTCATTCCTAGGATCTACACCATTATTACCAGTTATTAAATTAGTGATTCCTTTGATGAAACCATTATTTGATTTACAACAGCCAGTGGATTGTTCGGTTTTGGGGTTATTTGCAATATTGCCTGCTTCACCATTATTGTTGTCATCGTACGATTCAATATCTTTATGGATCCAATTTCTAAGAATTGTAATACTTTCTTTCTCTGGCTTCATGATCTCTGGAAAAATAGAAGATTTGGATTTGAAATCTTCACTAGAGTTCTTACTCTTGATATGGGACTTATTAAGGTAAAAACAATCATTTGAAGTCCTGATGCAATACAGACAGCTAGGAAAGTCTTTTGAACATTTCTTCTTCAAACGATGACATCTGTGACAACTATTTTTCGTCTTACTATTGGGTAATATTATTGACAGGTTTATCAACATTTCAGGAGGATAATCATCCCGTTGACTCCTTTTCAATCTGGCTTCTTTAAGGTATCCTTCAGTCATAATTGAGAAAAAAAATCGGACTTCTGAGTATTTGAAGAGCGGACTTTGTCAAAAAAAAAAAAAAAAAAACTCACACCATCGGGGGCTGAATGGAGTGGGGTTTTTGGGATTACAGGGGATGTATTGATTAACTATTTACAAATAAGATAATTTTGTTTCAAGAGTTGGGATATTTCTGTGTAGTTCACCCGATAATATTTCATGTTGTTTCTCAAAAAGGCTGAGCCTCATCTAAAAAGATAATTTGATTTTTATGATAAAAATTACATAGTTTCTGTAATTTCCAGATCACGAGCATTTTGAAATTCGGCTAACGCTTTTTCTCTTATCTCGTCCAAGAAAGCCGATTGATATTTTGGGTTGAAAGGCGGTAAACTATCATGTTGGACAAGATCAGACCAATATTTATCATCACCTTTCCTCCATAAATTTTCCCATAAAAGTTCTGTATTCTCTAATTCAAATTCTTCGATAATGTGATTTAAATCAGCTACGGCTTCTTGGGAATAAATGGGTCTGTATTGACCGGAATACCAAATATTACCTTCGTCATTTTTATATCTCATTTCATTAGCTTCTTTTTTCTGTACTACATCTCTGACTCTTCTTAAATCAACTAATCCTTGATATGCTGCAATAGCGTATTCATAGTTATTGAAATTAGCTACACACATAATTCTCCATAAATCATCTCTTCTACTTGGTTTTCTGTTTTCCCAATTAGGTCTGGTAAATTGCTCATCTATTTGATCTTGATGTAATGCTGGAACTTGGGAATATGCTACTTGTCCTGAGAACAAGTTCTTGAATAAGAATACTTGAGGGGCTAAATTCAAGCTTATAAGGTCTTCTTGTGTCTTAAACCCTTTGGCTATTCTTGCACCCTCAACTTTTCTACTTTTAAGTTGTTCGATGAGATGTTTTCTCATCTTTTTGGCTGATCTTAACATTGGTGCCATCTTGAATCTTTTCCTATACTCCCACTCACTTCACTAGACTATACTTTACAATATCTATAACCTAACTTATAGATGGTGATAATCTGAAAAATTTTCTGATCGCGAATTTCTGTTATATTTACACTTGTTGTGTAAATGTTTGGTACCTTTATATTTTGGCTTCTACTAGTGGGCTTATTCTTATGGAATTATAAATTTGTTTTCAATAATAGAGTTATAAAGAATTTCAATTTCAGGCATGCATTGAAAAAGTCTGAGATAAATGATTATATCAGATCATTGAAATCTAATATCCATTTATTAAAGATTGATGAAGAACCAGAGGAACAACATTCAAGGAACAATAAAGGTTCACAAGTGGTAGTACGTGTGATTTTCAGTTTGGTGGTGAGTTTGGGAACAGAATTGATCTTATTAATCCTTGGAGAACTATTAGAGTTCAGCCATGGTTCATTCTTTCATTTGATAATTGATTCCTTAGTGATACTAGTTTCAATTATAGTTCCGTTGTTGATTATTGTCATATCTATAACTCATGATGTTATACCGAAGCGTACATCCACATTGGAAAAGGTTGCCTCGGTAATACTATTTTTAGGATGGTTATTTGTTCTCAACAGATTTGGACATATCTATGAAACATCATCATCCCAATCTATAGTGGACAGGAAAATTAGTGAAATAGCTATTTTTGGTATCACAATTATATCGATCCTTTCAGGTATTGGGTCGGCTTCAACCATCTATAAAATCATTAAAGATTATAATCGTCGAAAAATCAATGAGTATGATTTGAACAATTTAATCTCCAGTTACAACAATACGAATATCTTAATCAATAAAAGACAATTGGAATTAGAAGAATCAAGTATTAAATTAGGTAAGGATTATTCGAAAGGTGGGGGACTTCTTCATAAAGTTCAATCATTTGCAACTTTGAAAGTGAGCGATAATTTTGAGTTAACTCAAGAGATTGATACTTTAAAGAAGCTTAACAACTCCATTTATGATGACATCAATAAATCTTTACTTATTTATAGTCAACAGCAATCTGGCGCTACGTTTTTGGATATAGCAGGGAAATATTTCAATTATGGATTTGCTGTCTATTGTATTTATAGAATTCTAATGGTGATGATAAAAATACCCATCAGCTTCTTTATAGAGAAAAAACCTCAAGTCAATTCATTGAATGAAATTGAAAGTAGCGATGCATTAGCCATTACTATTAGTAAAATTATTAGCTCCATATTCACATTTAGCATCTCAGAAAATCAATTGATTAACATTATAAGCTTTACCTTATCCGGAGGGTTATTCTTGGGCTCCATATCGAATGTTCTTATGACATTCAAATCATTTGGGAAACTTTTCCCGATCGTTCAAGTACCGACGGAAAACTTGAATTATTTGAAGCATCTATTTATAAGTCAATTGTTATCGATTTACATAATCGCAACTTGTTTACTAATTCGGATCAATCTCCCTTCCAACCTTTCTAACCAAATATCCAAGATATTATCATTATCGGGGTCAGCAGAGGATTATTATAGTGAGATTGAATTTATTGATTATTGGTTTGATTTGATTTTTGGCATTTCTGTAATAGCTACATCTTGTTCGTTCTTAATAGAAAATAATGATGTGGCTTTTGATGAAGAGAGTTTCATGGAAGACAAGACATATAAATTCGTCTAAATGTATATTATTCGGGTTCGTAAAAGATTGAATCGATTTTCACCCTCTGCGCATTAACTCCGTTCATATGCATACATATCGCGGTAAGCGGAGAAGTTGTTTCTCACATGAGCCGGAAATATACCTATAAATTATCAGCAATATAATCTGATAATCAAATCAAAGATGTCGACTATTACATTGAGTAAAGAAAGTCACAAAAATCCTGAAAAGTTCAGAATCAAATATGAAGATGCTGATGCGGTTTTAGGACCAAAGAAAGTTATCAAGAAAGACGAATCTTTGCCAGTCAAAGAATCATATTCCAAAGTTACAATTATTGGAGCAGGATTCGGTGGTATTACTACTGCATTATCTATAATTAAGAATCTCGGATGTGATTTCAAGATATTTGAAAAGCATGATGATTTAGGAGGTACTTGGTATGCCAATACTTATCCAGGTTGTGCTAGTGATATTCCTGCTATTTGGTATTCAATCTTCGATGAGATGGTTACTAACTGGAGTGATTCAAGACCTCCACAATATGAAATGCAAGAATACATGCAAGAAATTGTAAAAAAGTACAAGTTGAAAGAAAGTTGTTATTTATCCACTCAAGTAGTTGAAGCAAGATATATGGAAAAACTGGCCGAATGGCAAGTTGAAAGTTGGGATTTGAAAACTGGTCAAAAAATTACACACCGTTCCAAGATCTTAGTTAATTGCTCAGGGGGTTTAGTTGTACCTAACGTATTCAAACCTAAAGGGATGGAAACTTTCAAGGGTAACTATATGCATTCAGCCATTTGGGATCATTCTGTCGATTTTAAAGGTAAACAAGTTATTGTTGTGGGTAATGGATGTTCAGCAGCTCAAGTAGTGCCAGCTTTACTTGATTATGAACCTAAATCGATTGTACAAACTATTAGATCTCAACATTATATTTTCCCTCCCCATCCTAAATTTTTGTATTTCTTATACTGGTTATTAGGATGGAATAGGATTGGATTGGTCATGGTGAGATGGTTAGTTGCAGTTGTTGCCGAATCAAGATATCCTATGTTTGCAGGAAATGGTATTATCAATAGAATCATGAGATGGGTTAACACTAGAGCTTCTTTGAGATATATGAAAAAGACCATTCCTGAAAAGTACCACGATATAGTGATTCCGAAATTCAAAATCGGATGTAAACGTTTAATTTTCGACTACTATTATGCCCCAGCATTAAGAGACAAACGTATTGATGTTAAATTGGATGAAATTACTGAAGTCAAACCTCATTCTGTGGTACTTAAATCAGGTATTGAATTACCTGCTGATATCATTGTTGCATGTACTGGTTACAACATCACCCAATCAATGAATCCGTATCATATCATTGGTAGAGATGGTTTTGATTTAAATCAAACTTGGAAGGAAGAAGGTCAAAGTGCCTATGAAACTATTTTAGTTAAGAAATGTCCCAATTTCTTCATGGTTCCAGGACCTAATTCTGCTACAGGACATTCATCAGTGGTTTTAGCCATTGAGAATTGTGCTAAGTATTTCAGTCTTGTAGCACCAAAAATCTTGAATGGAGAAATCAAGTCTCTTGAAGTTAAATCAGAAAAATACGAAGAGTGGTTCAGCACCACCCAAGATTTATTGAGAAAATCAGTTTTTGGTACTGCTTTCGGGGGATGTGTGTCATGGTATTCCAATGATAAAGTCAATCCTACAGCATACCCATACTCTCAAATTACTTATTTCAGAAGAATGAGGAACGTTAAATGGCAAGATTTCAACATTGAAAGATAAGTCATAGCAAAAGTTTGGCGAGATCCTACTCAAGAGAAAGAATTACTCCTAGGCATAGTTTATAGGACTGGGACGAACGTCCCCTGATGAACTGATATATATCTTATTGAGTTCATCCATTTACATTGAATTTTTTTATTGTAATATAAGTTTTTTCTATCACTGATAAAGATCTTAATTTGTGGTAATCTATCAACCAGGGAGTAGACAAGTAGAGGATACACACATACAGGGATGATTTTGTGTTACTCTTACCTTTGAATTTCTAATTCGAGAAACTCCATCTCTCTAAAAAGAAACATCAACCATAGTAAGAATTGTAAACCTATTATATAATGAGTCAACTTTGAGTCAACTTTGAGTCAACTTCTTTGAGTTTGGCTGTAAAAAAAACCTTCCCATTTTGAGTCAGTGCGATGAAAAATTCTCAAAATTTTATTTAGTCACCAAGATTAGGTACTTAACATTTTTTAGAAGAATGAGTAAGACAACAGTTCCATTTTCAAGGGAATCATTAGAACAAGTGTTAAAAAGAAGATTTTTCTTTGCACCAGCTTTTGAATTATATGGTGGTGTTTCAGGTTTATACGATTATGGTCCACCAGGATGTGCTTTCCAAGCTAATATCGTTGATACTTGGAGAAAACATTTCATTTTAGAAGAAGATATGTTAGAAGTTGACTGTACTATGTTAACTCCTCATGAAGTTTTGAAAACTTCAGGTCATGTTGATAAATTCGCTGATTGGATGTGTAAAGATTTGAAGACCGGGGAAATTTTCAGAGCTGATCATTTAGTTGAAGAAGTTTTAGAATCCAGATTAAAAGGTGACAAATTAGCTAGAGGTGAAAAAGTTAGTGAAGAAGAAGATGAAGATAAGAAGAAGAGAAAGAAGAAAGTCAAGGAAATCAAAAATGTCAAATTAGATGATGAAGTAGTTAAAGAATATGAAACTATTTTAAATCAAATTGATGGTTTCTCAGGTCCTCAATTAGGTGAATTAATCACTAAATATGATATCACTAATCCAGCTACTAATGGTAAATTAGAACCACCAGTTGAATTCAATTTAATGTTCGAAACTGCTATTGGTCCTTCAGGTCAATTAAAAGGTTATCTTAGACCAGAAACTGCTCAAGGTCAATTCCTTAATTTCAATAAATTATTAGATTTCAATAATGAAAAGATGCCTTTTGCTTCTGCTTCAATTGGTAAATCTTTCAGAAATGAAATTTCTCCAAGATCTGGTTTATTAAGAGTTAGAGAATTTTTAATGGCTGAAATTGAACATTTCGTTGATCCTGAAGATAAGAAACATCCAAGATTCGACAATGTCAAAGATATTAAATTGAAATTCTTACCAAAATCAGTTCAAGAATCTGGTTCAAATGAATTAGTTGAAGAAACTGTTGGTAATGCTGTTTCTTCAGGTATGATTGACAATGAAACTTTAGGTTATTTCATTGCTAGAATTTATCAATTCTTAATGAAAATTGGTGTTGATGCTGATAGATTAAGATTCAGACAACATTTATCCAATGAAATGGCTCATTATGCTGCTGATTGTTGGGATGCTGAACTTCAAACTTCTTATGGTTGGATTGAATGTGTTGGTTGTGCCGATAGATCTGCTTATGATTTATCAGTTCATGCTGCTAAAACTAATGAAAAATTAGTCGTTAGACAACCTTTAGCTCAACCAATCACTGTTGAAAAATTCGAAGTTGAAATTGAAAAGAAAAAATTCGGTCCAAAATTCAGAAAAGATGCTGGTAAAGTTCAAGATTGGTTATTATCAAGAACTCAATGTGATTTAGAAGATTTATCCAAAGAATTAAAAGATAACGGTAAAATCATTTTCACTGTTGAAGGTATTGAAGATAAAGTCGAATTAGATACTTCATTTGTTACTATTGAAAAAGTTTCAAAAACCGAACATATCAGGGAATTCACTCCAAATGTTATCGAACCATCTTTCGGTATTGGTAGAATCATTTACTCCATTTTCGAACATCAATTCTGGGCCAGACCTGAAGATTCAGATAGATCTGTTTTATCTTTACCACCATTAGTTGCTCCAACTAAAGTCTTAGTTGTTCCATTATCATCAAATCCAGATTTACAACCATTAACCAAGAAAGTTACCGACTATTTAAGATCTGAACAAATCCCATTCAAAGTTGATGATTCTTCTGCTTCTATTGGTAAAAGATATGCTAGAAATGATGAATTAGGTACTCCATTCGGTATCACCATTGATTTCGAATCTGTTAAAGATGAATCAGTTACTTTAAGAGAAAGAGATTCAACTAAACAAGTTAGAGGTTCTTTCGAAGATATTGTTAAAGCTGTTAAAGCCATTACTTACAATGGTGTTTCTTGGGCTAAAGGTACTGCTGATTTAACTGCTTTTGAAACCGCTTCAGAATAAATAGCTCCATTTTAATTATTACTATACGATATATATAAACTATTCCAACAAATCTTTCATGAAATTATCAGTATTTGGTTCTCTTCCTAATAATTCAATCAAGTTATCCATCATATCTTTAGAATTACCTCTTTTAAGAATTATATCTCTATATCTTAATCCATTGGTAACGTTCATTGGATCTTCTTTGAACAATGTATAGAACATATCAGTAGCAAAAACCTTGGAATAAAGGTATCCATAGTAGCCTGATTGATAACCATGAGCTATATGTCCAAAGGATGCATAACCTGAAGTTTTAGAATCTCCAGTTGAATTTAAAGTGATTTCACTCCTCATGTTATTCCATACTTCATCAAGATCCATATTTAAATCATCTTCATTATCAATAGTATGAACTTTCATATCGAATAATCCAAAATGTAATTGTCTTACAACACCCAATCCATTATTAACATTTTTTGATTTGATCAATTGGTCGATCAATTCATCATTAATAGGTTCTCCTGTAAGATAATGTTTGGATAAAGATTTCAATTCATTTTTACTCCAAATCCAGAATTCTAACATTTGGGATGGAGCTTCAACAAAGTCTCTAGGAACTCTTGTACCATGGAATTTGGCATATCTGGTTTCAGAAAGAATACTATGAACTCCATGGCCCAATTCATGGAAGAATGTTTGAACTTCGCTATGTTTTAACAATGCTGGTTTATCACCAGTAGGCTTAGAGAAATTACAAACTAAAACGTTGAATGGAGTAGATCTTTTACCATTTTTATCGAAGTACCCTGGTCCTAAACCGAAACTAGCAGCATGACCGTATTTTCCATCCCTTGGATGTAAATCAAAGAAGATAAATCCCATAAACTTTGGGGTTCCGGATTGAATATCTTGGAAAACAGCAAATTTCTTAACATCATCATGCCAGGTTTCATCAGATTTCAAATCAGTGATTTTATAGAACTTCAAATCAAATAAGGTTTCGTAGAACCCTAACATTTTACTGATAGTAGAATCTAATGGGAAATATTCTTTGATTTTGTTATGATCAACTTGATATTCATTTTCTAAGAGAATGTTACTATAGTAGGCATTATCCCATTGATAGAAAACATCTTGTTCAGGAAAGCCTTTCAGTTTTAAATCTTCATTTTTCAATTTCATTAAACTAGTAAGTTCATCCTTAGCCATAGGAGTGAATTTGTCTCTCAAATCATTCAAAAAATTTAAAACATTCTCTTGATTTTTAGCTAATCTTTCTTCAAGAACATATTGGGAATAAGTCTTATAACCTAAAGCTTTAGCAATATCATATCTTATCCTAATCATTTGTTTCAAAATATCAGCATTTTCTTTACATTTAGATTGATTACCAAGGTATGCTTGTTTTCTAGTATCTTGATTATGAGCATGTCTTAACACAGGGAAAAGATCAGGATACTTATAAGTCATCTTAAGTTTATCCCCAACTTTTTCGAAAGTATCAGTTGTATCTTCAGGAACACCATCTAATTCTTCTTTAGTGAATAATAAATGTTCAGTTTGTTCACCTAAATTCTTATCAAATTTCTTTCTTAATTCCGATAACTTCAATTGTAATTGTTTGAAATGTTCCCTTTCAGTATCAGGTAAATCAAGACCATTTCTTTTGTAATCTAACATAGTCTTCTCAATATGTCTTTTCGTTTCATGATCTAAACTATTGAGATCAACTGATTCATAGAATTGTTTAAACTTGTTATAGACATCAACTCTTAAACCTTGTTCAATTGAATTGTTTTCCATCTTTTCACTGATTTCACTAGATGCATCTCTTATGGCTTTATCGGTACTGACATTTTTATAGAAATCTATTTGATTCTCAAGTGCATGATTCTTTTGAATATGGTCTATATAGGGTTCCCATAAATTTTCCATAGTAGGATTCTCGATGGTAGCTACATAGTCATGGAATTGAGTTTCTTCTTTGATCAACTGTTCACCGATTGATTTTATATCTTCAATAGAATGGTCCCATTTAGGGTACTCAATTGTGGAGATGATTGATTGATAGTCCATTGAAATTCTCGCTCACTCGAAGGGCTCTAAAAATTACCTTTTGAAGGCTTGAAACATTCAACGGAGGAATTTGACTTCTTTTATAACAATAACAGCCTTTCAAGGTGAGGCTCTTAATTCAGAATAACTCCGTTCCAGAAGATTCGTTATTTAATATCAACCAATTGATACCCAATCTTATCTTTAAAGGGTCTGGAAATCAGTCTCTGATGATTTGCCATATTTTGACCCATTAACTTACTCTGCTGTAATCTTGAAATAAATCTTAACTCTATGTATATATAAACAGAATCTAAAGGTTGGAATTAAGTGTAAACCTAAAATTATCCAAGATCTGGTGTTCCAAGATGAATATCGATGGTTCAACACAAACCCCATGGAATTCACCAATAAATGGATCATTAGATACTTGACAGGTGTAACTCTCCTTCGTATTGATATGTAGTACAAAGGTAAAGTCAAACATACCACGTAGATGAATAAAAAGAGAAGGTAAGAAATACCCGCCATTGGTTGCAAAAAAAAGAGTTCTCACTCTCTATATGATCTATAATGCTATTTGCTTATGCTATGAACTATACTACAAAGACTTCAACAAGTTTACCAAAGTCTATACAATCACCAGAATTCAAATCATAGATATTCAATCCATTTAAGTTATGAATTCCTTTACTAACACCCAACAACTTGATTTCCGTCTCAAACACAGAGTTACCGTCCAAGGACAATCTTATATCATTATCTAGGATAATAACTCCGTGATTATCTAGTTTCAAGTTGGTATAGTTTTGGAAATTTGTTATATTTTGATAAGTTAACATCAATTCTGAGTTGTGGAACTTCTTCTTATCGGTCTTATTCAATATTATGGAAAGGTTGAGTCTATTGAAAGATTGATTGATGGCTTGGACTTTCCAATGGACTATTTCACCGGTCTCGATAGTTAATTTACCTAAGAATGAAAGTTTAAGTCCATAAAGATTAGAATTATTTAGATTGACTGTGACATTGGATCCAATTCTTCGAGGAACTGTGGGTGATCGTTTTTTGGTTAATGCTAATGATGATTGAGTAGTTTTCAATGATTGGTTAATGGGAGGAGCCACGAGATTGAAATCAATTACCGGTAACCACGAAGTATTGATTAAATTACTGGAAATGTGTTGTTCATGGACTTTTAAGTTTATTTCAATGTTCAATTGTTTGGTAGAATCTTCATTGAAGTTGACAAGTTTATAATTCAAGTTTATGGATTCATTTATATTCAATTTCAAAGGGAATTCAATCAAATTTAAGTTTTTTAGATTTCCTCTGAAATCAATATTGAACTTAGAAATGTCCAAAGTCATTTCTTTATTCAACTTCAATAACAGTTCTGAAGCTTCAATACTGAAAGATATTAATAAGATATTATTCTTCCCAGCAGGTTTAGTTGATTTCAATTTGATCAATAATGGAGTTATTACGGGCATTTCTAATTTGGCCGACAGTATTTGTTCTTCTGATTCATGCAGTGGTTCTATAGCCGTTGTGGGTTCAACCACAGCAAGTTCACTTAAAAGATTACGTTCCTTAGGTTTGAAATCAGGTATGGTTGATGATTTTTCAATCACTTTATTCTTCTTCTTCATCACAGCATTGAAGATTATCTTCGGGTTATTCAACTTCTTCTTAGGGTAATTAATTGAAGTTTCAAATTCATAAATCAACTGGTCTCCCTCATACACCAATTTGGTCACTGGTAAGGTCTGAATGGAGAATTTTGAAATATCGTCATATTCACTTGGGACAATAAATATCTCAACACTCAATTGAAGATCCTTAGTTGGAGGAACTTGAATAAAACCTTGAACAATCTCATCAAAATATGCCAACTGCTTCTGATTACTGGCGGTGAAACTCGACGGATGTGGCGTAATCGACTTATTGGGTATGAATATCGATATCATTGAGGTTAAAGATCAGAATGCGAAATCAAAGATAATGAATAAATATTACTATAAACTACATAAGTCGTTATATAAATGATATAAGCTTCCTACTACACAACCTAAGGTGATGACCACAGTACTAACACCATAGATAGCACCTATGACTTTAAATGTGAGTATATCAAACAAATTACCAAATAAGGTATTCGAGATAGACATGGTTCCAAGAGGGAAAGTCATGGCCCAAAAACCTTTGTTGTATCTAATTAAACCGTTCAAAACACTTCTTTTACCTGAATATTTAGCAGCATGCATAGGGTTAGGGTTTTCAGTAATGATTTTGGATAATACTGAGGCTATAGCTACAAAAGTATTAAAATAACCGAATGAAAAAAGGAATAATCCAAATAATGAACTGAAAATAAGTAAACTGTTATCTAACCCATTTACTATATCAATAGGTAATGCTTGAATTGTATCTTTATTCAAGTTGACCCATTCATGGATGTTCTTACCAAATTGAAGAACAGAAAATGCACCTTGACCTAAGAAACCAATAGGAATGAATGTGGTGAAAATGATGGTTGTGTTGGGGATTTTATGAACCACATATTTATGGAAAATCATAGTGAGTACCACAAATGACATAGCAATGGCAATAGACCATAGTATATAACTAACAAAGATGGTAATTAATTGAAGTGTTTGATTAGGTAAATCCATAGCAAAGATTTCTCCTGCTGAGGAAGTAACTGTCAATGCAACGATAGGTAATAACAAAGTGGCATTGAAATTATCTAAAGGAAAATGATTGGACTTCTTGGTCTTATTCAAAAAGGTGAAAAAGAAAATGATGAATGATGTATAGATACATAAGAATACTGAGATCCACCAAAGTACAAAAATTCCAATAATCCATGATTTCCCTGTAATGAAATATAATTCATTAACGAGGGAATTATATCCCATGGCATAACATCCCATGAATGGAGCCAATTTAGGATTCAAATGGAATTCTTGAAATTTTTTATACTTAATACATCCTAAAACAAGACAAACATTACCTAAAAGGAAATAAAAGATTCCTAAACCCCACATTATGTAACTACAAATCCTGAGCCAATGACTTGGGAAGGGGAAGTTATGTAAAATAGCAGAAGAAATACCAGTAGCCATAACTTGAACAAAGAACATAGGTGAGAATTCTTTGACCAATTTTTGATCAAATTTATCCCAAGCTCTAGCGAAAAGACCACGCTTGATTGCCACTTCACTCTTAGGTGAATCATTTAAAGTACCATCGCTTTCACTACCAACATGAGTTTCTTCATCTGGTTGCAAAAATCTCATATCGTGCGACATCCAAAAAAAAATTCAGAAAACTGGTGATGCAAGCACGTGACTATCAGCAAAAATGAGGTGACCTGAAAAAAAATCCACAATTTCCTAAATAAAACTGTGGCTCCTTGATATATGTATGAAACCGTTGATAATCGATTAAAAAGGGTAATACGTAAATTTAAGGGGACCCTTTATTAGAAACTCGAATATCCGGCTATTTAAAATGCTCTATAACGTTAGTTGATTCACTGGAACTTAACAACTAACAACAAATAAACTATTGAATAAGGAGAAAATTTTTCTGAGTGACTAATTTAATTCATCCCTACTGGTCAGGTGACTCTCGGTAATTGGTTTCCGTTATCTATAGTGGTTAACAAAAATAAATACCTCAATTGTGACAATTACTGACATTATTTCTTACATAAGCGATTTCCCAACCATTTAAGAAATTATGCGTGGGAAAGTATCCGGCGACTGAACCGAACATCAATTGACAAATAACGGTTATTCTAATCCGGCAACGCAGGATTCTGGAATGAGGACATCAAAAGGGTATATGAAAGGGCAAGCATCAATTTATCAAAACGAGAAAGAGATACTGCACCTTTAGTGATGTAAAAGTGGATCAACAAAGATTTTCAACGGGTGAATAACCAAATGTAAACGGGCTAAATCATCGTGAACGGACGGCTAAAATTATTGAGAACGGACGGATAAATTGTTGAGACGGGTCAATGAAACTCGATCTTTCTTATCTATAGAATTTGTCTTCATAGAGTTAGAAGGTTTATTCTATCAGCCGTTTTACGGTTTTACTTCGCATAATTCAAGGGTATCTGAATAATATATCAACTCTGGAAGTATTACAACCAGATGACGTTTCAACAAATAGAGATAAGCAAGTAAAAAAAACCCAACTGAGAGTATTTAGATTGCTTTTTCTAAAAATACCATCTATTGATCACAGATTGCTCATTCTTATAATCTAGGAAAGGAAGGATCTCTAGTAATTTCGAGGATAATCAAAAAGTTTAAATTTTTAGTGCCCGATTAAAAATCTCTCGGTTTTAAAGCCGGCTGTTGATGCATTTCAGGAATTATTATATATATGGGCGATAAATCCTCTCCGAAACATCAACACTACAGAGTCCAACATCCTAATAATACAAGAGCATCAATATAAGATAAGATCATCAATATAATATAAGAGCATCAATATAATACAAGAACATCATGTTAAGAGAAAATTATAATTTAGCTGTCAAAGTAAAGAGCAAATTAGTCAGAGATGCAAATTCAAATACTGGATTGATGAGATTGGTCACTCAAGCAAATTTACTTGATAGAATAACAGAAGAACTTCAAAGGGAAAACGAAGAAAGATTGAGAAACTTAAGTAAAGTGAAATACAGCATTAACACATTATTCACAAAGAATAAAACGATACAGCATGATAGGGTGATACATGCTGAACATATTGAAGAATGTGAAATCAGCGACAGTGATAGTGATAGTGATAGCGAAGATGATTACTATTACAGTGATGGAGATGAAGAAACCGGAGAAATTACATATTGTGAAGCATTACCCACAAAACTCACAGTAATACCCGAAATGACGGGAGTCGTGGCTTGATAATTTTGTTATATAGATTTGGTTAATATAGATACGTTTAATGATTTACCCTCTTATGATGTCTAGACTTAAGCTGTTATGAATGGCTGGCAGCGGGTCCAATAACTTTGAATCGGCCAACGTCGGTTATAGTTCAAAATTACGGTAATGCGGTTACTTTGACAGATTTCGACCGATAGAAACCATCAGTGGTGCAGATCTGGGTGATTTTTCTTGATATCTATGAGCCAATGCTTGTAGATAGAACAAAATAGAACAAATAGAATCTATTGGTGATAATAATAAATGAAATATTCGTGATCAAAGCCATCCAAACCTTAAGCTTAAAAGTGTCTCAGACACTCGGGTCTTTTTCCGAAACTTTATGTGTCAACGCCAAACGGCCAAAAGGTCCAATATCCTCTTATCAAGCAGACATATACGAAAAGAAAGATTTGCGGACCATTTCCAGAGTACCGATATTTGACATATGTAATTTACTCTACTGATCGGGACGAAATTGCGGACCAGTGATAATGTTCAAAACACCCCTACCCGTGTGAGATATCAATTTATTGTAGATCTAGAAGTATATAATCATGGTAATGTATCCCAAATATATATGCTGCTGGATCTTGTTGAAGACTATAGACTTGCCTTGAAGGTAAGGAACAAATTGAGCGATGATTTAGCTAAAGGAGATTTACAAAAATTTTCAACTCAAATCAATCTATTAGACAAATTGGTTCTTGATATCAGGATAAAGAATATCCAAAGGTTAAAAAATAAAAGAATGGAATTGTTTCAACGAAATTATTTTGATTATTCAAGTGATAGTGATTCCGATAGTGATGATTCAGATATAAGCAGTTCGAGCTCGGATTATTACTCCGACACAGATTCCGATTCGAGTGATTCAGAATCGGAGGGTGATGAGTATGAGTCAATTTGTTTCAATATACGTCGACTTTCGACCATAGAAGAGGAATAATGTATATGAATATATAAAAATCTATTGTAAATTGACGAATAAACCTCCATCAACGAGTAATTGAGCTCCATTGACATATTCTGATAAGTCACTAGCAAGAAAAACTGCTGGTCCGATAAGATCATCAGTTTTACCTAATCTTCCTAAAGGAATTCTACCTTCCATGTATTGTCTTTTAGTATCATCTTTCATATCTTCATCATTTAATTGAGTTCTGATGGTACCTGGTAATATGGCATTACATCTGATTCCGTAAGGTCCTAAAGCACAAGCACATGATTGCATTAATGATAAAATCCCAGCTTTAGTTGGTGTATAATGGACTTGTTTACCTCCTCCAACAAGAGCTGAAATTGAACTGATGGCAATTATAGAACCTCCATGACCTTGTTCTTTCATTTGTTTCCCTACAGCTTGAGTTATAAAGTAACTACCATTCAAATTGATTTCAACTGTTCTTTGATAAGTTTGAGCATCAGTTTCCAAGAAATCCTTGAATTCACAAATTCCAGCATTGGATACGAGAATATCAATCTTTTGAAATTTCTTTATGGTTTCATCAACAATGAACTGACTGGTTTCAGGTTTGGAAATATCTCCTGGTACTGATAAAGCATCAGGGATAATTTCCTTTATATCATTGAAAAGATTGATTTGACTGGGTAAATGATTGATGGCAATTTTAGCTCCTTGTTCGTGTAATCCAATGGCAATGGATTTACCAATACCTGTAACACCACCAGTGACAATAGCTACTTTACCTTGTAATAACATGATGGACGAAATTGTTGAAATAGGGTGAAAAAGAATGCGTCTAAATATGCCCCACGATTCGGATCAAAATCGCTCCGCACTCCTGTGTTTCGGACAGTCAAAGAACCTTTTGTGTGGGTGTACGGTTGTAATGCCCCATGGTATATATTCAGGGGGATATTTCCATTATTTTGATAGATAAAAAATTAGAAAAATGACTGCCAAGTGTACAAAAGCATTTAAATTATTAAACGGTAAAGAAATTCCAGCTATTGGTTTAGGTACCTGGAAAGCAACCGATGAAGAAGTTTATAATTCAGTTTTATTTGCTTTAAAGACTGGTTATAGACATATCGATACCGCTGCTGGTTACGGTAACGAGGTTCCAATTGGTAAAGCTATTAAAGATTCAGGAATCGCCAGATCAGAAATCTTCGTCACTACTAAATTATGGTCAATTGATCATCATGATCCTGAAGCTGCTTTGAAAGCATCTTTGGAAAGATTAGGATTAGACTATGTTGATTTATATTTAATGCATTGGCCCTTAGCCTTGAATCCAAAGGGTAATCATCCAGCCATTCCAACTAAACCTGATGGAACGAGAGATATCTTGTTAGATTGGCCATTCACTAAAACCTGGAAATTAATGGAACCTTTGATTGAAAAGGGTTTCACCAAAGCTTTAGGTGTGAGTAACTGTACCATTGAAAAACTAACCACTTTATTCAACGAAAACTTGAAAGTCAAACCAGTAGTAAATCAAGTTGAATTACATCCATATTTACCTCAACATAAATTACTTGATTTTGCTAAGAAACATGGTATAATCTTAGAAGCTTATTCTCCATTAGGATCATCAGATGCCCCATTATTGAAAGATGAAACTATTGCTAAAATTGCTGAAACTTATGGAGTTTCATCTGCTACTATCATCATTTCATGGGCTGTATGGAGAGGTACTGTGGTATTACCTAAATCAGTCAAAGAAAGTAGAATTGAAAGTAACTTTGAAATCGTTACTTTGAAAGATGAAGATGGTGAAAAATTGAATAATTTAGTCAACGAAAGAGGTGGACCTCAAAGATTTGTTTCACCTCCATGGAATCCATTCGTTGTATTTGACTCATCTCTTTAGTTTGTTCATCTTCTTAAATAAACAATAAGTTAAAGAAATCTCTCAGCCCTATTACTCCAATCGCACCCCAAAAAAAATAGAAGTATTACCGAATGTGGTAGTGTTGGCGTGCACCATCTGAAGATCCAACTAACATCAACAATAGGCCGAAGTATAAACCCCACTACCCCAGATTTCGGAAATCGCACCGCGAATTTCTATCAAACAATCACCCATCGGTTTTTCAAATCACCCGAAGCAGATGCCCCTCCACTTTCTATTTAAACTGTTCCCCTTTTCATTGAAAATATTTTACAAGAAAATTACAACATGAGTTTACCAGATGGGATCTACACCCCAGTTCCAACATATTTCACCGATGACTTTGGATTAGATTTAGATACTCAAATCAAACAAGCTAAAACATTATACGAAGCTGGTATTAAAGGGTTAGTCATTGCAGGATCAATGGGAGAATCCATTCATTTAACTAGAAAGGAAAGATTGACTCTTGTGTCAACTATCAGAAAAGAAATTCCTGATAAAGAATTCAAATTGATCTTAGGTATGCCTTATACTAATATGGCCGATACTGTTGATGAGATCAGTGAAGCCAAAAAAGTAGGAGCTGACTATGCTATTTTATTAACTCCAGGTTATTACGGAAATAGTTTAACTCATCAACAAGGAATTATTGATTACTTCAAATTAGTTTCTGACAAATCAGAATTACCTATTATCATCTATCATTACCCAGGAGTCAGTAATGGTACTGAAATCAACCCAAAAACATTCCAAACTTTAAAGACTTTTGAAAACATCATCGCTGTCAAATTAACCCATTTCAATATGGACAGATATATTCTTTTAACCCAAGGAAACGAAGAATACAATTTCAAACCATTCACCGGATTAGGTCAAATTTTGATTCCATCCTTATCTATTGGAGCTCATGGAGCTATTGATGGATTATCAGGAATCTTCCCTAAATGTATGGTTCATTTATATAACTTATACAAATCAGGAGAAGTAGAAAAAGCTAAAGAATTACAATTTTTAGTTACATCAGCTAACCAGATGATCTTTGATATCAACTTGGTTGGAGTTAAAAATGCTATGAAGAAAATTCATGGTTTGGGAAATGGAAAAGCCAGACCACCATTATCAAATGTCATTTCCGAAGAAACTTGGTCTAAATACGAAGAAGATTTGGAAAAATTGAACCAATTCGAAAAATCTTTATAGTTTAGCTAGTAAATGCATAACATCTTTCATTCCCCACATGCTTAACTGTTGTATATCCTGTCAACCGTAGAGAAATCCCCATTTTTGATGGAGCGAAGGATCCGCTTGAATGTCTTTCCGCAAATATACTAATGCGGAAAATTTCCGTCTGTCATATCTCATGAAAGTTATTGATTCACACATTCATTTATCGTCATTGGCCAACCAGAGATTGTTGAAATGGCAAGGAGATCATGTTTTGAATAAGAACTGTAGACTTGAGGATTACGTTGAAGAAAATTCACTTGAAGTGGACGGTATCATCATAATTGAGTTTTCGGCTTTGAATACCGAGAACCACCAAGGAACTATCGATGAATATAAATATTATAGTAGAGTAATCCAAGGGACTTTAGATGGGGAAGAAGGATCCAATGACCTTAAACATTTAGTCAAGGCTGTTATCCCTTGGGTTCCTATGAATGAAGGTGCTGATAAGGTTGAATCTTATATAGAAAATTATAAAGATGACAGTTTCCCATATGTTAAAGGATTCAGATACTTATTACAAGACAAGCCACCACAAGTTATGACCACCCCACAGTTTATTTCCAGTTTAAAATATTTGGACGACAACAATTTCACCTTCGATTGGGGTATCGATTTGAGATGTGGTGGATGGTGGCAGTTCGAAGAAACTTTAGAAGTTTTCCAGAAAGTGCCAAACGTCAAGTATATCATCAACCATTTGTGTAAACCTACTTATAAGGCTGAAGATGTTGAAAGGTGGGGCAAGTTCATGAAATCCATGTATGAGCTCACCCCAAATTCCTATATGAAATTATCGGGAGGATTCAGTGAATTAGAGAAGAACGATGACTTGGATGAATGTGTGGAGCTTATTTATCCTTGGTTTAAGATAGTAATGGATCTCTGGGGGGTAGAAAGAACCATTTGGGCAAGTAATTGGCCGGTATGTGCTATGTTTACCGATGACTTGAACAAAAGATGGTTTACGGTAACCGAGAAACTTTTTGACAGGATTAATTTACCGGTTAAGGACAGGCAAAGAATCTACAATGAAAATTACCTCTCAGCTTATAATTTATAGAGAATATAGAGAATACCCATATTTTAGAACCCATATTTTGAAACCCGAATCATAACCCAAACCTACACCTCTTTGGAGACCCAGATACCCATAAAATAATTAACTCTGGGTGGTCATTCATACCTTTCTTCCTATGAACACCCCGTACTAAAAGGTTTCACTGGCTAATCTTGGGGCGACATAAATCTTGGAAAACTCCGAATGAGGTAATAGGGGCATATGTGCCCTTTGAGGTGGGGTTTTGGATTAGGAATTCTTAATCACAGCCCAAACAATATTTAAGTTTTTTGTTATACGAAGCCATCGATATAGTTAATACTTCGACTATTGATTGGATTCTATTGTATCGTGAATTCACATAACCCGAGAACTCCTCTAAATTCGTCCCCAACTTTATTTTTCTGGGATCTATAATTTGACCTCGTAAATCAACCCATCGGACATTTCTCCACAAATATGCAGCCCCCTCAAAAGTGGTGAAATGGTTCATTATTGATCCGATTGATTAGGAACATCGCAAAAACTGGGGTACATAGTTAAAGATATAGTATAAATAACTACCTGAATCCTTTGGATTTTTCCTATCATTAATTAAAACATGAGTTCTAGATCAATATCATCTATCGATGCTGCCAAAGATAGTATTGAACATATCGAAAAGATTAAAACCTCCGATTTAGAAACCGGAGAGTTAAATACCAAAAAAATCGATAATCAAGTTTTAGATTATATTGAAGAATCTGCTGTTGAAATCGATGAAGCTACTAACAGAAGATTAAGAAATATGATTCATAGAAGAATCTTACCATGTATGATTGGTACTTATTTCTTACAAGCTTTGGATAAAGGTACTTTGGCTTTTTCAAGTATTATGGGTATTAGAGAAGATGCTAACCTTACAAGTAACAATTATAGTTGGTTAAGTTCATGTGTTTTCATCGCCATCTTGGTTTTTGAATTACCAAACAATTATCTTATCCAAAAATTACCAGTTGCCAAATATCTTTCATTAAATATTGTTTTATGGGGAATTGTTCTTGGATGCCATGCTTTGGGTAAAAATTTCACTATTTTAGTTACTGTTAGAACATTATTAGGGGTGTTCGAATGTGTTTGTCAACCTGCTTTTATGTTTATGTCGGCTATGTGGTACAAGAGAGAGGAACAAGCTTTGATTGTTGCTTTATGGTATATGATGAATGGAGGTCAACAAATTATTGGAGGTCTTTTAAGTTATTGTTTTACTTTAATTGAAGGAGCTGCTTTAAGAAACTGGGAAATTTTATTCTTAACTTATGCTTGTATTACTGTTGTTTGGGGAGTGTTTGTTTTCTTATATACTCCAGATTCTCCAATGACTGCTAAATGTTGGAGTGAAGAAGATAAGAAATTAATGGTTGAAAGAGTTAGAAGTAATCAAACTGGTTTACAAAACAGACAATTCAAAAGAGAACAAATGTGGGAAGCTTTATCTGATCCTCAAACTTATGGTTTCTTCTTGATCCAATTCTTAACTGCTTTACCAACTTCAGGTTTAGGTGCTTTTGCTAATATTGTTATTTCATCTTTTGGTTATTCTGTTTTACAAACTCAATTATTGGCTATGGTTTTAGGTGCTTACTTAATCTTCTTATTATTATCATCTGCTTGGTTAACTAAGAGATTCAATCAAAATCTTTTCTTTATGATTGGTTATGTTGTACCTTCAATTATTGGTACTATTGTTTTAATGACTGTAACATTCCAAGATTATCCTGTAGGTTCTTATCAAAGAAAAATGAGATCTGGTGTTTTATTATTCTGTTACTATTTAACTTTATCATTCTGGGGTGTGGCTAATTTGGGTCTTTCCCTTTTAACTAGAAATGTTGCTGGTCAATCTAAAAAATCTACTGTCACAACTATTAATTTCGTTGCTTGGGCTACTGGTAATATCGTTGGTCCTTTTGTATTCAAAACTCAAGAAGCTCCAAGATATACTACTGCTTTTGGTACTCATATGGGATGTTATGCTGCTTTAATTCTTAATTTACTCTTCTTAAGATTCTGGTATATGAGAGAAAACCGCAGAAAAGATAAATTAATCGAATCTGGGGCTGCTGAAGCTGATGTTGACTTAAAGCATGCCTTTGATGATTTGACTGATAGGGAAAATGTCAATTTCAGATATGTTTATTAATGAATGTACGTATAATTTCACTCGGCGAATCTCTGACCCGCAAGCGCTTGAAATTTTTCAGCTTAGGGCCCTAGGCTTTTTTGAATATGAGGCGAATATTTCAAAGGGAATGGTACGATAGTGTTATTGTAGGGTTGCTGTTGGGTTCAGAATAGAGTCTCATGCACGTACCCCACGATCTCCGTCACCCCACTCTTTGAACTCTCGGAAAGTTTTTTCAGCGATTTCTGACATCATTGGTCCGACAGGGTTCAAACGAGGGGCCATGATTAGGAGAAAGCTCGAACCATGACTGGGGTTTCGGACCAGGACGAGAGGATCAGACGTGTAACAGAGCCAAATGATCAAACAGAACCATAGGATCAAAAAGGTGTCAAATCAAACCCATGCATTTCTATAAATAAAGTTTGGAAAATTCAACCAATGCCATAATGGCCATGGCTTGTCCGTATGGCATGGACGTTAAAGGAATATCTCTGTAGAATTGTAAGTCATCTCCCATACCAGTACCAAAAGATGTATTCAACAATTCTCCTTGTGGGTCTATTTGAGTTAAAAATCCTTTGACGGCTTTAACAGCTACAGGTAAATATTTCTTATCCAAGTATTTCTTTCTGATACTCTTTAAAATACCAAAAGCAAACCCAGCAGTGGCAGATGATTCACAATAAGATGATGGATCATCTAATAAAGTATGCCATAACCCAGAATCATCTTGTAAGTCAACCAATTTAGATACTTGACAATCCAAGGTTTCAAGTAAGAATTGTCTTAAGTAGTCATTAGGAGGTAATTCTAATAATTCAATGAATTCCGGAATAACTATAGTTATCCATGAATTACCTCTGGCCCATAAAGCTTCAGCAAAATTATGGTTACCTTCAAAAGTGAAACCATGATAGAATAATCCAGATTTATGATCAGCAAGGTATTTAACATGTAATAACATTTGTTTCTTAGCTTCTTCGATATAATGAGGTCTGTTTAATAATTTACCAATCTTAGCCAAAGGCATAACTGTCATCATCAAAGTATCGTCCCACATTTGTTGATAATTATCAGTTAAATAAGTAGCATGTTGGAAACCACCACATTTAGTTTTTGGTAAATCATACATAGCCCATTCAGCCCATGAATCTAAGTAAGGTAAATATCTTTGATCTTCAAATTTTTCATATAAGTAAGCTAAACATAAAAATACTGACATGGTATTAATGTTTTTTGAAGTTGAACCATCAGGACCAAAGATTTGAACTTCATACCATTTTTTGATTTCAGCTAAGATCTTTTCATCACCAGTGATTTCATAATAATGCCACATACCATAAAGACCAATTCCATGAGTCCATTCCCAACCAGTGATCCAACCTTTGGTGTCGATGATTCTACCATCAGGAATGGTCATCAAAAATTGACCAGTATGATCTTTAATATTGACCAAATTATCTATCAATTGATTGATAGTTGAGTCTAATTCTTTGCTTTCGATATCAAATACTTTATTTGGCATGTTTACTAGAGGAATCAATGCGGAATGGTCTCAATTTATAACTGCGGGATGGTGCTGATGATACCCCATATTTCGGAAAATCAATCAGATGCGAAAAATATCGTGAGATGTTTGGCCCGATCGGAGTTTGTATCATAAAAGGGGGCACCTATCCCTCATAAACTCAATAATTATGGTTTGTGGTGTATTTGTACCTGTGCCAACATTCTTCAATGATGATGAATCAATTGATTTTGAAACTCAAGTTAAACATGCCCAATTCTTAAAGGATAATGGTATTAGTGGTATTACATTATTAGGATCAACTGGAGAAAATGTTCATTTGACAGCTAAAGAAAGAGTTGAAATTGTTAAATCTATTCATGATGGAGTTGCTGATTTCCCAATTGTTGCTGGTGTAGCACAAAATTGTTTAAGTGATGCTAAAGATGAAATCAAAAGATTAGCTGATTCAGGTGCCTCATATGCTTTAGTATTACCATCAAGTTATTATGGAGCAGGTATTACTCAGGAAGCTTTGGTTGAATGGTATACCAATGTAGCTGACTTTTCACCTATCCCAGTATTGATTTATGTCTACCCAGGAGTCACTAACGGGGTTAGTGTTGCTCCAAGTACTATTAAAACCTTATCTAAGCATTCTAACATTAAAGGAATTAAATTCAGTCATAACGATGTCACTGCTTATAGTGAAGTTTCTTTGGATGAAGAAATCACTGATTTTGACTGTTTAACTGGATTAGGTCATTTATTCTTACCAGCTCTTTCAGTTGGATTCAAAGGAACTGTCGATGCTATAGCTGGAGCTTTCCCTAAAATCTATGTTTCTTTATATAAAGCATTTGAAAAGGGAGATTTGAAAACTGCCAAAGCTTTACAACTTTCCATCATCAGAGTCGAAAAAATTGTAGCTGAATTTGGTGTTATTGGTATCAAGAGAATCATCCATGAAGTTGGGTTTGGTAAGAACTATTTAGGAAGATCTCCTTTGAACAAGGACACTTCTACTGGCTGGGAGAGAATGTCAAATTACATCCAAGAAGTCAAAACTATAGAGGCTAAGTTAGCTTAGTTAATATATGCATTTTCTATAAATTTTATATGCATTTTTCTATAAATAAGACCGGTCTGATTTCAATCTCAGTAATATTGGTCCCCAGTATAAAACTACCGGTAAAGTCTATAAGGTACGAAAATTCTATAATAAAGCTACATTGAGCTACAGTGAAAAATTAAAAGCTACAGGAAGCTACAAAGAGCTACAGGGAAAGATTATAAATTACCCTTATAATTAAGCTTCAGCTTCAGCAAATTGAGGTAAGTATAAAGGTTCGTGCATGTTTTCTGGTTTGAAAACAGAAGGATATTGATGGATCATTTCATGATTTAATTCATCTAAAGATTTGGCACCTAAAAGTTTCATATCTCTTCTGAGTTCATCTTTCAATAATCTACAACATTTAACTACCCCGTTCTCACCATAAGCGGAGTTGGCATATAAGAACGATCTCCCTAAACCAACACCTTTGGCTCCAAGACATAAAGCTTTAAGAATATCACTACCTCTTCTAATTCCACCATCGATATAAACATCGATTTTCTTATCCAAACCCTTAGCTCTTAAAACAGGCATTAATTCAGCCAAGACATCAACTGGAGGTCTAGAAAAATCCAATTGTCTTCCTCCATGATTAGATAAAACAACACCGTCAACACCATTCTCAACCGCAAGTAACACATCTTCTACTCTTTGAACACCCTTAATGAAAATAGGCACTTTACAATGTTTCTTGAAATAATGAATATCTTCCCATTTAGCACATTTTTCATAACTCAAGATAAAATCAGATTTGACTTCCATGTCTAAAGATTCCACATCTTCATCAGGATCACCTAATTTGAATCTCAAATCTTTTTCACGTCTTCCAAAAAGAGCAGTATCGACAGTAACAAAAATGGCCTTGATACCAATATCTTCACAATGTTTAACAAGATCCATAGTTTCAGATTTTTCCGGTTTAATATATAATTGGTACCATTTTGGAGCAGAAGTTTCTTTGACAATATCATCTAAAGGATAAGAAGCGGCTGAAGAAATCATTTGAATGATATTTTCTTCAAAAAGTCCACGAGCAATGGATAATTCCCCATCAGGATGACCCAACTTGGCAGAAGCAGCAGCAGAACAATAAAATGGAGCATCAGTCTTTGTACCTAATAAAGTAGTAGAAATATCTACTTCATCAACATCTACAAGAACTTTAGGTTTGAAGAAATATTTTGAGAATGCAAAACCATTATTTTGCATAGTAACTTCATCGTCACTACCACCGGAGTAATAAGCCCAAGCATTTGCAGGTAATACTTTAGAAGCAACATATTCAAAATCAGATAAATTAAGCACAGTCATTAAAGGAGGACGTCTAGCTCTCATTTCAGCACATCTTTTTTCTTCTTTAACCAAAGGATCATCTTCATCTTCCGGTAATTCACCGTCTAACTCTCCAATATAGCATTCCGGATCTAACATCTTTTCAATGGTGTCTTTAGCGTGGATCTTGTTGAATAACAATGAAGCATCTTTACCTGCATATTTCTTGATAATGGCTGGACCACCAGGATGAATGTTAATGAAATCGGTTAAGTCATAGACCTTACCGTTGATAACAACCCAGATTTTACCATTGGAGCATTGGTTCTTCAATTCTTCAGGTTTAACCTTTCTATCATTGTAAATGGTCAGACCAGAACAAACATACCCAATAACAAGCATCGAAATGGTAATATTCCTGTACTTACTACGACGGGGATCGTGATGAAATTTACTCATGGTGTTGTTGAACACTCTAGCATTGAGTTTATTAGCAGTTGAAAGGCATCTATAGTTAGATTTCAGGGATAATTTAACCCAAGGTCTTGTTAAAGATCTAAACATATTTCCGAAGATTATGGATATTTCGGAAAAATTCCAACTCTAATATTGCTGTAGGTTACTCGCTGGCTTTTTAACACTGCGCGCCCCACCCCACATTATTCCTCCGTCGTGCTGTGATTCTCCCGTGTGAAAAGTTTTCGGATCAATGAGTTCGATGATTGGGGAAACTAATGATGATGAAGAAGGTCGGACTACCTTCAACAACAAGGTTACCAAATCAACATCTAAAGTATCAAAAAGTTGTGATCATTGTAAATTAAAAAAAATCAAATGTGATCAGACCAGACCAAGCTGCCAAAATTGTAACAAGTTTGGTGAACAATGTATTTACAGTATCATGAAAAAACCTGGTTTAAAGACTGGTTATGGACAACAAGTATTGGATCAGATCTCTGAATTGACAAAGTTATTCGAAAGTAGTAAGAAACAGCAACAACTTGAAAACGAGAATTTGAAACAATCAATAAAGTTTATGGAGAACAAGTTAAATGGATACGAAAGGGGTAGTACGTCATCGGAGGTCTCCACTATAAATGTACCACCATCGGCTGTTAATTCTACCAGTTTGGAAATGAATCAAATGAACCTCACTCAACCTATGATCAATGATTTGAGTATGAACGTAGAGGTATTTGATGATATTCCACCCCCAGAGAAGTGTGTACTATTGATAGACCATTATTTCAAATACGTCAATCCGTTTTCTCCTATTATTCATCCACGTCAAAGGACTGCCATTATTAGTGATATTTCTTCCAATAATGCTGTTCTCTTAGGTATACTTTCCATAGCTGTGAAGTTGGTTGCAGGTTATGATGGATACTTTGAAAGTATCAAGAAACTCATCATCACAAAGTGTTATAGTGTTAAAAGTACTGAAGAATTAACAGCTATAACCTTACTTGCTTTGGCATTATACGGAGAACTGAATAATCATGAAACTTGGTCCATGGTTTCCTTAGCTATTGGAGGTGTTATCCATCTTGGACTTGGGGATGTCTCTGGAGAAGAGAATAATTGGAGAGAATGGATTGATAGTGAGACTAAGCGAAATTTAGTATGGGAGGTCTATAAGTTGGATAAATTATCAAGTATGGGAAGTCACTTCAATAGTCAAATGGCTACACCTAAATGCTTATTACCTTTAGATACTCAATATTGGCTTAATCTCTCTACGGGGTTCCAACATCAAACCAGAACGCTTACTTATCGTCCTGAGCTGAATTGGTATGGTACCAATAGTCTTATTATTGAGATTCTTCAATTGATGGATGAATGTTCAAGTTTCAGAAGAAGTCCTTTAGATATTCATGAAGTCAAAGACTTGTTATCCTGGCAACTACAATGTTATGAGTTCGATCATAAGATCATCACTTGGAAGAACCAATTAAGTCCCAAGATGTCGGAATTCTTAGATAGTGATAATAATTATAATGATATTATCAATGATCCGTTGGCTGTATTGTTACATGCGTTGTATAACACTTTACTTATCAGATTACATTCTCCAGCAGCTTTCTCCAATTCGTTGGATAAATATGTATCATCACAAACCTCCAAATCAAGATGTCTTAAAGCCGCAGGAAGAATCTTATCATTACTGAAATTACCTCATGAAGATCTCGGTCCTTATTATCCTTTTGCTATCTGGGTTAGTGGTAGAGTGTTGTTGGTTAATCATATCAGTAACCGTGAAGACATTAGTCAAGATTTCGAATATTGTATAAATTTACTTCGGTCTATGGGTTACGGATGTGCTGCTAGGTATGCCGATATATTGGAATACTTCAAAGATGATAAGGTGATAGATTCACCTGAGTTCCATGATCATCCCTCCACTGGAAGTTATAGTGAAGAAGCCAGATTGATTATTGATTTAAAATTGAATGCTTCAAGTTTGGATTCTTTGTTGAGCAGGAAGGTGGAGAGAGTAAGAAATAAGGATAATGGACTTGATGATGATGTTTTTGATTGGTTCAGGTTACCTTTGGAGACTTAGGAGCTGGTTACTTCTGGATATAGCTGGATACTTGTCCAAGCTCAAAAGCTGAAATATACGATGTTGAGATATCTCTTCTAGAGCTACTAATTTATCTCTTCTCGAGGTATAAACTTTAAGAGCAGGAATAAATGGCTTATGCATTCAATGGTTTAATGACCGTTAGTAGTCTTCTCCTTCAATTCATACTCTTGTTCAGAATATAAAGTTCTGGTAGGATTCGGATTGAATAATTGATCACCTTCAATCAATTCAATCTTTGGATTGATATCTAAACCAAAACCTGGTTTATCTAAGATGCTAACATCCAAGTAACCTTTAGTTGGAACAGGTTCGTTGGTGAATAAGTTACCAAAGACAGGTAAAACCGATTGAGAATCTGGAGAATTGGCTAAATATTCATGGAATGGAGTGTTTGGTTGAGAAACAACAAAATGGTATGAATAAGGACCACTAGCATGAGGAACCACAGGCACATCATAAGCAGCAGCATGATGGGCAATTCTTAAGATTTCAGTTAATCCACCAACCCACATAATATCTGGTTGAACAATATCAAGATTTCTTGATTCAATCAATTTTCTGAATCCATATCTGGTATATTCATGTTCACCAGTAGTCCATTTGACTCTTGGATGAGCTTTCTTCAAAATTTCGTAACCTTCAACATCATCAGGATGTAAGGTTTCTTCAAACCAGTTGATATGTAAATGTTGAGTAGCATCAGCCAATTGAATGGCATATTGGACATTAAGAGACATATAACAATCGACCATTAATGGGAAATCAGGACCAACTTTTTCTCTATGATTAGTTAAGAATTCAACATTCTTTCTTAACCCTTCAAAACCTTCATCTGGTCCATAAGGTAAAGCGACTTTACCACCCCAGAATCCCATTCTTTTAGCAGCTTCGGGTGCACATCCGGTACAATAGAAATCTAATTTATCTCTGGTTGATCCACCAATCATCTTATAAACTGGTTCATTTCTGATTTTACCTAATAAATCCCATAAAGCTAAATCAATGACTGAAATAACAGCAATTGGTAACCCTTTTCTACCATAGTACATTGAAGCTCTGAACATTTTATCCCACATAACGTTCAAATTTCTTGGATCTTCACCTTCCATGAATCTCCAGAAATGATTTTTAACTAACCAACATCCTGGTACACCACCAAATCCAGTAGCGAACCCTTTTGATCCGTCACTAGCAATGATTTCAACACAGAAAGATCCTAAGACATTGATACCCCAACTGGTTCTATTCTTTCTATAATCGGGGAACTTTGTCATTGGAGTAGAAATCTTGGAATCAATTAACCAATGTCCTGAAGCAACATCATGATAATCACCACCACTACCTTTTTCTTTAACAATGTAAGTTTTGATATCGACAATTTTTGGGAAATCCATTTTTATCGTTGAAAGAAAACCTTCTGATCCATGATATTTATACTAATTTCCATTACCCCATGAATCGAATAATCTTTCAACCGATTCGCGGGTCGGGCTTTTAGTGGGGTCGGTGTGAATGTCCCTCCGTTAGATTTCGCACTAATTCCCACGAGTGAAATCTATCTGCTTATGTAATCGGTGAGGATTTTTGTGAGAAAGTTGATTGAGAGTTTGTTGAGAAGTTGTTTGCTAATGAGTAATTACAGTGGTTACACTATTTAATCATGCTAATGAAATCCTTCTAGAATTGACTGGCGGCTACCCCAGATTTCCCTGAAAACGTCCCACTCTCTTAATCTTGCACATAATACATAAAATCTGTAAGGGACGCTAAATGGGTTATGTGGAAAAACTGTGGCGTGAATTCATAACCATCCACTCTTGTACATCAAACCATTCCTATTCTCTGAATCAAAAACCCACTTTCAGAAGCCCTAATTGAAAATCATGAACTGAACCCTACTCAGAAGTCGTCCCCATCCTTATCCTACCGTTTATTATATCCTATTATAGTGCTTTTAGCGATACGCAATATCATCTCATATTCTCAAACTGTGGAAAAACATCATCTCACGTGATATGTGGTGATAGATTTTTTTAGAATAAAAACTGTTTGGTGCCTATTGATTAGAAAAACTGGGTAATTTCGATACAGGACTAGTTTTTGCAGCCATTTTTTCATTCCTTTTGATAGAACTCCATATATACCAATCCTAGTGATAGTATAAGAAACTGACGGTATTGACCAATAATGATTGAGAATCGGGAACCACTATAGTTGAAAAGTTCTGAGATTTTATTGGCCCATATATAAAAACACGTTAGTCATTTAAAAAAGTTTTTTTTTTCACAAAGTTATTAATGTTAGTTAACGATTCAAGATTAAACCAAGTAGATTCTGCTGAAAGAAGAGAAGTTCACAAACCACAAATGGAATTTGGTGAACAACAAGATATGGTCATGGCCAATAATGAAATCCCTGGGAAATTAGGGGATTTAATTAACGAGTTAAAGAAACATTTAGGTGGTAAAGGTCTTAGTTGTAAGGATATCAATGTTGAAGAGATCCAAAAGATCATGGAAAGTTATGAAGCTGCTGATGAAGATTGGGCTAAATATGGTTTACATGATTCTTCAAGAAATTATACTAGAAATGGGATTGTTAATATTAATGGTAATGCTAATTTATTGATATTATGTTGGTCACCAGGGAAATCTTCTGCTATTCATGATCATGCTAATGCTCATTGTGTTATGAAGATTTTAAAGGGGAACTTAAAAGAATCTCTTTACAATATCCCTAATGGCGAAGCTATGGAATTGAAGAAAGAGACCATTTTACAAACCCAACAAGTTGGATATATTTCTGATGATATTGGTTTACATAAGATCTCTAACCCTGATGATACTGTAAGTGTTTCATTGCATTTGTACACTCCACCATATGCTTCATTATATGGATGTTCTATGTATGATGCTAATGGAGTCAAACATCATGTTGACATGAGTAAATATTATAGTTGGCAAGGAGAATTGGTCAACAAAAACGGTGGATCTACCTGTTAGATTACCGTGAGTTGGCTGTAGGTCATGTAGGGGCTGAATAGTCCCTTTATAGAATAGGTAGTTGTGGATATATGGATTGATTTAGTCTGGCCCTAGCTCTTTGTCTCTTTAACTCTTTGGCTCTTCAAATTTTGGGTCTTTGGTACTTGACTCTTCAAACTTTGAGTTATTTCTGACTCTGTGACTTCAGTACCGCAAACCCTAATCTATATTTAGTTTTTTTTTTGTTACGTTTTTTTACTAAGAATTCTTCATCAGCTAAATTATGTGAAATCTACGAAATGAGTCAAAAATCATCAATAAAAAACGATAGAAAAAATATTATTCATCTTTGTGGATATCAATCTCATATTTTTGGATATGAACCACAAACATAATCAATTCTCTAAATCTTTTGATGTCCCACACGTTAATGATAGGTAAAAGATACCTAAAAACCGTTTGATTACATAAGCATACATATTATGTCTTACTTTAAGCAAATGGAGTTTGTGACCAGCCTATCTTTGTGAAAACCAGGATTTGAATGTCAACACGTTGAATTTACTGAAAATCGTCACTTCCAATCTCTCCTAAACCCCCAAACCCTCTAACACTCCCACCCACGAGCCCGCCTGTCGGAACTCATCACCGCAAACTTGCGACTGAAAAATTTTAACTATTAACGAGAGCTGCCGCTTGAAGTCTATCCACATAAGCTCCCGATATAACGAGAGCATATAAACCTTAGAAACAAATAGAGAACTAGATACGTAGAATGGCCCCAGTATTGGAAGAATTGATTGAAAACAGAGAATTTGAAGATTTTAACCATGAGATTTCAAAATTTAATGATGGAACCTCCAAACATCTCGAATTTACCTCCCAAAACTCCGTTTTGAAGAAAATTATTGAAACTGTCAATGTCATTGATCATGACAGTTGCTTACCAGGTGAAGAAGACTCATTTTTCATTGTAAATTTGAAAGAAGTTGAAAAATCTTTACATTTATGGCATGAAAAGTTACCTCGAATTCAACCTTTCTATGCTGTTAAATGTAATCATAACATTGAAGTTGTGAAATATTTGAGTGGTAGAGGTGTTAACTTTGATTGTGCTTCGAAGAATGAAATTGAGTTCATTTTGAATTTAGGCGTAGACCCTTCTAGAATCGTTTATGCTAACCCTTGTAAGACTAGTTCTTATATTAGATATGCCCATGATAATGGTGTTAATTTGACCACCGTTGATAATTGTCATGAGTTGTATAAGATCAAGAAATATCATCCCAATACTGATATTTTGATCAGAATCATCACCGATGATGAATCAGCTCAATGTCAATTGTCAACTAAATTTGGTTGTGACATGGAAACCGCTTTAGAGATCTTGGACGTAGCCAAGGAATTGGAACTTAATATTAAAGGTGTAGCTTTCCATATTGGTTCAGGTGCTACCGATAATCAAGCTATTTTCAAAGCTATTAAAGATTGTAGGGAGATTTTCGATAATGCCGACAATTTAGGCTTTAAGTTGGATACCGTTGATATTGGTGGAGGATTCCAAAGAGAAAGTTTCGATACTTTCTCTTCAATGATCAATTATTCCATCGATAAGTTCTTTCCTTCGACTTACTGTGAATCTAGAGACCTTAGATTCATTGCTGAACCAGGAAGATTCATGGTATCTGATGCATTTACCTTGGTTACTCATGTCATTGCTAAGAGGTTTGATTCTATGATTTATGTAAATGATGGAGTTTATGGGAACTTAAACTGTATTTTGTTTGATCATCAGAATCCAATACCTCAGTTGGTACCTTTGGACACTAAATCTTTGGATACCAAAGAACCTTCAACCACTTCATTGATCTCCTACTCCATTTATGGTCCAACATGTGATGGTTTAGATAAAATTGGTGATTTCAAATTACCCCCAGTAAATGTGGGAGATTGGTTGTATTTTGAAAATGTCGGAGCCTACACTTCTGTAGCTTCCACATCTTTCAACGGATTTGTTTCTGATAAGTTTATATATGTGGAATAAATACATCTGCAGTCTATTTGTCGTGCATGACGCAACTTTGCAGCCATGCATATATTTGGTCAATTTTAGGTGTTTGAGAGATCTTTGAAAACACACAGTCAATTAAAGACACAAAATGAACCTCCCAACATCATTCTCCAGTGTTCACAGTGTGTTCACAATGTGTCGTCTCTCATACCATTCTCTGACACACCCCCATGATAAGGCTCGCGCGTCATGAAAATTTTCCATACAAAAGATGGCTGATCAACAGGCACAGATAAGTAATGCCATTAAGGCCATCAATAAACGTAATACCAATGAAACTCAGTCATTCACATATACCTTGGATTCAGGAGAAGTTTATAATACCAAGGATCGAGCTATTGAGGATGTAAAACCACCAGCAACTTTCCACCCTCAAGACGATGAAGTATTCTTACCTTCAGGATTACCCAATTGTGAGTTCTTAAAGACCCATTTCTTCAACGAAGGAAGATTAAGACAACACCAGGCTATCAGGATTTTGCACGAAGCCACGAAATTATTGTCCAGTGAACCAAATTTGTTGGAAGTTCCTGCTCCCATAACTGTTTGTGGAGATATTCATGGTCAATATTATGATTTGATTAAATTATTTGAAGTTGGTGGAGATCCTAGTACCACCTCATACCTTTTCTTAGGAGATTATGTCGATAGAGGTTCATTTTCTATCGAATGTCTCTTATACCTTTATTCCCTCAAATTGACATACCCGGATAAAGTGTTTATGTTAAGAGGTAATCATGAATGTAAGCACTTGACTGAATATTTTACTTTCAAGAATGAGTGTCTCCACAAATACAATGAAGAATTGTATGAAAAAAGTTTGGCTTCTTTCAATGCTTTACCTTTAGCTGCTATCATGAACAAACAGTTTTTCTGTGTCCATGGAGGTTTATCACCAGAACTTAAGAGTTTGAATGATTTAGTTAAGTTGAATAGATTCAGAGAACCTCCAACTAAAGGGTTGATGTGTGATTTGTTATGGGCAGATCCTATTGAAGATTATGATGATGACAATATCGATCAAACATTTATGAAAAATAGTGTCAGAGGATGTTCTTATGCTTTTACTTATAAAGCTTCATGTCAGTTCTTGGAACGTACAGGTCTTCTATCTATCATCAGAGCCCATGAAGCTCAAGATGCTGGGTATAGAATGTATAAGAGAACAAAAACCATGGGATTTCCTTCATTATTAACGATGTTCTCAGCTCCTAACTATTTGGACAACTATAACAACAAAGCAGCTATTTTGAAGTATGAGAATAATGTTATGAACATCAGACAATTCAATGCATCTCCTCATCCTTATTGGCTACCTCATTTCATGGATGTGTTCACTTGGAGTTTACCATTCGTTGGAGAAAAGATCACTGATATGTTAGTATCAATCTTAAACGTTTGTACTGAAGAAGAATTAAGTGAAGAGAAAGATGACAACTTCAGTTATGAAGTATCGCAACCTTCATCTCCTGTTGACATGAGAGCTCCAGCTTCTTTGAGTGATCATGTTGAAGAAGATACTTATGAGGCTAGAAAACAAGCATTACGTAATAAGGTCATTGCCATTGGAAGGGTTTCTAGAATGTATCAAATTTTAAGACAAGAAACTGATGATGTTGCCAGATTGAAGGAGTTGAACGATGGTCAATTACCCAAAGGTTCATTATTGAATGGACCTCAAGGATTGAAATCAGCTATCAACAATTTTGAAGATGCCAAGAAGGCTGATAGGGCTAATGAGAAATTACCACCAACTAAAGAAGAACAATTAAGGCAAGAGAGTGAAAGACAACAACAAATTAAAAGAGAAATCAATAATAATAGTTCTCCGGTATTTCAAAACTTAATAAGGAAGTTATCACATTAATATAGGTTTGGTTGAGGTGTGAAACGGCTCGGTTCAAAAGAAGCTCTGCTCTTCTTCGCTTTAAATCTCTAGATTTTCGAAATCCAAACGAAAAATTCCTTGTTGTGGATTCTTTTTTTTGTGGATTTCTTCTTTTTGTGGTTATCTATTTGTGGTTTCAAAAAAATTCCGCGTTTGGTGGACACTTATCATAACACATGGGACAACCATCGATGTTCACCACCAACAGTCCTTTGCCCCCCCCATGAACCCTCTCAATGTCCACCTATTTCTCACCTCCAACGATATCACCGTTTAAATCTCCCTCGTTTAACCCTTCGTTCTCGCTTATCTAAATTCGCACTATGAAACCCAAGCTCATAAACCATCCCCCAAATAAAGAGAACACCATTCCTTACTTCCAGTTCCAGGCGTCTTCCCCTGAAAGATTCATGGATGATGAGAAACTCATACTTTTCGCCGGTGGAAATAACTTTCAGATAGTCTTCCAGAGCGAGGTTTTGAGTAATGAAATCAAGCACATCTTATCCACAGTATCATTGTATATCCTTAACACATCGGTGATACTCTTCAACGATGACGAAGCCAAAGGATTGGAGTTGCCATACCAAAGTATCGTGCTACATGCCGTGAAAGCTAATGCATTATATCTTCAGATATCGTCCCATGACTTATTCCTAGACCACGAGGAGATCATCGAACTAAATGTCATACCATCTGCTACGGCCAACCATGATGAAGTGTTTAGGGACATTTCCCGGTCATTAGAAGACATTTATAGAGCCATGACCCATTGTTCTGCGCTCAACTTTGATGAATCCTCGGAGATCAGTGATGTAAGTGATCATGGATGGGATGGATGGGTGATGTCAGGAGACGGTGATGATTTGGATGATATAGTGGAGAAGGACTTGAAGGGAGCCGCTATGAACATCGACGTAGGGTTTGGACCTATAGCGGGACATAAAAGGAGAGAAAGTGAAGATGACGGGTATCATAAGAAGGTGAAGAGCCGGAGATGATGAGGAGGAACCATAAATGGGAGGTGGGAGATAGGAGGTGAAAAAAGGGAGTATGGTGGGACAATTAAAACAGTAAGAAAGTGAACACTTCAAGAAAGTTACAGTTAATTAGTGAACACAGTAAAATAGCGAACACACTCAAAGACAGAGTAGAATGAAGTCCTTTTGTCACCAAGGCACAAAAAGACGACAGCCAAAAGACCCCTGAGACAACCTGTCTCACGGTTAAGTAAAATTGCATAATGAATAATCCTTAAACCCAAAGGGTGGGCCCAGGGCCCTTTCTTACTTTATTTCTATGCTGCCAATTCTCTCAATCTCTCGCTCCCAATTCGCACCCAATCTGCCTCTCCCATGGGGCCAATCTCTCGCGGATACTGGGGCCCTCGCGCGGTTAATATTCCGCACTTCCTCCATTCAATCTGTAATGAAGCCTCAGTTCCTAACCTTGGGTAAAGGTATCCTTATAGACCTTCATGATAACCACTTCTGGTCCAGATTCTGGTCAGAGATCACCACCATCAACGACATCGACATCACCATTGAAGATATCCATCACGTGAAGCTGCAAAATGCTGTAAATTTCATGTCTTTGATTTATAAGTGTTTCATGAAATTGAAGCACTACGCCGATTCAGACACTTGCGATGCCCACCTACTCAATGTTATTCATATTCTCACAAGGCTAGTGCCTGTGCTTTACGAGGACGAGACAATTTCGACCAAATTTCTCCGTTCAAGGAATTATAGTCCATTTGATTTCATACCTTCATCCATAGGTCCTCCGGGAGAAGACAACGGAGACATCCTAGCTATGACGGTGCTACAGTCCATTGTAAAGCTTCTTTTCCTTAAGGGGTTCACGTGCAAGAGAGTAGGGATGTGGGAGCCAGGGATGGGATTTACAGCCAAATACCAAACCCCGGACTTGGTGATGGAAAATAATCGTTCTTTGGTGTTGAAACTTCTCATAGTACTTTGTGGGGATTCTATGTATCAGTCGCCATTACGTGTAGCGTCAAAGGGGTCGTTGTTCACGTCATTATTGGTTTCGGCCCTTCCGAAACAAGAAACCTTAACTTTGACTTGTTCCCTTATCAATGTCTTGTGCCGGTCCACCAGATCAGATAATGCCATAGAGTTCAACGATAACTCCTTGAAAGTGTCTCGTCACAGTTATGTGTGTAATTGTGCCCAACTACTCACCATAATGTTGATTTATCCATTACCTAAAGATCCTTTACTTGATCAATTATTGGAAAGGAAACCTTATAATATGCCTCGTTTGTACATCACTAAGCTCCACAAAGACTCAGAAATCCTTTTCTTTGGGTCTGCCTTGGTCAATGGGTTGAAAACTGATGATTATCGTCCACCACTATTAGCCATGGAATTCCTTATGATATTCTGGGAGCTTTATCAATGCAATGCCCGATTCAGAATCATAGGAGAACCATTGATTCTTGAGCTAATGATCATCTTGGTCCATTACATCAAGTCCTTCACCCATCCTCAGTATAAGAACCTCACCAAGTTATGTTGTATGATCCTTCTTAGTTTATCATACAATCCTCCTAAGAAACTAATGGACCCGTACCACGATATATCCCTCCCTAATGCATCGTACGAGAATGGTCCTACGCTCAGAGATATCATTGTCATCCACATTTGTCAAATCTTGAGTAAGCATGTGGTTCGACCTGAAGATCAGTTTTTGGTATCGACATTGGTGGAGATAGTGTACAATGTCGTACCCCTTCTAGGGCCGAAATTTCCAGGAACTAACGATCACAATAAGAAACTCAACAATCTTAATCCTGACGGAGGTTTAAGTTATCCGGCGTCCACGTCGTTGACCAATTTGGTGGTGAGATTTTCATCTAAACCTTTCCTTTTGAAGAATCCAGCCAACCCCGATTTGTTGGCATTGCTAGTACGAAGCATTTGCATTGCTGCGTTCCACAACAGAGCTTCTAGGATGTTGGTATTCACCATGTTGAAGAGCGAGAAGATCTTTGAAACCTTGGCCACTGTGATTGGTAGTTTGAACAATGAGTATTTTGACGGCAATACGGTGATGTATAGGATAGAGACCTTAGCCAGTGCTGAAACCACCCCAGTAACTATTCAGGCTACTCAGACCACCGCGCCTACACAGCCAACCATACAATCAAACTTCCAAACCACACAATCAATCGATTCAGCTCCACAGACTGATGATGAGGAAGAATCTCCAGAACCCATGGAAGCTGAAGAACAGGAGATCAATGAATCCCTTAGACCTACCAAACCTCTGGGAATGAGTAAGAAATTCAAAGGCAAGCAGAAACTTCACGACACCATCAGTAACACCTGGAGTGGTAAAGAAGCCCTCAGAATCATCAATAGTTTGATCATCCCTTTTGTGAAGAATTCGTTGAACGACATTTTCGGTGATACCGATACCTTCACATTAGTTGAACATATTGAAAAGTTAGACTTTGAACCTATCATCACTACCAAAAGCATCAACCACGAGTACCTTCCTACGTCGAAGTTCACACCGTTGAAATTCCATTGGGGGTCTGTATCATTGGGGTGGTACACTTCATTGGTGTACTTCTCCGTATACTACCAAATAGATAATGTCAGTGCTGTGGCCAGTAAGAATAAACTCATCAAGAACATCACTTCATTCATGTCATTTGGTATGTTCAGCGATGCTAGTTCCAACTTAGAGAACCCTGAAACCATTAGTGACATCGAAAAGACCATTTCTTCGACCAATGTCTGGAACGGCACCGCCATCAAGTTATTCAAAATTGAGAACAACACCGGATTCTTCGATTCCTTGAACCATAAACTCGTCAATGAAAGCCGTTTATCGTTATCAAGAAGATTAAGTGATTTGAGATTCGGAAAGCAATCTCCACAGATGTCCCCTAACCTCAACTCCGGACTCAGTACTCCGAAAGAAGACCAAGAACTGTATTTCCCCCGGAAAAACTCCGTCACATCGTTGCATTCATTGAACACATTGAATCGTTCTCGAACCGCCACCCCTAGGAATTCTATAAGTATGTAGAGAGTCCCTTGTATTTTTATATTTAATGAGATATGATATTTATTTTCTAGTCTTTTACCTTCTTCTGTTTTACCTCTTTACCTTCTTCTCTTTTGTACCAAAGTAAACCCATCATCATCTACAACAGGCTCGTTGGGTTCATCAACGTTCATTTCATCGTGTTCATGGGTATGTGAGTGAACTTCTTCTTCTTCGTCATCTTCATCATCACTAGGATTATTTGGATCAGATATAACTTGAACTCTGTTAAACACTCTATTGGCTTGTCTTTCCTTCCATCTACCATATAAAGCATCTATGTCGTCAAACTTTCCAACAGAAACATCTTTAAAGAACTTCATGATCAAAGCTGCAATCTCTAAAGCTGAGTCATTGTCGATTTCTGTATCAAACTCATCTACCATGGCATATAATAGAGTTTCCTCTATTAATTGAATATCTACGATCTTAGATTCACTGAAAAGTTCAATGATGATCCCCGAAATCCAATCTCTCTTATCGGCACTATTAGGTCCACCCCATGAATTGTCAACGGCAGTGGCCAATTCTTCCCATTTGTAAATCGCCATACAAACCCCTAACTCGAAATGAGCTTGGAGCTTTGTGTCGCTGAATCTAAGCACACTGTCACTTTCAACGTAGTCTGTAGGATCAATGTTCATTGGGAAAACTTGCGATGAGTTAATGTCGCAGATTTAATTATCGTTACAGTCGCACAAAATGTCGCTAAATTGCACAATGTCGCCATCAGGGAGTCGCACAAAATGTCGCGATGTTGTGAAAAATGTCTCTTATAAAAGATGGGAAACTTGCTTATCTCTTCGAAGGGTCGCCATGACTTCTTCTGTTGAAACGTTCAAAGAAACAAGCTTATACCGTTCACTCTTAATGTTCTGAGAGTTCAAAATCCCGTTTTCTACCAATTCAAGGAAAAGATATCGGAATTCATTGATCCTCATACCTTGAGATATCTTAATATCATAATGACCTAGAAGTTCCGATTCGCCTGATGGTGAAACCAACGACACGATATTCTTCATCTCGTCGATGATATCCCCCAAGGAGTTCTCGGAAAGTCCCGATCTTCTGGTTCGAAGTAAAAGTGCCACCAAGATCAATTTCGATCCATAGGATAAACTGGCGATGTATTGAGCAACAGGGGAGTTAATGGTTTCATTGATGGCTTTAGAAATATGGGGAATTTCCACCTTTATGTAATCCTCAGGGTCTATGGTCTCAGCTTGACGAAGTTGATATTCTGCTTCAGCTATTTCAACTGCTCGTCTACAAATCTGTAATGCTCTTCTAGCATCCCCACTAACACTGGAAACCTTCCTGGAAGCAAACGATATGGCGTCTTTATCCACAATCACCAGTCTCTTGTTCTCTCGAGTCAACATGTCCAACCTGTGTTCAATAATTGACCCTAATTGCTCAAAAGTGTATCCAATGAATTGTAACCGTTTCAACCCCAATCTGGAAGAAATCTTGTTCAGTAAAACTCTTTCTGGTAAGTCCATGGTGTTAGCTACGGCGATAACTATCAATTTGGAGTGTTGGTATGTGGGCCAATTGAAAAAATTGTACATAACATTTTGCTTTTTAGTGGCTATTTGATCTAATTCGTCTATCATTACCACCAAAGGTTTCTTGGATTCCGACTGTTCCTTAAAATAAGCCTCTAAGAACAACGCAGCGTTGGAAGAACTAACGTTAAGGCCCGAAATCTTCGACCAAAGTTCGTCGTAGGCATGATTAGGGGAAATAAGCTTTAAAGCGTTGATTTCAACATACTGGAAATCATTGATCTCTCCTAAAGTGTTGAGTTCCTTCAATTGGTTCATGACTTCCCTGATGGTGGCAGTCTTACCAATCCCTGGGGTCCCACTGATGTACAAACAACAACCAGTTTGTTCTCTAATGGCACTATCTATATGGAGATACAATGAGGTGAATTCATCTTCTCTACAAGGTAAGGAGGAGAGTTTGGTGGCCGTATGAAGTTTCTGCTTGAGATCCTTGAAGGCTGGTGACTTTGTGTCCAACAATTGGTAATCACCTTCCTTAGAAGCCTTTCTTTTGGGTTTTGGTGATTGTACGGTGAAATTGGGGGCCGGCAAGGAGCTGGAAATTCTGATTCTTTTATTCCCCAACAACGATTGAATGAATTGTAAGGACTCAGAGTTCTCATCACCACCCAACGGAGTATCTGGTTTGATCCGTTTGGATTTGGTGGGAGTTGAAGGGACTTTCCGTTTAGTAGGACTTGATTTGGTCGGACTAGATTTGGTGGGACTGGATCTAGTACTTTTAGGGGTTTTCTTCGGCTTAGGACTGGATTTAGCACTATAGAACATCAGATCCTCCACCCCTGACTCGCTATCGGAGTGGATGTCTTCATAATCATCGGAAGAAACCTCCTCTCCATCGTCAACAATGGGCACACGGTTCAGGGCTGTTTTTCGAGGACTTCTTCTTAAACTCGGCACTTTGGTGGGAAATATCAATTCCTTAAGGAACTCATGGGCTGCTGTAGCGTCTTCCTTGACCATGGCCACGAAATGGTTGAAATCAAGGTCAGTGACTTTCTCACCATGTTCATCGCTGGCTCGTTTAAACACATATTGTTCACAATTGGCCTTTTTTCGAATACTTTTCAAGCTAATATGTTCCTTGACTGGCGTGAGGACCAATTCGTTATCGTCAACATCGATGTCCATGTCGTCCCGTTCGTTAAACATCAATACTGTGAGATGAGGTTTGAGACCATCAACAATATCTATCACGAGACCTAGCTCTGGGAATTGAATGTCGTCTTCGACTTTGAAGATCACCACATCTCCTGATTCGATGGTGACACCTTCGCCATGGACTTTAAGGGGGACTGACCTCTTTTTAGGGGAATCAGAGTTGACTATCTTCCAAACCATGCGCGTATATTGAGAGATTAACTGAGGGACCCGAGATTGAGGGGCGGTGGTGGTGGGAGCTAGGACCATTGGTCGCACTGCGAATTAGTGCCATGTTCGACCTAAGTGAGACTTTTATCTGGTTGAATTGTAGCCATGGAAACTGATAGCCTTTTGGGGCCCAGAGGCCTGGTAACTTTGATGAGTTGCTGGGACCAACAACCGGATGAGCCTAAAAGTCTAATTGACACCCTGATGAGTCTAGCGGTCGCCTAGGAGCCGCCTAGCAGCCTTCGCCAGCCAGACTACTGCTTATAGATCAAAATAGGCTCCCCCACATTATGGATCTCGTCCAAATTCAATTTCAAATCAAACGCCTTCGACAATATAATCTTGAATATCTTCTGTACGTTAATGCTATGACTAGTGGAACAGAACACCACCGGACTCTTCATGGCACTAGCGAACTTCTTTGCCTGTTGAGTAATTTCCAATTGATCCTGATTGGACATATCAATGAATTCATCATACTTTGTCCCCACTAAGAACGGTATGGCGGTCTTGTTGAACCCTCTAACTTGTCGGTACCATTCCTTGATGGAATTTAACGTGGATTTCCTCGTCAAATCAAACATGAATAATATGGCAATGGCATCATTCGACACCAAAGGTAACATATTGATGAATTCCTTCTGTCCCCCCAAATCCCAGATGGAGAACGTTATGACGGTGTTCTTGATCCGGATCTTTTTGTCCATAAAATTGACTCCAAGGGTTTGGATGTAATCATCATCAAATGTTCCTTCGACGTATTTGACCATTAGGGATGTTTTCCCGATCTGGGAATCTCCAATTAAGCCTATTTTCAATGCCACTCTGCGATGTTAGTATTGGATTCGGTATTAGCTTGGTGCTACGGATGGTAGGGCTTACATACTGATTACCTTCTGGTTCCATGTTTACAAAATTACGCGAAACGGATTGCAAATTGACTTACCTCCTGAAGTTTTCAAGTTGGCTTAGAAATGGTTTCATTGTAAAGCTTTTGACTCCACCATCACAATGGTGTTTTCAAATCTTTCAAATTCCTTCATTAACTTTATTTTTAATACCTCTAAATATTCATACCCTAAGGGGGTGTACCGCACTTGGTGTACCGAACATCAACCAAACTTATAAGTGCGGGCTCCCGCCCTCCACAATTAAACCGTCACAAAAACCTTTCGCAGTGACAAAAAATTTTCCATACTCATTAGAAAAAACTGAGAAAATTAAATTTCAAATAACTCAAACATGGCAGTTGGTAAGAATAAAAGATTATCTAAAGGTAAAAAAGGTTTAAAAAAGAAGGTTGTTGACCCATTCACCAGAAAAGATTGGTTTGACATTAAAGCCCCATCAACTTTTGAAAACAGAAACGTTGGTAAGACTTTAATCAACAAATCCACTGGTTTAAAAAATGCTGCTGATGGTTTAAAAGGTAGAGTTGTTGAAGTTTCATTAGCTGATTTACAAGGATCAGAAGATCACTCTTACAGAAACATTAAATTAAGAGTTGATGAAGTTCAAGGTAAAAATTTATTAACCAACTTCCACGGTATGAACTTTACTTCTGATAAATTAAGATCATTAGTTAGAAAATGGCAATCATTAGTTGAAGCTAATGTTACTGTTAAAACTGCTGATGATTACGTTTTAAGAGTTTTCGCTATTGCTTTCACTAAAAGACAACAAAACCAAATCAAAAAGACTACTTATGCTCAATCTTCCAAATTGAAAGAAATCAGAAAGAAAATGATGGAAATCATGCAAAGAGAAGTTTCAAATGTTACTTTAGCTCAATTAACTTCCAAATTAATCCCAGAAGTTATTGGTAGAGAAATTGAAAAATCAACTCAAACTATTTATCCTTTACAAAATGTTCATATTAGAAAAGTTAAATTATTAAAACAACCAAAATTCGATTTAGGTGCTTTAATGGCTTTACACGGTGAAGGTTCAGTTGAAGAAAAAGGTAAGAAAGTTTCCAAAGGTGGTTTCAAAGATGTTGTCTTGGAATCTGTTTAATCATACATATATAAGTTAGTCTGAATATCGCTTTCTCTGGCTCTGTGTCTACCTTTGTCTGGCATTGCACTTTCTCTGGCCCTGCGTCCGAGCTTGTACCTGTCTCTGACACTATACCCTATGCTCTCTGTATGGATCTCTCCTTATGGTGAAAAATTTTGGACATACACCAGGACACCCGTACACCCATACATAATTGTCAATGCACATAGCCAGGTGTTGAAAAGTCCCCTTTTGGCTGGATACCGTACCATCACCCCCTAATAACCCACATACCAGTACCTTCTATCTGATCACCACTTTCCATACTCACTGCCCTACTCACTGCCCTACTCACTGCCCTACTAATCACCTGCCCTAACCATCTTCTTCAATCACTGCGACATTCAGGTACCGTTTTATTCCAAATCCATCAACCCATCCTCCCACCATTCTCCCATTTTCCCTCCAAATACTCCCAAATTCAACCTCCTCCAACCTAATACCCTTCTCAATTCCCTAACTCTATCTCGTCACCACAACCACCCTGTATCCCCCACCACTGCCATCTCCAGTAAATTTCAGACACGAGACATTTTTGGGATCAAATTTCAGTTGTGCGACCAAACCATTCATTGCTCTTTTGTTGACTCAAGTTCATCATGTCTAGAGTATGTATTCCCCCCAAAAACAAGTCAATTGTATCAATTACACCGTGTTGAGACATTCAGGAACACCATTGATACCTCCATGGCGTCGTCGCCCCGACTTAACCCCTAAAAATCATGTACTAACTCCCCACAGACTTCAAACGAAGATAAAACCAATGAGAAAGCTAATATCCCCCATGGTCCTCGGGAGAATTTAGCTGAAGTTCAGCAACACAATAAGGGCACAGAGAATAAGACCAAGTTAGAGAAACCTCCAGTAGATGGGTCTAAAGACAAAGCCAAGCCTCCAACCGAGAAAGCTTCTATTCGTAAGAACACTACATTTAGTTGGCAGGATGTGGGTGCTTGGGATTCCCCTGAGATCTCAGATAAAGATCATATGTTACATGTGATGAAGAAGATTGAAGCGTACGTCGTAGACCATTTCTACGGAGACTGGTACTGGAATTCAGGTATCATGATTGGAACATGTTTCTTCTCATGGTTAGCAGCCAAATGGGGATTCGGTATCTTTTCCATCTTAGTGGTTTTATTAGGTGCCAATTCCGTCTACAGATTGGAATTCCGTAGATTTAATCGTGATATCAGAGACGATATGACCAGAATTCATGCTTCCAATAGATTGGAGAACGAATTAGAGACTATGGAATGGATGAATTCCTTCTTGGATAAGTTCTGGGTCATTTACATGCCAGCATTGAGTGACCAAGTCAAATATATCGCCAACGAAGTGTTGAAAGATCAAGCTCCAGGGATGGGGATCGAAAAGATCTCCTTAGATGAGTTCACCTTAGGTTCTAAAGCTCCTAGAGTTAACAGTATCAAGTCTTATACCAGAAAGGGACAAGATCATATTGAAATGGACTGGAACTTCTCGTTTGCTCCTAACGATACTGACGATATGACCAAGAATGAAATCAAGAAGAAAATCAACCCCAAAGTTGCTTTAGGAGTTACTGTTGGTAAAGCCTTCATCTCCAAATCATTACCTATCTTGGTAGAAGATATGGCATTCACTGGTAGAATGAATATCAAGTTGAAGTTGACGGAAAAATTCCCTCATGTCAAGATGGTCAGTGTTCAATTCTTAGAAGCTCCAACCATCGATTATGCGTTGAAACCTGTTGGTGGTGATACTTTTGGATTCGATATCATGACTTTCATTCCAGGATTATCATCATTTGTTAACACCTTGATTCATTCCAACTTAAGGCCAATGTTATATGCTCCTAATTCTCTTGATGTTGATGTTGAAGAGATTATGGCCCAGCAATCAAACGATTCTACCGGAGTTGTCGCCGTTACCGTTAAAAGATGTATAAATTTGAAAACTGGTATGGACACGAAACCTAATAGTATCAATCCTTATGTTCAAATCAAACTTCAAAGTAATGCTGATGTTGATGAAAAGACTAAGATCAAGAAAGCTATCAATGATCCAATCTTCTTGGAGAATAAGTACTTATTGGTGAACAATTTGGATAACAATTTCTTAACTTTCAATGTATTTGATTTCATTGAAGATAGTCCTAATGATAAATTGATTGGATCTGTTGATATCCCCTTAGCAGATTTGTTACAGAAGGAAGTTAGAACGGGGATGGTGAAGAATTTGGTTGAAAGTGGTAAAACTATTGGGAAAATCGAATTTGATTTGAGATATTTCCCAACTTTAGAACCAGTTACCTTAGATGATGGTTCTAAGGAAGAAAATACCGATGCTGAGATTGGTATTATGAAACTTAACTTGGAAAGTGCCACCAATTTGGACTTAACTTCATCAGTTATTGGATTATTGAACCCTTATGCTGAGATTTATGTCAATGATGAGTTGGTTAAGACATGTCGTCATTTAAGAAAGACCAATGATCCATCTTGGAACACTAATTTCGAATCTTTGATCAGTCAACAGTCAGAAACTCAAATCATGGTATTGGTTAAAGATAGTGCCAATGATCAAATTGTTGCTAAACTTGATGCCAACTTACAAGATTTGATTTTCGAAACCAGTAGAGGACAAGAATGGATTACTTGTAAACCACTTGTTGAAGGAGGAGTGTCACCTAAAATCAGAATCACCGCTAAATGGAAAGCTTTGGGTATTACTGATGAAAAAGTCGTGGATGCCAATTTCTCTGCCCCTATTGGAGGTCTTAGATTACATGTTCGTCAAGCAAGAGATTTGAAGAACTTAGAAGCTGTGGGAGAAGTTGATCCTTATGTTAGAGTTATGGTTAATGGTAAGTTGAGGGCTAGAACCCCAACTATTGCTGAAACAGTATCACCAGTTTGGAATTCGGTTTATTTCTTCAATATTGATAATGAAAATCAACATTTACTTTTATCAATCATGGATGCTGAACCTGGTGATAAACATGATAGAAACTTGGGTAGTTGTGCGGTTCATGTTAAAGATTTCATTAAAAAGAATAAAGAAGGTCATTATTTAGGTTATGATGGATCAGAAGAGATTATTGAACAACCAGTATTGTTCAATGGAGTTAATAAGGGTCATTTATCTTATTCAGTATCATTTATTCCTAATGTTCCAATATTAACCAGGGCTCAAACCAAAAACCGCAAAGGTTATGAGGCGCATAAAAAAGCTGCAGCTGATAAAAAGGCCGAAAAGAGAGCTAGAGAAGAAAAACTCATTAAAGAATTCCCTGATCAATATGAATTCATTGAAACTGATGAAGTTGATGTACCTGAACCACCAAGAGTTACCATGCCATTAGAAGATATCATCAAATATAGAGCAGGTAATATGACAGTTAGAATTTTAAAAGCAAGATTAAGTAAGCCGGACTTATATATCCAGACATTATTTGATGATCAAGCATTACCTTCAGGAGTTTCACCAAAAGCTGAATCAAGATCTTTAAATGTCGCATCAACAGCTGAAGCTTTTATTAGAGATTTACCTAATTCAAAATTAGTATTAAGAGTAGCTAAAAGATTTGAAGTTAAGAATAAAAAGGATATGATCAGTGAAAAGATTTTTTCAACCATTGATATCTTGAAAAGATCATGGGATAAACCAATTGATTTACCTATCGATGAAGTTAATACCGTTAAGATCCAATTGGAATTTATTCCTTCACCAATCAAGTTGCATCCTTTGGATACAATTCTTGATGTAGGATATCTCAAATTGGAAATCTTAAGCGGACATGATCTACCAGCTGCAGATTCCAACGGAAAATCCGATCCTTTGGCTTTACTTAGATTAGATGGAGTTGAAGTGTTTAAAACCGATAAGAAACGGAAAAGTTTGGATCCGGTATGGAATGAAGATGCAGAAATTCCAATGCTTTCAAGATCTCGTCAAGTTTTATTATTGGAAGTTTATGATTGGGATTTAACTCATGATGATAGATTATTGGGTAGAGCCAATTTGGACTTATCAACATTAGAACCTCATACTTCAACACCTTTCCATGTAGCTTTAGATACTAAAGGTAGTGTTAAAGTTAGAGCCACTTTCAAACCAGAATATATTAGACCTACAATTGAATCAGTTGGTGGGTTAGGTATTGGATTAGGTGATGCTACCAAATTTGTTGGTGGTGTAGCCAATGGAGTCGGTGGGGTTGCATCTGGAGTTGCAGGAGTTGGAGTTGGAGCTGCAGGTGCCGGTGTTGGAGCTCTTGGAAGTGGTATTGGAGCTGCTGGTGATGGATTACATAAAGGAGGGTCATTCTTGAAAGGTTTAGGTAGAAGAAAGAAAGATAAAGGAGATTCTGAAGCTTCTAGTATGATGGAAACTCCATCACCAACCAAACTGAGAAGAAGCATTGAACCTAAATCTCAATACACCAATGACTTACAAAGTTTAAGATCAGGACAAACTCCCGGACCTCAATCTCCAGGACCTCAAACCCCCGGACATCAAACCACAGGTCCTCAATCATCAGATCAATCATCTCTGGAAAATAAGGGAATCATGGAAGAAGTTAAAGATCAAGATGACGAACATGATGAAGAAAATGATAAAGATGATGAAGACAAGGATAAAAACGATGGACAAGATGCTAAAGATGAAGTTCATCCTAATGTTAAACAAAAGGAAGAACCTCAAACCATTCAAGCACTTCCTAATATTCATGATGGTGACTTACCACCACCACAAAAGCCCAATTTTGGTAATTTAGAACGTACTGATTCATCAACATCGTCAAATTTCGCCGATTCCAGTTTTGCTAGTTCTATCCAGGGTCTTGGATCTATTCCTGGGAGATTAAACATTGTCTCCGCTCAAGGATATCCTTCTAACAATTTGGAGATCAAGGTGATGTTAAAGACTCCTTCAAGAACAAGAGATTTGTATAAAACCAGGTCCAGTAAGTTGGAAAAATCTTCAGGTCAGTATAAATGGAATGAAGGTACTCCATTCAAATGCTCACCAGAAAGTGAGTTGATCTTTGTGTTAAGAGAACACCATACTTTTGGTAAGAAGAAGGAAGTGGATCAGTTCAGAATTGGATTGAGTGAGTTGGACGGAGAAACCATGGAATTGAAGGGAAATTCAGGACTGTTGGTGGTAGGTATTAAGTATGTTTTATAAGATGTTTGATTTTTGTACTCTGTAGTTTACGGGTGTTCTCTGTGTAGTGTTGGTGGAAGCTTTGGCAAGTAGTGAACTCTGTTGAGAGGCATTCTGTAGTTCTTCCAATTCTTCAGTGTTTTGCAGCCATTTCGCAGTCAGTTACAGCTCGTGGAACCATCTTCCAGTGTCTGACGCCAATTGTACCACTAATACTTTGCTTGGGCTGTGAAGGGTAGAGTTTTTGGTCATGGAAGCTTACAGCTCTTAGGGGACTCTAAAAATAACACGAAAGAAGAAAGTTGATAATTGATTACATAAGCAAGAGCTTATATAAGCAAAGGCATAATAGAGTATTAGCCTTCCACAGTGGGTAAATCAGTAAGGTAGGGTGGATACTAGCAAGTTGGTGTTGGGAAGTAGGGGGAAGAGTACTGGGTAGAGAAAGTGACTAGAAAGCTATAACTAACTTACTAGAAGCAAGTATGATAGCTAAGTACAGTACACCAAGTATACTAAATTGTTGACTGAATAGTAAGAGCTCCGCAAATATGGAGAATGAGCCATCGCATTACCGACCCATACCCATCGCAGGGATGGGTCTCAGGCATGGTGTTCGCAGGGTAGACTAAGAACACCATACCGCTTCGCAGATGGCAGATGGGTAGTTGGTTCGCTGGTTCGTTGGTTCGCGAGTCAGGTGACTGCGTGACTGCTTTTTTCCATCCATTTCGCACGACTGAAAATTTTAATCCATACGCACAGAAAAATCAAATTGAAAATTTTTTATTAAATATCATTAACAAAATGGCTCAATCCGTATGTAACATAGAAACTATAACAGTGTACAGTGAATGAAACAGACGAAGACACAAACAGACTGAAAGAAGAACACAGAGGGATGACTCCGATAATGAAGAAGACAGTTGAAAGAGAAGAAAAGCTTGAAAAGAGATGAAACCAATAAGTGAGTCAAATACCTTCAGACCTTGTAATAGGAATCCTTCCGGTGACTCCACTGGTCCAATGACGTCCTTACCATACCACCAATACCATCAGAACCCTACTTTGGCCCTTCCTGTCCTTCTACCCTCAACGGTCCATCTTTCAGTGTGTGGAAAGCTTCACTCCCACTTATCACTACCACACCCAAAAACTCATTACTAACTATTTATAGGCTCCAAAATGGTACGAAACTGAAGACGTTTCCGCTAGAAAACAAACCAGAAAAACTGCCCGTCCTCAAAAATTAAGAGCTTCCTTGGTTCCAGGTACCGTCTTAATCTTATTAGCCGGTAGATTCAGAGGTAAAAGAGTTGTTTACTTAAAAAACTTAGAAGATAACACTTTATTAGTTTCTGGTCCTTTCAAAGTTAATGGTGTTCCTTTAAGAAGAGTTAATGCCAGATACGTCATTGCTACCTCAACTCAAGTTGATGTTGCTAAAGTTGATGTCTCTAAATTTAACGTTGAATACTTTGCCAGAGAAAAATCCGCTAAAGGTAAAAAGACCGAAGCTGAATTTTTCAACGAAGAACAACCAAAGAAAGAAATTAAAGCTGAAAGAGTTGAAGATCAAAAATCCGTTGATGCTGCTTTATTAGCTGAAATTAAGAAAACTCCTTTATTAAAACAATACTTATCAGCTTCATTCTCATTAAAGAGTGGTGATAAACCTCATTTATTAAAATTTTAAGTTTTATATAATCAAGATGTGTGTGACGATGTGTGGTAACATTGATGTGGCACATATGTATATTTAATACATTACGTACTCAGATAACTCTTTGAAAGACTCTAAATTTGGGTTGGTAAAGGGTAATAGAAATGCGATGAGGTGGGAGAATTGATGATTTTGTAATCCCTCCAAAACGTCACTTTTCCGGGAATTTAATGTCTCTATGGAAACCTACACCCCATATTTACCTCCAGTACCAATATCAGACCTCTATCATCATTCCTCATAGTGATATTGAATTATGTCTGATCATGACAGATTTTTGTCCGCGGTACCATTTTCTCGCTATTTTCTCCCTAAATTTTCCCACCATTTGTCTCTCCCCTTCGCACGACCCGCACCTTTTCTCATAAACCTCATCTCATCGCAAAAATTTATCATTATGTCCAGTTTAATTCCTATTGCTACTTACAATTTAAACTTACAACCTTTCCAACCGGCTGCTGCCATTGAGTTAGAGTTCCCAAGTACCATCAGAATCACTTCTGTTGCCCTTGACCCGGAATCTGTTGATGAAAATGACAAACCTTCTACTTTAAGAATGTTAAAGAGAAAGTTACCATATGTTGATGATGAAGATTATGATGAAGATGATGAAGAAGATGAAGAAGATGAATTAGATGAAGAAGAAGAAGAAGAAGAAGAAGAAGAAGAAGAAGAAGAAGAAGAAGAAGAAGAAGAAGAAGAAGTCGAAGAAGAAGAAGAAGTCGAAGAAGAAGAAGAAGGTGACGATGTCTCAGATTCAGATTCAGAATTAGATGATGAAGAAACTGAAGAATATGTCATTTGTACCCTTTCTCCTAAATCCCAATACCAACAAGTTGTTGATATCACCATCCAACCAGATGAAGAAGTTTATTTCATTGTCACTGGATCTTACCCAATCCATTTAGCTGGTAATTACGTTGACCATCCAGATGATGAAGATTCTGATGAAGAAGATTTCGATGAAGAATATGATGACGATGAATATGATTTAACTCCTGATGAAGATGAAATTTACGATTTAGATGATTTAGAAGATGCTTCAGATATTGAAAACAAAATCGAAGAATTAGTTGAAGAAGATAACAAAAAGAGATCAGCTGAAGATGATCAACCACAAAAAAAGAACAAGAAAGCTAAGAAAGTTGAATTTAGCGAACAATTAGAAAAAGGTCCAACTGGTTCAGATTTTAAAGATAAAAAAGAAAAGAAAGAAGTCAAAAAAGATGTCAAAAAAGATGCTAAAGACGCAAAGAAAGATGTAAAAGACGCAAAAAAAGATGCAAAAGAATCTAAAAAAGATGTCAAAAAAGATGCAAAAGATGACAAAAAAGATGCTCAAGATAAAAAATTCCCTACCAAAACTCTTTTAGGTGGAGTTGTTACCGAAGATAGAAAAGTTGGTAAAGGACAAACTGCCAAATCCGGTAACAGAGTTTCTATCAGATACATTGGTAAATTGAAGAACGGTAAAGTCTTTGATAAGAACACTTCAGGTAAACCTTTCAGTTTTGGTTTAGGTAAGGGAGAATGTATCAAAGGGTTTGATTTAGGGGTTGCTGGTATGGCTGTTGGAGGTGAAAGAAGAGTTGTTATCCCAGCCAAGATGGGTTATGGATCTCAAGCATTACCTGGAATTCCAGCCAATTCTGAATTGACTTTTGATATTAAGTTAGTTTCATTGAAATAGATGTAGATTTTGTGTGTGTGTCTCTGTGTGTATGTCTCTGGCGGTGTAGCTGTCTCTCTGGTGTGGGTTGAAGGAGCATCTCACGGTTTCCTGTGTAATCTCTGGCATCTCTGGCCCCGTCTCTGTGTGGTCTCTGGCACCGTCTCTATGTAGTCTCTGGCACTGGTGTATGGTCTCTTTGGTGGCCCCCTTCATGGCCCCCTTCATGGCTCACCAACAGGTGGGGGATATGCCTAAAACGGACAATAGTCCCTAACTAGTAAGTGACACAAAATGATGTTACACAAAATCCAAAAACCCGCACCTATGTTACACAAAATCACCCAACCAACGCGCGGTCCACGAACGCCTTCGCGACTCATCGTTTAACTCGTCTGAAAATTTCTTCCACTTCACTGAAAGTTAAGTATGTATCGTCTACCACCACTGAAGGGCTGCACTATGCCATTGACCAATGGCCACCACTACCAATAGGACCATAGGTCATTGCAAAACTCCACCAGCAAGTCGTACGACGTTCTCGTCCCCAGTGGTCCCCCCATCGTTCCATTACTAACCCACTAAGTTTACTGGTTCATGTTAACGACAAGATCCATCACCAATTTCCTGGCCCACCGGCCTATCCATGTCATCATCGCTACCGCCATCTTGGCCTCGGTAGCGTACTTGGCTGTGGTGGACGAATATATCCCCGATACTTTGGCTTATTCATCCATTAGTTACTACCATCCTCCTGGTACCAGTGATTTCTCCGCATGGGTGGAGGTGGCAGGAGATGCTCATCCTGACGCTGACCATCTCACGGTGGTACCATTGAAGTTTTCTCGTACCACCGCAGGACTCCCTGACATCGCTAATTCCTTCCATGGAGTGAATGACCATGAAAAGTTCGTGGTATTGGATTCTACCACCACCATTGGATCCCTTGCCACCCTTGAGGCCCCAGGGGTTACGTGGAAAGCTCGTACCACCAACCGTTTATCGGTGTACCTCGAATACCTCAAGCATACCGTCAAACGGACCCAGAACCTCATCCAATTGGCCGAGAGCTTCGACGTAGGTTTGATCACTGTGGCCTACGTCGCCTTGTGGTACACGTTGATTAAGGTGTTCTTCGATATGAAGGCCCAAGCTGGGTCCAAGTTCTGGCTCGGATTCTCCACGTTAGTGTCATCGACCTTCGCCTTCCTTTTCGCCTTATTTACTGCCACCAAGTTGGGCGTAAGGGTACCATTGCTCAGTATGACCGAAGGGTTACCGTTCCTTGTGGCTATCATTGGGTTCAAACATAAAGTTTCCATTGCGGCCGTGGTACTGAAGAACTCTACGTCCAAGACTGACGTGGTGACCATCATTTCTGATGCCATCGCCTCCCATTTGGTGTCATTGTACCGCGACCATCTCGTGGTAATCGGGGCCTTGGGTGCCATCATTGCTTACGCCCATAATCTTCAAGGTTTAAAGAACTTCTCGGTATTGGCGGTACTAATTCTTTCCTACGACTTGGTCATGGTATTCACCTTCTTTGCTTCCATCTTGGCCTTAAAGGTAGAGATCAATCGTGCTAGAAGGACGGAGAACTTGAAACGAGTTTTGGAGGAAGATGGAATTTCCTCCTGGGCTGCTACCACCATCGCTACCCACGCCGATATTCCTCAGGATGAATCCTTCTTGGGCGACAGTGCTTCTATTATTTCCTTCAAACTCGCCATGTTAGGGGGATTTTTCGGGTTCCATGGGTACTGGCTTGGCTCAGGGTGGTTGTACAACACCACCGAAGAATCTACCACCAACATTTCCCACTATTTATCGAAAACTTTAACTAAACATATCGACATTGGACCTCGCGGTACCGTCATCACCCTTTTATCGCCCCAACATTACGTCCCCCTCGGTGCGGTGGTCCAGGCTGAAGATTTCGTGGTATCAATCCTCCACGCCATCTCCCTGTCCATTAAGGACACCATCTTGTCCAAGTTGATCTTATTGGCATTGGTGTTATCCATAGCCATCAATATTTACTTCCTTAATGCCTCCAGGAACCAAGCAGCTACCCATAAGTTACTTGAGAAGGAGATTTCCAAGCCCAAGGTCGCCGCGGCTGGTACTAACGGTACCGCGAACGTCAGTAAAATCACCACCCCACAAACTGCCACCAACGATACCGCGAACACCGCTAACGGTACTGCGAGACCTTTAGACCAATGTCTCGCTATTATGAAAGAAGGTAACACTCCATCATTATCCAACGATGAAGTCACTGACCTTGTGGTTGCTGGGAAACTTCCATTGTACGCATTAGAGAAACAACTCGCCAACAACGAGAGAGCTGTGGTGGTACGTAGAAAAGCTATCGCCCTGTTAGCCAACGCCCCGGTATTAAATACCGACAAATTACCCTACGAAGGTTACGACTACGATAGAGTGTTCGGGGCTTGTTGTGAGAATGTCATTGGGTACATGCCTATCCCCGTAGGAGTGGCTGGACCTGTCATCATCGATGGTAAACCCTACCACATCCCTATGGCCACCACCGAAGGATGTCTTGTTGCTTCCACCATGAGAGGGTGCAAAGCCCTTAACTCCGGGGGAGGAGTTACCACGGTTTTAACCAGAGATGGTATGACCAGAGGTCCGGTGGTACAATTCCCTACGTTGACCCGTGCTGGTGCGGCCAAGATCTGGATCGATTCCGAAGAAGGTCAGAAAACCATCAAGAAGGCCTTTAACTCCACCTCCAGGTTCGCCCGTTTACAGCACATCCAGACGGCCCTTGCCGGGACGTTATTGTTCATTAGGTTTAGAACCACCACCGGGGACGCCATGGGGATGAACATGATCTCCAAGGGGGTGGAATACTCCTTGAACTACATGATCGAAGAGTGTGGGTTCGACGATATGGACGTCATCTCCATCTCCGGGAACTATTGTATGGACAAGAAGCCTGGGGCCATCAACTGGATCGAAGGTAGAGGGAAATCGGTGGTAGCAGAGGCCCGTATTCCTAAGGAGGTTGTCACCAAAGTATTGAAATCTGACGTTAGGTCGTTGGTGGACTTAAATGTCAGTAAGAATTTAGTGGGGTCGGCCATGGCTGGGTCCATTGGTGGGTTTAACTCCCAGGCCGCCAATTTGGTCACCGCGGTGTTCATTGCCTGTGGTCAGGACCCGGCCCAGAACGTCGAGTCGTCTAATTGTATCACCTTGATCAATGAGTTACCTGACGGGGATATGTCGATATCGGTATCGATGCCATCGATCGAAGTTGGTACCATTGGTGGTGGTACTATCTTGGAACCACAAAATGCCATGTTGGAATTATTGGGGGTCGCAGGGCCACATCCTACTAATCCTGGGGAGAACGCTCGTCAATTATCGAGAATCGTCGCTACTGCGGTATTGGCAGCGGAATTGTCGTTATGTTCGGCTTTGGCTGCGGGTCATTTGGTCAAGAGTCATATGCAACATAACCGTAAGGGAGCTGAAGCTCCAGCACCAGCAGTTTCAGCCCCAGCTGCTCCAAAAGCTGCCCCAGCTGCCCCAAAAGCTGCCCCAGCACCAAAATCTAATGGGAAACTCTCAGAAAATGATGTCAATAGATTAAAAGAGGGTTCTGTCAACTGTATAAAATCATAGTTATTCAAATGTATAGGCTCTGGAAGGCACGTAGCACGGTGTGGTAGCACGATACGGTACTGGAAACTCTGCTCTTTAGCGCGCACTGGTCGCACTGGGGGTAAATCCTCACAGCGGTGGCATTACCACGGCAGCTCGCTGTGGTCGCAGCGCTCACTGAGTTCGCAGCGCTCGCTGGGCTCGCTACTGCTCCCTACGCGCACATGACTCATGCGAATCGATTTCTCAACATCATGATCTCCCAAGCTATCGGTGAATCCATCCCCAACAACACCGAACACGCTGTATCCGTCACCCTTCCTACGTGGGAGGCCACAGTGGGCTACGAAGAAGGCGAAGAATGGGTGGTATCCAAGATGAACTCAGGCTACCCCCGTTTCTTCATCCACTCCATCATCCAACAACTAGCCTCCAACATCACCGCCAAGTACGGTAGAACTGGTGAACAATGTATGGTTTTCTCGTCCTATAATATCTCCAAACGTTGCAGAGACTTCATTTATTCCAAAACCCCTGCCAATACCGCCAAACCCACCGTCAGAGTGCTTAAACTTTCCACCGTCCCACCTCGTACCGATCTCGAGAAATCTACCGTGGTAGAGACGTCCATTGGGGTGATTTTTTTCCCTCCCGCGGTATTCACCCTAGCTAAGGCCTATTGGCAGCACTCAGGGGAAGGTATCTCCTCCCGGTTAGCGGAGTATTTGCTTAAACATTTATTTCCCCAATCCACCCATAAAGTTGATGTTACTGGTGACACAAAAGCCGAAATTCAAGCTAGAAGGATTCAGAAGATTTCTCCCTCCATTAACACCCCTACGGTACTGAAACGTCGGGACGATGAAGATACCACCATGTTCATTGATCAGAAATTCGGTAGAATTTTAGATTTGAAATTTGCTCCTGCGGCTAAAATTGCCTTAAAGAGAAGAATTATCGGCAATATCGAAGAATTGGATTTGGACTTGAATAAGATCAGAGAGAATACCAAAAAGTTTGATGCTGACGACGTTTACTTATACCCCAGTGGGATGGCGTCGATATTCAATTGTCATCAAGCACTTTTACTGGCTTTCCCCCCACAAAAATCCGTATGTTTTGGCTTCCCTTATGTCGATACCCTCAATATCTTGAAGAAATTTGGTCCTGGAGTTCATTTCCTTGGGTTAGGTGATGACCAATCGTTAGCGGAATTAGAACAAAACCTTCTGAATGGGATGAAAATCTCCGGATTATTCTGTGAATGTCCATCCAATCCATTATTGAAAACCCCCAATTTGAAGAAAATCAGAGCTTTGGCCGATACTTATGACTTCGCCGTGGTGGTGGATGACACTGTGGGTAACTTCATCAATATCCACGTCTTACCTTACGCCGATATGGTTTGTACATCATTAACTAAAGTGTTTTCTGGAGATTCTAATGTTATGGGCGGTTCAGTAGTACTTAATAAGGAAACCCGTAAATATGCACAATTGAAAAAATATTTCACCATGCATTATGAAGATGTGTTCTGGGCTCAAGACGCTTTGGTAATGGAAAGAAATTCTCGTGATTTCGCCGAAAGATCCCGTAAAGTTAATGAAAATACTCAAGAAATTGTTAATTTCCTTAAAAATTGTTCATTAATATCCAAAGTTTACTATCCTTCACTTTCTGATACTAAAAATTACTATGATGACATTAAAACCCAGAATGGTGGATATGGAGGTTTGATTTCTTTCATATTTCATGATCCTAATGATGCCATTACGTTTTTCAATGCCATGAACTTCCATAAAGGGCCATCTTTGGGGACAAATTTCACTTTGGCTTGTCCCTATACCATTTTGGCCCATTATGGGGAATTGGAGGAGGTAGAGAAGTGGGATATCGATAGGAATTTGATTAGGATTAGTGTGGGGATTGAAGATAAGAAGGAGTTGGTGGAGGTTATGGAGAAGCTGTTGGAGGTTACTTTGAATTCGAGGCGAGACAGCTAGCTGAGACTCGAAGAGTCGAAGCTGGAAGCTTCCAAGACTCTCAAGACACTCAAGACTCCCTGTCCAGTCGGGCCATGACCCACACAGGTCGATCATCTTGACCTTCCGTACCATTCCCCGGCACACAGAGTTCTCTACGTCTCCATTTACAGAAATATACATTAGATTATTCATCTCGCACCGATCTCGGACCGGTTACCGATTTATCTGAGTTTTACCTATCAAAATAGGCCAAATCACCGTTCTAAGGGTCTAAAGCGTCCTGGGGGACCTATGCAGTGCAGCTGAACTTCCCAGTAAGCCTGCCAACTCACTAGAAAGGAAACTTCATATGTTCACACTCTCCCGGTACATCTCCCGTAATCTCTTCATGCTGTACCACCCCAACGTACCAGTACTTCGCATTACCACCAAAGAACTCCTGCCATTTCCTCACATCGGCCCGAGCCTCTTCAGGGTCAAGGCCTCTCAAATCATAAGTAAACTCATCGGGCTTATTGAAACACCCCGTAACGAAAGCTCGTGCCGCATCCTTACCACTGAAGAATCTATAGGGCCCCTTAGGTCCATAGATATGTCTAGCCAGTGTCACATCATAAACAGACCCATTAATAGCGACATAAATAGGACGATTGTCAGTACCATCGTAATGAGACAATTCGGCCAATGTCAAGTTAACCTGTCCTCCTAATTGGAACCAATAATAGCGAGGGTTTATGTATTTACCGTCATAGCCCCAGGTGGTGGAGGAAGTGATCCAGTACGATAGCACGGCGTTGATAAGGAGGATTCCGCTAAGGATTCGTAGGATATCAAGGAAGGTGAATCGTTCCATTGTGCGAAATGCGAGCGAGAGCGGAGTTGCGATGGCGCCGAGTTGGTGCGAGAGTAGGCCTCAGGGAGGAAAGAGAAAAAGACTATTTTTATCTACTACACCTTGTTGCTAGTGGTACTATTGTAGCTACTTCTGAGGATTCTAGTAGCAAAGGAGACTGGTACCAGCCTCCATGGCTGACACCATGGAGTTTACTGGCACGCACTGGCCCTACGCCATGAAGAAAACATCATTGAGCGTACCTTTACTGCTGAAATTGAAGTTCGACGCCCCAGGGTTCACTATATCGCCCCAGAACTCTTCTCCTATGAAATTGTTGTCTAGTTCATCGAACCCTGGAACACCGTAGTAGCCTTCTTGTTCCACACTGGGCTCTATGGGAAGTATGGGTTCGGTTGTGAGCATAGAATGGAGATTTCCTGGTCCTTGTCCTTGTACTTGTACTGGTCCTTGTGCTTGTACCGGTCCTGGTCCTTGTGCTTGTACTGGCCCTTGTGCTTGTACTGGTCCTGGACCTTGTGGACCTTGTGGCCCCTGCACCGACTGTGGTTGACCTGGTTGCCCTGGTACTGCCCTTGACTGATGTTCAAGTGTATGAACTGTGGGTCCATTTCCAATAGACCCATTTCCAATAGACCCATTAGTGGGACCTCTAGGCCCCGTAGGTCTAATCATACTGAACTGTTGGCCAAACTCCGAGTAACTCAACGGATTAACAAGATGGTTCTGCAATTGGGACTGTAACTGGGAGTGTAATTGGGACTGTAACTGACTCTTTAAATCCTTCTTATCATCATCATACGCCATTTCCTCCTGTAATGAAGATTTGGTCTCCCCGTGCTTCAACGACCGTCTAAAAGCGGCGGCATAGCTCAATACGTCCAACGGGACATGAGGATGCATGGCCACGCCGGAATTTGACGTTAAAACCCCATAATTATTGGGTTTCCAAAGAATGTCGTTCACTAATTGGTCGCCCAAATCCTTGAAACTGTTGGTCTTCTTGTCAGAACTAAGTAAAGTGTTGACCTGGTTAGCGTAGGTCTGGATGAACAACTGTAACATCAAGGAGATCTTCTTCATACAATAATTGAACGGATGGAGTTCGGCCGATTTAAGGAACACAAGATTGGTCTTTTGTACCACATCAATGGCATTTATCGGTACGAGGTTCTTCTCAATATGAAGGGGGAATGATAGGATAAGGAAACGGAGCCGGAGTAACATCCCGGCGGTGTAAATGATTCGAGAAAGGTAAAGTAATGGAACACAAGCAATTCTCTCTGACCCCATTAGCGAGAAACTCTCTAAACAGTTGACACAGGCCGTGGTACAGGTAGAAATGGCCTTAATGGCTTCAGTTTTAAGGTATACCGTACCATCAGTATTCAACCCTGCTACCTGGGTCAATAAAGGTTCGTGTAAATAAGCCTCTACTGAATGGTAGTACGCCATTATGCCTTGACGGTTATCGGTATTGAAGGTCTTGAAGATTTTGGCCCGAATAAGATTCAAATCGTCCTGGAGTTCTTTGATTATCCAATGATTGGTGGTGGAGTCGACGGTGGTATCGGAACAATGGATGGAATTATGGATTTTTTCAAGGATATGGTTCAACCGGGAAAGAATGGCGAGACTGTTAAGGGTATAATCACTAGATCGTTCAAGGAAGGAACAACATTCTTCAACATAAGGTGTCCATTTAACATAAATGGTTCTACGAAGGATCAAACAGGTGGTCACTGTGCCTACGTACAACAACATAATGATTTTCCGGTGCTGGTCAGTGGTGGCAGGAGTTTCTGTACCATCATCATTGGTCTTAACCACAATCCCGAGGTCGTGTAAAAGTCCAATAGCCAAAGCATTTAAAAGATGGAATCTTCGTTGTTTGACGAGTTCAGGACTGTTGTACCAGAACCCAAGGAGAATTAGGGCCTTTAGGTATTCCTCCGTCTTATTCCCGGCCAAAAACACTTGCATCATGAGATATTTGGTAGCAATTATCTCTATAATTTGGTTAGTACTTTCATCTCCTTCTCTTAACACCAACGATGTCACACACATAATGGCATTAAATAAATAAGGCTGGCTACCACGAAGGGTTTCGGCAGTACTGTCGGGAGGTAGGTCGATATAGGGGAATTTGGTGTGGAAACTTTCCTGGAAAAGGGATAATCTCATTTCTGCTTCTTCAATGGTGATGACTTTCTTCGATACCACGTCGATGGCTTCGATTTCGTCCAAAATGAACGAACTACGTTTAATGGCGCTGTCTTTAAGGTCGTTGCTGAGTTTCATGAAAGCTGACGTGTGGTCGTTATTGTTGAGAATCTTCATTTCTGCCTGGAGGTCTTTTTTGGAGATGAATTCGTCTACTTGGCCACCTTTTAGGGAGGATATCTGGGCCTTTAGGGCGGAGATTTGTTGGTGGAGGTTAGCGATTTCTTGTTCCGGAGTTAAATTTTGGGGTGTAGGACCCAAAGGATTGGTTTCTTGACCGCCGTTACCCTGGCTTCCATTGCCCTGGCTTCCATTGCCCTGGCCACCATTGCCCTGGCCACCATGACTTCCTTGACTTCCCTGACCACCTTGACTTCCTTGTACTGAAGGGTGACCATTCACTGACGTCTGATCTCGTATCACCGGTGTGCCCATTGGTGTGTGATCACGTGCCATTCCTTGGCCCTGATAATACCCAAACCCATAGAATTTCCCCGGTGATGGCGTGAACGTCTCGTCGCTCTTCATACTGCCATTATCGTTGATGATATTGTTATTATTGCTATCGACAAAATGGTCATCTTGCTTCTTTTCAGCTTCACGAGCCTCTAGGATCTCGGCCTTCCGCCTCCTCTTACGGGGCTGGTTCAAATCGATTTCACAAACTCTTTTTGTGTTCAAACATCGTACACAAGGACCTCCAGGGTTATTGATATCGGAGGGAGTACATTTGACTTTAAGACTGTGACAGGACTTACAGGCCACGGATCTTCTTTTCCGTTTATCTTCGTCGGTCATGGGGAATATTCTGACGTTGTGGTGCTGTATAGCTCTGTTGTGGTGCTACTGGTATGGTTCCTTAGCCTGCTACGGTTCTCTAGCTATAGGTCTAAAAACAACTGACCGCTAAACACCGCTGATGGCTGCTGGCTAAACGGCGGGAAACTTCGCTACTCCGTATAACCTCTCTTCTAACACTCCAACTAGCACAGCTGTGGTGGTGACTTCTTGTGCTATAAGTAAGTGCCGCCTGATTGCTTTGGCAGTAACTGGTTTGCTGGTGGTAAATACTTACTGATCCACTGGCTGAAATGGTTCCAAAATTGACTATGTTCGTGGTACCGAGTTCTTTAACCTCTAGTGAGCTCTACGGTACTAATGCTCAAGTATTATGGTGGTTATGGCAAGATACTTTGTGTAGTTGTATAACTGCCGATGTCAAAAATTCGCACTGAACGGCTGTTGATGGAGTGCGCACTGGCTTGCACTGGATGGAGTGCGGCCTAGAGTGACGGTCTGATAGCGAGCACTGGACTGACGGTCTGGGGCGCCCATCGCTGTGCGCACTGTCAAACTGCCGGAACTTCCAAACTTCCTCAATAATGCCGATGTTAGGTAACAAATATATCCTTGCTATTGATATCATCTCCCTAGGTTTAGGGATAAATGGTATGGTAGCCGTGGCCAACCTCCCGTTACCTCCCCACCTTCAAGCTGCCGGACCGTGGCAATTCCTTACCAACTTATCGTTGATGCTTTCCAATATCGTCTTTGCTTTAGGAGTCATTGCTCATGCCACCAAGTCTAGCACCATTTTCCAGTGGAAGAATCGTCTTGGACCTTTTGGTTTGATCATGGAAATGATCGTGTTCATGGTGTACTGGCCCTTACGTCTTTTCTTCCTTCATTTGTTAGTGAAGAATATCGATGATTTCAGGGCCACATTATTCATCGACTTGTCTATCCACTTAATGCCGGTGGTGCTGTTGTTGGTGGACTTCATGTGGTTCCTGCCGACATGTACTATCACCAACAGTCAAGCGTTGGCCATTTGTTTGGTTGCTACTGGAGGTTATTGGCTGTGGTTACATAGAATAGTGGACTTAGAGAATGGGGCAGAGTTCCCGTATAATTTCTTGAACGTGGATAGTACCGTGGTCAGGGGAGTGATCTTTACCTTCGTGGGGTTGGTGGCGTTCTTGAACTTCGTGTTGATTCAGATGGTTTATAGAAGTGTGGTTAGTGAGAGGAAACACCAGTGAGAAGACCTTTGATGGCTGAGGTGTTTGCCGTGTGGCGGGCCCGTGGTTGATTGGTGCCGGACTGTGTTAGCTTCCGTCTCAGACTGTGGGCCAGACAGTGTGCTGGCAGTGTAAATAGTGTAGATACTAAGGTTTTAATAGAATAGCTTATCTCGGCTATAAAATCTCTGGCCTCACTTACTGGCCCCATTGGCTCTGTCTGTTGGCTCTACCCAGTGGCCCTGCCCAGATGACCAACGGTAACAAATACAATGGCATGTAGAGCACTGGCTGTCCATTACATCCATTCCCACTGTTTTCTATTGCAAACCTGCCATCATAGCACCATCGAATCCTGGTGTACGGTACTCCTATCGGCTATAAAAGATTTTATTCCCGGCGTTGTCTCGCACTGTCTCCCGCTCTAAGTTCCACCGCCATCTCTCTCCCTCCCCTTGTTCATCCCCGACATTTTCGCACAAAGCAACTCGTCAACATGAAATGGCTAACCCTTTTAACTTCCATAACGGCCCTCCAATTACCGTTCTTTAACGACCCCATAGGTAGCCACTACTCCTCCATCAACCCTCAAGACCATCCCATCAACCTCACCCAGTACAACGACGACATTGTCATCAGAGCTCACTACACTGAAGCCAACTATGCTGAATTAAGGAAGTTCAAAATCTGGGGCAAATCCACCGTCAACAGAACCATAGATATCCAGCTCACTCCTGGAGACATAATCCAACTCAAGAAATCCACTGGTGTTGATTATACCGTGATCATTGAAGATTTAGCCCAAAAAGTCTATGAAACTTACCCCCAAGTCAATGAAATTTCCACCAAAGACAGCCCTTTCAAGTACCAGATGACTCATGACATCCTCGCCGACATGGAGGCCAACATCTTCTCCGAGCTTTTCTTCAAAGAGTATCGTCCGTTAGAGACCATTAATGCCTGGCTCAGTCTCATCGCTGAGAGTTTCCCTGATTTGGTAAAGATAGATAAAATAGGCGAGACCTATGAACACCGAGATTACAACGTTATTCACCTCTCGGACCATTCTACCGACAACCATAGTGATAAGAAGACCATTGTCATCACTGGAGGGGTCCATGCACGGGAATGGATCAGTGTATCGACGGTATGCTACCAATTATATTCCATCTTACAACATTATTATAACAATCCTGATGAGGTTTTGCTCCACAATCTCGATTTCTTGTTCATTCCGGTGTTAAACCCTGACGGTTACGTGTACAGTTGGGAGACTGACCGTTTATGGAGGAAAAATCGTCAAGAAACCATCAATCCTAAATGTTTCGGTATTGATATTGACCATTCCTACGATTTCCATTGGACTAAATCTTCCGATTGGCCCTGCGGTGAAGAGTACAGTGGAGAATTACCTTTTGAGTCCATTGAATCAAAGATTTGGAACGAATACCTCACCAACAATAACCATAATCATGAGATTTTTGGTTATATCGACTTACATTCTTACTCCCAAGAGATTCTTTTCCCCTTTGCCTTCTCTTGCACGGAGAATCCTCGGGATGAGGAGAATCTTTTGGAATTGGCCTACGGAATCTCCAAGTCCATGAGACAGAAACATGGCAAAACTTATAATGTGTTGCCAGCATGTCAAGACAAGGATGCCGACTTGCTTCCTGACTTAGGTAGTGGTACGGCCTTGGACTTTATGTACCATAATAAGGCATATTGGGCTTATCAGTTGAAATTGAGAGATTCAGGAAATCATGGGTTTTTGTTACCTTCGAAGTACATTGAGCCGGTGGGTGAAGAGGTGTTTGAAGGGATAAAATATTTCTGTGGATTTATATTGGAAGAATAAACGGACGGTTTACTGTGTTTTTAGTGGCTCTTGAGTGCCTCTTTACTGGCTCTTTATTGAGGTGTTCTGAAACTTACGCACAAATTGCGAGGTCATTCTGAAATTTACACCGAGGATTTCTTATTTAGTCAGACTTGCTCGCTAACTTCTCCCTATTTCTTCCAATCTCTCCCTAACTTGTCAAACTTCTCGCTAACTTCCCGCTAACTTCTTCCTCACTAATTCATGAAGATCGTTATCCAAAAAGTCAAATCAGCGTCCGTTACCGTCAACCACCAACTCATTTCCTCCATAACCAAAGGTTTAATGGTTCTAGTGGGAATCTCCACCTCCGATACCCCCGAAGATATCACCAAAATGTCGAAAAAGCTCCTAAATCTCAGAATTTTCGAAGACTTAGCCATTGAAGACGATCGGTACTCCGGTAAACCATGGAGTAAATCCATCAAAGATTTGGGTTTAGAGGTTCTTTGTGTATCACAATTCACCTTGTACGGTACCGTCACCAAGGGAACCAAGCCAGACTTCCACAAGGCAGAGAAAGGACCCATTGCTAGGGAGAAGTATGAAGAATTCTTAAGCCAGTTGAGAGTGGAGTTGGGAGATAAGGTGAAAGACGGGAAGTTTGGGGAGATGATGGAAGTAAGTTTAGTGAACGATGGACCTGTGACGATAGTTTACGAGACGTGATGTATGTAGATAGAATAGACGTATATAGAACCTATTTGTGGGGCTAGGTGACAAGGCTCTGTGGTTCTGACTTGGCTCTGATGGCTCTGATGGCTCTAATTTGGCGCTGGTATGGCTTCGATGTGTCCCAGGGGTCCCCTTCTGACGCCTTTAAACCAACATATAGCTCGCTACCACCACAAACCCTAAGAATACCAACCACGTAAGGCCGAAGGGCGTGAACCTATCTTCAGGGCTGAACTCAAAATTATTGAAAAGCTGGGATGAAAGCTGGGACGACGATGGTCCTGTCCTTGGAAACTGTCGAAGCAACGACACCACCGCTAGAATGGCGAACACTAGCACCAAATAACGTAAAGAGCTAGGTATGGAGTGTTTCATGTGAGTGAGAAACCGCACCAGGTTTTACCAGTGATCAAGAGAGTGTTGTGCCACAAACATCACATGGACAACTGGCACGAGACAGACGGGGAGGAAGACGATGTGGATGGAGTGGAGTTAGGTGGTTCAGGGGGTGAGAGTTCAAGGAATTTGGTGGTTAAGTCAACGAGTAGATCAGGCCTGTTAGACAAGAAGGGTTCACGAACGATGGAAGGGACGACAGAACGAACGACAGAACGGATGTCAGAATCACCAGATATCACCATACGGTCACCACCTCGGAAACGATTCAAAAAACACGTCTCCCTAACTTCCCTCCCAACCCCAGCCTTAGAACTCATCCTCCATTACTCCCAATCCATCCACCTTACCTCCCTAAACAAAGAATATCGGGGGGAATTGGCCCCGTTGGTGTTCCAACGACTCAAAATCCAATGGTCCGACCTAACTAACCCCCAATTTCTTCAGTTCTCCCGCAAATATAGAGTTAAAGAGATTCGAATAGCTGATTCCAGCTCCTTTGGTGAGTACCACATCGATTTCACCCCCATTTTTAACGATCTAGGACTCCTTACCCTTAAAATCACCACCACCAATACCACCAATTGGTTGAAATATCGGTCTAATGCCACCATCAACCACCTCCAACTTTCCCTGGACTCCCATGACTTCAAGGTTTTCAATCTTAATCATATAGTTCATTTCAGTCACGTGACATCCCTTTCATTGACCAATTATCATTTCCATCAGTTCGATGAGTGTGGGTTGATGGTGGAAACTTTGGTCCTTATCGATTGTACATGGTCCTATCCCTTCACCATCGATCAGTTCAACAATCACGGAGCCCTTAAAAACCTCCAGATCTTCTACACCGACGATATCGCCTTCTTGATCTCAGAGAGGTTCAATATGTTTCTCAAAAGTCCGGGTAACCTCGACCTAAAACGACTCACGATAAATTTCCACCACCACCATAAGAAAAGAACGTTGAACAATAACCAAATGGCCATTTTCATACGAAGCTTCCCCAATCTCCAGTACTTGGACCTAAGAACTTGGGACGTTCATTTCGATGCCATGGCTACGGAATTTGAACTTTTGGTCGATGACCGCGCACTGAAGATTCGATGATTTGGTGGTGGTTATTGGCGATAGTCGTCGCCAATACTGAGGTTTATATGATGAACATCCCCAGATTCTACGATATTCCCAACAGAATTGACGGTGGGGAATGGCAATTACGGTCTATTGACCAATCAAACTTCATTATCAATAATTATCCCTTAACAAATATCTCCTACACTCCCAATAAAACCGTCACCGTGTCAGGACCGTTCAATGATGACGATACAGGGTGTTTCCTTGTACGGTTGAATCCAATATTCAAATCTAATGATATAATCTTCACTAAAGTCTCGTGGCCAGCTACGTTACCGGTAGATTTCACCCTTTCCCATGATTTTATCCCGTCCAAAACCTTGGACAATGGTGATGATTTCGATATCTACGTCAATGTAACCTATCATTTCAATTATAAGAGTTATAAGCCGGTAACCATTGAGGAATTGAAGTTTAATTTGGTGATTGAGGTTCTACCCAACCGATTACCTATTCCCATCGAAGTTTATGACATTATAAGGTACCAGGTAGGTTTGTTGTTGATCATAGTACCACTTTTACCTGATTTACTTGAATGGTTTGGGTTAAAATGAAGGTATAGATGTGATAAAGTTTGATAAAATGTCGTATAGTGTCGCAATGTATAGTTAATAATGTCACATAATGTCGTACAGTGTCGTGTTTTTTGTATGTAAAACAAAGCAAATGTCACATAATGTCGTTTGGTGTCGTATAATGTCGCGGGTCATTTGCTGCTCCTTATGTCTATTTTCCCCACCCGTGCACCCATAGTTAAGGTCTCAAAAGTGCGTGAGTAAGGGAAAATTCATCATGAGTTACAGTGAAGAAGATCCATTATCAGAGCCAAAGAACGTTCAAAATTTGGATTTATCCAGATTAACTCCAGAAGAGTTGAAGATTTATAAGCTCTACGGCAAATTGCCTACCAAACAAGAGATTTTATCCCAAAAAATCCAAGATAAGAAGTACTTTGATTCAGGAGACTATGCCATGTCTAAGAAATCTAATAGGGGATTGTTGCCTATGAAACATCCTAATGCTGAGAAGGTGAAGGAGATTTATACCAGGAATTCCATTAGTGGGAGTAATTCGGGGGTGTTGTATAATGGGAAGCTGGGGTTGTTGAATGAGAGTACACCTAAGAAGGATTAGGCAGGTGTCACGGGTGTCACAGGCGATACCCTGGTGACGCCGTGGTGACACTGGTGACTTTCTGGCTTTTCTTTAAGCTTGATACATGGCCATTGGCACCATAAGCCATTGGAATCTGTGGTCCTGTCAGACCTTTGGCGCTTGCTCGCCGGTATTCCAGTCTTCCCTTTCTTACTTGGGTCACAGGTATCCTGGTACCAAAACCTATGGCCCAGTGTCCTTCAGTCACTAACATTGCTCCTAGTCAGCAGGCGGCTAGGTGAATATATAATTTCAAAGGTTCTCTTTTGACTCTTTTTTGACGGGCCAGATTTTTGACCGACTGTTTGGCCAGCTCTTGACCGTCTGGCCAGCTTTGTGGCCTTTTATGTGGCCATTCAGGTGGCCAGGGCTCTGGCAATGGCTAGCGCCATGGTCTTTCTGTGGCAGCTCTCTTCTAAGAATCTCAAAATAACCGCTGGATCATCAGCGGTAAAACGAGCGATAGAACTAAGCGGTAGAGCTTAGGAGCTTGGGAGCTTAGGAGCTTAGGAGCTTAGGAGCTTAGGAGCTTGGAGCTTGGAGAGGAGGTAACGCAGAAGAAGGAGAGACTGAACAGTATCACAGGCGCTCACTAGGATTATCATTGTGGGCATCTTTGACGCTCAAGAGTTTCTAATGGTACGTATATGCAATTACACAGCTTAGAGCTGGAGTTGGACTGGCAGGTGAGTTCAGGGCACACCAGAGCGTATCATGAAGCTCCCTGGTGTTGTGGTGCCTCTTGGTGTCTCCTGGTGGTTCCTCCTTGTGGAATTCTGGTGAAAATCCCCCAGAAGCTCCCCTGGCATGGAAATTCCCTACCTAAACAGCCTTATCCTCAGTAAATATCCTACATGGATACTCCTCAACATACATCCCATGTTGTGGTTCTTCTAAAATCTTCCATTTGAACTTATTCAACGATGGAGCTACAATTGGTTCTCCAGCACCTCCCAACATTTCCCCCTTGATCACAGAACTATCGATCTCGTTCAAAGTTACTGATAATTCCACTGGCTTTGAAGGACTGGCTTCAAATACTGACAATTCTTGGGTTCCTTTATCACCAATAGATAATCTGGAGTTGGTGGCTGAACCGAGTTTCAATAATCCTGACACTTTGGATTGGTCGAAGGAGTGAACTTGTGGATAGTTCCTTCTGAAATCTCTTTTGAAGTAAGGATTGTTTCTAACGTCCCCGGTAGGGAAAGTGACGGGTTCTTTATAGTTTCTGGCACTATCGATATCTTCACCTGGTGGAACTGCACGGAAAAACTTCACTAAAGGGTTCCCACTGGATCTGTTGGGTACTAAGACCAAGAGTTGTCTGACTTTCTCCCAGATCCCTGTGGATCCGGTGGTATACTTCTTCCAAACTGGTACGGGTCCTCCACTCATGTTGATTAATGGTGAGAATTTTATTGGATGCGAAGAGTGTCGTGGACGTTGGCAGGTGAGGGTGGGACAGTTGGGGTGGGACAGGTCATTTTGACCATTGGCTGTATGGCTGGGGGTTATGGTGGTGTTGAGTGGGTTTAAAGATGTTGTAATGGGGCGTTTGCTGGTATTGTGGTGGGAAGCATTGGAGGAGTGGATGTTCATGGTTTGCGACAATGTCGCAGTGGTTGCTGTGAGTGGCTACTCTGTGATGCACTGTTCCCTGGCTGAACGGTCCCCAGGCTGGAACAAAGGAGTTGTCAAGCGATTGAATGGTGGGTGGAGTTAGTTAGGGATGTTTGAGAGATTGGTGGGATCTTGGAACGAGAAGTGGAGGAGGTGTTTTGACTGTCACATTATCATGGTGTCTGACTGTCAGGTGGAAGCGTTTTCCTGGAATTTTGTGGGTCTGAACGGTGATTTGTGGGCTCCTGGTGCCATCACCGGTCTTCCAAGGACATCTAAGTCCTTTGAAAGATGAATCTGGTGGTCGTGTATTCACCATTCTTGACGGGTAGACAGAACGACTGGCTGACTGGTAGTGGATTGGTAGACGGTCTGGTAGTAGGTCTGGTAGACGGTCTGGTAGACGGTCTGGTAGACGACCTGCTGGACGACCTGCTGGGCGGCCTGCTGGTGGACAGCGACGGAAAGAGATGGAAAACACAGAAGTTCTGAAATTAACTATAAAGGTCTGGCATAACACAACTGGTTAGTTGACGTCTCTGGCTAGTTGACGTCTCTGGTTAGTACTGGACAGTGCGAGAAGCGTCCCACTGGGTACAAACAGCGGTAAGTGGGCAGAAAAACGTTCAACAGTGGTCCTTCGTCCCACTGTTTGAACACTGTTAGAACACTGTTAGAACAAAGCCCTCCCTAAGGTCCCGAATATAATCACCCCACAGAAGAAGAAACTCGCCGTCCATAACCAAATAGGTGCAAATTCCTGTGGCTGTAACACCGTACCGTACTGACGGAACACATCCACATTAGTGACATAGATCAATAAACATCCATAGGTCGATAACGCCAAAGATGCTACCAATCCCCCTAAAGTTCCGTCCAAGATCAACCACAATCCTGGACTTAACAATGACCACACTATCGACACCTGTAACTGGTTAGACCATTCGATGTGTCTAATGGCATAACTGATCCCCATGAAAGTGATCAAAGATCTCAACACATCATTGACGATGTTGGACTTTCCAGGGTTGGGGTTCGAAGAGAGTAACCTCTTGTTCAAATGGGGGGGCATAGCAAAATCCATGATGGGGTGGAAAACTCCCATAATAAGTCCTTGGATCACTAAAACTGCCGCGTAGTTCCACCATCCATCGGCAGTAAAGTACGCCAAGGGTTTCAATGTCCGGAGCGAGTTGGTTAAAAGAATCTCCGTAACGTACAATGGCTGGAATGTCAATTTGTCTAACTTAATGTGGTCGTTACGAAGCTTTTGTGACACTTCGTTGTAAATGAAGGCAAATACTGCTAAGAATAACACTTTAGCCACAAACTTTACTACCATTACTGGGAGTGACTGGGAGGTTTGGACGGGGACTTCTTGAGGGGCGTGAGTCTTGGTGATATAAAGGCCATCGTCTTCGTCGTCTTCTCCATTCAAAGCGGTGACTGATGATTCGTTGTAGATGGAGTACAACGGAGGTTTGGTGAGATTGACCACGGAGTCGGTCTTTTCGATGTTCACAGCAGAGAACGGTTTCTTTGGTGTTGACATTGGTTGAGTGAGTGTAATGAGATTTGAGTGCGGAGACTTGGCAGCGAGCGAGCACTGCGACCAGCGAACGAGCATCGCGAGTGATGCTCGTGAGCATTGCGAGTGAGCGCCCCAACATACCGTATGACGCTGGTGAGTATTGCGAGTGACGCTAGCGAGATGTCTCGTGAGCACTACCAAAGAGTACCGCGAGTGAGCTCCCCATATCGTATGACGCTGGTGCCATACCGTGCTAACTGAAAATATTACCGCGACGCTGACACGACCTATACGACCATATATTAATCTATCACTATGATTTCCTTATCCTTACCTTCAGTTTGGCCCTGTGCTGACTCCTCCACTGCCTCCAAGTCCTCCACATCCACAGTCTCGACCCCTAAATCCCCCACCAACTCGGTCTCCCCCTTCTCGACCCCCAAATCTCCCACCGTCTCAGTCTCCACCTCCAAATCACCCGTCAAATCCACAACTCCTCCACACCACACACTATCCTTCCATCTCCGTTCAGCTGCTTCTCGTACCAATTCCAGAATCAACTTATCCTTCTTTTCGCCCCCCAATTTCCGTCGTTCACTCTTAAACTTCGTCACGGCCTTCACCCGTTGCTCCCTAACGTTCAACCGTCTTCCTCCCAACTTATTCTCTTCACAGACGTACCCTTTAACGAGATCTGGTTGGTACCGCACCTGGTCAAATCTGTCCTGAAGTCGGTCGAGATGGCGGTAGAAGTCCGCGTTGTGCGGCCCCACTAAATTATGAGTAAGTTCATGTAACATCGTCCCTATGATGTCGGTCATGGGGAGGAAACTCCTGTCATTGGAATGGTACCGTAGGCGTAGCATTATCTTCTGTCCCTTGTTGACATTGAGCCCAAGGAGATTGGCATTCTTGGGGAACATTTCACAAAGCACTCCCACCTTGAAGTTATTCTCGTGCATCAACGGTGCTACGGCTTTGGCTACATCGTGAAGGATTGTAGCAGCGTATTCTTTATCTGGGAATCGTTGGAGGGAGGTGATTTTGGTTATACGGGAGGTGGGAGGGGGCCGTTCAGGAGGTTTTGGTTTGGATTTGCCCTGGATCACCATGGTTCTGTGCGAAAATATACAGTACTGATGAGAGTTTACTGAGAGGTTACCGTGGGAGTTGCCTCAAAGGGGATGACAGCTACCGCGAGAGCTTACAGAGAGAGTTTACTGATAGGTTACGGCGACAGTTACCGCGAGAGTCTTCGCCACAGCTACCGTGTTGTCGGTGCCATATATTTCTATGCTTGAGTTCATTCTATGCTCGGGAGAGTTCGTCAATAAACGAAGATATGAACGACCCAGGGTGTTGTACAGCAGCCGCTTTACGTCCACATTGGTTGTACACTGTCACAGCTGCCGCCACGGCTCCAAAGACAGAGTGTTCACTGGCACCCCCGAGGAACGCTCCAATAACGCTCCCTAAACTACACCCACTTCCAGTCACACGTCCCATCAATTGACTTCCTCCTTCCACTGTCTCTACTTTATCGTTGCAAACAATATAATTGGTGGCTCCAGTTACTACCACCACCGTTCTAAAGTCCTTAGACACTTCGGTGGCCATTCTAACGATACTTTCTTCGTCCATGGTAGCGACAGAATCCACTCCTCTCATGACAGCACCATCATCTTGAGCAGCGTAGCCACTACAGAGCTTGTAAATCCCCATGATCTCCCCGAGGTTACCCTTGATCACTGACATCTGGCCATGGTTCAATAATTGGCGACAACAGTTCAAACGAGCCGTGGTAGCTCCACAAGCTACTGGGTCAAACACAATATGTTTCCCGTGGTGGTTATAGGCCGAGAGCCCGGCATGGAATACTTCCATCATCGCCGCACTGGGAGTCCCGAGATTAAGCACAAGAGCAGTGTTGCCCAACGCTGCTAGTTCAGGAAACTCCTCTGGTAGTTCCGACATGATGGGAGATGCTCCTACGGCGAGGGTGACGTTGGCACTGAAGTTCTTGACCACGTTATTGGTGATATGGTGGACCAAAGGCTGGACAGTTCTAACTTGTGCCATTTGCTTAGGTACCAAGGAGGTAGTCCATTCCCCAGCGGACTCTTTGTGCCACCATCCTTTGTTGATGACGTCCACGAGATCTTTGGTGGCCCTATAGGCATCTTCTCGTGCCATTATACATGAAACCACCGCCAAACCGTCTAATTTCTGGTGCTGGATCTGGCACTGGTGTAAAACCCTCGCACCATTAGTCTCGTTGATACCACCAATGGCCACACATTTGATAGGACTTCTTTTGGGCCTGGCACCCGACATGGTACCATCTCTGGCCGTATTACCGTCTCGCAACACTTTAAGTACTTTCCTCACCCCCACTGGGCCAATGATGTTCTTCGTATCCTTCTTGGTGGCTGTGGAATACACAGCTCCAATGCCAATATAATCAATGTCATGGCCGCAAGCCACTGCTGCCTCCTCCACCGTGGAACAAGACACTCCTAAGATCTTGTCCCCAATGAGCTTCCTAGCAAGGTCAATTGGCATATCGTCTTGACCGATATGGACCCCCTCTGCGTCCACAGCTAGGGCCACGTCAATTCTATCGTTGATAATCAAAGGAATCCCTTTGGCCTTGGTGAGTTCATGGACTTGTTGGGCCCTACGGATGAAATCTTGGGTCGAGAGGTTCTTCTCACGGAGTTGTACTACGGTAGCACCACCATTGATGGCTCCTTCGACCTGCTTGATGAAAGTACTGGTGCTGGGCACCATGGTTGAGTCTGTGACCAAGTACACTGAATAGTCACACATAATTGGAAAATTTCTGGACAAAAGTTTGGAAAATGGAACCAAATGCTCAAAGGTCTCGTTAGCGCATATTTGCTAACATGGATTAGTGCGAAAGGTATCGGTGGATTTAGGGCCATTGTCGGTAAGTTTAGTGCCATGCGCGGTGATTTTACTGACAATGGCGGTAATTTTAGTGCCATGATCGCTAAATTTAGGTCCATCCTCACTAAATCCATCCTCACTAAATCACCCTACTAGAATGGGCCCTTAAATGGTGATAATGGTGCCATTTTCTGACTTTTCAAGAAACCTTACACGTCTCATGAACTGGAGGTTCCGTTTAATGGCATAATCCTCACATTTCTTGATGGTACCACTAACATGGATGCAATTAACGATCACTTTACGGCCCTCAATGGTGGTGATTAGGGGTAAAGTGGCAGTGACGAAATGGAAATTCGTCTTAGTACAACGTAGGATGCCTGTGCTGGTCTTATTGTTGAAGTATTTCATATTAAGTTGTACGGCAAAGCTGGATCCATAATCTCCATAGAGTTCTTGGATGGAGGACTTGATGGTATTGGTGATAGTCTTGGGGGTGAATTGTGGGGGAGATTCTTGATGGAGGGAAAGCAAGGCCTTAGTGGGAGACTCGCTGTAAGTTTGGAAGTCTTCACCATCAGTGGGAGGGTATAAGACCTCGAATAATATGTAACGTTGTTTGAGACGGACCATTAGTGGGACAGTGCGCGATGAGACGAGAAGACATCGCGAAGTCGTGCACGGGTGAGGGAAGTTACTGAGAAGATGGTAGTAATTAGTGAGAGAAGTTACTGCGAAGATGGAAGTAATTAGTGAGACAAATACACTTATATATTACATTAAATCTTCATTTTTATCCGTTCTATGGCCCCAGTCTCCTACATCGTGGCCCCCCTACACCGTAAGATACTCCTCTAACAACTCCCGAGCCTTACCACTATTCCCATTGATATTATATATCAAACTCAAATTATAAGCAGCATCCCTCCTTAAATCATAATCCTCTTCTCCTACCTCCACCTCCAACACCTTCTCGTAATGACTAACGGCCTCCGTAGTCAAACCAATCATATGGAACACTCGTCCGAGATTATACTCCACTTCCTGCTTCTCGTAGTCTCCTCCGTTCTTCAACCTCAACTCCCGGTACTCCATGATATAACTCAACCCTTGAAGTAATTGGACGTGCCTGTTGGAACTAAGTCTTTGCATCGACCGTTGCACGTGACTGATCCCAAGGGAGAAGCAAATCATCGGATCCTGGTTGTACTGCTTATAGATCCTATTGAGGTACACCACCGACGAGATATGGGACCGGGACCCTCCCAAGAGGTTGGCATAAATATAAAGCAACTCAATGGGTTCATGGTTGTAGGTGAAAGACTTATCAGCGGTGATGGTGGCCATCCCCGAGATGGGTTCTTTGGTCATGACCGAGTCATAGGCCTTCAATTGACGTAGGAAGAATTTCTGATGGTTGTAGTTGGAGAACGTCTCCCAGGCGTCGGACCCTGAAGGGAAGCAACAAAGGAAGAATTTGAAAATGAAGGGAGAAAACTGATTGTTAAGGAGAAACGACCTAACATTGGTCAGTACTGTGGTCAGGAACTCTTCATTGGTGATGCCAAACACTATGAGCATGAGTTTCAACATACTTTCCTTGGACTTATCCTGAACGAACACACTGACGTCGGTGGCAATCTCAATGATCTTCGACCCATACTCCACATTATCTTTGTACTTCAAGAAGAGAGCATATTGGACAAATATCATGAACCAGGAATCATAATCAAGCCCCCTGAACTCCTTCTCTGACGTTAACACCGACCTAGAATTGGTGTCGGTGGTATTCATACCTTCATAAAGATTATAAACCCTGGCCAACCTCTCATCGATTTCCAACGGTTTCTTACGACGATACAGAACGATCCCCTTAAAGATTCTGTTCTTATCTCTGGGGAAAAATGATGGCACGGAGGTGAATATTTCAATCAATTGTGAGGCCAATTGCATCCAAGTATCAATGGCTACCTCATCTCCTTGAGCTATCACATCCTCTAAACGGTTCATCCGCTTGAAAGTATCGAGGACTTTCCGTTTAACCCTTTCATCGGTCTCTTCTGCTTGTTGGTCAGTCAATTTAGTCCTTTTCCCGGTCCTGGACGTATCTTCACCTCCATCAGCTACTCGGACAACTTTCTTAGTCGACTTAGCTACTTCATCCAACAACTGTTTGGACCGTTTCTTGTCGTCGTTGTAGTACAACACCTCTGCCAACAGTAATTTGATATTATTGTCGTCGGGCGTAGACCGAAGAATTTCTTCATACAAGTCACGTGCATCTTCAAAGCGTCGGGTTTCAAAGTAACATTTGGCAATGGATGTGTTCAAATCAAGGTCTTGTCCCAAACTGTCGTCTTCAGCAGCTTTGATGAGGAATAATAACGCTTCAGAATAATATCCATTATTCTCTAAAGCTTTCCCTGCTTCGTATAATAAGTCCGGGATCTCATCTTCTTCCATTAAACGGTTGAAATGTTTCAAAGCTTCTTCATTATGGCCCAATTCTAACCTTACGATTCCTAATTTGAATCGGATGTCTATAAAGGGAAAATCGTATTCGCGGCTTAACATTTCCTTTTTAAGACGTTTATGATGTTCGAGATATCTCAATCTTCGGCTATCAAATTCGGCATCGTTATCGATTTCTTCCCAGATTTTGGACTCATCACTACGTCCTTGGATGTATCGTGAACCTATTTTGATGACTTTAAGGGCAGGTGACCATTCATGACGATTAATGTATAATTCACAAAGAATATTCAATTCGTTCCAGTCAAATCGAGGGATTCTTTGGTTTTTATCTCTTCGGTGGATGTTTTTATCGAGAATATCAAGGTAAAGATTAATGGCATCATTAGCACGGTTCTGATCCATATAAATACTGGCCAATTCTTTAATATATTCATGGTTTAAGGGGAATCTTTGATGAAGTTTTCTGAACCCATCCAACGCACGACCATAAATCTTATTCTTTTTGTACAACATTGATCTTTCTTTGATGTATTTGAACCTCAGCTTACCTTTAAGAGCAATGGCTTTGGAATATCCTCTGATAGCTAAAGAATCAAATCCAAGACTACTGGCAATCTCTGCCAATCTGGCCCATAAAATCTCTTCTGTCTTGGCTATACTAGCAGCTTGTAAACTCAATCTTAACCCTTCCATACGGTCTTGTTTCTCCAAAGCTATTTCAGCAATTGATCTCAAGGCTGACGAGTTCCCAGGGTCTACTGCAAGAACTTTAAGGTACAATTCACCTGCCTCGTCGTAGTTCTGGGCCACATATGCCTCATTGGCTCGTGATAACCCATCCCTGATCTCAGGATCAGTTGCTTTACTTGACATAGCATATCTCTTGAATTGTCGTCTTTTGGCTTTGATGTTCATATTGGAAGCTCCCGCTAAGTTCTGACGGAATTGGTCGAGATCACCTAAAGCATCCTCGTCCACACTGGAATTCTCATCCTCATCCACACTGGAATCTTCAAAATGACTGACTTCAGGATCATAGGCATCTTCATAACTATCATCGTGTTCAAAATCAGATTCTCCAGATTCATTGCCAGAATTTGGTCCATTGGCTTCTTCTTCTTCCGATGTAGCGAAATAATCCAGGTGGTCACTGGTAATACCATCCACTTCCATCAATTCAGGATCGATATTCTTACGTTTACTCCCCATTGATTGGATTTATTTGGTTTTTCAAGGGGAATTTTTTGTTTTTGTGGATTTAAATATTAAGGGTACAAAAACTTTTTTTTGGCGCGCGCCAGTGTAGTACAAAAAGCTTCAATGAGGTTAACCTTAACATTATTGATACTGCTGTTGACGGTATGGTGGAACCTTGTAGAAGGTTCTGGTACCGAAGATAGTCAATTGGAGGTGAAATTGGAGTCCAGCTGGACTCAGATTCCATTTTACCTCCAATTATTAGAGAGTTTGGCCTCAGTAGATGAAAAGCTATATTTCCAAGCCTTGAGAGCTTTAGTGCTTGATCCAGAGGCTGATGATGACTTTGATGATGATGATACTTGGAATGACGATGTTGGTGATGACTGGGAAGCTGATGGTGATGATATGGGTGAGACAGAGGTGGATTCGACCGGAGAATCAGCCATTTCTGATGAGGCTTTATATCATAAAATCATGGAATCCTTAGATTTAGATCCTTTCAACAAGACTTTCGTGGATTTAAAGACCAGTTCTAAGTTCTATTCCCCTAGAATTCAATCCCACTATCTCCACTACGTCCAAGAAATTCTCCCTGTCCACAATTCCCGGGAAGAATTATGTCAGAAAGATTCTTTTGGGTCCAAAATCACCAGAAGTAAGCATTTTTCCTGGCTTCTTTCCAAAGACAGGATATATTGCACCAATGATGATTTATTTGCGTTGCAATTATCGAAAAAGAGTGACTTGTCGGCATCTTTAATGCCATTTGATCGTGTTTTTGGTCATAATCAGAATGTTCCAGTGTTGGTATTCTATGGTGATTTAGCAAGTCTGGAATTCTCCCTGATGTTGGCAAATTTGATTTTGTCGGCAGAAAGTGGAAAGTTGAGATTCGTATGGCGATACATTCCTGTTTTGAATGGTCATGATGCGTTGAATGGATATGGGGTCAGTTTAAAGGTTAAAAATCCCGATTTCTTCGGTGTTTCCGATCCAGAAAAGGTTTCTACCATTCCTGAGACCGGTGTGGCCAATCTTGGTACTAAGTTAGCGTCCCATATTCTTTCTTTGTCCAAACAGTGGGATAAATTCACGGTTTTGAAGGAAAAAATATTGAACTTCCCTAGTCACGTGACAGACATTCATAGTTACCAGAACTTCGACCCCGAAGTTATCAAGAATGTTCAAATGAACGAACGTGTTGGACTTTCTGAAGATACAGCAGGAATTTACATCAACGGAGCCCCAGTAAACAAATTGGAAATGGACCCTTATAAAATCATAAGCAAATTGGAGTCTGAATTGGACCTTGTTCAACATTTAATGGACCTTGGACTCAACATGGACCAAGCTAAGTTACTTACGTCCAAGCTCGCTTTACGGTATGCCGTTCAATTGAGTGAATATACCAGTGGAGACGATAATCGTTACCGAGTGTATGAGAACTCATTTGAAGGACCAGATCCCAAAGGAGGAGTGGTTTTCATCAACGATATAGAACTTGATGAGAATTATCGTTCCTTCACAGCGTCACCTTCGGAAGCTTACCTTTCACCAGCTTCAAATCCTGGCCAAATACCTGCTGTAAGAGAGAATATCCATGATCTCATTTTTGTGGTAGACTTAGCTAATCAAGACCATTTGAAAATTTTGTTCACCTTCTCCAAGATCATTCTTGATAAAGCCATTCCTCAACAGATCGGTATTTTACCCTTAGGGACCAGTGAATTGAGTCAAACAGTGGCCAAATATTTCTACTATTTGTACGAGAATTCCAATTCTAAGGAAGCTTTGGCATTATTGTACAAGGTTTTGATGAGAAAGGATGACGATGAACTTTCTACCATCCTTAACATTCCTTTGGGATCTTATCTGTTGGACCCACAGGTGTACCAGCAGACTTTAGATAAGTTTTCCATCACTGAACCGTCAGTTATCTTCAACGGAAAGATCAAGAACTTAGAATCAGAGTCCTGGAGAGCGGATATGGGGAGACAAATAGCTAAAGATGTTCAAAAGATCAAACAAGGTATCCGTCAAGGAAATATAGGACCTTCGCTCAAAGCTTTTGTCTTCAATGATGCCAATTTCGAACGGAACTTGAAGATATTCCCCCGAGACATCTCCGGCTTCAAGTATAAGCAGGTGACAGAAGCTTTGATGGAACAATCGACATTATTCACTGTGGAAAGGGACGATATAGTGATGAGAGATACTGTGAATGTGTGGGTCATTGGGGATTTGAGTTTGAAAGCCGTGGTGGACCAGATGGTGGAAATATTGAACTTCATGGTTGTATCTACCGATAATGTTCGTTTGAGGGTTATTGATACGTCCAATAGTGGAATCTTGGCTGAAAAAGGACCTTTCAAAGCGATCTTGAAACCAGGAAATCCTGACCATGCTAAAGTTCTGTACCAACTTTATCCTGAACAAGTTGAACGTCTTGTAATTGCATTAGCCAAACATAAACTCAAGAAATCCACTGCTAACGAACAGTTGAAATCTTTCTTAGGTTCACAGGATTTACCACCAAATCATTCATTCCTCCTCATCAACTCCCGGTATTTCATCATAGAGCCCACCACCATGTCTGTAAAGGATTTGAACACCATCTCCGAATACGAAATCACCCATAAACTTCATACCATCAATACTATCACCCAACAATACCCACATATCTTCCCTGGGGAGTTATCGGAGTTATATCCTCGTTTCAGAGGCTTGGCCTACGGAGACTGGCAAGATTTAGTGACATCATACCTCCTTAAATCATTCTTTGTGGATGATAGATTGTATGTGGATGATGTAGCAAGATTTGATTTCAATTCCATGAACTTGGCCAATAGTTTCGTTTTGGATAACGACACTCCGTTGGTAGATGTGCTTGTCATAATCGATCCTCTCACTAATATGGCACAAGAATTGATCTGCTTGGCGGAGGTTATTATGAAGGTCCCGTTCGTAAGGACCAGGATTCTTTTACAGCCGAAATCCACTTATGAATCTGTCGGGATTGATAGATACTATCGTGCTGAGTATCCACAGTATCCTTTGTTCTCAGGAGATCTGGCAAAGTCAGGAGAACTGTCAAAGTCAGTTAAATTTCACAATTTACCGAACAAAGAAACCTTCATGGTGGATATTATTCCACCTAAACGTTGGTCAGTCAAATCAAAAGCTGCCACCATCCACCCAGATAGTGTCTCGGTCGCCCAACCACAATCCTTCACCTATGAACTCCATAGTCTCATAATTGAAGGGTATGCTAGAAGCATTTCCACTGCCTTACCACCAAAACATGCTGAATTTTCCCTTACTGAAAACTCCATGCTGGTCCAAAATACGGTCAAACACACTTCGGTGATGGCAAACCTTGGTTACTTCCAATTTGCCGTAGATTTCGGGTTATGGGATTTGAGCTGTGGCCCCAACTATGAGCTTTTATCTGCTTCGGAGAAGTTATTTGAGTTTAATGCCGAACCCCAGACCTCTATACCTTTACAGGTGTTCACCATGGACGGATTGGTGGTAAGAACAAGAATGATTGAAGCCAAAAAGCTGCCAAAACCTACAAAGAAAGTGACTAATCCCAAATCAACCATCAATATCTTCACCATTGCTTCCGGAGAATTGTATGAGAAGCTCTGTACTATGATGATGATGTCAGTGATGAAACATACTTCCGAAACCACCAAATTCTGGCTCATTGATGATTATTTATCCCCAGATTTCAAGAAATCCTTACCCACTTTGAGTAACCATTACAATTTCGACTATGAATTTGTCAGCTATAAATGGCCAATGTGGTTGAGACGCCAAAATACCCGTCAAAGAACTGTTTGGGGGTACAAAATGTTGTTCTTGGATGTATTATTCGGAGATCTTGATTCTATCATTTTTGTGGACGCAGACCAAATCAACAGGTCCGATATGAAGCTGTTGGTGGACCTTGATATGGGGTCTTATGCCTATGGATTCGTACCAATGTGTGAGAATCGTGAGGAGATGGAAACTTTCCGATTCTGGAATCAAGGTTACTGGCAAGAAGTCTTGGGCGATGATTTGAAGTATCATATCAGTGCCTTGTTCAAGGTCAACCTTCAAAGATTCAAAGAGTTGGGTGTAGGGGACAGACTCAGGTCTCATTACCAGAAATTATCATCGGACGAGAATTCATTAGCTAACTTAGACCAAGATTTGCCCAACAACTTACAACGCAGTGTCGGTATTTTCAGTCTCCCACAGGAATACTTGTGGTGTGAAACTTGGTGTAGTGATAATGGTAAAGTTACGGCGAAGAATATTGATTTGTGTAGTAATCCTTTGACTGGAGAGGATAAGGAGAGTATGGGAAGACGAGTGATTGAAGAATGGGAAGACTTGGAAACCGAATTAAGGGTGTTGCTTGGCTCTGTGTCTTCTGAAGGCTCTGAATCGTCTGGATCTTCGAAGTCACCTGACATTCCTGACTCACCAGTTGAAAACTTCCATGATGAATTGTAAATATATTACGTAAGCTCTTACGTAAGATTCGTACTAAAACTCTTTAAAATTCTGTAGTACAAAAAATCTCTGTGATACTTAAAAAGGCAATTTTGAGAGCTTTAAGTCCTCATACCAGCTGTAGGTAGTTTACAAAGTTCCTCTCAAGAACTTCCCCTATATCTTCAAACCTATTTCAATTTACTGTGAATTTCACACAATTACCATCAACTTCCAAAAAAATCAAGAAAAATCAAATCAAAAAAATTCCCGAAACCTCGACCATCTTAATCTCTACCAAAATTTCTCTATTCTACTCAAAATTCAACTTTTTTCCAAAATTTTTTCAACCTCTAAAATCATCTTCATATAACGGCTTACATAATTAATTACATAATCTGGTACGCACGTTACATAATCCTCACGTGATATGAAAAATCCTCTCGTTTAAGTTTCCCACGCATCTGATCTCCTATAACGGTCCCATTCAACAACCATGAGGATCACAGAGAAATTAAATCAAGCTTATAGCTCCCCTAACCCTCCACCGGCTACGTTCTCCTTCGAGTTCTTCGTGCCCAAGACGGCTCAAGGGATCCAAAATCTTTATGATAGAATGGACAGAATGTACGATTTAAATCCTATTTTCATTGATATCACTTGGGGTGCTGGAGGTAAAAGAGCTTCATTAACCAATGAAATGGTTTATACTGCTCAGTCTACCTTAGGTTTAGAAACTTGTATGCACTTAACATGTACAAATATGAAAGTTGAACTCATTGACGAAGCTTTATCCAGAGCCAAAGCCTCGGGATGTCAAAATATTTTGGCTTTAAGAGGTGATCCACCTTTGGATGGTAGTGAAAGTACTGGAGATTTCCAATATGCTAAAGATTTAATCACTTACATTCGTAAGAATTATGGTGATTACTTCAATATCGGTGTAGCTGCTTATCCCGAAGGCCATCCCGAAGAACCAAACGATGATAAGACCTTAGAATTCTTAAAGATCAAATGTGACGCTGGAGCTGATTTTATTGTTACACAAATGTTCTATGATGCTGACCAATTCATTAATTGGTGTTCACGTATTAGAAAAATCGGTATTGATTTACCTATTATTCCAGGAATCATGCCTATTTCGACCTATGCTGCTTTCATCAGAAGAGCCAAATGGTCAGAAATCTCCATTCCTCAACATTTCTTAGATGCTTTAGATCCAATTAAGGATGATGATTTCTTAGTCAGAGAAATGGGTACTACTCTTTTGGTTGAAATGTGTCAGAAATTGTTAGATTCTGGTTATATCAAACATTTACATTTCTATACCATGAACTTAGAGAGATCCACCATCATGGTATTAGAAAAATTGAACCTTATTGAAACTGTCAAAGCTCATGACACTATTGGAGGTACAGTTTTACCATGGAGAAAATCATTAAATCCATCACGTCAAAAGGAAACCATCCGTCCGATCTTCTGGCAAAACAGAAAACATTCTTATATTTCCAGAACCAGTACTTGGGATGAATTTCCTAATGGTAGATGGGGGGATTCTTCATCTCCAGCTTTTGGTGATATTGATTTAAATGCTACTGAGTTATTAAGACAATCACCAAAGAAAGCTTTTGAACTTTGGGGCCATCCTCAATGTTTGAAAGAATTTGCTGATTTAACTATCAATTATTTGACAGGTAAATTGAAATCCATTCCTTGGTCTGATGGTCCTATTGATGCTGATACTTCAGTTATGACTGATGATTTGATTTCTTTAAATAAGAAAGGTTTCATCACCATCAATTCTCAACCTCCTTTAAATGCTACTAAATCAAACGATAAAGTTTATGGTTGGGGTCCAAAGAATGGTTATGTGTTCCAAAAACAATATTTGGAATTCTTCTGTCATAAAGATACTTTGAATCAGTTATTAAATAACATTGATTCATTTAATTCTACTGATAACAATGCTAGAATTTTAACTTATTATATGGTTGATAAATCCGGAGATTTAGTTACTAATACTAAAGAAGGTGATATCAATGCTGTCACTTGGGGGGTTTTCCCAGGGGAAGAAATCGTTCAACCAACCATCGTTGAAAGAAACTCTTTCTTAGCTTGGAAAGATGAAGCTTTTAGTTTAATCGAAGAATGGGTTAGAATCTTTGAAAGTGACATGGCTAAGGATTTTATCAAAGGTAAAGAAACTGAAGTCCAAAACTTCATTAAATTCATGAAATCATTCGGTGATGATTTTGTTTTATGTAATGTTGTTAACAATAACTTTACTGATGATTCCAAAGTTTTATTCGGAATGTTTAATGGTTTAGAAAACTAATTCCAGAGGTCTTTTCCTCATTGTTTTGTTTGTTTTTTGTTATTCACTGTCGCAGGACAACATATGGTACTCAACATGCCATCTATCAATATTCAACAGTATTGATAGTTACGATTAACGTATTTTATTTCAACATTTTTTTAATTTTAGATTGATTTTAGGTCTGTGTATAGTGCATCCTCAACGGTATGGGTTAATAAAAGTATTACCAAAGTATTTTTCTATTAGAATTCTAAAATGTTTTGCTGTCAAAAATCTCTTCATGTTGAAAATCTCTTTTTGTGGATATCTTTGTTTCTGTGGATATTATTTTTGTGGATATTATTTTTCAATAACTTTTAAAGAGAAAATTTTTGGTATTAACGTATATCGAAACCTCTAAACCCTACAAACTATGAACAGAAAAATGACGAATAAGCGGTACTAGAACATATAAAAAAATAAAATGTGGTATCAAAACCATGATAAATGGTACAAAAATGAAATATGACAAAGCTTAGAAGAAAGCAAGAATTGAAGCAACTAATATTAAAGCTGAAGGTAAAGTGGCTTTAGCAGCAGAACCTTCGTAAGTGGAGACACCGGCAACAGTGGTTGGGGTGCTAGTTTGTTCAGCAACTGATGCTGGAGTTGAGGTAGATAAGGTGGTAACAGCACCTTCACTGTTGGTGGTGGTGATGGTGGTTTGGACGTAAGAAGTAGATTCTTCAGAATCTGGACCAGCTGGGGATGAAGCGACTGGAGCGACGGTAGTTGGAGTAGCTGGAGTAGCTGGAGTACCTTCAGTAGTTGGAGCAGTAGTAGCTTCAGTAACTGGGGTGGTAGCTTCAGTGGTAGCTGGAGTAGTTCCTTCAGTGGTAGCTTCAGTAGTTGGGGCAGTAGTTGGGGCAGTAGTAGCTTCGGTAGTGGCTTCAGTAGTTGGAACAGTAGCTGGGGTTTCAACTTCCTTAGTGACTGGAGTAGCTGGTGTAGTTTCACTAGTTAATGGACAGTAAGTGGTATAAACAGTGGTTTTTTCATCAGTGGTGACGGTAACAGTAGTGACCCCAGTAGTAACTTCAGAAGTTTGACATTTGTGGTCAGAACATGAAGTGATGGTGACAACAGTAGTTGATGGAATAGTGACGGTATCAGTAGATGGAGGTGGAGTAACAACTGATGAAGCAACTGAGTGAGGTGTTGAAGTGATTGGAGCGCTTGATTCTGGAGCAGATGAAGCTGGAGCGGATGAGGCTGGAGCGCTTGATTCTGGGGCAGAAGTGGCTGGTACACTAGATTCTGGAGCACTTGAGACAGGAGCACTTGAAACAGGAGCAGAAGATTCTGGAGCAGATGAGGCTGGAACACTTGATTCAGGAGCAGATGAAGCTGGGGTGCTTGAAGGAGGAACACTTGATTCTGGAGCGCTGGAAACTGGAGCACTAGATTCTGGAGCACTACTAGTAGGTGGAACACTTGATGGTGGAGCACTAGATTCTGGAGCGCTACTGGTTGGTGGAACGCTTGATGGAGGAACACTTGATGGAGGAACACTTGATGGAGGAACACTTGATGGAGGTACACTTGATGGTGGGACACTTGATGGTGGAGCGCTGCTGGTTGGTGGAACACTTGATGGAGGTACACTTGATGGTGGGACACTTGATGGTGGAGCGCTGCTGGTTGGTGGAACACTTGATGGAGG